ATTCAATTCATTCATTCATTCAATTCATTCATTCATTCAATTCATTCATTCATGCCTCCACCGGCAACCAACCCATGCTTCTAGTTAGAAGCCCCAGTCAGTAGATCGATAGAGGGGAGGGCTCTTCTGTCCTCTCCCGGATAGGAATAAGTGGGGCTGGGGGGCAACTTTCTTGCAATCTCCCATTATACTTATACTTTCCAGGATGATAGGGAATGGCGGAAATGAGGAAATCATACGAGACAATGCCGGTAGTGCGGCAACGGGCTGTCTGGGGAAGGAGCACAAGAGAATGAGCTGTTGGTATCGAGCTGGAGCTGCAGTGGAAATGTTCAGAAAGGAATGTTCTATAAGGCTGTGTAAATACTAGGTACATAGATGGTAATGGCCGGTGATGGGCTGTCAATTGTTTTGGATTTCATGCTTCGTCGGTCCATGTGCCTCCCATCTCCCATCTACTCACTCTGGTCCTCACCAGCGATCTCACTGCCTGATCTTGTTGACGGAGCACGCTCGTAGTCTTCCTCTTCGTCTTCGTCCTCAGAAGCTAATTCAACAGATTCACACAAGCCTTCAGGGTCACTCTCAGAGTCAGTCTCCGCAGAATCAAGAAGCTGGTTCGAAAAAGACGCTGCTTTCTCGATTTCTCTCCTTGTACGATCCCGCTGGATGCATCTCATCTCCAAGCCTGGGATCTCTCGCACCCGTAAGAGCTGACGACCTTCGGTTTTCTCCTTATCGAATAATCTGCCTCTGGCTCGAGCCCCTGCTTGCTCCTTGGACAAAAACGTTCTTTTGAACACGGACCCATCAAACCGCGAATTCTGCTTCAGGTAGACACTGGGCAGCCTGTACCCTTCAACTGTTTGGGTCCAGACTTGGCCCTCTACGATGTCCATGAGACCGGTCAACCGCCCCCAAGCTTCTCCCTCTGACCCATCCGGTCCTCGGTAACGTAGAAAGACTCTAACCTTGTTTCGAATTTCCCGGAACGGATATCTCAATGTCTTGACGCCTGGGGCCAGCACCAGTTCATTGATGGCGGAATAATAGCATTGTACACCTCCCGCCCGCCTTTGTGCAAAGAAAGAGAGTCGTTGCGGGTTCTGACATCTACCGTTTGCAATCGCCGAGCTAGCAGCCAGAATAAGTTCTGGCAGAATCTCCCTCGCATAGAATTTGGCTCGACAGAATGCAAGAAAGGATGCCCAGCGAGTAAAGTCAATATCATATTCGAGAACGTTGATGAGAATAGTGCATTCCATTGCACCGTCCCTGGGCCGGGAATTTTGGTCGTGTGGATGTTCGATATAGTCCTTTTGAAAAAGCTGTTCACACAGGTGGCGAACCCTGAGACGTAAGCTGGACAACGATGGCATTCTCTCTCTCAACAAGGGACAGTAGTGCGTCTGGTCCAACGAACACTTCCTAAAGAGGCCACCGACGGCATCAATTTCCAGATGTTTCAGGGAGCCGGGCAACGCTTGAAGAATCTCTGGGAGTGCAGTATGCACGGCCGCACACATTGCATCGTTCCGTGGTGGAGATACCCTTGGGGTCACCACCAAGCTGAAACTCTCCAACCGTACCATGCCATGCACGATCCCAGCTATTCTCTGTATCGCTGTCAACACATCCTCATTGATATTCGAGGCGGTATATGCTGTATCGGAATCGTATGGTAAAGAGTCTTTGCAGGAAATGCTGATGCTAAGCGACCGAGTCAACTCTTGCCCAGCAGGCCAGGATTCCGCGAACTTTGCGAGTTGGACTTCTGTCATGAATATGTCGGTATAAAGCACCTCATAGCCTATTTGACGCCAAGCCCTGCAGACACCAAGCGTCTTGACCAAGTCCCGGGAGGATTTCGTAGAGGTGTCGACCTTAAGGTGAAGCAACACCTTACGCACCAATTCCGCAGGAAGGCTGCTGGCCATGATGTTGCAGGATGAAAAACGATGGAATGCAATATAGATATTGAAAAATGAGAATATGGAGATCACCGTGATATGAAGCTGGATGTTAACGACTGACGAAGGTTGTAAGAGTTGATCACACAATGCGGACGATAGATGTGGCAGAAAAGTGAACGAGCGCCGTCCCCTGATTCATCACCTACCGGGCAGGCGAGGAAGGCGTAACTCAGAGCCTCGTCAAAATGGCATGCGTATCCATGCTGCCAGATGTTTTCCGATCGCCGAAGAAGGTGCGGGTGAAATCATGTCCGTATTTTCTAAGCTCCTAGCATTGTGCTGGCATCAGGTCGACCGAGTCGCATGATTCGCATTGTCGAACAGGTTGCAGGTAACCCTTTTTTGTACCTTGAACAAGGGTCGTGTTTAAGGACAAAGTTGTCAACAGTGCCTGCGCGACTAGCCTGAGCGAAGTCCACCATCTGCATCAGTGTGTTCGAAGCAGTCCCCACGTAGCCTTACATGTTTTGTGAGGGAAGGTCCTTCTCTTCAAAGCCCCCTCCCCTTCCACATCCCTTTCCTGTTGTTTGTTGTGCATGCTAGGTTTGAAAGTCAGCGAAGATCTCATTCATCATTTGTCTTTTTCTAGGGCCGAGATCTGTTTGCACGCTCTCCACGGATTGTCTGAAGATGGGACAATGACATTCTGCATATCCATACTTCATCACGAAAACATTATAAGAGGTCTCACATGAAGTGGAAGTCATAATGGAGAGATGAATCGAGGCTGCGGAAGTTGTGGTCTCCAGGAACAAGCTCGGGAAATGTTGATGGGGCGAAGACTCGTCAACGTCACAGGCACTAGCGAACCCACTATTGTGACTGTGGCTGTGGCGAGACCGGATCCCTTCGGGGGCCCATTGGGGGTTTTAGCGGGCCTACTACCAGGTAGTGCTTTAGGCGGTGGATCCTTGGGACCGAGTAAATGCCTACCTAGCTGATATTGATACGGGGCCTGGCCTTGCGGACACCAAATGAGGTTATTCTGGACGGTGCATTGTGTTGTTCAAGTGTGCAAATGGCGCATCCTTCTCGTTATTATCATTACTATTACTATTGTACATAGGGTATATCGAATTTTTGCTTGGTCATCCGTGTTGGGTAGCTTCTAAGGGTCAAACTTGCCCTCCTCGAAAGCCTTGTGCTCTCTTTCAATCTCAAGCTTGACCCACGCATAAGTTACGGCCGCCCATATGGCGATATAAGAGAAAAGAACACCCAACGAAAGGCCAAAGGCGTAGTGGAACTCCAGGGTCCAGATGACGGCGGACACGCACCCGATGTACGTGCACACGCCAAACAACCACCACCAGGTCAAGTAGCGAAACAGTTGGCGAAAGGCTTTGTTGTTCTCATAACGGTCGTTGTAGCGGACGCGGAACTCCCGGTCCTGCAGGCCGTCGACGGCAATGAAATCCTCGGCGGCATAGTAAATGAATGGGCGCAGCTTCGTGCCTCGAGGTTGCGAATTGATCCCAATGGGGATTTTGAATGGGAGTATCTCGGTGATGAGCATCAGGATGCCCAGAAATCCCATGATGAAGGTCGGTGAGTAGAGGTAGAGATGGGGCTTGACTAGCGAACTGCCGACGACGAAGGGGATCAGGGCCAGGATCATGGCGACCCCGTACACCCACGACGTGGCATCCAGCTCCCATCTGCTCCGCGACAATAGAGGCGCGCAGTCTTCGGTGTGAACGAACAATCGGTACACCCGTGCAATCAGAATCCAAAGCTCGCCGGCACCGAAAGAGATGATGGCGTAGCCCAGAATGTTTTCGTCGTATTCTGGCTTGGGAAGGGGACATTCCCGGGGCGTGCTATTGAACTGCTCCCGGCACTCTCTCTCCCAGCGGTGTTTGCGGGAATTGTACCAAGTGTAGTATATGATACACGGTACGATGATGTCGAAGAGCAAAATCGCCGGGAGCCCGAGCGTAATGCCCAAGTGCTGCATTGGGTGCGCTTCCTTTTGCATCATTTTCGTCTCTTTACGCTTCAAGCGCGGGAGAGTGCGAGTGGATGAGGCATATGTAGTAGCTCTCCCTTGGAGTTCGGGTCGAACGGGTGTGGGCTGCGTGTCGCTGTCGGCAGCGGGTGGTAGCTCTGAGTCGGGTTTTTCTTCCATGCCATCACTAGGCAGTCCCAGCGTCGTGCCACTGTCGGGAGTATCGCTCGATTCTTGTTGTTCTCCTCGCTCTTGGTCTCCCAGCATTTCTTTCTCTGGGTCGGCAACTGGCACCCCATCACTATTGTCCCGCCAGCTCACTCCATTGCCGGGACGATCGTCCGCCTCTTCTTTCTCCATCGTGAAATGGTGTCTTTCTCCCTTCAATGATTTTGTAAGTCTGCTCCTTCAGCGACAACCATATGACACTCTCCCGGTCCTCACAGAATCAGAATGCACATTTCCAAAAATGAAGGGGGCGACTCTCCATTTAAGAAAGCACATATTCCTAAACGAGGAGCGGACACCGCGCGTTGACTCAGCCGACAGCATTATCTAAGTCATGGGATTTTGCGGCAGAAAATTTGAGCCTTTGGGGCGGAAGATCGGGCCCATGATCCACATCACGCGCCTTCTATTCGCGGTGTTGGACTTGGGCGTTCGGCACCCCTGCGGATCTGTGCGCCGGGGCTTCCGCTTGAAGCCCCTTCAAGGTTGTTTTCCTTCAGCTGCCGGCAGCCTGTCCGCATCAACGTCATTGTTTACCCGTTCGAGGCAGACTCGCCCAGTACGGCGTTGGATTCAGCCACGCATCAAAGTATTAGGCGCTGTCATTGACTCAGCAGTTGGCGGAGAGGACGGGGGTGGACGGCACCCAGACGGGAGGAGTTGACTGAGGCCGGAACAGGGGCCTCTGGACTACTAGAGCGTCTGTCAACTCGACGACATAATATAATACTCGATAGCTAGTATCCGTCGAAGAGCAGAGTCCAGTTCAGATGCCCTGGAGCGAAGCACAGACAATATGGCAACGGGGCGTCATAGGCGAGTGTCATCCGGGAATACACTTACTGTACACTTCTAGGCAATGAGTGAGTATTGGAAGTCGACAGGATGAGCAGACTTGCAGGCACTGGGATGAGAGTGGCCGGTTCTTCATCAGCCCCTGGGCTCTTACAGGCTACAGCAGAACAATGGAGCCCCTGTTGATGTCCGTTTCAGGGTCAAATTGCAGCAAATGATGAGTAAAGCTTTAGGTAAGAGAGGGCGTCGAGCGATGAGCTGCGTGATGAGGAATGAAGGCTGATCGCACAATCAACCGTCTCTGCGCCACTACGTCATCGTCATCGGCGCCGTTTCGGGCGACCCCTCGACAAGACATAACACACGAGATTGGGTCGGAGGATGTATCTCGGTTCTACCAAAGTGTCAGATATTCGTGGAAATAATTGTATCGTAGAAGAGTACAGTGGGAAGAAACTCCCGGCGCCATCATTATTCCCTACATGGTCGAGTACAGGGCTGTGATCATGACAACCAGCCACCATCGCATTGGTGCTCATCTGTCCGCTATACAACGCTTGTTGTTATGGCAGAAGTCATTCTTTGGCTTTCTTTGTAATGGGACACCGCCAGAAACATGACAATGACTTCCTCCATCACCGCTTCGCTGCTCCAGCACGGGGCGAGCATTTCCATGCTGCCACCCCGCTTCGAGCCCTTGTAGTTTGGCTTGTATCTGGCAATGGCTAGCCCCTGGCCATCCAAGAGCACCATGTTCAAGTCATCGATCTTTTTCCGAGGTTTCCACGACATTTTCTCCCCACAAAGTGCTGGGGAAGCGTACGAGTACTGCGTGTTGAACCGTGAAGACTCGAGGGTGAGAGGCTGCCCATGCAATTTCACATCAATCCGAGTCGTCAATGCGTGGAAGTCAACTGTAGCCACTTCAGCATCACTGACGTTGGATCGGATCGTCATTTGCGGTTTCCGATATCTCGCTTCTACCGTGTACAAGACGGTGGTCTGGTCCGTGTCAAGGAGACGGATCGTCGTATGTTGGTTCCAATAATCCTGGTACTGAACGTACAAGGTGCGAGATTCTGAGCTCTGATCGGTGACGTCGGACTGGAAAGGCCGCTGTGGCTGGACATCGTCCCAGTTATCGTCCTCATCTTGTATCGGGTGTGGTTCAGGTGCTTCTTTTTCCTGATGTCGCCTGAAAATATTCTTCATTTTCACTGTTCTTGTCCAAATATTCAACGTGGGAAATTCGAAAGTGTTTTTTCAAGTTCCTGGAAGGTCAGTGAAGAGTGTGCAGACAGCGAGATGTGCGCTTTTATGCGAGAGGTAGTAGACTAACAGTACAGCCATGCTTAGGTAGCAACAGCAAGGCGGATGGATGGCTGTGAAAGGGTGATCGGACGTGTATATCCGCAGTATCAACGACGATCTTGGAGGCCTTAAGCCTCAATAGCCCCGCAACCACTTGAGTAATAGCGATTTGGCAGGTCGCCACCCCCAGTGGACACGAGTACCTCCAATGTGCTCAGCCACAAGACCTCCACGCTCGTATTCGTGTCCAGAGCAGTGCCACGGCCCATAAGTGCCACACACCGTTCCTAGATACGGCGAATTCTGCTGCAAATCTTCAAGCGTCAAATTCACTGCTTGGAGTGATTGTCGCACGGAGCCAGTCACAGCGGTACAAAGGAAACATATGGTGCAATATGGGAATCGACGCGGGAAGAACATTGCGTCGAACATGAAAAGTGTGGGCTCACGAAGCTACGACTTCTGTCGCCATCGTGCTGGCAAACTGTTGAATAATATTACCGAGCTGTCCATCGTCACGATCTCTAAAGCCCATCGTCTGGTGTCCAATACTTGTTCCAACGCTCATCCGTAGCGCTTGCCTCGACGTCCTTCTTATCATAGAAGCGGAGATCAGTGCTCAGCCGAATGCGACCAGCAGGATCATCGTTGGCAGCCGCAGTGTGAATGGTGTATGGTAGATGGAAGACCACACCACCAGCCTCAAAATCGGCGACGAGCCAACGATATTTGGTCTTCTTGGCGAGGTGCTCATTGTCCCGCTGGAAAACCATTGGATCCATCGAAAGGACGCCCGTGGCGGACATATTGCGATTGAACGCTGATATCTTCTCCTCGAGGGTGAAGTCTTTGGCGCGTACCTCAAAATCATCCTCAATGGCCTTGCCGAGGTTGGTGCTGTCTTCCAGATAAGCAAGGCCTCCTCCCATGGCCGTGACGTCCCCGATGGGCACCCATGCGGTCAGGAAGAATGCATGGCCTCCACGAAGGAAGAGCTTATCGTAATGAACGCCAGTGCTTTGACCTCCGGGGATATTGTGCCGGAGCATGGTTCTCTTGACGAGGACTTCTTCCTCCCAGCCCATGATATTGCGGACCATTGTGCGCAACTTTGGGTGCGCGACGAAGTCGAGATAGGGTTGTTGCACGTGGGCAGCCACGAGTCGCTCCAGTTCTTCGTCACCTGTTGGACCTCCACCACCAATTCCGTTGTGCAGCGAGATATTCTCGTCCGAATTGTAGATGCCGTCAACCGGGTCCGTGTCTGCCTTTAGCAGACCCAGGGAGTGGAACTGGGAGAAATAATGTCCCCGAGTCTTCAATACATCGTCCCGCGGCAAGAGGCCTTTGACGAAGACATATTCGTCCTCAAACAGACGACGACGGATCTCTTCGACCGGGGTCTCACTGGGAGTCTCACGAAGCCAGCCCAGCATAGACTGGGGGATCGAGCCTTGGATGGCACGCACATCTGGAGGAAGAGGTTTGGTATCCGGTCTTGAATCAACTGTCTCCATTGAGAGCTGTGCCGAGGATGAAGCTGGTTTTCAACATTGATACTGGAGAGAGACGAGCCCTCAGAAGCTGTAGAAGGCGCATCGCCATCTTGTTATTCAGTGCAATGCTGTTGAAGTACGTCACATATTCATTGCGAGAGAAGCGGCAGGCCTTATGCGGTCAATGAGATGGAAGAGGAACGACAGGGGAAGTCTGGTTGGTCTGGATGCAGGATGGAGGGTTGGGACCTCGCACCTAGGGGCAGGAGTAGGTTGGTGTGGGTGCTACCAAGGGGGGCGGGGACAAAGCCCTTGGGCTTCTAGCGGACCCTGTTGGGTGCCTATTGGGGATCAGCAAAGCCCTATTTGTCGTAGGCGCCCTGGGCCTATCGCCTATTGCCTGCGCCTTCTTTTAGCTTAAGCGCAGCTGTGACTTGGCCTGCTTGTGCTGGTCACTAGCATCTGCCTCTGTCATCTTCGCCTCACAGTTTTACTTTCTCACAATTTGTTCCACCACCGACGGCTTACACTCCGTTGCTACTGGTCAGTTAAAGACTTGGTGCGACAAAGTGCTTCTCTGTCTTGTACGAAAACATCACTGGCTTCATAGACCACGAGCCGAGTTGGAACACAAGTGGTATAGTCTCGCACATGCTCGCAGCATCTAGCCGAGGAGTACTCGATCATAAGGAGGTCGCCGCTTTCTCAAGACATAGCTAACTGTATAGATGAAGGACGCCGCGCCGCTATTTCCAAGGGTAGATGGGGAACGCGCCATGTATTGAACATAGCCACCCTTTTGCAGCTTCTTCCCCCATCACTCATCCGACAGCTCGTTCCTGTGCAAAGATCTGCTTCACTAGGGAGATCAGCATGGGTGAGTCTCGATATCTTTTCGTGGTCAAAGATCCCAAATCCCTGTCATTCTCCAGAAGCGATGACCACGAGAGGCGATTGATCCACCGTCATGCACAGATCGACAGCATGCATCGACGACGGGCGTCGCCGAATCACAAAATTTACACGGATGGGCAACTACCATTCATTCAAGTCAACCCAGGTATCAAAGCTGGCACCAGCAATAGACCTGTGGTACATGACATCCCTCGGGTACCGGCTGACGAAATGCGCATCATCGATCCTTTTGCAAGTACCGTGGTCAATGTGGACCGGAAAGCTCATGGTCTCCTTCAATATTTCATCCATGTTTCCCACCCTAGGACATGGTATTCGGAAGTGCAGAACGATCGCACCTATACCTTTCAGAAGGACGTCCTCGCTCTGGTCAAGGGATGTCTCGAGAACGAGGTTCATTTTTACACCTTGCTGGCCTCCATGGCCAGTCAAATGGAGTATTTTGACCTGATAAACCGAGACGACGAAACCACAAGTCAAATTGCAACAAAAGCCATTGGCGCCGTTCGCCAGCACCTGAGATCTTCTCCTCTTATTGATCAAAGGCTTATTTTCGACATACATCAACTGGCCGTTACAGATTTCTATCGATACGAACTGAAGTCGGCTCTCATTCATCTCACCGCAGCCAAAAGCCTTCTTTCGCATATCGGAGGCATTGACCGAATCGATCCTTCGCTCCGGGAATGGATTGTGATTGGGGATGGCTATCTGGCAGCAGAACTACTCCAGAAGCCACTGTTTCCTGCTTCGTGTTTCGACCCAGGCGACCTGGAGCCGGAACATGCTAATGATACTGGTGATCACCCTGATATCACCGCTCAATGGTTCCAGGAGCCAAAGTATGTCAAGATTCTGCCAAACCCGATGCACCAGGTGCTTCTGGATTTGGCTGCGACAGTCGATGCCATGCGACGGCAGTCTGAATCAGAGGCCACAGATGGAAATGCCCCTGCTGGATCTAAAGCATCCCTTCACTGGCTCCTTCTCCGAACAAGCGCACTCAGGCACCGACTTCTCGAACTCGACATTGACGATGGCAAAGTGGATGCCATCAGGATCGTCTTGATCATATGGTTATTCATGGTAATGACCGTGACTGGTCGCCGGCGAACATGCAAAGTCCTCGCTTCGAAACTGAGACGTCGACTAGAAGGCATTGGACGGGAGGACTGGAACGGATATGGAGATGTCCACCTGTGGGTGCTTCTCGTTGGTGCCATGTCTTGCGAAACAAAAGATCGCGGGTGGTTCCTTCAAGCAATCCTAGAGACGGAGAGTCCGGGTTCTTGGGACACGCACAAATCGTTCTCGGAAGACGAGCTTGCAAAGCTATTCAGTCGCTTTTCCTACCTCGACCTGTACCAGCGGGGCCTGCTGCAAGCTGTCAGCTGCGATTTGAATGTTCTAGCACCTCACACGGCCGGGGACTGTGACGATGCCTCACCAACGTCCAGACACTGTTAGGACGAGATCTGAAAACCGTGCATGCAGATTGCCAGCCCGCCAGGTCCATGATCGAGCCTTGAGGGAAGATCTCTGATGTTGCAATTGAGCCCCTGTACGCGACATCTAGAACTACTACCCGATATGGGCATGCAATGGCAATATTCGATTGGCTTGAGATTTCGGAGTGCAGGGAGATCCACAAACAACAACTGACAAATGGCCAGCGGACTCGGGTCATAGGAAGCACAGTCTGACGATGAAATTGATATTGTAGTAGCTGACCTGACTTTTAGCTCAAACGAACCGAGCATCTACCTCGTATACTCGGTATCCTTGCTAAATAGCCAGATTGGACTTCAAGTTCGCACTGGTCAATACTAGTACCTCCGCGCAACCACCTGGCAAAGTCGAACTGCACATATTATTATGCTGAGCTCCGCACATGGCATCAACTGCACTTCAGCCGCAGCTGAGAGGCAGGCTGCCATGCCTGCGATCCAGCTTGAAGTCTCTTCAGACTGGGTGTCCATGAAGGGTCTATATTGTTGATATTGAGCATGTTTGCCTAACCTGTTGGCAAGGACAACTGGCCTTCGCTTAACCACTCCTGGTAGGCTCCCTACATAATAGCTGGAGGTTCCACCGAGGGCCCAGTGTAGCGGATCGCTGGGCAGCCAGATGAGGCGCCCCTGTGAGCTCAACGTGCTGCTCAGGTGGTCCTCAGAGGGTATGAGGTGTCGTTACTGTACATGTAGGTGCTGAGTCCTTGACAAGACCGTGACGCGCTGCTGCTCCTCCATCTGCACGGAATGGTCGAGAAATCACCACTAGACTGTGCCACGGTACGCATTGCTGACCTGGTCATCGTAGATACTCTCCTGCCATGACAGCGACAGCACTGACCATCTCCCCGCCCGCCATCAACTCCAGCGAAGAACGCACACTGCGGCCGCGGGCATCAATAAACCGCCGACGCCTCCGGTGGGCGAATCATACCTAGGTACCTAGGTACACAAACTGCTCCCGTCTTTCTCCGGCCATGTGCCCCGCGCCCGCCTTCCAGCCTCCAATCTCCACATTATCTTCCCCGTCTCCGCCAGCGTCGACCGAGGTTATATGTCGGAAATCGTTATCCACCTCCTGCGGCCTCAACAGTGCCTGTCGCGTACAAGGCGGGAAAGATGGTCGTGGATGTCTATCTCCAGCCGGCTTCTCCCACTGGGCACAGCGCCGAGGACTCGGCTTTATCCTGGAAGACGCCCTGATCATTGATATCTCTTCAAGATTGCTTCCATTCCCCTCGACTCTCTATATTGCAGTATCTCTTGACTGATCTGCTTTCGCTCAAGAGTGGGCAGCAAAAATGCCCTCCACGTCCCCCTACCCTCCATTGGACATTCCAAAATGCAACATTCTCTCATACGTCTTCCCTCCAGAGAAGACGCAGTCCAACAAACCGCTATGGATCGATGCTGACAATCCTTCCAACAGTCTCTCGCCAGCCCAGATGCTGTCTTGGGTCAAGAGATTCGCGGTTGGTCTTGATCGACTCGGAGTCAATCAGCAACGAGCGGTCATGGTCTTTACGCCGAATCATCTCTATGTTCCAATGGTGTATCTCGCTGCTGCCGGTTCCAAGCGCTTCTTCACCGGCGCGAATCCTATTTACACGGTCAACGAGGTCGCTCACCAGATGAAGGCAATCGAAGCGGCGGTTGTACTTATCCATCCATCCCTACTCGATACTGGTGTGGCTGCAGCCAAACAAGCCAGCATTCCACTAGACAGGCTTTTCATCTTCTCCGATTCCGAATGTCCAACGACAAAGGGCGTCAGGGATTGGCGGTCAATGGTCGCCTCAGAATCGGAGGCCGAGTCATGGAAATGGGATCCTCTTGAGGGAGACGCTGCCCTGCAAACGATTGCCGCCATCAATTTCTCTAGTGGGACCACTGGCCTGCCCAAGGGTGTGTGCATTACGCATCGCAACCTCATTGCGAACGCTGCGCAAACAATCTTCAACAAATACCAGGACACTCCGTACTCTGAACAAGATCCCGGGCCGGAGCGTTGGCTAGCATTCCTTCCCCTATATCACGCCTACTCGCAGCTGTGGACCATCAACATTGCATGTCGACTTCAAGTCCCGGTCTATGTGATGCCCAAGTTCGTGTACGAAGACTTCTTGAGGCACATCCAAACCTATAGAATCACGACGCTGCAGTTGGTGCCGCCCGTGCTTATCATGCTTAGTAAACGACCTGAGACCGCCAAATACGACATCAGTAGCCTCAAACAGATTCTTTGTGGCGCAGCACCGCTAAAAAGTGATTTGCAAAACGAAATCATGCAGCGCTTCAAAGTTGTTGTTGTTCAGGGCTGGGGCATGACTGAGACGACATGTGCCGGCATTATGATGCCAGGAATGACCAAGGATTTGACCGGCTCGATCGGTTATCTGCTACCCAACACCGAGGCGATGCTCATGGACGAGGAAGGCAACGAAGTGACGGCGGAAGGCGAACCAGGTGAGCTCTGGCTGAGGGGACCACAGATGCTGCTTGGCTATTGGAGAAACGAACAAGCCACCAAAGAGAGCAAGACCGAAGACGGCTGGTTCAAAACCGGCGATGTCGCCGTCTTCAAGGGCAACAAATGGTGGATCGTCGACAGGAAGAAAGAACTCATCAAAGTCAACGGCTTGCAAGTGGCACCAGCAGAATTAGAGGCCATTCTGCTTGAGCATGAAGATGTCGCCGATGCAGCTGCCGTGGGGATCACTGTCCATGGCGAAGAGCTTCCACGAGCCTATGTGGTTCTGCAAGAGCGGGCCAAGGGCGAGACGACCGAGGAGGATATCAAGGCTTTCGTGGCAAGCAAGGTAGCCAGGCACAAACGGTTAGCTGGGGGCGTCAAGTTCATTGACGAAGTGCCAAAGCTGGCTAGCGGCAAGATTGTGCGCAAGTTGATGAAGGAATGGGCCAAGAGGGATGCGCAAGAGGTCGAAGGCACAGTGAAAGCGAGGCTATAGAGGAGGATTTGGCAACGGTAACCAGTCCAGTCCGTACCCGGAGGCGCAGACATCTACAAGTGGCCAACCTGATGTTGATAAAGTGGTCAACATACCTGCCATTGTTCTGCGGGCTACAACCCTCGATTCAGAGTCTGCAGCATGCTACCTGAGTCTGTGAGAAGTGGCTCACATGGCTGTGGAAGACAACGGGGCTTCCTACCAACAGCGGAGAGGTCGTCAAAGCAACTTAAGAAAGAAACCCGAAAGATCTTGCCTCACCAATTTGCCGGTCGAAACCATGACTTTGTCCAAATGAAACACGAGGGTCAGACAATGAATGAAATGCAAGGGTGGAAGGTGTGTTCAACATGATGATCACAAGGTCTAGAGAGTCTGCAATCTGGCGGTAGAAAGAATTGAGCAATCATCTGGGGGAGCATCAAAGCGATGCCACACCTTCTTCACCTCTCCTATCAAACACTGCTTTCCACCCTCAATTGATCCTTGGGAGCCTTCCATCTTCACTCTCGGACGACCCGCGTTCCCCTTACACCGAAGAGATATCTCTGTTCTCTACAACGAGTCTCCTACTCACTTCACCATTGTCTTGCCTCTCCCTTGCCGCAACCAAGCAATGCCCTCTTGATCTAACCTCCTCTGTCCTTTAACAGCACGCTGATCTTTTAGACCTCCACAGTCACTTGCTTCTTCCTCTGTATCTCCACGCCACAATGACGGGTTACTTCTACGACTGTCGAGTCCGTGATGATGTTGTCCAGGTCCGTCGTCGGACTGGACCCGAGCAACTCCAGATCTCCTTCAAGCGGACGGTGAGAGTTCCGGACAACTCGGGGACTTCTCAACTACCTCCAGATCTGGGTAACTTTCCTCTCTACAAGGTCCAGACCTACGCGAATTCCCTTCCTCCCGAGATGGTTGCGAAGGGCGGAGTGTTCTTGCCAATGTACCGTACGTACTTTCAAGTTTCGCCAGTCTTGAGCTGACGGGTTTCCCAGAACGCGAAGCGATGTGGATCAACTTCACTGCCAACTCCCCCTTCGCTATCAAGGTCTATGTTGGCTGCGTCAACGCCATCTCGGGCGAACCTGCTGCTGGAAGTGCCTCTGCTAAACAACGTCGTGCCTTGCTTGTGTCTCAAGGAGAGCCCATTCAAGACTATATGGTCGTCCCTGGTCAGAGCTGGTTAGATGGTATCGCGTCAAGCAACGGTATCGTCAAGCAATTCGTGGCCACACCACTAGGAGAGGGATATACTGTCGAAGCACAAATCACTGGTCATGAAGAAAATGGAGGGCTGCAAATTGAGATCACACCAGCCGTCGTGAGCCCCGCTGGCAGCACTCGAGTGCGAGTGGAAATCTGCACCGGCCAAAAGTTTGAATTCTGTGTCCCTGCGGATGCAAAAGTCATCTATCTTCAACAAATGATCCATGGAATCTCAGGTATACCGATTGAGGACCAGATATTCGTCTGTTGTGGTCAGAAAATGCCACTCTGTATGCATTCACTACCAACTTCGTTGACCCATTGCTGATAACATCATATGCAGTCGAGCGAATCGCTGATTGGGTCGCTGATTGGTGTGGAACGGTAGGCTCAGATATTTTCAACCTCTCACAACCAGCTTTCCGCTCATTGTCTCATAGGAACCATTACCAATTTATCTTCTCCAGGAACAGAGAGGGGGAGGCTGGACCGAGGCTCCGCCAGCCAAACCAGAAACCAAAGAAATGGGCATCGCCGCAGGGGGAAGCATCAAGCAAGTAATCGTGAGGGACATATGGCCGGCAGGAACCTGGCATAAGACCGCCACCATTGCCTTCAACGTCCAGATCTTGAACGCCAGTGCCTTCGAGGAAGTCACAGGCTTTCCAGCCCTAAAGACTCCAGTCACCATGGAAACCTACGCAGAACTCGGCCTCCCGTTTTTCAAGCTGTACGAGGAACCGAGCAATGTGCATGGGTCGTTCAACAAGGTCAAGTCGATTGGGGAGATGGACGGCGTCGAGGATCCCAACTTCGCCGTCCCAACCAAAAACATCAACGACGATCCGTCTGGTGCGAGATCAGCGCCCCAACCCGCCGTCCAGGTCAAGGATGGAAATGACGAGGACATCTCCAACCCGGCAGGTGCGCTGAGGGAGTTCCGCCACGTCTCCGAAATCGAACAAGAGTTGCGCGCCATGAATATCAACGCATCAGATTTGAATAAGGCTTGCTGGTCTCCTAAGGAGGGCGAGGAGTTGGCAGATGGTCACTTGTTCAGCTTTTAGTGGCACCGGTGTCCTTGCAGCCCGAACTCACGGAAAAGCCTGATTGATTCGACTGGGATAAGCTACGGAAAGGAGAATTCCGAAGCAATAAGAGAAGACAATGCTCGGATTCGACAAACGATTTCATTGGGTTGGCGTGGGCGCGTTCGAAATGATGAACAAGGCGTGGAGAGCTTACTGAGTATGTGGTGGGTCGCAAAAGGACTGTGCTGAGGACTTTGAAGCAGTTGCAGATCGATTGTCGCTGGTGACCGAGCTGAGGAATTCATGGCGATAAATGTATTCAAGTTCATCAGTGGTGCTAATCATGAAGCACGCACGATATAGCTTCAGGTAGCGGATCATAGCAGAGCCTAGCGGCTACAGCTCAGTCATTGAACCATGGTGCTCTGGTCTCACAGCGAAAGGTCATTTCTAGCTGTATGCACGCAGGCCTTACTTCAAAAGTCCCACTGGGCTTTTCCCTCTCCTGTGCTTGCTCCGGTCTTATCCTCACCACCGTCGTCGCCGCCAGCTTTTTTCACTTTTGGTCTTCCTTTCCTATCCACCCTCTCGTCTCTGGGGTCGAACCCACCATTGCCCCAGAGCGCCCACTCGGGCGTCTCCCTGCAGTAATCCTCGGGCTTAAACTCTTTTGGACCGTCCAGCAGGTCGAAAAACCTGTCGTAGTCGATGAGAGTGTGCCACTTCTGATTTATGAGGAAGCGTTTGCTCGCGATCAACACGCAGCAGCTGTGCGCGTGCTCGGCAGCAATGCCGTACTCGAGACCGCGTTTCGCGAGCGCCTTGTCCAGGGCTTCGACGAAGGCGACGACTTCCTCGTAGAAGGGGACGTTCTGCATCGTCAGGCCGGCACCGGCGGAGGAACTTGTGCCGCAATATGTGACACCCTTGATCTCGACGAAGCAGGGTAGGCCCTTGGCCACGAGATGGGCATACCCTTCTACTTCGTCGTCAATGTTGAATCCCTTGACCAGCGTCAGGCGGAACACAGTGCGTTGCACGAACCGCTTCTCCCGCAAGATGTCCAGGCACGAATTGAACCGTTCCCAGAAATCCCGATGGAGAGGTCTGTCGATCTTGCGCAGACTGTCTTTGTTGCTGGCGTCGATACTGACGTATAGCTGCGTGACCCGGCGAAGGTCACGCAGTTGCTGCGGATGCTGGGCGTTGCAGACGAGGAAACTCGATATCTTCTCTCCGTGCAGGAGTCCCACGAACTCGTTGATGCGCGGGTAGAAGATCGGTTCGCCCACTAAGCTCAAAGCACAGTGTCGAATGCGCATCGCCTCTTCGAACCTTTCGGCGCGCACGCCGGGGACGCCGCGCATCATTTTGATCTTCTTGTAATGGCCTTCCTTCGCACCCTCGAAAATAAGCTCCGGATCGTCCACTTGCCAGCGCCAAGTTGTTGATACCGGGTTGGTTCCGTGCCTCCAACAAAAGACACATTTGTTGCTGCATGACAGCGATGGAGTGGTTTCCATGCACAGATGGGACGCAATGCCATAGAAGGAATTCTTATAGCAGGACCCGCGGCCACGAAGGGCAGATTTGGTCCAACGGCAGATCTTCACCCCGGAATGGGTGCCCACGATGGTGTACCCCTGCTTGGTCAGAGCTGCGTGAGTGGGAGATTCCTTGGGGACCATAGCCTTCAACGCCGTCGGCGCTGAAGGCGCAGAGTTGTAGGTGGTAAAATCAACGGCTATTGGAGCCGCATAGGAATTAGCCTTCCCGCCCACATCCTCAAGATCTGTGGTATTTGCAAGCTTTCGTCTCTTATTGCGACCAGAGTCGGGGAATTCGACCTCTTCGTCCCCTTGCTCTGGCTCATCCTCGTCACCACTTTCCACAGGTTCCCCGCTTCCAGGAACTCCTTCACCGAGCGCACCCGTCTTGCTCACCTCCTTGAGAACGCTGCAGACGCCGCCTGTCCAGTCCTGCAGCGCTTTGTCGAGATTGCTCTTCACGTCACCAAGTCCCAAAGGGTACGCCCTCTTCCTGCCAGTCAACTTGGCCATCCACTTGTCGACCTCTACAGCTTGTGAGCAAAACCCCTTCTCTTCAGAGGGCCAGCCTTCTTTATCACCGATACCAAATATGGTGTAGCCTGCCAATGTAGACAAGGGTGCCGTATCGATGCGGAAGTCATTGTGTGTCTCGTCTAAATGTGCAAGGAAGGTGTTCAAGATGGTGTCGATATCGTAGGAAGGTATCAAAAGGAGGTAGAAATACAAGACATCTGCATTCGGCTCGGGCGTTTTTGGCCCTGATATGAAGTAGTCGTCGAGATCAACATATGAGAGATCGTATACTTGAGGCCTAAGGATCGCGTGCTGGGCGGCCGAGATTTGCTCGAGTTCCGCCGCTACCTGCTTTGAGAGGCGTTCAGTAGTTCCAGTCAAGGACGAGAAGAAGATCAGGGGCTTTATGTGAGACGGCTCTCGTCGTCTCTGCAGCGCTGCCTGTCCTCCTCTCGAACTTGCCGGCTTGCGGCCAGTTACAACACGGACTGCAGCGGCTGCAGTTCGAGGTTTTCGAGCCTGGCCAGATGTGAGCGAAGGGGTATTTCTTGCAGGAAATTCATTCCTTTCGCCCTTTTCAACCTGAACATGGGCGTCGTCATTCTGTGCGAGCCACTCTGCCTTCTCCAGGGTTGGAGAACCGCGCTGTGCGATCTTGTAGGCATGTCTGCGTTGCACGATGACCGCGAGAACGCAGAGCCCGAGCAGAGTCGACAAAACGACCCGGTTCTCATGCCAGGAGGTCAAGATGCGATCCAGCCAGTCAGCCAGAATGACCGGCGCCGCTCCAGCCTCAGCGAGATCCATGGTTATTAGATTGTCTTGTGCACACTTGGACGGCGAAATTCTCTCGACACTAAGTGGGATGCGCAGGCGGCGTTCAATGTTCCGGGTTCCGAGTTCCCCAAGTTTCTTGGCGCATATAGAGGCAACTTGAAAGAGGGCACTACCTCTGTAATCATGAAGCACAAACATCATGCCCAACACTAATATCAAGAAGAGAATTCCAGAGAAATATAAGAACGTTGTTACAGCTGATACTCGAACCGCTCTGCATCTATCATAATACCTCACAACCCTGGCTGTTCGCTACAGTGATGGAGAAGGACCACCCCCATTCCATTTGCCCTTTGACCATCAACGAGCGAATATTCATCCCGAGCACTGATATCTCAATCAAAGCCGCGTCCTTGAGCCCCTTCTGTACGTCGCATTTCTGCCTTTTTTCGCTCCCAGTAGGTCAAGTCCTTGAAGCACTCCCAACCCAGCAGCGCCGCGATCACGGTACTCACCACCATGGGCGGGATAAAGAGGTAAACATAGCAAAGCACCATGTGGGCAAGGTTGCTCATGAACAGGACCCATTTCAACATGCCCACAATCCTCGCCAAACCCAATTCTGCATTGCCATCCTCGATCTCCTTCGCGTCTGCTTTCGTCAAGCCCCAAGCTGCAGAGCCAGCGGTATCAGGGTAGACGCTCAAGATCCACGATAACGTCGCGCTCATGCACAGAAACACGGTCACACCTAAACCGAATCCCATGTAGAAATCGTGCAAGGTCCTCCTACTGCCCATGAAATTGAACCTCACAGTCTGCATGGCGGAGAAAACGTCGTTACCCTCCACGCCGAAGTCGTTTGGGAGGATGAGGCCGAAGACCGTGTGAGTAGCCGCGAAGAAGGTTAGTAGCAGGGTGGTGATTTTGTATGTATTCATCTCCGAGAGTCTCGAGTAGAGCGATGATGGAGATGGAGCTGGAGATGGGGACGCGGTGTTTGGCGCTGTCGGTGCTGTCGAAGGCTTGGAGCGCACAGTTCGGCGGGTTGAGACAGGCATGTCTTACATACCCTTGTGCAAATTTATGGCTGATATTAAGAGCTGAGAAGTTCATATACTAACCCGGCCAAGAGACCTGACTTCCTTCAATTAGTAGCGCGCTGAGAAGAAGAGTGTCTTGCATCAGTTGATCACACTTTCACGGGTTTGAGCTTCCTTTCAAGACTATGCCGGGAGGGGCGTAGTCGCATCGTATTCGTACTCTTTTTGTTTGGCAGCCTCGACCTTTGAAGCTAAGTCTCGACTTATCAAATGCAAGACAATTGAATAAGATCCCCTAAGCCACTTACCCTCCCGATTGACGTGGACAGTGGTGCAGAAGGTGCTTTGGGCATGGGAAATCCAACAAGACACGCTTAGGTAACCTCGCTGAGTCAGCGCCGTCTCCCACAGCGGCTCAGGGGCACAGCCTTGCGAGGCATTGCGACCTTCACCCTCTGTGCAATGATGGCAGGGGTGGCCATGGTGCTTCGGAAGAGCTGACTGTCTCTGATCCGATCCTCATTTCTACATGAAGTGGATTTATACATGTCTTATACCGATATGAGACTCCTTGCCCCCAACTCCATAAGAACTCCTTCGTGTCGAAGCAAAGAATCTTCTACCCACCAGGACGTGAGTCTTTCTGCTGTGAACTCCCACAAAAGCACGTGTACATAGATCTATATCTATGACGAGCCCGGATAGTTCGCACGGCGACTTCGACTGCGGATATATGGCCCCCATCTATACAACACCCAGGGGATGGGCACCATTGCGACGGAACAAGCTCCCAAGATGCTGGTGGCTTTACCCGTGCCCAGAGTCTCATACACTGCAACAGAAAAAGAAACATCAGCATCTCTTTGGTTCTATCTCTTCCGAAGCTTGTTGACAGAACTTACTCTGCACGGCGAAAAGAGGAAAAGCGGCTGCAAATCCGTACCGAGCAAATGCGTTCGCGGCCGTGGCTGAGGCACCGAAGGTAGGTCCGTAGATGTTGACCAGGTAACTGATGGCAGAGATCTAGAGACAATGTCAGCAACATCTGGCAAGTGGAGTGGATAGAGAGTATCTTGCTTACGAAGATACAAAGATTGCCCCACGCGAACGGTATCAATGCACAAACAGGACTCGCCCAGTGCACGTCCGGTCTGACCGTCCAGGCAAACCAAAACAGGCCGACTGGGATCCCGACGCTGCCAAGGATTGCCGGCCAGAGGATATCTTCCACCTGGTTTGGACGCGGTTCTTGGGTAAGCTTCCGCTTTCTTTGCAAAGCCAAGTCTATGCCGATGCTCGTGGCGGTTGCCAAGACGCAGCCGATGGTGATGCCCACAAAGGCGAGCCCTGACTGGCCTTGACCGAAGCCGTAGGTCCTAGACAAGGACCAAGGGACTGCAGGGAAGAAGTTGTACAGGATGCCGAAATTCAGTGCCACGTAGAGACTCAGAAATAGAACGATCGGCTCCGTCACCTGCATCTCGAGCGGCCTGCCGAGCGTGGTGAACATCCAGGTCTTGATGGCCTTGACAATATCCGAGGCGTGGAGAGACTCTGCCCCAGCATTCGCATCCAGATCCACCTTGGACTTGTCCCGCTTCTTCAATATGGCCTTTTTGTACGTCTCAGACATTCCCACCGCCCAGATGTACGTCAACAGTGCGAGGAAGACGGAGACCCATTCGAGCCACCTCCAGCCCTTGTGTTCCTCGACGAAGCCGCCTATCACTGGACCTGCATTTGCATTTTCATGTTAGTGGTTAGAATTGTCTGCAGCAACTGTTCAACATACCTAAGCTAGGCCCGAGGTTGGGCGCCATCACGAAGACCGCGGTGACCCGATTTCTGTACCGTGGCTGCCATATGTCTGCAATTGTTCCTCCACCGACGCTCAAAGCAGGACTTCCAAAGAAACCCGCAAAGAACCGGCAGACGAGTACCGATGCTAAGCCGTCTGATACCGCAGCCCCGACCAGAAACAGAGCGGCGATTGGTAGACTGAGACGGTAGATTATAAGCCTGCCGACTGTCTCGCTCAATGGTGCCGCAACGATAGGTCCAAAAGCCAACCCCAGACAGAACAGAGACACTCCTAGGAGGGAAACCGTCGAAGAGACGTGGTATTTTTGCATCACTTGTCTGTAGCCGGAAGAGTAGATGGAGGACATGAATGTACTGGACAAAAAGCCGTTAGATGAATCCCCCATCGTATCAGGCTAGGCTTGGGGGTTGCGGACGTACATGGTAAAGGCATATGTCGCGCAGATACTCGTGTGGTAGAGTTTCTTGTAAAGACTCCAGTTGTTTGGATTTGCAGGACTGTCTTTCCACTGATCCCGCTCTCCATCATCACCCCGGTCCGCTGCGATGGGCGGCTTGACGTTGTCCATGGCGAGAACTGCACCGATGCAAATTCCAGCCGTCTCTTTCCGCTTGGTGGTTGTGTTGCAGTTGATAGTATCAAGTAAGTAGGTATGCTTCTATTGTTCGGAAAACATGAAATCCCAGAATGCTGATGAATCAATGCTCAGCCCGGCTTAGTCCAGTCTGTTAAGTACCCAAGGTACCTAGTAGTAGAACCTTTCAGCAGCTGCCCCTTCGCACTCCCTGAGACCCTCTGCACTTTCAGGGGCCTTTGCCCGCTTGCGCGCGCCTTCACCCGCCTGAGTGCGCCTTCGCCCGCTTGCCCGCCCGAGCGCCGGTTCGGCAACACGTTACAACCTGATCGGGGTCCTGCCCGGCGAAGTCTCGGTAATACATTCATCGTCAATGATCAGCACCGCAGACTAGGGGAGTGACCGGTGTGTGTTCGCATTGGGCACCAGCCTGTTCCAAGGCAGGATTGGTAATCAAGTACCTTAGGTAGAGTTTGGGCAAAGATGCCGTTGGTGCCGTGTGCCGTCAGAAGCAACTGATTTATAAGCATGACTGCACCTCGCGGTTACCACCGCCTCCCTCTTCCTTGTTGAACGCAGCTTTGGCGGGTTTGAGAGCATCTCTCACGTTCTACCGAGTAGCGTTTTCGGGAAGAAAGAGTAAATGCGGTTTGAATGTAGAAGGACATTGTCGAGTGAATAACAGCAGAAACGAAGTAGTGACTTGTATTGTACCTGCTCCTTCGTCCCAAGCTGTCACTACCGCTGTGTTTCTCTCATCACCACGAGGAACTACTAGACATATCTGACTCGCAAAGTCCGCACATATTTCACAAGTTTGCTCCTTTTTGGTCGTTGATCTTTGCCAACCACTGTTTGAGGGTCGTGACTTCCTCGAACAGTGTCGGCCACACAACCTCCCCAGCATCCTTTAACTTGTTGCTGAAGCCCGCGGTGCAATCCGAGAGCATGGTGACTGTATATCCTAATTCAATGGCTTCCCTGGCCGTGGCCTCGAGGCAGGTATTGGCGACCATCCCTGCCATGACCAGATGATGTATTTCTCTCTGGCGGAGCTGGTAATCGAGATCCGTGTTGCGGAAAGAACTGGCATTCCAATGTCTGCTGACGACGACGTCTCCATTGCCAAAGTTTGGCTCCAACCCCTCGATGATCTCAGCTCCCCAACCAGCGAATGTCTTTTTGTCTCTGTTGCGAATGTGATTGGCACGCATATGTAGCCAGCCAGTGTAAGTGCCATCTTGGGTACTCTGATGAAGGCCGTAGTAGATGGGGATGTTCGCTGCACGAGCACCTTCTACAAGCTGGCGAATGTTAGCCAGGGTGTCGGTCGTGTCGAGACTCTCCTTCAGTAGCGGATAAAGTTTGCCATCAGGATGTAAGAACTCGTTGAGAGGATCAACCAACACGAGAGCTTGAGGTGGTGTCATCTTGGTCAAGGAAATCGCACAAGAGGGGTAAAGAAGAGCTTCGATCCAAATATCTTGAAGAAGGATGATTGCATGCAATAACTTGAGAGTCTGAATACCTGCGTTGCCAAGGTCACCCTCCACTCCGCGTAACTGATTGAAGGTAGATCCAAGTCTAGCTAAATTGATTAGTATGTCAGCGGATCTTAAGACTGCCGAGGTGGCCATTACAGACAAGGGGGTTGGAGTGTTCCCCGTAAGCGCCATCAGTGCTTGTCTATGATATCGGCGATCAATCACGCGATATCAACCATGCTATCTAGAGATGTGCCACGATCCCTGCTCATCTCTGTTAGCTGTATGTTTGTCTCGAGGAAGCAGGGCTTTGTGTGATTGCTACCCTCAAGGAGCCAGCTCAAGCGTCCGGCAATCAATGAGGCCAGTAATAGAACAGTTGAGGCCCTTCACTCAAGGCTGCGGTTCTAGCGAATCGACAGGAAATCACGACAAAGGCCGTGGATGTTGCCAAAATGCAACGGGTTCGGTTGGACAAGGCTGTTGATGTAAAGGGGAAAGCCTCGCGCCCAGCCTCGGCAGAAAGTGGAAGCTGACAAATGGCGGGTTTGTGGGAAACATGCGACTCGCCTGCACCTGGTACATCCTGGCAATCCAGAGACTGAACTTGGACAGTCTCGATCACGACTGCCCTCCAGACTATACTCCGTCTCTTCAGCTGTCCTTGCCGAAAACCTCGGTTGTATAGGCGCACAGTCATGCTCACTGGCAGCAGTGGTAGACGCCGGCACACTGCAAAGCGCAGGAAGATTGACGCGACAGACACGGCCACAGTCCAATCAGACAGCGAAAGCAGACTTGTTTGAGAACTGAACAATCGTGGAAAGGATTCCTGGCTAACTTCACCAGTTAGATGGTCTCGAACAGGCAGCCGGACTGCCAGAATCCCCTCCTCCAGCGAGACCGCCGCCCCGGGCAGTGCCCATCGTGCCTCCTCCAGATGCGCCCTTCCGGCCTGGCGCGCTCCAGCTGTGGGTTGTGCGCGACGCAGAAGGCAAGAAGCAGCTGGTATCGGAGATGGTGCCGGGATGCCGACATTGGAGGAGTAGGTGTCATTCTGGATTGAGAGTCAAAGCCCGGGATATGCTGACACATGTCTTCGAGTTGGGGATCCCAATGTTCCTTTCTGCTTCGAGTGCAAGAAAGAAGATAAGGACGTGATGGGATGTAAAACATGCAAGAAATCATATCATTTGGCTTGCTTGGGCGAGGAAGTGCCCACAGAGGATACCTCGACACGTGCATTCTACTGTCCAACTTGTATCGAGCGCGGCTGGGATAAGCATCCGCCGCCGGAAATTTTACCACTGACACCTCTCTCTTCTCGTGAGGGCAGCCCGGCGCCGCGACTTTCAACTGCAAAAGATGTAGCCGCCGCAGAGTCTCACCAGCAATTGGGGCAGATGGCGGTGTCAGGGCACCAAAGGCATGTAAACACCGATCATGACCAGCCGGGCCAGGACTCGCAAAGGGTCTGCGAAGTTTCAGCTCCCGAAGCATCTCTCCCAGTTCCCAAACGACTACAATCACAACAGCCGCCAGGAAACGATTACAATCCCTCACTCAGGCATTCCTCAGGCCCGATGATCACTGCCCTACAACAACGGGAAGCTGTATCGAAGAATATAAGAGAAGACCAATCCTCCTCCCCCCAACTCCGTATGGTCACTGAAAGTACTATTAATCAAGCAAATGCCACGTCCAGGTCGACCAAGGCAAAGTCCAGGTATCAAACCATGCCTGACGAGGTGGACCAGGCACTCACGGTTATATATCGTGAACTGGAGTCTGTCGCTGCTCTGAAGCAAGATATTGCGGTGCTCCAGGACCGGCTCAGAGCCACTGAACAAGCGCGGCAGATTTTGGAAGGTCGTCTGGCTCTTGAACGCTCAGGCGGAATGGCCGTTGCCAGCAAGGAAGCCGAGATAAAGTCTCTGAAGCAGCAGCTCGCTGAACTGAGAAGGAGCAACGAAATGCTAGTGGAAGAGAACAGTGTCCTGAAGCAGCGCTTGCAGGACCAACAGACGTCCCATCAAGCTGGCCTGGAGGAGATGGAAGCCCTAAAAGCGAGTCTTCGCCGGTTGCTTGGGAATTGAGAGCCTGCGGCTTCGACCCAGGGCAACGGATCTCCAGCGGTTTTCACACCGTCTGAGATCGACAACCAATGAACTAAGATGTAGTTCCCAAAGCTAAATGAAAGTGCCTTTTTTTGAGACCGAAGGCACTCCATTTCTACAGGGTTAAGATCCAACGCCTTATAGGATGCGACAGACCAAACCTCGCTACCCCGTAAAGGGATTCTCTTCATATACATTACCAGTGGACCGGAGAAACATGGCAAACCAGTGGCAGACAAATCCTCCGTTGCGCACCGACCTGCCCGAGGAGTCCCCTCGGCTTTTTGGAAAGGCAGAAGCAATCACCTATCCATACTACATGCTACAGGTGCAGACCCAACGAACGCTGGCCGAACCCCATTGTTCCTTTTGACAGAAATGAGGGCCTTGGCTGATTGGTAATCGTGCGCGGCCCGTCACGACCGTCTCTCGTGCGGCTAGGGGCTATGGTTCTGCGTGGGCAAAGGGCGTGCGTATGCACTAGGTCACCCGCCCGCTGCGTAAGGATCATAAGCCAGTTTAGGAATACGATTTGTAATACAAACTATACGATCGGTACTGATCGGTACCCTCTGGGTCATGATACTCTACCTTACAAGTTGAGAGGGCTCTTCTGTTGCTACTACCTCGTACTAATACTGTGCTATCCATGTGGGAGAGAGAACTCTGTAGAGAATCTTTGGATCTTCAACTCCATTCAAAAGAAATCTGACCACGTGGATAGAGAGATAAAGAGAGAAGCGCTCGGCATGCGTGAGAACCGTGAGCAGCTCGACATGAACATGGCAGGCTTAGCAGGCCTCAACGGCGAGGGTGGCCACGACGATGGGCTTTCTCGAACAGAATTCGGCAGATCCATGAGAGACAAACACTTCCTCTTCGCAAAGGACTATACAAACCTAAATCAAGGTAATGTTGTGTCTATTCGTCTTTGGGGGGCTCTTAGAGAGCCTCCACCATCGTCGAAACTCTAACAAAGGTGTCGAAACTTCGAATGTAGGCTCCTTTGGTGGCTATCCTCGCCCGGTCCAGAAAGCGCTACGACGCTATCAAGAAGCCGCCGAGGCGGAACCGGACAAGTTCATCCGCTACACCTACCCTCACTTGCTGCGAAAGAGCCGAGCTCTGCTCGCAGACATGCTTCGCTGTCCCGTCGACGAGCTGGTTCTGTGCGCAAACGTCACGACGGCCACAAACACGGTCCTCCAAAACCTGCCGTGGGAGGAAGGTGATAAGATCGTCTATACCTCTGGTGTCTATGGCGCGCTGGAGAAGACGATTGACTACATCGTCGAGTCGACGCCGGCGGAGAGCGTGCGGATCGAGTTGGATCTTCCCCAAAGCGACGACAAGATCGTGGACCTCTTCCGCAGGACGTTGACGGAGGAAAAGCGCAAGTGTGAGCAAGCTGGTGGCAAAGGTGGTCGGGTGAGGTTGGCTGTCTTCGACACGATCGTCAGCATGCCTGGTTTGCGGGTGCCGTTTGAGAGGCTCGTGCAGGTGTGTCGACAAGAAGGCGTGCTGAGCCTGGTCGATGCGGCGCATGGCGTGGGCCATATCCCTCTCAACCTCTCCGAGCTGGACCCGGATTTCCTCGTCACAAACTGCCACAAGTGGCTTTTCGTGCCCAGGTCAGTCGCGGCTTTCTTCATCCCCAAAAGGAACCAGCACTTGATCCGCACGACGCTGCCGACCTCTCATGGGTTTGTGCCACAAAGGAGCAATGAGATATATGATCCGATGCCCACCTCGGAGGAAAGAAACCCAATGGTGAAGCAGTTCGAGTACTTTGGAACCATTGACGGCGCCCCTTACTGCTGCGTTGAGGAAGCCATTCGTTTTCGCAACGAAGTTTGTGGCGGCGACGAAGCTATTCGGACGTATTGCACCTCCCTGGCGAAGAAGGCGGAAGAGATACTCGTCGAAACCCTGGGGACAGAGACTTTCGACATCCCGGAGACACATAGAGTTTTCTTTGCGCATGTTCGACTGCCAATCTCCGTTGGGGTGGGAGGTGGATTCAACGTGCCCCACAGAGACGTGCCAGCCATCACCCAATTCATGAACAAGGAGTTTGTGGAAAGATACCGGACTTTCTTGTATGTGCTGTTCTATCGAGGGGCCTGGTGGGTGCGCCTGTCCGCCACAGTATATGTTGATTTGGAAGATTGCAAATATGCGGCTCGCATATTGAAAGACTTGAGTGAAAGGGTTTGTAGACGGGAGTATCTGGCGACTAGCCCAGCAACCTGAGAGACGTGGTATTGTGTTTGTGCGCTCCAACGGTTTGTATCTCAGCCGAAAAAAATGGTCAGATGCGAGTTGCGGCCGCCTTCCGCACAGCAGCAACCAGTTGTGCCACCACACAAGCACGTTCCTCTTGATTGTAGACACGTGGATGTAGACTTCCTGACTTTGCTGATTCAGTCACCCTTGTCCTCGTCAAGCCTGCAGGGCGGCTCGCAAGTCTCGAACCCATCCCAACGCGCCTTCACTGAAGATCTCCCCGCTTGCACCCATGACATTCCCGCAGTCGAGAAGCAGAGTCCGCACAATCGCTTTGCTTGGATCCCGTTGCTGCACATGGTAGATGTGACTCGTGCACTTTTTGCAATAGTAACATGAGACGGTTTTCCCACTCGCCCCCTGGTATTCATAAACCCCGAGACGTTCGCGGCCGCCTTGGGATACCACCAAATCCTCGATGGGGATGATGTAGTTACAAGTGTACGGTGCTCCGGAGATCTTTTTGCAAGTGTCGCAATGGCAAATGATGTGGGTGGGTGGATTTCCGGGGGCCGATCTCATGGTGAAGTCGATCAACCCGCACTGGCATGCACCTCGGTATGACTTGTAGTTATCACTCTCTGACTGGGGCTGGGGTGAAGGGCCAAACAATGATCCATTCACAAAGTCTTCAATGAAGCAAGATTGTCAATATATAGACACTTTAGTCCGACAGGTAAGTTCGCTCAGACCTACCAACAACCACAGAGTCTTCGATCAAGGGGGCGGCATTCACGCTAAAAGCGCGATCACTGGATCCTCCAGGAGGTAAAAGTCTCTATCCTCGACACTAGCAAATTCCAGGACGATACAGTGCGTCATGCCCTTTCCGAAATTTTCCCAACTGCTATTCTTGCCCATGGACATCGACAGCATATATGGGTTTCCTGTGACAGCGGGCTTGAGACATGTTGACTTCAGTTTGGCCAACTCGGCGAAGTGGTGTTCCAGTTCGGTCCAGGGTATCGAAGGGTGATAACGAAACAGGACAATGTGTGTAACCCGGTGTTGGTCGGACACCGCCATGATGCAGCAATGAAACGGGAAAATCTGGAGATGCTGGCACTCCTACGCCCACGGGGCAGTTGTATGTTTATATGCACTGACATACCTGGAGCGTGGTCCACATGAGCGAATTGGAGTATCATTCGCCGTTAATTTCCATTTAGAGACACGGGCTCTGGGGAGAAGCTTTGGACGACGAGACTTCGGAATAACCTGCTCCTACAAGTTGATCAAGAAAATACTGGTAGAGCCCATACTCGGAGGTTAGCATTCTTTAGGCTCCAGATATTCCCATAGCACCATTCGTTGTACAGCCCACATTAGCAGTTGGTTGCCCCGAAACAGAGAAAGGAAGCGCTGTTGGAGCAGAGATGTTTCCATCGCAACGAGTATATTTACCTTCAAGGTAGACAAGCAATTGGAGTCGACTCATGGGCGGACAAAGAATCAATTGTGCACACAATTGAAAGCGAAACCTGTGAAGGGGTCGATAGAGTGAAGGGTGAGAGAGCGGCTCGTCTCGCCAAGGCCATGGCCGCATGACTCACGAGCCCGCTCCGTAAATGACTCGTGTTTTTCGTGACGTGCCTCATCGCCGTCCTTCAGCCCATAGATCCTCATAGCGACTCGGGGTTCAAAGTCCTCAACCTGTGAGAAAACCTCCAAGTACCCGTACGGGCTGCCCCGTACAGCTTCCGCACCATGGCGGACGCGGATGAAGATGTCATCCCTCTGGCCTCAACGTCTGGTGCCGACGACGACCTCGAAGACGAAACCCAAGATTTCCGCTTCCTCAGCCAGTTGACATCCTCGTCGAGGACCGGCCAAGCCATAATCCCCAAGCGCGGCACAAAGGACTTCGAACCGAACCCCACGCGATCGCAGGCCTCGGCCCTCGAGGACTCCCGCCGGGCGATGCACACTGTCCTCAGCAGCGTGCGTGCACAGTCCGGCAAGAATCACGTCGTGGGACAGTACCTCCCCAACGAAGACGACTGGAGATGGGATGGCGGCGGCAGCAGCGACGGGTCAGAAGGAAGACACGGCCGGTGCGTCGTGGTGTACAAGTTCAAAAGCCCGCACTTGAAGGTGATGGGCCAAGCAGACAGGAATAACTGGGTTTGGCTGTTGCCTGAAGAGGCTCTGTTTCTGCTAGAAAGAGGAAGTCTCGATATCCGATGGCCAGATGTCAGTGATGAGCACGATGATGAACCACCAAGTGGGAGTCAAGATAGAACCTGCAACATCACCGCTTCGGAGAAAGATCCTGCTGCTCAGGAGCGACAAGCTTTTGAACCAGAGAATGAGGCCGACACTGCAATGACTCAAAGCGCGGAACCTTCACTAAGCGAACTCCCAATGAGTCTACAAGGTGCCTACGCCACCTTTATCGGCAAAGACGGCTTGACGTTGGAGCGGTATACGGTTTACGCGGGACTCAAGAGAGCGGGATATATTGTCCAGCGGGCGCCGACCTGGAACGACACAGATCTCTCTCAAGCAAACGGGCACGCCTACGATGGTCGATCCCCGCCCTTTTCACCGTCCAGTCCGTCAACACCCGCATCCGGCAGATCTCATACCCCAGGGACAGTCGCATCTCTAGTCCACAGATTAGTATCATGGCTCTTCCGACCTCGCCAGAGCAAGTCCTGTCCTTCACTTGGGCCCCTGGTCGCTCCGGGCCTTTACAGGAACTACGCAGATTTATTCCGCGCCTTGGCACTGGTTCCGTACCATGAGCCTTCTTCCAGTGACACAACTGCGGTCTCGCCTCGACTCCGTCCCCAAGCCCCTTACCGCATCCACTTCCACGTGTGGAAACCCAACATCTCCTCCACTTACAAGAAGACGGCCCCGCCTCCAGAAGACTACCGAATCTGCGTGGTCGACGCGCGCTCGACGCCATCGATTCCGTCCTTGTCGGAAATCGGTCCCTTGCTCGACAGTCAGCCCGAGGATTCTTTGTCCAAAGCGCAGGCGGGCAGGTTGGAGACGAGGCTTAAACACGGACGCCGGAATGTGCTGTTGGCGGTGGTGGATGTGGGTGTCGTGAGCTATCTGAGGCTCAGTGACGCGTGCTTCGGGGCCGACAAATTGTACGAGGAGAAGACCAGGGCGGGCACAAAAGGTGGTGGTCGAGCCAGGAGGACCCAGGGTCAGGGCCAGAACCGGGGGCGAGGCCAAGGGCAAGGACGGAGGTAAGCGCTGCACGACTAGATGGGCTATACTGCTTGCTATGGAATGGAGGAATGATCTTCGACGGCACATGGCATGGCATGTCAGGGACGGGCTGGATTCTTTAGATATTTAGACATGATACCCACTATCAGCTGATAGCTAGATGGCGTTTCAATAGCGAACCAGATGAAATGAGACAGAGAGAGAATCCAGCAGATGCGCCGTGCGTTCTAGACGGAACTGCTCCTTCGCCCCTCGCTGATTGATCAACGATATAAACTATAATCATACTAGGTGCAACATGCAGCATGAGTGTCTCCCCGTGAGAGAACGTCCGCGTTTTCACCACTGAGAAAAAAAGGGCGAGCGGACTGCCTGATGATCTAGGGATAAATTTCTGATCTTCCATCTGCTATAGACGTCGGCCTGTGGGAGAGTAGGCAGGTTTCGATAGTGTTCGCGACGTATATGCTTGAGATGGGTATATGGTCTTTGGGGGAAGGAAGGAAGGAAGGAAGGAAGGAAGAGGTTCGGGGACAAAGGGGAGAAAGAAGGAGGGGATGAAGGCGCGCGGAATTGCATAGAGGGATCTTGAGAGAGAGAGAGGATAGCGAGGCGATGAAATGGCTGGATGTCGGTATTTGAAAGATTGAAAGAATGATTGTGTCTCTGAGGAGTGGTTGGGACGGTACCTAGGTATCTGTGGCGGGAGCTTCGGGGGGATGGAAATGGGAGTCACTTGTACCCTTTTGCTCGATTTCCCAAGAGTCTCGCAAGCCCCAGATAAGATGGCAATTGAACGTTGCTTGACTTCCACTAGTGTGTTGCATGAGGACAACAACAAGCAACCACTCGATATGTCTTTGGTACTCGATTGGAGATGCAATTCGGTTTCCATCCGTGAGTCCTTGCTTCAGACCTTTAAACCCTTGGTACGGGAATTGCAATATCGTCGTGTATGGTCTGCCTCCAGGTCCAGGGCCAGGTTAGAATAAAGGGGACCAGAAGATACTCTCGGTTCCGGCTCATCAGGCCCAAAATCAGAACTATTGCAGGCTGAATTGAGCTTCTGCCACTCTTTGGGTAACATGTTCCGGCAGCACCATCAAGATCAGGCCTTGAGCCACCAGAGCAGCGAAACTTCTGTTTCCATCGCTGAGGTGGTATAATTCCAGTGTGGGAGTGAGTGCTGGAGTGGGCAAGGCGCGCCGAGGCCAAGTTTTCCGTGGTATCTTTCGACGTCCACTCTCATGAACAAAGCGTGTTGTCTAGGCTTCTCGGGGTGCGCCCAGAAAGCACCGTCTTGAAATTTTGTCAACTCCATGTAGATCCATTGCGGCTCGTCGTGGTATGGTTCAGATGGTCTGCATCAAGACATCAAGAAATCGGCTGCCATCAGGAGCTCCAGGCATAACTCCGGAGGGATATCCATGTCCGGCACGCCCTCACTGTTTCGATATTTCTCGTTGTAGTAAAAGTATTCGACGACTTTCTCGAGGACGGTTCCGCTGATGTTCTCCAGGTGGCAGATCCCTGTTTGGGCCTCGGCGAAGTTATCTACATGAAGACTATCGCATTAGCTTCAACTTTTGGGAAGGTGGACGAGGAGCAACACGTTCGACACGTAAACATACTTTGCGGGTCAAGCATACGCCTGAGTGCGGGAGACACGCAGGCAGCGGAACGGCGGAGGTGGAACTCAAACCCATCTGACGAAACCAGCGTCACAAAGGGTGAGGGAGTGCCGTTGGCCGCCATGTTTTCGAACGAGGACTTTGAGACGGACAGTGGCAGTGTAGGGAGTACTCTTGGAGGAACACTCAGAGGAATGGAATGTTCAAAATCACGACGCGAAAAGAAATGAAGGACGGATTGACTTGAGGCGGTGAGGGATGGCAGAACAGCTGAAAGCATTAAAGCAGCGAGCCCTCAGCCTGCTTTTAGAGTTCACGCGGCTCGAGGCTGCGAGGCTACGAGGCTACTATGGGCTTCGCCCTACATCTGTCTGTCATGTCTTCATTCGTTTCTCTTCCCCTCGTTCATATCTTCTGCTGAGATAACCCTTGGCAAGGTGGCCACCCCTGCTCCTGGTCTGTTCGGACGGCAAGTCAGCTCTTCCCAAGAGTGAGCTCGATTTCCAACAAGCTTGGGTTCAAACCCTATTGAGCTCACCTGCTTCCTCACTGTATGGGCAGCACATGTGCCCTCGAGTTTAGCAGGATTGAGTGCTGTGAAAAGCTCATCTGCTGCGTACTGCGAGAAGAACGTATCAGATCTGAGTCCAGATACGTGTCGTCCCAGTGTCGCCATAAAACCCCCCAAGCATTGTTTTCAGTGACCGCAAATATGGTCTGTGAGTCTTTCCGATCGGTGGGAATAGTATCGCCCACGGCCTGGACCCATCTAATCATCATCTGCAATCACGAGCGCCCCGTCCTCCTCGTCAATTACAATCGCTGCCATAATCTGGTTCTTCGCAACTTCCGCCGACGACAGGCCTTGCAATTTCTTTGCTGGCTGAGCACTCTCGTCTCCTTCATCGTCCAGTGGCCGCTTCCGCTTGCCGCCTGAGACGCCGTTCGAAACGATCAAGCCATTCATATCATCGTCTTCGTCGTGGATACCGTCCGAGACGGACTCCTTCGGTTTCCGGGGGATCTCCAACGCTTCGCCTTCCTTCTCAACAAGGAGAACCGCTTTGGTTTCGTCCTCTGGTTTCTTCGCTTCGATGGCTATTTGGAGGTCGACTCGGGGATTTTCATCCTCATCCTTGACGAGAACAAAACTTGCGTCGACGATATTGAGATCTGATAGCTTTTTCTCCAGATTGTCCTCCAGGTCTGGATCATATACCACGCCGGCTTCAGTCATGACTGTCACTTCTTCCCCATAGCCTAGTCTGGTCCGCAAAATGTCTTGTACCAAATCCCCTAGCGTGGCTCTTTCAATATTGACATGCACTCTTGCCATAGCAACGCTGCAAACAGGACACTCAGGGTTGGGTGAATCCAAGTGGTCAGTCCGCAGTGAACCAATCCCCAGCCAGAGCCATCTAGTCCGAGCATAGTCGCCTTTCAAGACTTTGAACGCTTGCAATACGCAAAGGCCGGCCACCATGGCATTTGTAGTGGCGATTGCCGGTATGATATTGCCTGCCATCTGCTTGATGTCGAACTTTGACTTGGGTTCGATGCCGAAAATGATTGCTCGTAGGTTACCCGTTGCGGCAACAAAGTCCATTGTATCATCGTCATCTTTGTCGAAAGAGATCGAGGGCTGCAGGGCCCCCGATCTCGAGGCGGCCGCTTGTTCTTGTGATAATCGTTTCACCAGACGATCCAGGCTGTCTTTGAACACAACAAAGTTCTCAACGGCAGACCATGTCACTTGGCCATTTGTAGCGACTCCCGGCCCGACCTCACTTGCTAGTTGCTCAAGCGTATCGTAAGAAAGAGGCTCGGGCGGTTTCTTGTCTTTCCACATATCCTCCATCTTCGCCAGTCTTTCGATATCCTCTTTGAACACCTTGTCAAACACCTGCTTTGCGAAGTCGTTTGAACCCATTAAAGCTCTTATTCTCTTCAGGGCCTGCGCCTCCTCTTTCAGCTTCTGGATTTCTTCAGCATTCTCGGAGTCTTCTGATGAATCCATCTCAGCTGCCTCGTCTTCACTGACGCCAAAGAGTTCCGGTAGAAGATAACTTTTGGCCCATACAATACAGTGGATCGGTTGACTCGGAGTGGAACGGATTGTGCAGACAGGGTAGGAAATCGGAGTAGTTTTGGGAGTGCAATCGTAGCAAGCAGTCTTGCCCTTCTTGATAACCTGGACTTGACCTCTGAAGCCTGTGGTGCCGGATTCGACCAAGGGGACATCGACAGCAAGGCACATCTTGTTGACATGCCGTCTCGCGTCCATGTTGTCAAGCGCATTGAACACGATATTGAAGCCCGAGAACCACTCCAGATTGAACTGTTTGTCTTTTATGTTGGCATGGTACGCGAATAATTGGACGTTCGGGTTGAACTTCTGAGCCACATCCTTTGCGACCAGGGCTTTCGGCTTCTTGATATGTTCTTGCCGGAAGAGAAACTGACGGTTCAGGTTGCTCAGGTCGATTGTGTCCAGGTCTATTATGTGGATTTCGCCGAAGCCGGTGAGGACGAGGTTCTTGAGCAGCTCGCAACCTATGCCGCCTGCGCCGACAAGGAGGACGCGGGACTGTTTGGTCGACAGGTCAGGCCCAGTTTGCTTCGGTCAATTTTGGAAAGCAACTCACCTCCTTCACCAGTCGCTGTGTTGCGCCCAGAGACTTACGGGTATACCTGTCGCGAGGCATTATTTCGAAGTTGAAGAGCGGCTGGGAGTTGAGGTGCGGTAAGAGAAAGAGTGACCTGCTTGAGGGATGAAGATAACCCTCAAAATGGGGGGAGACTATGACACAAGAATGAACACAAGGCTGAAAGTGAAGAAAGAGATCGAAGTGAATTGGAATTAAACGCTCATTTGACGCCCGCAGGAGGGATGCGACCCGGTAATAGAGTGATTGTCAATGCTAAGGGAAAATAGATGGATGTAAGAAATGGGATGAGCCGCTCAAGGACGGGCAAGATTTGAAGCCGCCGCGCTGCAGGGCCGCAGACACAAGCAACGATGACCTCTACTGTTGCGATGGGATTGTGATAGCTGAACCCTGCAGCCAAGGGCTTTTCTGAGCCTCCCCAATCAGGGGCGACTTGGAGGGACCTGAACCGACCTGGAGCAGCCCGATTGGGGGCGCCTGGCACCCACCTGGTGCCCCTCAAGCTAGCGCCTTAGGGCTTGGGCCACCAGAGCCAGGGCTTGCGTTAGTGAGAGAATAGGGGGACCTACGGAGGGTTCCGCCCACACTGCACAATCTCGTCATACGTCTTGCACCAAAAACCTCGCGTGAGCTCCGAGCCTCCCTTGCCTCCATTTGGGCTGGTGAGAAACATGACACACTGAGCCAAAAATTTTTATTCCCGGCAAAAACTGATCGACAAGAAGCCAGGGCACGAATGAGCTTCTTCATCCAGCGGGCAGGTGAATAGAATATCGAATGCAAATGATCAACATCAATGGAATGCAGCAATAACAGCAGGCCTTTTCTGGTGCTGTCGGTCGACTGTGGCTCGAAGAATCAGATACCGGCAGCCTCTCAGTTTGGTAAGAGCACTGAGTCTGCCCATCAATTGCCGTATCCAGGCGGATACCCGGAGTTATCAGATCTTCACTGGGGAGTCTCAAGAAAAGATGTCTGACGACGAGGCCGATCCCGAACTACTGGCCCTCCTGCGACAGTCCCTAGGCCTGGGCGGACATAACGGGCATGCCACCGCACCACCGTCGACAGGCGTCCTGGAGTCGGCAGAATACATCTACGACAACGCCATCGACGTGGCCATCTCCAGCGCCGGCACCAAGAAGGCAGCAGAGCACATCTACCACCTCATGCAATCGAAAAACTACTCGACGGGGACATGGTCAACGCATGAACTCCACCCCAAACTCTCCGAGCCGGGCTCGGAGGAGGAAACGGTGGTGAACTTCATCTTCACCATGAACTTGCTGAATTTCTCCTTCTGGTCCGAGTTGCCCGAGGGCGAGAGGTTCGCCGTCGAGTACAAGGGGCGGCGGTGGACGGGATACTGGTCTCTCATCGCTGCGCTGCAGAGGGCCTTGGACGAGGGATATGCGATCACGAGCCCGGACTTCTGGCAGGACCGTGATGCTTGCCCGGACAATGTCTTGGAACATATCTTCCGGTCTGCCACGCAGGAGCCGATACCTTTGCTGGGAGACCGGATTGCCATCCTCCGCGAGGCCGGTGCAATCCTCTACGAGCACTTTGGCTGCAGGCCAGCGAACATCATCCGGCGCGCGGACGGCTCCGCAGCCAGGCTGGTGAATCTGCTAGTTGAATACTTCCCCAACTTCCGCGACGTCGCCTCCTTCCAGGGCACCGAAGTCCGTCTGTACAAGCGTGCACAGATCTTCGTGGCAGATCTCTGGGCCTGCTTCCAGGGCACATCCTACGGCTCCTTCTCCGACATTGACTGCCTGACAATGTTCGCCGACTACCGCATCCCGCAAATGCTCCAAGGCCTGCACTGCTTACTGTACTCTCCGCGGCTGGAGTCGAGGATCTCCCGACGAGAGATGCTCTCCGCGGGAGAGGACCTGGAAATCGAAATACGGGGCTGCAGCATCTGGTGCGTCGAGTTGATCAAAAGGGAGATTTTGCAAAAGCACCCCGAGGCAAAAGGGAACGTCAATGCCATCCTGATAGATTTCTTTCTGTACGATACCTGTAAGGAAATGGAAAAGGGCGGAGAGATAGAGGAGTTACTGGCACATCATCGGACAAGGTCGATATTCTATTAGGGTGATGTAGAACTACTCCAGAGCATTGGACGGGCTTGGGATCTGGAGGTACGGATATTCATCAGCATAGGAGTTTTTTGATAGAGGCTGTTTGGACTCGCCGTCCTGCCTTGCTATTCCATCCGAGAGTCTGTGGACTCTTCTCACATCAGGCCTGCTCTTGCCCGCGTCTCTTGGTTCCGTACACAAACAGTGGATTTTAAAGGCTGAATATTGTTCCTGTCCAAGAAACCAGGCCAGCGTTTCTCAATTGGCCGGTCATTTTTGTTTCCCTCTCAGACCTGCCGAGCAATCCGAACAGGATGATTCACTTCGCCCAATGGTTCAATTTTCAACCTCGACCTCGACCGGCGTCCCGGGCCCTTTTGATCTTGACATAGTAAACGGTGCCAATACCTTCTTCGCCTCCCAGATCCGCCACGCCAGATTCTCGACTTTCCCGTCAGCTTTGACGACCTCTGGCGCAAATTCGATCCCAAACATCTGATGAATGACATAAACCACACGCTTGGCAAATTTCCCATCCCGCTCGACGAGGCTCCCGAATGGCTCTTTGACTGTGCGTGGCGCAATCTCGGGGTCGCGGTCGAAGCAATTCTGTACGATCGGCAACAGAGTGTTTTCAATGGTATGGCGAACGATTGCATCATTTTGGAGAGACATGGGGGTCGACATGGAAATGCTGGTGTCGAAGGACTCGAGATCATCGTCGCTGAAGCGCGGGATGCGTACTTCGAACGGCAGGGAGATTGCCATGACATTGTGCTTGCCATTGTGATGATACCGGAATTCAAAGACGCCTTGAGTCCACCATAACTTGTCGCCTGAGAAGATCATTTCCCCAGAAAAGCATTCCTTTATCTCGCCCTTTTCGGTAGTCATTGTGCTCCTGACATCGCTGGATATGATGCCGACTTCGGAATCGAGGAGTTCATACTCGTCGCGGTTCGTGGCGATCCATCTTCCCGACGATGACAGTCTGGTGACTTCACGCGAATTGTTGTCTGACACCATGTACAGACCGACCCAGTCCTTCTTCCCGTGGTTGAGCGGTGCTGTCCATCTGACCATGATGGGCGCACCATATTCGAAAAGCAGGGGTTTGAAGTCGTTTGTTCGTTCTGCCGGGAATCTGGCTTTTTCGGACTCTCTGTCACTCGAGCGTTGAGAATGAGCGAGGGAAGATGCCGGCGTCCCCTCGATCTCCAGCTTGTAGTCTTTCGGATCCAACCCAGAAAGCTCCGGCTCCACCCTTGTCATGGTCAAACGACGTGAATGCTTGGGCAACAGGCTCTTAGTATCCTCGACAATGCTGGTCACACCAGCTGCAAGTTTGGGTTTGGCCGCATCAAAGAATTCTTCCAGGACATCAAAAGCATCACCCAGCATTTTATCCATTCCGTCTTGCCATTGTCGCAAAGGTGGTGGAAGTGATCTCCGAAGACTCCTGACCAGTCCGGCATCTTGTCGAAGGCTCCTTCCATAAAGCTTCTGCATATGCGGTCTCTCCACAAACTGAATAAACGCTAGACTCAATGTGTGGCTCAGTAAGGCGAGGCAGAACATGGCTTTGCTGCTCGTGATAAGGGCTATGCCCCAGACGCCGGCCGTCCCAAGGACGCGCTCTGGGTTATTGAGGAAGCGATAGATGCCACCGTAGGTCAGCTTAGACGAGTGGTCGAAGAAGAAATCCCCAAAGAACCACCCGAACTCTCCAAGTTGGTCGTAGATACTGAATGAAACCCAGAGTTGGAGAGCAATCAACCCTAGTCCGATGACATGTTTGGGCAGTGCCATCCCACCATCCCAGTTCAGGGGAATGCGGTACATCTTCCATGCAGCAGCAGCAAAACTCGAATAGCAGAGAGTCATGCTCAAATGATAGATACCTTTCCATTGTCTCCAAGCTTCGCCCGTACTCTCACCGTACTTTAGAAAGTGGCGGGTCCATTTCTTCTTCGACGATTGTCTATTTAACAAATAGCCGATACCAACGGAGTACCAAATCCGCCACAGGGATGCATTGGTGACAAAGAGTGCCTGGTAAAACCTTGTGTTGGGCGTGAGGACGGTCAAGGCAAACAGATAGAATTGTAAAAGGAAGACGGCCGTGTCTGTAGTTCGATAGAGATCGATGTTGTGTATGCCCAGCAAGTTGTGCGTTTGAGAGGGCTGTGCGTTGGCTGGGTTGGGCCACACTTCTGCCGTCGAGCTGTGTTCAGCCAAAGACTTTTCCATCTGTGCTGCTGCCGGTAACTCGTTGATGGCCCTTCGTGGGGGCGGAGAGTGGTAGGTGCGATCGATGTGAGGGCTTTCAACCATCACTAGGAAGGCAAACTGAGCTGCATGAGCAATGATTGAGATAAAGAGGACTTTATAACTGGCAGCCATCAATGAGATTCCGTAGAAACCTGCGTAGCCGATGCTATACATTGCTGCAAAATCGTGTTAGCTCGTGATCGACTACGATGAAATTGGCATGGCTGTCTCCAAACTCACGGTGAGGCGCCATTTCGAAAACCCCATCAAACGTCAACTCTTGATCGATGAGAAAGAAAAAGTCACCCCAGTACCACGCAAAGTCCTTGACCACGCGATGCGCATCCAATTTAACCCAGATGTTGAACACGAACAGGGACATGCCGACAATCCAACGAAGTGCAGTCAGGAGCACGGGCTCGGTGGCAGGGGTATGAGCGCAGGACAGAGCGAAAAGCATGTAGGTGGTGAAGTCGCACATGAGAATCAAGTCGACAAGACGGCGAAAGACCAGCCAAGTGTTGTACTCTAAGGGAGCAGTGTCGAAGTCGTAGTCCTTGGGAATTTTGGTTTCTAATTCTCTCTTGATGAACGCGCGGAGTTTCGGATGAGGGTCTTTGCCATTGGAGGCAACTGGGAACAGCTTGGATTTTCTGGCCCACCTAACCAGCAGCCTGTGATGAGATTGCATGTGAAGAAGATAGCCAATACCGATATTGTAGCCGGCTCGCCAGGACAAGAAAAGGGCGGCAAGAACAGGTTTTCTCAAGGCTGAGGGCAGACACCAGGCCAAAAGAGCGTGTAGCAACAGAATCAATAGCACGCAGATGTCTGACAAGTTCTTGGGCTCCTTGGGAGACAGGAGCTGCGAAACCATGTCATGGGTCTGTGGAACAGTGAAGACTAGAAGAAATGATGAGAGACTACCTCCAAAAGCGAAGTCGAGCGATTGCAATAATACACGTACCAGTGCCATCAGGAGTGCGGCCAAAGGTCTTTCGATCCTTTTCATCTTTGGCTTCTCTCTCCTCGAGGGCATTCAACTCGAGCACTGCTTTTCTGGCATCTTCCTCAGTATTCGCCCTGATGGGAGCATTTCTTCTCCGCAGATTCTCGGTAGCAGAATCCTCAGATGATGATGGTTTAGCCATGCTTTCCGTCACGAGGGTGGTTGTTCCCGGCTTATGATGAGAAGAATTCTCACACAGCAAGGCAGAGCGAAGGAGTGCGGGAGAAAGAGTGACAGGCAGAGTTTTGTATCTTCACGCAAATCCATGTCAATAATTACACGGGCGCAGGATGAAAGCAAACATTGGAGAAGCAGTGACAATCGCTCATTGTTAGTGAAGGAAACTTGAAGCAGAGGTTGGCTGAGTTCGAGTTCGCGGATTGAGGTGGTGGTTCCTGGGATTTTGCTGCGCCCAATCGCCGGTGCCCGCAATGTGCCCCCCCAAGAATGACGACAACCATTTGGCCAAGGCGTCCCCCCCAGCAATCGGCGGGTTTGGCCATCGGTGCCAGTCGTCCGGAAACATTATCCTCATGCAATACAAAAGCACACAATATCCCATGTGCCGATATGAAGGGATACCGAATCAAAGTTTGATTCGGCCGCATCACCCTGGTCCGTGGGGGGAGGCAGATGGGCGGACGGGCGAGAGGGCGAGAGGGGTTGAAGGCGAGGCTGAGGGGGGTGTGTGTGGCAAGGCTGCTCATTGTGCTCAGCAGATCAGGCCATGTCCGTTGGCTGCACAGCCAATCGGCGACTGCAAAGGCATTACCAATCCATCTATTACTCCATACTTTTCTTTGACAGAACCACGCCTGCTCGAAAACCTTGATACACCTTCCGCATATATCTCCAGACCCGATCTCCCTTCGCCTTGCTAAATTCTCTCGCCTCTACAAATGGCGCCCTCCTTCGAAGAGCCGGTCGCCGAGGCACTGGAAAATCCTCTTAAACGAAAGCCAGATCTTGTCGCTCCAGAGCCAGGTGAGGATTCATTCTTGATGTGTATGTGTGATGTGGTCTGTGCTGATTTGTAGCATAGAACATTGTCCCGGTCCCGAATCCGAGCAAGCAGGCAAAGGCGACGCCTGCAATGGCTGCCCCAACCAGGCAATCTGCGCCTCTGCACCCAAAGGCCCCGACCCAGATATCCCTCTCATTACCGAACGACTCGCCGGAGTCAGACATAAGATCTTGGTGCTGTCAGGAAAAGGAGGAGTGGGCAAGTCTACATTCTCGTCACTCCTGTCGCAGGCCTTTGCAGCCAACCCAGACTCGACGGTGGGCATTATGGACACAGACATCTGCGGCCCCTCCATACCGAAAATGATGGGCGTGGAGAACGAAACCATACACGTTAGCAATGCCGGATGGAGTCCTGTCTGGGTTACAGACAACCTTGGAGTTATGAGCATCCAGTTTATGTTACCCAACAGAGACGACGCTATCATCTGGAGAGGCCCCAAAAAGAATGGTATAATTAAACAATTTTTAAAAGACGTCGAATGGGGGGAGCTGGACTACTTGATTGTCGATACGCCACCGGGCACGTCAGACGAACATCTGTCAGTTAACTCTTTTCTCAAAGAATCCGGCGTGGATGGGGCGGTGGTGGTGACGACGCCCCAAGAAGTGTCTCTCCTGGACGTGCGGAAAGAGATTGATTTCTGTCGAAAGGCAGGGATTCGGGTCCTGGGGCTGGTTGAAAACATGTCCGGGTTCGTCTGTCCCAAATGCACCCACGAGTCTCAGATCTTCCGAGCAACGACAGGAGGAGGTCAGAAATTATGTCAGGACATGGGAATACCTTTCCTGGGACCGGTGCCGCTCGACCCTCGGATCGGCATGGCATGCGACTTTGGAGAAAGCTTCATGGACAGCTTTCCCGACAGTCCGGCTTGCAAGGCTTTACGACAAGTGGTGAGATCGGTCGGCCAACTAATAGGCGAGGATCCCGATCAAGTTCTTCCCGATGGACCGATATAAAACCCCAGCCTTCCATTGTTTGTTATTCCCAGCGGAAGTGACTCTTTGATGCGATCTGCGGTCGGCGCAACTCAAAATTTCAACTTTGCGTGGCGGGGATGCCTCTCTGATCTCAGATCTGTCCCGCTGCCCAGCCATAAATAACAGCCTTCAAGCCGCAGATGTTGTTGTGATCTGCTGCGGGCATACCAGATGCGGGATTCCACGCAGCGCATCACTTGAGCAATGGCGTCACCTATTTGGCGGCAGATGAATCTGAGGGGGTTCCTGTGAATGCACTGGGGGCTGTGGGGTGATGCCGTCTGCTCCTAGGTACGCTCAGGTCACGCAACACCCCCTCTGTAGTCTACGAGTACGAGGGACGTGTGAGCGGGCAAGGCCCAAACAACACCAAGACGAGCTTGATCCTGGACGCTACGGACACCAACTACTACTACTACTGAGCAGCCTCGCAGCTCGTGTTGTTTGTTCTCTGTGGACAAATTGGGCCGAGGCGCGTGCCAAGCCACCTGAATCCACAAGGGGTTAGTCCCACTTTCTCACTCGCCCGCAGCGGAAACTCGAACGGAAGATGAAACTCAAACTTCTGCGCCTTGAGTTTCACCTTCACCCCTTTTCCCTCCTCCAACCCCATCATTTGCATCCCGCGTAACTGAGAACCACAGAATCCGGTCCCTTGGTTCCCATTCTGAAGTCCTTCGGTTCTTCAGCCTCGAAAAGCAGCCGAGTTTGCATCCACATCCAGTGGCCTCAACGTCACACTGCCACCACCATGCACTCCTGTCCGCCCCCGGCCCCCAATGGTTGGCTCTTTCAGATCTGGCCAGTCACCGACTCATGCCGTCGGTGGAGAGCTCCCTCTTTGACACCCAGATCTCCTTGCTGGCTCCAGACCTCAATCGAGAGCACATCGGGTCCATCGTTGACCTGTTGATCCCGATCCTGAGACATGCAGATGGCGTGGCCCAAGTCTGTCTAGCACAATTCGAGACGAGGCCGCGCAAGTATGCACCACTGCGGAGTAATTCTATCAACGTAGAATTTACACCTCCATGTTGTTAAAATGTTTGCCTCCAGTCCGTTTCTTCACTTCTCCCATCTTTGTTGACAGCCCAGCCTTGCTACTTTTCTTTTCGTATAGTTTGTTGGTTTGTTTTTAGTTCATATCGAGGGCAGGTCCTTCACTATATTCTTTCGCCCAACTGCCCTCGAAACTCCAACTTGACAGATCTGTGCCTGTGGGTTGACCTATACCAAGACTTTTCGCTTCGGTTCCTGTCCTTATTTCGAGTCGCTGGACAACATCTGCACTCAATATGCTTCCAACCCACCTCTTTCTGCTAGCCATTCTTTTCTTCACAGCGACCTTTGCGACTCCCATCCAAATAAAACAGAAACGCTCCTTCAAAGTCCCTCGGATACAACAACATAACTACAAGCCGAATGGCAAAGCTGCATATCGAAGGGCATTGTTCAAATTCGGATTGTACGATATCGAGTTCTTACCTGGTGGCGAGGTAGACACGACAATCAAAGCGGCAATCAAAGCTCAGCTCGATGAGTCGGCCAGTGAGGACGGCGAGACAAGTGCTTCGCCCACGCAAAATGATGCCCAGTTTCTGTCGCCGGTGACCGTCGGGGGACAGACTCTGGTCATGAATTTTGACAGCGGCTCTTCAGACACGTACGATGTTCCCTTCCAATGCACAAGTTTGATCTTCATGACGTATTGTTATTGACAAAAGACATGGACGGACAGATGGGTCTTCAACACCAATCTCCCAGCCGATGACCAACAAGGCCACACGATCTACGATCCCACCCAATCGCCCACTTTCCAGAATACTTTGCAGGGCAGTACCTTCAACGTCTCCTACGGCGATGGCTCCTCCGCCTCTGGTCCCGTCGGAGTTGACGAAGTCGACATCGGTGGCGCCACCGTGTCTGCTCAAGCCATCGGCCTTCCCGACGACGTAGCCGAGAGTTTCGTGACCGACTCTGCTTCCAACGGTCTGGTCGGCCTTGCTTTCTCATCGCTCAACACCATCCAACCCGTTCAGCAAAAGACTTTCTTCGACAACGTCATGCCGGACCTCACACTCCCGGTCTTCACGGCGCAGTTGAAATCCGGCGCCGTCGGTGCCTACGAATTCGGCACCATCGACACCTCGGCGTTCACGGGCTCATTGGCCACCGCGCCCGTCGACTCGTCAAAGGGGTTTTGGGAAGTCGACTCCACGAGCGCCGTCGTGCAGAACCAGACCGTCAACGTTGCCGGCGGCACGGCCATTCTCGACACGGGCACGTCGCTCATGCTCGTGCCTGACGCAATGCTCACCGCGTACTGGGGCACCGTGAATGGCTCACAGGTCTCACAAGACGCGGGCGGCATCATCTTCCCCTGCGACGCGGACCTGCCGGATCTGCAGGTGGCGATTGGAGACAACATGGCCACGGTCCAAGGGTCCGGGATGAACTTTGCCAACGTCGGCGCCGACACAAATACAGGGGAGCAGTGTGAGTGTCCATTACCATTTCCCCCGTTACCTTGGCCTTCTTTCCCAGTCCTTTTCTTTCCCCTTCGTCATACCACACAAAACCAATCCCCGATTCACGCGACACGGATATTACACGAGTACTGCTTCTTTTCTGTTGGACAAAGCCACCAAAAAAAAAGGGAAGAGCACCACTAACAGTTTCCATCTGACAACTAGTCTGCTTCGGCGGTCTTCAATCCAACCAGGGCCTCCCCTTCGCCATTTACGGCGACGTCTTCTTCCAGTCCCAATTCGTCGTCTTCGACGGTTCGACGCCTTCAATCAGCGTTGCTCCGCACTCTTAGAAATCAGACCCGATGGCAAGAACAATGATCGTGACCATTATAAAGCGACTGGCGTTTTCGAAATTGCGTGGCGGAGGCGGTTGTGTTTCCGGGGGGTATATATAACTCGGTACCCCAGGGTATTTGTGTGGATCGGAGGGCAAAAGAAATGGCCGTGCATTGTGTGTGCCGCATACATGCCATGTTTGTTTTTGTTCCTCGCTGGTTATATTATACCCTCCGCGGCACTATATCGTTGGTGGGCATTGGCATTGGCATCATGGGCATGACAGGACAGGACGAAGCGTGGTTGGTCATATACCTAGGCATAAGATACCCTCGAGGAATGCAGCATAGCGAGCGATCGTCCGTCAGGGGCGGGAATATACCCAAGTATGCATGCGTATGACTGTGTGGGATGGGATGGGACTGACTGACATGTGGATATGGAAATAGAAGACGTGCATGATAGAGAGATACCCCCTTACCAAAATCCATGCTGTTGCGTGAGTACCTAGTATTTCCAACATCAATAAATACTGCACCACATATATTCCACGTATCCCGAATCGCGCTCAGTTGTCATTTCATATCAGCACTTGTACCCAGCGTCTGAGGCCGAGTGCGTGTCTCTTGACTCTGATGATGCAGGACAATTTCAAAATAGAGTGAGTGTCTTGGGAGCGACTCCCAGTGTGCCCCCTAGAACCGTGTTCACCTCCCTCCCGTTCTTTTGGTGGGGTGACTGAATACCCGAAACGCCAACGCTATGTAGAAAGGCAAAAAGGCACAAGTTGCTTCATCATGACGGACGCTTCGTGAACCCGTGAGTACAAGAGAAGGTTACGAGGATCAATAAAAAAACAAAACTCTGCGCAATAACGGCCCGGGTGGATCCTGCAATGATCTGCAAAACGGATGGATATAAATAGCCCTTGAAATTTCCCGCTTCAAATGGTCCAAGTTGTGGAAAACGTAATCATGGCAATGGTGTCAATTCGGTTTGTAAACTTTTCAGATGTAGAATTTGCCCTTGACTGGCGGGTCCAGCACTCGGTCGCTGAAGCAACAGTGTCCGAAGCCCGTTCCGTCTTCGTCCAAATCACCGCTTTCGTAGCCATAGGCATTAGGATCGTGGATACCCAAGTCCAAGACTTTGCCTGCGCCGGGCACGGCACCCCAGTTCAGAGGCCTGAGCACCATCTCCTCGCGCTCGCTCTGGTCCATGCCAGATGGCAGATGACACGCAGCACTGATAGCCATGGAGTTGCTCCCTATAAGGGGCATTCCAAAGGGTAGCTTTCTTACCGCGGTGGCGAGGAGGAAGACGAGAAGGACGAAGCCCAAACAGAGGAGGAAGAGCATGCCTATCGGCGAATAGGCCACCGTGGTAATCTCGTCTTGCATGGGCACTGTCCCGTCTCGAGGGATGATGGCGATGTTCGCGAGGAAGACGCTCTGTGACACAAGCCAGTGCAGCAAGCCCGAGCCAACGAGGAGAGGTAGACCATACTTGAACGGTAGGTTGAGGAAATATGTCGACTTTTGCTCGCCTTTGGCCTCGCTAACACGCAGATACTTCCGTCCCCGGCCGCTCGTAACACTGAAACGCATCAATTCGCGTGCAAGGAACATGACTGTAAAGAGACTGTTATAGCAGACGTAGAGGAAGGAGAACAATGCCTGTGGGGCGTTGGCGATGAGTGTGGGAATCGCGATCGACGTGTTGCCGGAACCGGCTAAATTCCAGCCCATGATCAGGTTCTGAGGCTTGACCGTGTTCAAGCCGATCGACCACGCGTCCTGGATAGTTCTGTCGCCCCTTAGGTTCTCGATACCGAGTGCTAAGCAAACCGCTGTCCCGACGCCCGCGAACGTGAACAAGCCGAGCAGGAAAGCCCACTGCTTCCAGGTCGCGGCTTCGAAGAAGCGATGCTGTCGAGGGTCATATCTCATGGGCATGGACCGGTAGCCGAGCTTGGAGGAGGCGACAATACTTGAGTGGCTGGCTAGACACATGCCCTCAGTCGTGGAGTCAGGATGGCGGAGGAATGATTGCAGTGCATCCCCAACAGTCACCAGGGGTGATTCTCCCAACCAGAAGGTAACGTAGGCGATCCCGATGACTTTGAGGATGTTGAAGACCAGAACCACGCCCATCAGAATGAGGGAGAAATGCAGATGGCATTGGGATTCGACGGGTTCCGAGAGGCAATGGTCGACTTCAAACCCGCCGGTAGACCATTGATCAGCAATATCGACCAGTTTCGGCGTAATCTTCGAACACGGCACAAAGCCCCATTGATTCTCACAGCATGCATGTGTTTGGTTCACGACATCCGGGTTGTCGCAGATCCATGCGAAATTGTTGAAACTGCTGTTGATGACTGGAGGGAATTCGTTGACGGCTATCTTGAACAGTGAACCCTCGTTTGCTGGAGGATTCTTAACCACTACAATCACGTTGCGGCGGTCCTCGACAAAATCCCGTGCATAGGCGTGAATGCAATCCTCATTGTTGAGCAAAATAAAGTCCTTGCTGGCGCGGGCCTGAATGTCGGTGACGTTGCATTCTTCGGTATCAGAAAATTTGTTCTTGTCGTAGCTGGCGCCCTGTACGAAACTATTGGAGGCGTACAGAACACTATAGTTATTCGTAGCAAGGGCAGAGTAAAAGACGGAATTGTAACTGGAACCATTAGCCCGATGTCATTTGGGTCTCGCATCCTTGGACGGACTCACATTAGATGCAGCGGGATCGATGAAACTCCCAGCAGCCACCACAGAATGACTTTCTTCTTTCGCAACGAAGCAAGATTTCGCATGCTGGGAATGCCAATGTCCAACCATTTCTGCTTAGCATGGGCTTTATCGATCTCGCTGCGAGTGGGAGATGAGAGTAATTGCATGCAGTAGTTCGAGCTTGCGAGTAAGACCGTGGCCACAATGTTGAGCGCCAGATGGACCCAGGTGTCCCTTGTTTCCGTCTTTGTGCAACTCCCTTCATAGACCATGTAAATGCCTGGCTTGTGTCAGTATGTTTGTCCGAGTCAACAGAACTGTCAGCTCAGGTGAAACATGCCTCCCATCATGTCTATGCCCGCCGTCACTACCCCGATCGTCAAGCAGACATTGGTGACCAGCACCAACACTGCGCAACCCAACGCTATTCGCGAACTTGTCCTCCATCCTCGTCTTTGCTTTAGTGACCGCCCAGTGCTCGCCTTACTCGGGGATCTGAGGAGGGGCTGTGGTGTACTGGCCAGAGGATCTGGGGTGTAGGCTGTGGTGCCGTCCAAGTCTGGACTGAAGAGGTTCGCGCTCGGCAGGCTCGAGCCTCCAGTGGGAGGAAGGGGAGTTAGTTGGACATTCTCTGCAGACCCCAGTTGTTGGTAGGGTTGTTTGAAGGGCGGCCAGTGTGGAATGTGTCTCCTGGGGGAATGTCAGTTACACCCGTCCTCCTTGGACTGACTGGGCCGTTGGAGGGACTTGTCACGCTCACCTTTTTGCGCCGGATTCCATGTTTGGCGTTGGTCTTCGGTCACGAAGTATAGCAGATCATAGAGTGAGAAGTTGCAACAAACAATGGTTAATGATCTCACGAACAGCGAAACTTACCAACAAGCTCATGCCATCAACATAACATAGTGTCAGGCCTGACACCGACATCCCGACACGGTAAAATAAGAATGCAGGATCTCAGCCGCAGAGGTCTCGCCATGAAGGCGGCCCAAAGGGAGATAGCTTACGGTGTGGGCTGGCAGCGTAGACTCGTACAACCTTTCAGCAGGTGGGTTAGTGAGACCCCAAGATAGAACACCGGGCAGGGGTGTTTCTTTGGTAAGCATATGGAGAAGAACAGTGAAGAGTATTACTTGTTATGAGTTGTTCGCTTGATTGCCTGAGGCTCCAGCTTCACGGCCTGTGGCGCAGGAAAATCGCCAGCTGGGCCTTTCCCACCCACTTCCCTCCCCCAAATTGGCTGACACCTTTTACCGAGCACGTTTCAGACACAACCGCTAGCCATTCAACTTTTGCTTTTTTCGGTGCCTGAGGCTGGCTCCCTACTCCCCCAACTGGCAGCACAAATATCGTTCGGGTACAAGGTACATAGGTAGTGGAAAATCTCACACCCTAGGTATCTCCTGCGGGCATGCCTTGTCCCGCCGATAATCACTTTCCTAGACACGTTAGATTGCGCCCATTTCACATGGTTGTGAGGTGGGTGCTGCCAGGTACCCCAGATGCGCGTCGAGATATGGACTGGAAGAATCAGAACATCAATGGACATTTTTCTCATGTCTGCCTTGCCGCGCCATACGCCCGGGGCAGCTGCATTGAGCCTCAGTTTCCCTCCACTTTGCTTGTAAAGTCCGCAACTTCAATTTGCAGGACTCGGAAGTGAAACAGGACACTGTATGTGTGGTGGCCGGGCAGGCACGACGATGCAGATCGAGCCGACGAGCAGGTCAGACTTTGGGCTGCGCATTCTTCTGCGAGCTGAGCGGCAGTAATGAGGTACCGAGCACGTAGGATAGGCGGAGAAGGGTTATCCCTGGTCAGGGGAAGCCATGGAGCTGACTTCTCGTTCTTGAACAGGAATAGACGCGTTGTTATTGCCGTTCCTCAGCGGGTCGACTCTTTTACTACCGTCCCGCATGGGTGCTGCCGTTTTCTCTATCATCTCTATTGCTCAAGCGCCATTTTGCCCGAGTTCCTTTTCCTTTTCGACCTCCCGGGTGATGATCTGGCGAATTCCACCTAGTCCCTCCGTTGCAGATACCTTCAACACCTTTCTCTCCTTGTCACTTAGTCCGACGAATTCTTCTGGCAGGATCTTGCTGAAGTCAAACCCCTTCTCTTCCTTCAGGGCCAGTTCCACTGCGCCAGCGAATTTGGCCGGGTGTGCAGTCGCCAGCGACACAACGGGCACCTTGGACGCTGAACCAGCCGAGGAGATTTCTCGCAAGCTCGCGGCCACGCCAATCGCAGAATGAGGATCGAGCACATATCCCTTTTTGGAGATGGCTTCCCCTCTATAACAATCTCGGATTGCCTCGAGAGTCTCTGGATTGCTAACCCTATGGCTGCCGAAGATCTCACGCGCCTTGTCCAAGACTTCTCCATCCACGGTGAAGGATCCAGTCTGTTTCAAATGTTGGAACCAACCATCAATCTTCGCCCCAGCGACTCTCACCGAGTTCTCGACCTTGATATGGGGATTTTGATCGAGCTCATGTTCTAGGGTCAAGTGCCAAAGAAGCCGTTCGAAATTCGAAGAGACAAGGATATCCATGGCAGGGCTGTACGTCTCCTTGACGCCATCTTCATGTGCCTGCGCACCGTCCTCCTTGACACCTTCGTGTGGTTCTCGTGCTGGCTTCTGCTTCTTGGTGTATGACCCCGTCTGCCAGAAGCGGTGCAAGATATCGTTCTCGTTCGTCGCAATCACAAGTTTCGCCACTGGAAGCCCCATGCGTTTCGCATAGTAACCGGCCAAGATGTCGCCAAAATTCCCTGTTGGCACCACGAATTTGGCCTCCTTCAGTTCAGGCTGCTGTTTGAGAAGCTGAAAGTAGGCATAGAAGTAATACGTGATCTGAGCCAATATCCGCGCCCAGTTGATCGAGTTCACAGCCGCCAGATGGTGGATTTTGTTCATTTCTGGATCCGCGAACAAGGCCTTGACATAGTCCTGGCAATCATCAAATGTGCCTTGGACACTCAAGCAGTGGACGTTGGGGTCGAGCACTGTCGTCATCTGAGCTTCTTGGACTGGCGATACTTTGCCATCGGGAAACATGATAAAGATACTGACATCCTTCTTTCCCCGCAGCCCGTAGATGGCTGCTGATCCGGTGTCGCCAGAGGTGGCACCAATCACCGTGAGGTGATGGCGCGCATGGCCCTTGTCCAGGTTTTGGTTCTTACGCACAAGAAAGAATTCGAATAGATTTCCCAAGAACTGGAGGGCGACATCCTTGAAAGCAAAGGTGGGTCCGTGGAAGAGCTCTAGGAGATGGAGGTCCTTGCTCTCGTCTAACGTAACCAGTGGCACCGTTTTTGGATGTTTGAAAGTCGAGTAACTCCGGTCGACGATTGATTTTAGCTCTTGATCCGAGATCTCATGCTCGTCGATGTACAGTCTCATGACCTGGAAGGCCAGGTCTGAAAATGACAGGTCTTTCCATTCTAGGTACTCTGACCTGACGTTGGGCACCGCGTGAGGATGAAATAAGCCTCCGTCAGAGGCCAATCCCTTGAGAACGACTTCCTCGAAGCTGAAGAATTCCCTTAATGAATGGTCATGATAGCGGGTGCTGGAGTATTTCGAGGTAGTGTTCACCATGGTGGAGAACGAATCCCAGTCTGCAGGGGGGGAGTAGGTCGAAGAGACAGACGTCTGGTTTGTCGGCTCCTTTTCAGCGCCAATTGGACCCCCTACCATGCAACGAGCTGAGCTGCCGTCCCAGGGTTAGGCCAATGCAAGAAAAAGAGTCTTTGGGGAGCGACTTTGCTGTCATAATGGCCACAACCGTGACTCCGTAGTCAGAAAATTTGCAGCATTGAAGGGAGTGGACTCGCCGAGTCGCACTGAATTGGCTGATCCACCGTGACTCACGTGGCTCTGTTGCCAAGCTGGTGGAGGGCTATGGCGCACTAAGCCCAACTAAGGTAGTGTGCTTGGCGCTGGCCAAAAAATTTCCCTGGTATAAATTTGGCTGCGTCTCCGTCAATTTGTTTTTTCTTTCTTCATGTCGACTTTGTACGTTTACCCCCGCCCCTCAGCGAATGATGCCTGAATTCCCCTTGACAGTGACCTGTCTGCTAACAATTGACCTTCTACAGACTTCATAGAATCATTTCTATAGTAAACGTCCTCTTCTGAGCTCTTCACACGAGCCACAGAATCCTCAACCTGGCTGACGACACAAAGTCCTCGGTACCCTAGAGTGAAGCCTTATGTTTACTCTCGCTGCGTTCTTAGTCCGTGGTCTTCGGATCATGGCGGGGACAAGAGAGTGGTGATGATCTTTGACCTGCGTTTGGCGACTTGGCTTCGTGCCGGCCTGCGCAGGAGGTACCGATGGATTTACTCTGACAGGCAATACTTTTCATGAGCTTGGAACCCTTGATGGTTGGAGTTTGAGAAGAGTACTGGTCATGGTTGAGACACAAAATTACACTGGTGATCCATGGTCACGCTGTCCAGAGACCTGTCATGTAAGCACTATTTCGCACAGTTGTCGCAGAGTCGGTGATCATGATCGAGTTTCAAAGGAGGATCCAGTCTGTGTGGTCCGATCATCTCTACACCTAGGAAGCGGGTCATGGACACGATCAAGAGTGGTGCTCACGCAACCTGGACATGTCTCCTCTTCATTCTGGCAGTGAACGGGCACTCAAGATCTGATGTCGCTACGGCGCCCGCTGCTGGGGAAAGATCTAGCAACTCAATAACCTCTCCCTGCGCCGCTCTGGCTCTGCATCACGGAGGAAGACATGGTGGATGTTGAACATCCGCTAACATTCGAGACAAGCTAAAAGCCACTATGCTGATAAACAACTCCCACAGGAGAGACACATTTCACAACTTTCCCTCGCCCTCCTCATCCCTCAATACCCACCTGACAAGCGCCTCAAGCTTTGTGCTCAACACGTTGGCTGCATCCACCAACTCCTGCTTCGCGCCTTCATAACCCGCGATCAAAGAAGTGGGCTTGTACCACACGATCCTCACGCCGCCCTGGGGCTCTTCAACAAGACCCAACTCCACCGGCACGCAAAGCCCAGCATTGAGATCATGCTCGAGCATCGTGATGGCGATCAAGGGGTTTCCCAGAATGAACCTCTTGCAGTTCAGATTCTTCGTTTCCCCGTCGACGGTGGTGATGGTCGAGCTCGGCGGCGCGTAAAAGGGCAGCCAGGCTCCGTGGTTGAATTCGTGGAAGTACATGAAGCCATGCGGGCCGACCAGCGACTTGATCCTGGCGTCGTGGGACTCCCGGTCCGTCGGTCGTCGTATTTGGGCCTGCCCCTGTTGTCCCTTCGACGGGGAGGACGACTGGATCGATGAGCGGAGCCGAGACTCTGCTAAGGAGAACGAGATAGATGAGTGATAGACCAGGCGCTCCGCCTGTATGGTCTGCCTTTCGGTCGTGAGAGTCATGATTGACTGAGGATGTGCACAGCAGACGGGACAGTGATCTTTATGGAAGGGGAGGGTAAGAGAGAATTTCTTGCTCTCGTTTTTCACCTCTCAAATAATGGCTAGAAGGTCGCAACTGCCTGTCGAGACAATGCTCCGTGGCTACTAGGTATATATTTTGTAGTCCCGCTTCGCACCCGTCGTATACTTCGGACTGTGCCTCTCAGCCGACCAGCAGACGGCAGGCTCCTTTGATGAATAATTGCGAACACACCGAGGGCACCTACCTTCACTGCCAATGCAAGACACCGATTGTGATCAAGAGGAGTTTACCAGGAAATTCTGTCCTTCAATACCCATCACATGCACCGGTGGTCGGCAGTACATGGATCAGTAATCCCCCTTTCCGGCCGTTGCGGGGGAAAAGAGGAAAGCAGCTCGGAATTCGCTTGCTTCAGAGGGTGCCACGGACTTTGAACACCCCTGTTCTCATGACAGTCATGGTCCAAAATCTTGCAAAATCTTGTTCTGGTGCAAGCGTGCGGCGAGAATATGTGGTTTTCTCTGTGTGGGGGCAAGATACATTCGATGATCTCAGGGCCGAACGTGTGGATCGAGATGAGACGTCACTCGATCAAGGCTCAGAGTAATCAGATTATTACTGAAAGTCGACAGGAACCCTTGGTACATCAGGCTGGAGCGAGTTCTTCACTCCGTTGCCTCGGGACTAGCTACTCCCTCCCGCAACCTCTGGTTCACGGTCGTCCAGATACCGAGAGCGTTTCGTGACCCCAAGGCTCGCCAGCATCTGTCGGCCGAAAAGAGTAATCAGTGTCCACAGCCCTCAGTGAGCAGCTTGCGCGTCTCCTGGCAAGGACGTTTTCCTCAACGGACTGGGCGGAGCTGGTGAACGGTCGCTCGACTTTGACGATATCGACAGTCGTCTGATTCCTCGAGTGTTGATTGTCAACTTGCGAGGTGACCCGGCACCGTCTTCCGCAGGCGCAGTCGTGGTGTCCAGCTCTGCAATACTGGGTCCATCGGACAGGAGAGCCTCTTGGCCAGAAAGACGCCTGGAATCTGCGGAAGCCTGCCGTGTCCTGGCTTCTCGGATCTGGCGCATCCGCTCCCCTGCTTCCATTTTGGCCTTCTCCTTGGTCTCCTCTACCCGCCGCAGGAAAAGGTCTCTGATGGGGGAGTTTTCGTGTCCTTTCAACGCCTCGCGGGTTTCCTGGGCCGCCCGTCTTTCGCCGCCCGAACCGTAGATTTTCTCGAGGACCAGTTGATCGACCCTATCCGTTGGGGTCACGAGCCCGTTGTGTGGGGTGGCAATTGGTGGCAAGTGATGCGGCCAACGTGGAGCAAAGACTGGCGACGGGATTCCTTTAATGAGCTTGTCTTCTGTCAAGCCGTTATTGTTTATATCTCTCAGAAGAAATTGGAACAGCTCACTATGTCGAGAATTTTCCGTGTGCACACTTGGAGGTGACATTGTTGACGCTGCGTCGCTATGCGAATCGGGCTCCCCCACGTGGTACTCGTCGTTCCGGCTCTCGACTGGTTCTTCCGGGTCATCCCAAGCCTCGAATAGTTCATCGAGGTCATCTTGGTTCCGGAGGTACCATAGCACCCTCTGAAGGCTTTTGTAACTCGCATCAAGGCTCGCGGCTTGTACAAAACTTCTTAGGGCGTTATCGTCATCACCACTGATGTCGGCAAGGAAACCCCTCATGTACCAGCATTTTGCGATCAGCGCATTGCTCACGGAATACTGTCGTGAGAGGCACAATGACACTGCCTCTTCCAGTATTTCCTTGCCTCGATCAAACAGGGTGTCCTGGCCATTGACATCGTCACGGATAGAGTTGAAAAGGAGTGCATGCGCTCGGCTCAATAGGGTCTCCACGTATAGCTCAAGAGCGAGGTGCTCGAGGGAATCGCCTTCGGGAAAATGGTCGTCTTCCTGCGGCGAGCTGCATTCCGGAGTTTGATGAGGGATCCATGTACTGGAATGCTCGTGTGGGCTAGGGTGTCCGTGCGGTGGCGTAGCGCGGACCAGGCTCAGTCCTTCCTGTTCCATATTTGTGATATTTATGATGTCGAGCTGTATTTAGGAGGACGATACGAAGAACAGTAATTGCGAAATCCTGGAATTCTTGCAGCAGAATACAGTGCTGCCTGAATCGGCCTCATTGTTTGCGCCGCTGCTGGCTGCCACGCTTCCGAGAACGGGATAGAGATCAGACGAGACAAAGGCAACAAAGGAACTTACCAAAGACGGCACATATGGATCTCTAATATTTGCCGCCCTGGTACTGAGGCCAGAGACACAGGTACTCGAAAAGTTTCATCTGTATTCGGGACATTCATGAGACGTTCAAGCCGGGCCTCAGCAAGGATAAAAATTGGCCCTAGAAACGCTTCGATCGGGTACTGAGCAAGGCCTAGGAAGAGTATTCCAAAGTAGTTGAGCTCCTTATATGGTGAGCAAGAGCGAATCCAATCGTGAGGACATTATTATCCATGCTGAATGGTATCGTCCGTCTGAGCATGGAGGAAGTCTCAAATTCCCTGCAGCTCGGCGAATCGTGCCCAGGCGGCATGCCAGAAGTAAAAGGCGCAGTCTGACACAGTCACGACGAGGAGGCCGCTATGTTAGAGACAGCTAATAGTTAGTGATCAGCATATGCATCCCGTGACGTTCAAAGAGCAAACTGGCCGCCACTTCTGAGCGATGGTAAGCCCAAAATTAATGGTTAATGACTAACCTTTTACGACACTGTCGTACCTCTTCCCCTCCGGCGTCAGACCTATACCGCTTGTTTTTGAAGTCGGCTCGGCGGTTCCGATCCACCCACCCACCACCCATCCACATACACCAAGAGCCTATCCATTTATTATAGCTTTATATATACAATTAGCTCATTATTCTTCAACAATTACCACAAACAGGCCGGATGGTGTAGGTCCGTAATAGGAAATCCTTATAACATCCGTATGTTAGTTAACTAACATATTCACAGTTGGTTATCACAGTATGTACACCTCCTTGAGCATTTGTATACGCAGAGTCTAACAGATGATCCAGTCTCCTTAACATCTTCTGATGACAGCGGAGAAGGTCTTGAGTTCGAGCCTCAATCTGGTGTTTGTAACCCCGAGAGTTCTATCGGTCCTGACCATACTAACTAAGAGGTTAGCAATCATGTTGTCATACCATGAATATTTTTTTTCCCTCTTAATTAATTCTTCTCCCGCTCTATTTGTGCGGCAAATAGCGCTCTTGGCACTGCTGTATACCTTTACTCCCCGTCTTCCTCGGCCTTAGGTGGGCGAAAATACGCTTGTCCTCCTTGAGCAGCCTGCCTCCCAGCCCGACAAAGTCTCTTCTGAAGAGAGCCGTAAAATAGGAAATCTATATCTCCGCGGACATAGAATTTCTTGAGCTCCATAGCAATTCCGACAAGTCCATTGCTACTGCGCCATGGTTGAAAATCATGCCAGCCTTCCGACGCTCGATATTCCAATGTGTCCTCATCCAAAGGCTCGCAGGCCTTTCTCATCTCCTTCGTAAGGCCCACGTAAGGCACAGGCAACATCATAACTGTCACCGTACCTGTCTTGAGACCATTCAGTCTTGGAGCTTCAGCGGCACCAAAAAGCTCGATGTCAATGGGTAGGACGCTCATCGTCTTCGGGATCGCACCGTATCGAGCAGTCAAGTTTTTCAAACGATCGAACGGCTTTGTATTCGTCCAGCGTGATTGTTCATCCTCGGACCACAGTCAAAATATAGAAAAGACTCGGAACCCTCTGGAACGCAACGCGAGCATCGATCAATTGATCTTCAGCTGGCGTTCGCGTCATACGCTCAGGATGAAGCACAAAAACCTACGACTGAACTTAGTACCGAGGACGCACCGCAGATCAAGGGAGTTGGGAATACCTTGCCGTAACCCAACTCGCAGCAAGCATCTGTCAGAGCTAGGGCCATACGCGAGGAATCGGACAGACCTCTTCCCGCTCTTCTTTGTCCCCCAAGCGGGTAGTAGGAAGCTTGCGGTACAGTCACTTCTCCGGAGGCTGGGTTCAACTTGTGCCAGACCATCTTTGCGGGCATACCCTGGAGCTCATCGGGCTGTTCCTGAGCAGCCATACTGGAGGAAGGCTATAGGACAGATATGATATCGAGAAAGGTACTACTGACGCCGTGATATAGACTGGTCCTCTGTCAGACTCAGATATCATACGCGTCCTCACCCTGTCGGACACCTCTCAATTCATGAAGCGCGCAGCTACAACCAGGGTATTAGAATGGAAGGGCCTCAAGAAACGTCACCCGCACCTTGAGGAGATTTATATACTCCGGTCCTGGTATGCATGCTGGCTACGTCTACGGGGCGTCACCGTCACTGGCCCGCACACGGCATCTTTGATGAATGATTCATTTCGGAGGTCTGCATAGGCATGTTTACAACTTGCAAAGGACAGTATCTTGAGCGGGTTGCTTCTGCTGTGAGCGCTTGCTCTTTACCGCGTCTGTGGATGGGAAGATTAGGGGGAACGAGAGCCAACAAAGTCCTTGTGGTGTGGACGACGAGCCACATCAGCGCTGGTCAGTTAATTTTTTGCCCTTTGGGTAGTCTTGGGGGCCTATTTTCAAAAGTGCAAAGTCCCCATCTTTCGCGGGGCTTTGTTTTGAGTCTATAAAAGTGCCCGGGTTGTCTGTCCCGAAACGTGGGATACGAGCAAGAGCCCAGTGGTCTGGATATGCAGCTGAACTCGATAATCCTTTTACTTTTGGGAGATGTGGTCCGAGATCGAATATCTAGCTTTATCCTTTCTATAGCCTCACCCCGAACTTAGTCTCTATAGTCTAGAAGCAACACCATTTCTAGTCCAGGACGATATTACCATTGGCTAGAGGCTTATAGTCCTCTTCTCCAGCCCACTGTGCCTCGTACAAGCTCTCATCCATCTGAGAAGCGTCCATGCCCACATTGACTTCCCTGTTTAGCCTTGTTAGCACATCGACATCCAAGTCTTCAGTCCGGGTTCATAACGCACTTGTCTTCTGCGAGCACCTCGAGGCCCGGGACGCAGTCAATCAGGGCAATGATCACAAACGACCCCACGAACGACCAAGTGAAGCCGATCAGAGCTTCGACGATTTGGACGCCTAGTTGACGAACGTTGCCGTCGAAAAATACACCGCCGTCCACTTCCACGCCTCCGTAAGCTGCCACGGCCTTCTGGGCAAAGAGTCCGGTGCCGATGGTACCGAGAAAGCCGCCGACGCAGTGGGTGGCAAAGGTATCCCCGTTGTCGACCCAGCGCCATTTCCGGGCGAAGTCTGTAAACTTGATTCGCAAGGCCTGCCGGCAAACGACGGCTCCAAAGATGCCGAAGAAGAGCGAAGTGGGAAGGTCGATGAAGCCCGCTGCCGGGGTGATCATGACCAGCCCGGCTATCGCGCCCATGAATATCGAGTCCAGCGACCATCGACCGGTCTCGAAATAGGTGATTGATGCCCAGGTCAAGGCACCGGCGGAAGCACACAGGTTGGTCACGCAGAGCGCCATGACGGACTGAAAGCTGAGGGTGAGGGTTGTACCGGCGTCGAAAGCCAGCCAGGAACCCCAGATGATGATCATTGCCAGTAACTGGCACATGGAGTTGTGCGGCCGATGCAATTTGAGATGGGAAGGCGTTCGGACATCTGATTTCCGGGAGCGGAAGACGGGATAGGAGAGGTAGAGGCTGAGTGCGCTGGCCGTTGCGCCACTGCAGATGTGTACGGGAGTTCCACCAGCAAAGTCAAGCACACCGAGCTCGCCGAGGAAGCCTCCACCCCAGACCATGTGAGCGAGAGGGCAGTAAATGAAAGTGGACCAAAGCTGGACGGATGGGCGTGGTCAGCAAAAGAGAACCGATCTTCGGACGCTGGGTGTCACGTACAAAGATGAATGGAATCAACGGAAGAATGCGGCCACGCTCACAAGCTCCTCCAACCGCGATGGCACAGACGGTGGCCAGAAACACGAGCTGAAACTCGCTGAACAGGACGGCTGGAATGCTCCCGACAGGTTCAGCAAGCACGCCTCGATGAAAGGCAAACTTGAGGTCGCCAATGACTCCGCCGGGACCGTCTCCATAAGCAAGAGCATACCCAACAATGAACCATTGGATTGAGCAGACGCAGACGGTCAACACTGCTGGGATGAACGAAGCAAGGCCGCTTCGCCGTGTGGAATACCCGCTGTAGCCGAGTCCGACGGCTGTTGGACGTTCAGTACAATCGCCTATATCTCCCTAGTATATTTGCTTTACATACCAGGAATGATGGGCCAGCAGAAGACGGTACAAACAAGGATGAAAACCGTGTCTGTCCGGTCACAGGCCTCCCAGGCCTTCTGCACGTCTGAGATCATGGCCGCAAACGCGCGAGAGAAAAATTGCCTCACCTCATGGAGAAAACCCGTGAGGACGATACCGGGGAGGAAAGGGGGAACAATTGATATCTCGAGATGAGAATAGCTCACAAGGCTGTGGCGGAGCTTCTTATCCCTCCACGCCCCCCGGGTCTTATCTCTCGCCTGCAATCTGCCAATCGAGCCCATGGGTCTCGGCACGATGGGGCCTGAAATCAGCATGGCCGCCCACGTTATTGGGCGTGCCAGCTTCACTACCTCGCTGTCGACTTCCTTTCTCCACAGTGCCGAGATTCCAGAAGTCTGTCACCACTTCGAAACGGTGCTTCATCCGATAGTGTAGCTCCAAGGGGCCCCAAGTGCATCTGGCAGCAGGGCTTCGTGGGTACCTGCATTGATGGACACATGGTTTTTGGTCACTGCGAGTCATTCTGCCAATAAGCCAGCCGGACTTTGTCCTTGTCGACGGGGTTCTCCAGAATCCCAAACAGCCTACGGCACCCCGAGGTAATGACAATTGTCGTGTTGTCTGGCTTCCCGCCAATCCCTCCGAAATAGCTTCGAGGCAGCTAAGCAATTGTCGATGGCCGTGATTGGGTGCTGATAAGAGTCTAGTTCAGAGCCATGAAGTCGGGGGGAAGCTGGTAATCAAGCGTCCACCTGGCCTAACCGAAACAGGGTATGTTTCCCAGTCTCCCATATCAGACGAACCTCTTTATCGCGCTACTTGTGGCTTTTGCTCACCACCCCTCCCCCCGTTCTAGAGTTCTGATTTCGGGAGGGCGTATTCGCCTCCGCCTCCTCCTCCAAGCCGTAACAAGCTCGTGCACACCTGGACAGCAGGGCCGAGAAAGTGTCGTCCTAGACTGTGGACGTGCACAATAAGAAGTCTCGGCCCGCCCTGTTGTCGAGAAAAACTCATCACCTCTCACCTCATCCCCTCCTCCCCAAACCTTCCAGTGCCTCTGTACCGACCATGACTATCGACGCGGAAAAAGTCCCGCCCGTGGGCGACGTCCCCGTCGTCGAGGGGAGAAGGCACTCTCTTCGAGCCGGCAGCATCGACGACATCACGGTGCTGGACAAGCTGGGCTACAAGCCGGAACTGAATCGCAACCGGTCCATGGCGACGCTGTTGTTTCAATCCCTGGCCATCGCCGCCATCCCGTACGGCGAGGGTGGTCCGCTGATTTCCGCAATCTATGGCGGAGGCCCCCTCGCGATATTCGTCGGCTGGATCGTTGTTCTCGTCCTGGATGAATGCGTTGCTCTGTCCCTGAGTGAGCTGGCCTCGAGATATCCTACATCAGCTGGGCCATACTATTGGTCTTTCCAATTGGCCAGCAAGGGCAAGACCACTTTGTCGTTCATAACCGGGTGGACGTGGCTTATAGGAAATTGGACAATCAGTGAGTGCTCCCACTTTGGTCTTTGCCTTGTCCATTTTCTGTTCCCTGTCGGGGGGACAGACAGGAAGAAGGGGGCGGGGTCCGCATGCTTCATGTCTGCTGGCCCATACTTCGCGTCAGAAGGTGTACAATATATCGTCCCAGATTAGGCGGCAATGAATGCGAATTTTGACTCAGCTCGGCGTTCACAGACAAGGGAGCATGGGATTTTTATGTGTGACATTCAAGTTTTGAACGCACCGCCTGGGTTGAAGAGCTAACTGGAGATAATAGCCCTCTCGGTGAATTTCGGATTCGCCTCACTCATTGTTGCGACTGTCGCAATGTATCATCCGGACTGGGTTGCAAAGGACTGGCAATTGCTCTTGATCTTCTACGCCATCTGCTCGATGACTCTGGTCATCTGCACCTTTGCGAACCGGTTCCTGCCCATGGTCGATACGATTTGCGCAGGCTGGACAGCCCTGAGCATCATCATCATCCTCATCTCACTGTCGGTCAAGGCGGACGTCGGGAGACATAGCGCGGGCTATGCGCTCGGCCACTACGACAAGTCGTTTTCGGGTTGGGGAGGTTTCACCTTCTTTATCGGTCTGCTACCAGCGGCATACACGTTCTCGGCCATCGGAATGATCTCAGCAATGGCGGAAGAGTGCTCAAATCCCACCGTCAAAGTTCCGACAGCCATCAGTCTCTGTGTGCCCGTGGGGGGCTTTGCCGGCTTGTTCTTCATCTTGCCGATTTGCTTCACCCTGCCTCCCTTGGAAGACGTCGTTTCAGCGCCATACGGCCAGGCGCTTCCCTATATCTTCCACACGGTTATGGGGACACCTGGAGGTGGGCTGGGCCTCATCGTAAGTTCCTACTTCTTGAAAGACTATGCCCTGCAATCCGCTTTCCCTCAGTCTCGGCCCAGAAGCTAACACAGCGACCCAGTTCCTCGTCTTGATGATTACGTTGTTCTGCAGCATCAGCATTACCGTCGCCGCGTCGCGATGTACCTGGGCATTTGCTCGGGATGATGCCATTCCACTGTCTCGTGTTTGGTCCAAAGTCAACCCCACCCTCGGAGTACCCGTGTATGCGTTGCTGCTCACGACCGTGGTGCAGATGCTGCTCGGCCTGATCTATCTTGGGTCATCATCGGCCTTCCTCGCCTTCGTGTCAGTCGGTGTGATTGGATTGGCAGTGTCCTATGCGATCCCCATTGCGATCAGCGTTCTGCATCGACGGAGGGAAGTCTCGACGGCGCGTTGGAACTGTGGTCACATCGTCGGCCCCATTGCCAACGGCATTGCTCTGTGCTGGATCGGGTTCGAGGTGGTGTTGTTCAGCATGCCCACAGCCTTGCCAGTCAATGTGGTGGACATGAACTACGCCAGCGTCGTCTTTGTTGGCTTCATGTTCATCTCTGCGGTATGGTATTTCATCTACGCCCGAAAGGCGTACAAAGGGCCCCCAGCGTCTGATGGCATCACTGTTGAATGATTGCTTTCCTGGCTAGAAAGCTGTGCAAGAGTTCTGTGAAACAACAATAAATCTTACCTGGGTAGTAAATAATGGTTTGCCGGTTGAATAAACAAGCAAGGCTGGAAAGTGCCTGAAGATGGCGCATATCGCGTTCCTTGGGCCTTTTTCTCCAAATGCTATTAAACCCCACGAATGACGCGAGTCGTTCAATTTTTCTCAATTAGCTGAATTCTCGTGGAGATTTCTTTTCCGTCCCTGGGTCTACCTCTTCCCTACATACGTCCGGAATGAGCAGAGTGTTCGGTACCTTGGGTATGGGCCAGCTGTGAATTACTTGATCGGGCTACTTTTCATTCAAGGCTTCAGCACCCAATCAAGGCACGATGTCATGATGTTGATATCGACACCGTATGCCGGGGAGCCAGTCAGTCGTCTTAATGTCCCCACCACGGTCGCTCGGCTTGGTGGGATTATATTTGCGCCTCTGATGCCTCTCTCGGACACTGGCTGGCCAAAAGAGCGCAAAGAAGGTGGTGGTTGTAATGTTACATGGTTGTGGCCTGAGCCCTTTCCCATGGCTTGTCAAAAGCAAGGTGATAAATAACGAGTCAACGCCAAAAGCGTCAGACGGACAGAAACAAGTTGGTTGTACCAAAGGCCTCTTGAGTTCTTGGTGCGGGGGGCGAGTCCCCACAGGAAAGCCTGGTGGGTGGACAAGGAGACGGGTATCGGTCGATCGCCCTCTATTTTTCTGATTTCGAGGACTTCTGGGGCGCGATCAATAAGTCTGGAACTTGGTCGATTTCGACCGATTGCCAGAAATCGGTTGGAGGAAGGGCAAGTTAGTTCTTCGGTACTGTACGGAGGAATGACGGGGGACCCTGCAGGTGGTTTTTCTCTGATTCCCTTGTTTTGGGAGGGACTTCCATCTGGGATGTAGATCTGGCAAGCCAAAAAAGAAAATAACACGGGACGATCCCTCGAGCGGTGGTTATTCTCCGAGTTTTCGACCCTTGTAGCCTAGGGCACAGGAAATACCAGGAGGGTAGGTAGGCAGATATCATCTGAATTCGAAACCCGGGAAAATCGCTGGTCTAGCAACAAATCTGCATAGCCTCACAGGACCTGCGAGCTGCAAGCCGCAAGCTGCAAGCCAGCGAGAAGCAGCTTGGAGGCGGCCGGGGTTGGCTGCCACTCAGATTCGTTCGCTCTTCGGCAACCCACCCCAAGGCCCGCATGGTGCCGCTGTGCTGAGAGTTGCTCGGTTGTTCCAGGTTGCAGGGAATGCCACCAGGCAAAGAAGCAGCTTGGGGAGGGGCGCCTCCCAGATGATCTGCCCACCAAAAGGCCCCGGCTATTCCTAGCCACCTGGGTGGGTGGTAGTCGAATCGAAACTCGGGGGCCTATCATCATCCCATCAATCGAGGCTCGGTTGGCTGGACATGGATTTGATTTGTTTTGGCGGCATCAGCAGCCCAGCAGCAGCAGCCGCAGGTAATATCGGATTCTGGACCTTCTTGGAGAGCGATGCTCCGTTGTATCTGGACTAGTCGTGCCTTGGGCGGCCACTAATCCCAGGCCCATCGACCAAAGGCAATTGGGGGGGATTCCCCATTGATGGGCCTTTTTGCCAGCGGAAAAAAGGGATTCGTTGCACAACATGGGTAGCGTGACTGAGGCTTCTCGCAAAGCCAGGCCAGTCTATCAACATGAAGACCAACGAGTGGGATATGCAGTGCTACCTGTGCTCCCAGTGCTCCCCTTGTACCTCCTACGAGCCCACGTTTTGCAACAAATCCCCACGCGGAGAGTACGGGTAGTACATAGCTCGCAGCTCAGCGAGGAACGGATGTGCGCCTCGACAACTCTTTCCATGGGGGAGAGGGGCGGCGGCCAGCGCAGGGAGTGGCCCATGATAATGCAAGCCCGATGTGTACCTTTCACGCAGGTCACATTGGGTCTTCCCACGCTCTCCTCGTTACGCCGAACACAAACACCCTACCCACCGGCCGTGGCCGTGTCCGCATTGGGACCAATCGATTGAGACGAATCCGGAGATGAGCGCGGCTGATATGCCAGCAACACGACTTTGTTGGAGAGGTGTATGAGAGGACGAGGAGCAGCAAGAAGCAGTAGCAGGAAGAAGGAGGAGGAGTTGGAGGAGGAGCCGGACCTTTTGGAACCATCCCTCGTGCAGGTGCAGCTGTGCCACTACTTTAGAAGACTAGGTAAGAGCCTTAGAGGAACACCACGAGGCCCGCTAATAAAGCAACAAAGTGGTTCCTTCGTCTAGACACCCACAACACCTTACCTGGTGGTACAAGTGACACAATTGTCCCGCCATAGCGGTTGGCCCGGGCCTTGTGGAACGGCTTGCTCCAGCAAAACCCTGTCTTGTACCTCGCACCAGTCCGTTGCCATCTGTTGCAACTTGCCAGAGCCACAACCATAACCGTAGCTATCGCCATAGCCCACCCCGAAATCTGTCGGCGTACCCACTACTACATATGTAGGTAGGGTGGCTAGCTAACCCGACCGAACAACACAAAGGTACTGGAGGCTTTCAAAAGCCTTGTCCTTGCCCTTGCCCTTGTGGTACCGACCTAACTACCTACCTTGCACGGATTGATGTTGTGTATAACATTTGACACAGGAATAACGACCCAAAAAGAATATATCTTTCTGGTTCCCTCCCACTCCCCCCTCCCTCCTCCCCTCCCCTTCTCCTAAGGAATAACACCTTCCCTCCTCGATGGACTAGCCAGTTTCATGCCTCTACCTCACATCATCGACGGCCCTTGCTCAGTGCACCACGTCGAAATAATGGTAGCCCAACTGAACCAACCACCCTACCCTCTTCACCCCAGCGTCAAGGACAGACTGCATCCCGACTACGTCGCCTTTTACAACAAGTACATCCTAAACGCGCAACAGGTCCACCATCTGCCCGTCTCGGTAGCTCGAGGCACCCCGGGCGTGCCTCCCTGCCACAGCAGACCGCTGCCCGTGGGCCGAGTCCAGGATGTTTACATATCACGACGAGAGACCGTTGGGCCCAACATCCTCCTCCGGTGCTTCACCCCACCGGGTACACCCCCTCCATCGGGCTGGCCACTCGTGTTGTATTACCATGGCGGAGGGTGGGTATTCGGGGATATCGACACCGAGAACACCGTTTGCACAAACATATGTGTGCGTGCTCAGGCTGTGGTGATCACCACCGATTATAGGTTAGAAGCCCTTTTTCCGTGAATGACCCCCCTTCAGCCTCACTAGCCAAAGAGTACGCATCAACCAAAAGGCACCAGGCTCAAAACGCCTTTCTTATTTTGGTGAGCGTTGCCAATGCTAGGATCTCTTTGTCTGACCTCGCCCCGTTTTTTGAGAGTACACAGGCTCGCGCCCGAGGACCCTTGGCCGGCAGCTATCCATGACTCGTGGGAAGCCTTTCTTTGGTCGACGGCGGCGCAGGGTGAGGCGCGACTCGACTTGGACCTGGACCTGAACAAGGTCGCCATCGCGGGGGCGTCAGCCGGGGCCAACATCGCGGCCGTGATTGCGCAGAAGGCGGTGCTGCGACCGCAGCCGAATGTGTCGATTCGGTCGCAGGTGCTGGTGGTGCCCGCGACGGACAACACGGCGACGCCCTACTCGAGCCCGAGCTGGAAGGCATACGAGTTCACGGCGCACCTTCCAGCCAAGAAGATGCTATGGTACCGGCACCACTACCTGCCGAATCCGGCGGATTGGTCACACTGCGAGGCGTCACCCTTGCTGGCGCCGGACGACGTCTTTGCGCGCCTTCCCCCGGCGTACATCATCGTGGGGGAACTGGACGTGCTGCGGCACGACGGCGAGGAGTACGCCCGCCGGCTGCAGGCCAACGGCGTCGCGGCCGAGGTATGCGTGATGGACGGCATGCCACACCCATTCCTGGCCATGGATGCTGTGCTGGAGGCCGGCAAGACCGCCATCACGAATATATGCGTCGAGCTGCTGGGGGTGTTGGCGTGAGCGGACAATTAAATAAATAAATAAGTAAACCGACTTGGTTGAATGGCGGCCAATATACACACGGGTAGGGAGAGGAGGAGGAGGGGCGTTTGAGCGGGGTAGGCGGCCAGACAAAGGAGGAGGGTATTGTGTTGTTAGTCCATTCGCTTACTACCCAGAGTTAGGTCCAGGTTCCAAGATTCGCAGGATTTTACCTGCGTGGTAGGCTTTCCTCACACGTCGTATAACTCGTCCTGCTATTGGAGAGTTCACTCGTGTTATATACCCAACGAGGATAGCGGAGGAGGTGTATGGAGTACATGGAAAGCCGCAGGAGCGAGCGAGCCAGCGAGCGAGGGTCCCTCTCGCAGCATTACTCGCGGTCAGACCACATCACGCTCTTCTACGGGTTACTCGGTATTTCTGCTTTAGCTTTGGCCCTTACCTAGGTATGTCCCCATGACGAGCAGATGTCAGGGATGGGCGGGAGCTGTTCGTGAAGACTACATCGAAGGGAGTCTACCTAAGACGGAGGAAGGAACTTTGGGAAGTCTGGTCAACAGTTCATAAGTTTCGGGTGATGGCTTCCGTATCCAACCCAATATCTCTACACATTGAATGGAGACTTGATTTTGAATTGTCTGACGGCCATTTTGAGTTTGCTGCCGATACCTAGGTACTCACATCACCTCGTTGACCCGAGCATCGACTTGGGTTTTTGGGTTTTGGGCGCCTTGATGTCGGCTTCGTCCCGTAATGCCCCCGCGCCATCCGACGGATCTAGGCTTGCTCAGTCGATACTCAGCTGCGACTTGATGCTGCTCCGTCCACCTACTGTTCTTCATCGAAACCCTTCTCCCCTGCATGGATATCAATCTGAACGCAGAGGCAGATGATCATCGAGCCCCCCCTCTGAAGAGGAGGCGTGTACCGATCGCCTGCAACTCATGCCGCGTCAGGAAGTCGCGGGTATATTGTCTCGTCATCCTTTGCAGCATCTCGACTAACGGATTTGTCAGTGCGATGGCGACCAGCCGAGTTGCGGCATGTGTAGAGAGATCGGGGCAGAATGTGCCTACATGAGGACCCCTATCAGGTCGTCAGACGAGAGCAAGTGAGCTCGGCAACCAGCGTGGTGCGAAGGTCCTGTGCTGAATATCACACAGTGAAATCCAGGAATTGAAGGATAGGCTGCAAGCCTTGGAGAGTTTGATTCATTCTGTGCCGACGGCAACTGCCCAGTTCATGAGAACTCCTGCTGCAACTGGATCGCAAGAAGGACTGTACCAAGCGGTCGAAGAGACAGAGCCGAATCAACAAAGCCAAAGCGCACTCGCATCTTCGATTGAAGGCGTCTCTGTGAGCTCCCCAGCAGTTCAGCAGCCTGTCGATGGCATGGGGGCTGTGCTTCTGGAAAACGAAGAGCTTCTGACCTTTTTCGGTGGGTGATGCAACGGATGCGCTTCGACCAAGACATGCTGATCGAATGATGCTAGGACCCTCTTCCAATATAACGTTCACCCGTCACATCACGCAGCTGATTGCTCGTATTGGTCATCTCGCGAACCCGTGGTCGACCATCAACAATCTCGGGGTGCCATTCCTGAGCACGTCCAACCCGCAATCACGTTCCGCAACCCGTGAAGTGCACACAACGGATCGATTTGCCCTCCCGTCCGAAAGTCGAATGGATCAGCTCATTGAGAAGTACTTCAGCCACACGGGCCTTGTGTTCCCATTTTTACACAAGCCGTCGTTCCTGGGGTGCTACGCGCAAATGAAAAGGAACGGGCCCCGGGCGATGAGGAAAACGTGGATGAGTTTGCTGAATATGATATTTGCCCTGGCAACGCTGGTCGGCGGAGGGCCGACTGATGCTTCGTGGGCTGTCGAAGCACAGCGATTCTACGAGCGGGCAATGAGTTTGTGTGACACCACCGTCTTGAGCGGGACCAGCCTCGAACTAGGTGAGTTTGATTGAGCTTCAGAGGGGCGAATGCTGTCAAAGCATGCCGCTGATCCGACTACTTCAATATTTCCTGCTTCTCATGCAATATCTCCAGGCCACGCAGAGCTCTGTCCAGACAAGCAACTCTCTGGGACTTGCGGTCAGCACTGCCATGCGCATCGGGCTTCACTCACCTCAAGCCTCCGCCACGTTTCCGCCCTTGGAAAGAGAAATGCGCAAGCGGACGTGGTTCATGTGTATCATCATGGACAGGTATACACCCCAGAATCTCCCAGCAATTCCGAAAGCTGACCCAGGCTCAGGACCTTGAGCATGACTCTGGGTCGACCCGCCACTATACCACATAACTACGTGCGGATCCAATATCCCGCACCTATTGAGCCGGCTCCAGCCATAGACAAACTGACCGAGTATAGTATGGCCGTATTCATCGCAACCATGTATGTCCTCGTCACCGAGAACACCACTTCAGTAAGGGAGAAGACTGACCTTGCGGGATTTCTACCGCCGTCCAGCAAGCTCTATCAGATCATGTGGAAAGTCATTGATCAGCAATATAGCCAGAACCTCGGCTTCGACACAGTCCCATCTGTGCTAGATGTCATCTCCCCGCTGTCATCTCTTGACAATGAGATTCGCGACTGGGATCGATCATTGCTTCCCGAGATGCGGACAACCGACTCAAGCCAACTGCCCGACCTCACCAAGTCGCAAGACCCTACCGATCCCGCCTGCCCGCTGCTCAGGTTCAGGGTCATCTTGACCATGCGCTCGTTGAATCTAACGATCCTTCTGCATCGACCCGTTCTTTTGAAATACTTTGAGCTCAGCAATTCCTCCGCGATCGACATGAAAGAGCTAATTCTGCTCAACAGACTGGGCCAGCACAGCATCGAGGTCTGCTTCCGAAGCGCTCAGGAGATCATCGCGATCGTCGATGGCCTGGTCCAAGACGAGGTTTCATCTCGGCATCTGAACGCATGGTGGTTTACTTTGTACTATAGTGAGTTTTTCGAGGCTCTTCTCTTTTTCCCCCAAGCTTCTTCTTCTACTTTGTCGTTCTCTGTGGTCGTGAACGAAAAGCTCCCATGGCTGATATGCCGTCCAGCGTTCAATGCCGCTCTGGTTCTCGCCGGCATACTCCTGGTGTGTCAAGACCCTACCTTTGCAAACGCGGATGCTCCTTCACGGTCTTCGTGCAAGGAAGGCCTCGAGCGCGCAGTGTCGGCATTGTCACGTCTCGACCCGAGGGGCAATATGGTCATTGAGCGCTGTCGCGATTACTTGCTCCGATTGATAGCCGCTGTCGAGACACTGAGTAAGTCTGCCTCCCAGATGGGCCTTTTTCTGGAGTCCTCCGATATCATTGCTCTTCCACGTTCAATCACACGGTTCGAGATCTTACTGCACCAAGCTCTTCGGCTCGCCTCGTTATGTCCCTTCAATTCGCATGCTCCGAGCCGATCGCGCTGACACCATAGGCTCTGAAGCATTCAAATATCACGACTTCATGGTCCCATCGCTGCGCGATACGACATCGAGCGGTCACACGGCCGTTTTTGCGCCGCCGGCGCCAGGACCGGCTGTCGACTACTCGACCGGTGCACTTTTCGCACAACAGGTCGAGCAGAGCGGTTATCGCGACGCCCGGGATGGAGGCATCTCGGGCCAGGGCTTTAGAAGTGGCAACGGCGTCGGTGGTGTGCATGGGAGTTCGACCGACCCGCACCTGGGTGATCTCATGACCGGGGATGATCTGGGGTTCCTGGACTTCCACTTTGCACGCAATGGCTAGACCCGGCGAAGCTCCCCGAAGCTGCACAAGTGGACGCACCTAGGGAGAAACCAAAATTCATTTTTGGGGTCAATTTGGCGTCCCTTTGGTGCACGTATCGGCAATCCCCCGATTGGATGCAGGCCGCCCATATCCATGGTCTTATTGGCAATACTTGCGCCAACATTTTGGGATGAACGTGGCAGTGAGTGTCGATTCTCTCTCATGACTGCCTTCGTCAAGGGACTAGAAGATTATGGGGACCAGAAGGTTCCACGGCCTCTTTCCAACGTGTCACTTCAAGATATAGGCCTCGACCATTTGTGGATCGCTGCAAAATTTGTATAGCTTTGCGATGAACAATATAGTTTCGTCAACAACACTGCCAACTTCAGTCACCGAGGGCTGGCTACGAGGGATACTAGCCTGGAAATTCATCGTTCAAGCCACGTCCATAAACAGAAGAACTTGACAACGTTAACGCCGACCGTAGGCGGGAGCGCGTCCCTAAATCCGCCCAACTGCCGTGGTGTTTTTTACGGCCAATTATACAAGGTTCGTCAGAGACGGCATTTCCCCGAAATGGTGTTGCTTCGTTTGAAGCAAACACAAGGTGGATTCGGCTGTTCGTGGTCGCGAGAGACAAGAAGCCTAGTCCGAGAACCAGAGGCCAAAGTTCCTGAAAATCTTTAAGGTATCAAACTCAGCAGGCTGAAGGCCTCGTTCGCAAGGACAAGCAAGCGAGCAGGATGATACTCAAGAACTTTCTCCTCCCAGATTCGGCACCAAGATTGGACATATCTGCTCTGCCTACCAGCCGACTGCAATTGCCGGATCGATGGCTCTTTGAGGACGGCAACGTTGATACCCAGGTCGCACGCCAAGATTCCCCAGTCTACAGCTTTTTGATCTCGCACCCGTCCGGGAAGCATATTCTTTTTGACCTGGGCTTGAGAAAGGTACAGTGCACTTCCTTCGTGAACACACAGTGGCGAGAACTGAAAGAAAGAAACAACATCAGGAGCTCGAAAACAACCCAGATGTCATCCGGAACGATTATGGAGCAATATCGCCTGAAGCACCCAAGGACGCTGTCAATCTTCTGGCGGAAGGGCCTGTCTCGGCCTCAGATATCGACGCCGTGGTGTTCAGCCATCTTCATTTCGACCATACGGGCGATTGCACCAAATTCCCTCAGGCGTCGCTGATCGTCGGTCCAGGGAGCCGCGCAGCAACCACGCCGGGCTGGCCCAAGGACCCTGCCTCGCCGTTTCTGTCATCGATTCTCGATCATCCAAAGTTCCGGGAATTGAGCTTCGAAAGGGAGACGTGGATCGAACTTGGTCCTTTCGAGCGAACGTATGACTATTTTGGCGACGGCAGCCTATATCTCGTCGACACACCGGGCCATATGCCGGGCCATTTGGGCGCGCTCGTCCATTCAGGGCCAGGCGAATGGGTTTTCACCGGTGGCGATTGCTGTCACCATCGGTCGTTGCTGATGGGCAGGAGACCCATGAGTGTGACTGTGGGTCCGAATGGGACGAAGAGCTTCCATAAAGACCCCGAAACTGCAAAGAGAACGATAGAAAGGGTCAGAGACTTGGATAACGACGAGAGCTTTTTGGTCGCATTGCCACATGACGCCACTTTGGATGGCATTATGCCTCTGTATCCGGAAAAGCTGAATGGTTGGAGGAATAGTCAGTGGAAGAAGGACTTGGATACCAGGATTGCCACACTGTTTCCTTAACCGCGAAGTAATGATTTCAGCTGATATCATCAACGTATCAATAGTTTTGCGAATATGGATCGAAACCAAGTACGGGGTTAGGTTTCAACTTTGTCTCTGTTCACGATTGCCGTATTGGAAGACTTTTGACCGTAACACTTATATACTGGTCTTGGTTCGACCTTGTATGGAAAACATTCTTCCATCAGGAGATTTTATGTCTTGAGCAGACTGTCCTGATTTAGTCTATTTTCAGACCCAAGAGTTGACACGCGTTTTTGTAGCCGATCAGGGCGAGCTCTTCCTCGTTCACCAGGCCACTTCCTCTGAGCTCTTCCATGAATTGACGCCCAAGATGTGCAGGCGCGAAAGGGAAATCAAGGGAATACATGATTCTCTCGACCTTTGTCGTCCGCAGCAAGCAAGCCATGGGCGCCAGAGAAAACATGCCCGCCGTTGTGATCCAGATGTTATTGTCCCAGACTTCCCTAAGTCCCCGTCTATAACTTCCCCAGGTGTCTGCGAAGCGAAGAATGCGGTCCAGTTGAAAGGGCAGCATCTCGCCCATGTGTCCGACGATCACCTGGAGCTTGGGGAAGCGGTCGAACAACCCGCTGGCGAACAGTCGGAGTAAATGGAGGGCGACTTGTGAATGCCAGCCGAGTCCGAACATGCCCAGCTGGTGGGAGGCTCGCTCGGAGAAATTGCCCCGGTACTGGATCTCCTTCATCTTTTCCGAGGGGAACGTCGGATGGAGGTAGACGGGGACGTCGAGCTCCTCGGCCTTGGCAAACAACGGCCAGAACCGTTCGTCGTCGTAGAATTCCCCGTCGAGGTGATTGGGGATCAAGGTCCCCACGAACCCAAATCGCTTCACACATCGTTCCAGCTCGCGTGTAGCGGCCGGGATGTCCGAGAGTGACAGCGCGGCAAAGGCAGCGAACCTGGCCGGATTGGACTCGACGCCCTTTCGAAGCTCCTCGTTTGCAATGCTCGCCTCGGCGCCCGACAGATGGAGCGGCGTGTACGAGACGACCTGGATTTTCGTCGAGCTCGCGTCCATGTCCTCCAGACGCCCTGCGCCAAACGACGTGAGCTTGTCGAGCGCGTCGCGGTATGAGACTTGGTAGAAATCATGACCCGGGTTGGTTGCAAAATTCGCTCGCGAAGCATAGTGCTCCTCTAATGCGACAAACCGCGCCATTGCTGCAATCTAAGTGAATGGGATTTCGTTTCCTTCGTTTAAGGTTGTTCGAGAGCGTTGTATACACAAGAGTCATATGGGCCTCCATCACCAACTGCCATTTGACCCTGCCCGAAGTAGCCCCTACTTACGCCACGGGATATCCATCCGGACGACTTCTTACTCCAGGGTTACCCAACCGGCGGACCCACTTCTGGCGGGATATCCCCTCGATCCGGTCCCCCTATGTGACCGAGGCGTCGCTTTGGTATGGGATTTGAAGAGCTCGAGGCTGGTGTATTTTATAGTGCTCCATCCTCTCCCCCTAGACATGATTACAAAGTCGACATGGTCACAAACTCGACAGCACGCAAGATGAAGCCCGAAGTGATCGAAGCATCCCAGCATGAATACTGCGATCCAGCAGAGGACGTGGTACTGGACAAGTCCTATCCAGACGATGTCAACACCGGAATGGCAGCTGGAGTTGAAAGGCACGCACTCATTGCAATATTTGTATTAAGACTCCTCCCACAACTTCTCAGGAGGGTTTTCACTAATGCGGCGTCAGTTCCTCGGCCTCGCAGTCGTTTGCCCAGTGTCCATTGGCTTTTTGACCGTATCTGGCACGCTTCTTGATATTGGTCGAGGGTTGAATATTTCGTCTGCTGCGCAACTGCAGTGGGTCACTTCAGGTTATGCTGTGGGATCGTGTGTCTCTTTCCCCCTGGCAGGCAGCATAAGCGACATCTTCGGACGACGCTGGGTCATCATTTCTGGTCAGGTCATTGGGATTGCAGGTGCTGTGAGTCCATCCAGCAGCCCGGAGCCTGGAGAGAGATGCTGATCAAAGACCACAGATTGTGGGAGCCACGGCCACGAACGTCAACACAGTCATTGCATCCGGAACCGTCCTGGGGTTTGCCACTGGGATTGTCTTCACCATTTACGCTGCAGTCCCAGAGATCTGTCCGAATCGATACCGGTGAGTTCAAAACCTGACACAAGGTCAAAATCCAAGAGTACAATGCTGAGCCACTGTTGTCGTTCCAGGGGTCTCGGTCTGGCTTGGATCGAGGCATGCATTCTTTTCCCTTGGGGTACATTGGCCGTTCTTTTGGGCAAAGAAATTGCCGCGACTATAGGATGGAGATGGATCTACATCATCGCCTGCATCTACGGTGTCATCGGTGTTGTCGGGACCGCCGCATTCTATTTTCCACCCACCCGACAACACTTCGATGAGAGATCAAAACTGACTCGGTTCCGTCAACTCGATTTCCTAGGCCTTGGCCTCTTCGTCTCCGGGGTCACTACGCTGCTCATTGGCTTGTCTTGGGCCGGAACCACGGGTCACCCCTGGAAGTCTACCTCTGTCATCTGTCCCATTGTCCTGGGCGGTGTTCTGCTCATCTCGGCCTTTGCCTACGATCTCACTCGCGGAGAGAAAAACCACGTCCTATTTCCAGCAGATCTATTTTCCATGACCCGAAAATTCACCACCGCCTTGGTCGCCATCTTTGTTGCCGGTATGATATTCTATTCCATGGCAGCACTTCTCCCCCAGGCTTCCCTGTACCTCTTTTCCGACAACCACATCGAGCTGGGCCTCATCCAATTGCCCAACGGAATCGGACAGACCGTCGGTGCAGTTGTGGGTCCGATGATCTTGCACAAAACCAAACGACCCAAATATCACATCCTCGTGGCATTGTTTGTGCAGACGCTGGGGGTTGGCCTCTACGCATGGGCCCTCCCCAAGCACAAAGCCGCTTGGATGGCGTTCCAGTTCTTCGGGCAGGGGTGCTTTTCTTGGCTCTCGGTCTGCTGTATCATGAATGCTGGGCTCCATGTAAAGCATGCCGAGTTGGGCATCGCCACCGGCGTCATTTGCACTTTCAGATCCTTTGGCGGCAGTGTCGGGAATGCCATCTTCAACACGATCCGGTCGTTGGTGCTGACCAAGCATCTTGCGCCCGAGGTGGTCAAGGCGGCCGCTCAGCATGGGTTTGACGCCAGAAATCCCAAGAATGTGGGACTCCTCCTCACTGCCGTGGCAAAGGCGGTGGTAGGCATTCCTTACGCCTTCAAAAACGTCCCCGGCGCCAACGCCGCCGTCGAGCTCGCCTCCATTCAAGCCTTTAGGCACGCCCAGTCGACAGCCTTTCGCACCGTGTTCCTGTCCACGATTCCGTTCGGAGTGATCGCCATTGTCGTTGCCTTTTTCATTGAAGACGCATCGAGATTGATGAACAATCATGTTGCTGTGAAGTTGAGGAATAGACGAGGCATGGTATGAGTGTCAGACTTCATTCCTTCCTTTGACGCCTTTCAAGTGCCGCCTCGTTCTGTGAGGGACACGTCGCACAGGTAACAGGCCGAATGGCCAGCGGGTATGGACGAGATGCTCGCTGTTGATGTAACCCCACAATTTCTTGTCTCAGCGCCAGGTTTTGAGTTGCTGGGATGCGGACAATCCTGACTGACCGTGACAACGGACAGTAGGCCAGTCGGGCCAAGATGTGGCAGTGGTTGACGGTCCTGCATTGTGTGGACGGTGGCGCGGCCAGGTGCCGTTGACAGTGCGGCTTCCACTGCTCTCCGATGACCCAGTGGAAGCAGAGGCGGCCGCGCTCCGGAAACACTGGATAGATGCTTTTGATAGAGTCGGCCTTCGACCTGTCCGAGGGCGATCGCTTTCCCTTAGGTCAAATTCTTCCAATCCCGACGTTCTTGACCCAGTGCTCCTGGTACTGACGCAGTGCCTGCTTCTTCAGCTATTTGAGCGGTTAGTGCGTTGCCGCTTAGGCTCTATGCGAGTATGACCGCCGTCGCCGTCGTCGTGGATAAGCGCCTCTTTGTCTAGTTCCTCACGCTGCGTGTCGCGGTATATATCGGCTTCTAGGTGCATCGGGAGCGTGTCGGGGAGGCCGTCCTCGTGAACTCTTCCATACTTTAGAAATACTCAATGTGACGGTGGTCGCTCGTTTCATTTCGGAAAGCAGCTTAGCCGTCGACGGAGGAACAGTTGTTCACGTAACTCTAGCCAAAGGTCCGTTTCTCAGCTTGTGTTAAGTGTTATGAGCGTTATACGGAGGTATCGTTCTATGACGGCGCGAGTCAACAGAGGTATATTAGGGCTCGACCCGACCGCACCGGAGTTCGGTCCAAGTTCGCTAGACCAACACTGACACCTCGGAATAGCGCGCGCCGACGAGGGGAGCCAACTTATACCTTATATTAGTCCCTCTATCTAGCTTAAGCACCCCGTATTCCGTTGTCCAGGACTCAATACCCGGCGGCTCACTCAAGGCTGCCCATTTCTCCTCTGAGACTAGGTTATCCAAACCCATCGACACGTTGCTGTTATTTTAATCTTCGATAACAGAATACGACAACAGTCTGCAAACCATGAAGCTCGCGGACCAGGTTGTCCTCGTGACGGGTAAGTGCGAGCTAGATATATAGACCTACCTACCTACCTACCTACCTACCTACCTACCTACCTACCTACCTGTCTGCTCCTCCTCCGAGAGAAAAAAAACTGCGCTGTTATGTACTTCAGCGGTAACATCCCGTTGCCTGCGAACCAAGGACTCGTTTCCCCCCCTCCCCGTCCTTTTTGCGCCATACGCAACTCAGCAGGCTAATAATCTTGCAAGGCTCGTCTCGCGGACTGGGACTGGCAATCGCGCGGGCATTCCACCACGAAAACGCCAGGGTCGTGGTGAACTACTTCCACGCGGCCGAGGACCGGATCTCTGTGCTGCGGACGACGGAATTCGGTGCTTCTTCTCCCTCTTCCCCCCAGGATGATCGTGTCCTGTTCGTCCGCGCGGATGTCACTGAAATCGACGGAGCCCGAGAACTGTTCCGTCAGGCAGAGCGGCACTTTGGCCGGCCGATCACGACCGTCGTCAACAACGCCATGGTGGGCGACTTTGCGTTCAACGGCGACGCCAGAGCCCCAATCTCGCAACTCACGTGGTCCGCCTTCGACTCGCAGCTACAGGGATTCCTCCGCGGCGCCTTGAACACCACGCAAGCGGCGCTTCCGGGATTCGAGAAGCTGGGGTTCGGCCGCATCATTAACATTGGCTCAAATCTGTTCCAGAACCCCGTCGTGCCGTACCACGACTACACCGCGGCCAAGGGCGCGTTGCTGGCCTTCACCAGAACGTGCGCGGCCGACCTGGGACCAAAGGGCGTCACCGTCAATATGGTATCGGCGGGCCTCTTGCACGTCACGGATGCCAGTGCAGCCACGCCCAAGGAGGTGTTTGATCACATCAAGGCCGTCACGCCCCTGAGGAAGGTTACCACGCCCGAGGATGTTGCAGGGTCGGTCTTGTTCTTCGCGAGCCCGTGGGCTGGTGCAGTGACTGGCCAGCAAATAGTGGTTGATGGAGGGCTGGTCATGAATTGATATGCCGAAACTCGATCATGGTAAGGAAGGGGACGTTGAGTCGGGGTCGGATGGACAGGATTGCTTCCATCATCATCATCATCATCATCATAACTTGGCGGGTGACTTGGACGACGGTGGCGTCTGTATCTCCACAATGGCCTTGCCCCAGACCTTGCGGGCCGCGAGGTCATCCAGCGCCCCCGGGACGCTTTCTAGGCCCGCGTATGTCCCGTAGATGACGGGCTTGATCTGCCCTCGTTGGACCATCTCATTCAACCCTCTCCATATCTCTTGGTTCTCTTTGGGATTGCGTCTCCCTGTTTCACCGAATCTCTGCGGTCATGGTTAAAAAAAAAACCCGTCAGCCAGGGCAATTCTCGCTACATATATATATGCAAGCGGGGGTTTTTGATCGGAAAAGAGGAAAATGTAGGGGGGGTTTGAGAGACTCACATAACCCAATAACTTGACGCCCTTGAGTAGCACTCTGTTCATGGCCAGGGTCTCCATCTTGCCGCCCCGACCCGCGAATCCAGCAATGACGATTTTTCCTCCAAATTTTAGACATCGGATGCTCTTCTCCACCAGGCCGACGGTGTCGTAGACCGAGTCGACCCCGACATTCCCCGTCAGCTGGAGCACGTCCTTCTCCCACCCGTCCCTGTCGTATCTGACCACACCCAGGACCCCTGGCAGTCTCCTCACCACCTGGGCCTTGTCCTCGCTGCCGACCGTGCCGATGACTTTGGCGCCGAGAGCGTGGGCAATCTGCACCGCGACCACGCCCAGTCCGCCCGCGGCGGCGTGCACCAGCACAATCTGCCCGGGCTTGACCTCGGCGACGCGCACCAGGGCGCCATAACTCACCGGCGCCGTGGCGGCACCCACGCCCGCGGCGTCGCGCAGCGTCCAACCCGCGGGCAACCGCTGCAGCGCCGACGGCTTCACGGCAATCTGCTCGGCGAACCCGCCGACGTCGGCGCCCCAGACGAGGTCGCCGGCCTTGAACCCGCTCGCGGCAGGCGCCCGTGCCACGACGCCCGCGAACTCCAGCCCCAGAACGAACGGCGGCTTGACCAGGCCGATGTGGTTGTTCTGGTGCGCGCCTCGGCTGTACAGGAGGTCCACGTGGTTCAGGGCGCTGTGCGTGATGGTCACGAGCACTTGATCGCCCTCTGGTGTTGGAGCAGGTACCTCGATGGGCCGCAGCTCTGAATACGTCTTGACGTACTGGTTGATCTGGATGGCTTTCATGCTGTGCAGGAGGAGTAAGTGATACCAAGGGGGAAAATGTTGACCTGTTGTTGGTTCGATGGATTGGGCTGTCCGTATGTACCTGCACAATTCGGGTTCTTTTTAAACAAGACAAGGCGTGCAAGTAACAGTCTCTGATCACGTACCTCACACAGGCTCTAACATTCTAAGCGTCTTGGAGTGAGAGCAATATGAAGAGCATGTACTTGTACTGTGCACAAGCCGGATAGTGTTTGGAGTTTACCGAGGTCCGACGACGAGGCTGGCCGTTCCATTGATTGATATGGCGTCCACCCTCAGCCTCGTCCAAACGCCCAACGTCCCTCTCCTTCAATCCGCCAAGCAAGGGCATCTCAAAACAGGAAGAGTTGGCCACGAAAATTCAATGATATCAATTATAGACCCGGAAATCTCTGTCACATTCGACCGGTGAAATGAAGGATCAATAAGTCTTGTCCATAGTCTTACAGAACATCCCCAATCATCTCCCTAACTCGCAGCCAGAAGTGAATATCCAAGGATCATTTGAAACGTAGGAGCTCTACAATGTATCTCCCTAATTCGGCTCAAATGGTGACTTCGGGTAGGCTCATAGTGGTCCCTGAAAATTGCGCAGGAGCTCTGACAAAGATGTATCAACAAGCTAAAGGTGGGAGCAAGTCCAAAATGAAACCCAGAGAATGGTAAACAAAAAAATTCCTCCGCGGGGTTTTCTCACAAGTCTGAGTTTTTTGCTTCTGATCATTATTGCTGGATGGGGAAGACAGAGAGGCTGGCTGGGGTTCGAATCTAAGAGTGAGCAGGAGTGTCAAGAATAAAAGAGTTCTTTTTGGTCTGTGGGAGTCAACGGTCGCGGCCAGGAGAGTACGATAGCGACGAGGGGCCCCCGAAGCTGAATGGTCAGAGAGGTTGGAATAGAGCTCCCTCCGGCTTTGGAAAAGTTGGCTGGGACTTAATGAGTTTGATGCGTTAGTTTCACGCTGCAAAACTCTCCCATTTGCTCAACTAATCTGGCCTCCGGGAACGTTGTTTGACAGGAGACGGCCAGAGCTTCCCTCTTGCATTCGCTCACCTTGCGTGGCGCTCTCGAATCAGTTTGCCAGACAGTAGGCGCGGCCCTCGACAGCATAGAGAGAGCTTCGTCGCGACGGCCTGAACCAAATATCAGCGTGGAGGATACCAGGACTGTTTGCAAGAATATTGGCTGTTCCCGAAAAGTCGCAATTGGCTTGAGATCATGGAGCAGTAGCATTGTGGTAATATCAAACGCGGTGAGTTCTTCGCGATTTCATCCCATTTTTCCGCCAGTGTCTATGCTTGTAGTTGTTGTATGTACAATCCCGCCATCCGCAGCCACTCTTCACTGCCCATTCCGCAGTCGGATTTTGGTACACCTTGCACCCAGCATGTCAAACTCCTTGATCGTTGCTTATTTGGCGACGTGCGCCTCGGGCTTCGCATTGGGATTTCGAGGATCGTTCTTGTATTCTTCCGCTATTCGTTCAAAGTTCGTTAGCGCACTGCGTCGGAATCGCGTGCCTTTCGTCGGACGGCAATCGGCCTGTCAAGTTCTGCAGAGGCGGGATTGGATCTTACAGTTCATCATGGCATTTGCACCGGCATTGATGGCGTACAGGACAACAAGACCAGCAGCGTAGAAAGGAATCATCGGCTCGGCTGAGAGTGACATGGATTAGTGTCTCCCAACTTTGAGAAAACGCGGCTCCAGCACTACGTACCAACTTTGCCGGGGAACTTCTTGGGAATAAAACCAGGCATTCTGATGGGGAGGTTGTTGGTGAGAACGAAGCGAGCTTGCGTGAAGGGAGTTCTGTCGTCAATGAGCTTCCGAGAAACTTGGGGGTTCTCAAGCTTGAATACGCCTAAACCTGATTGGTAAATACCTTGGCACATTTGGCACGTTTGCTAAGGCACTGAGATCGGACTTTCAACGCGCCCGCGTCGCGGCGGGGTTGTTTATCCAGGGCAAAATGAGCAAACCCTCCTTGAATGTGACCCAACAGGAATTGTTATTCATTGAAGATGGCCACTCTTGGTCCGGCTGTCTCCTCCCTACGGTCCTCCATCTCCCTTCTCGAATCCAGCATCTCGATCCTCGACGAAGGCGTCTCGGACTTCCCTCGCCTATGCAAGGTTCTCCAGACGCAACAACACTTCGAACTCCTTCCCGAACCCACGCTCCGCGAAGCTCAGCAGTCTCTTGTCGATGAGATTGTCCCAGCAATCCACCAACTATTGTCCACGGCGGAGAACTATGTCAACCAATTGGGCCGAAGAGAAGAGAGTCTCAAGGCGAGATCTGAATTGCTTGACGGGAGACTGAATACCAGCAGGCGAAGGACGTCAAGTTTTGGTGGTAATAATGGTGTCCGGTCTCTCCGAAGCACGAAGTCAGGTCAACCTGCGGCGCCCTTGACCGATGCCAAGATGTTGGAGATGAAGCGTCTACAGCAAAAGAAGGAGAGACTGCAATATGCCATTGAGCGGTTGGAGTTGCAGAGCAAACAAAGAGAAAGAGAATTGAGGAAGAGTATGGCTATTGTGAAAGAGTGATCTAGTGGTTGCAGGAGTGAAAGAAGTGCACAGATTTATATCGATCAGCTCCGCAGGAGCTTTAGTATCGAAGCCCGATGCCCAAAGCTGGGGAGACGGATCACAAATGCCGCCAACCCTGCGCGACTGCTTGAAGGTCGTCTCAATCTTACGGGGCCGATGAGCGATCGCGCGGTACGCCCATGGCGCTTGGAGCGGAATTATGGGTTTGGAGACATCTTGCATGATATGACCGATCCGACAGAGACGTCGTTGAGCCTTCACATGAATAACGTGCCATGGAGAGAGGGGAAATCAGAAAAAAATCTTTCTTTTTGCAAGAATATTTTATTGCTATAATGCGTGGGAAGCCATAGTGGACCTGTGTCTGCTCTATGCGACTCTCATACACTATGAGATCGTTGTCCGAGACACCGCACAGCGGGTCGCAGCTTGCTGGGACAATGTTCTAGTCACTGGTGGGAGGGTTTGCTCTCGGCAGAAAGGTCAGCAGGCTGAAGGAAAAGCAGCAATGCGGAAGGGGTATCTTATCGCGCAAGGAAAGAAATATCGGGCAATCTGGTGTCGGAAGGGAGGAAATCAAGGAATTCCAGCTTGGAATCAGCGATGTGTAAGAGCACCATCGCTGGCTCGAATCTGGGGGACCCTTGAGCCCGATCAGGAGCTCGAGCAGACCGGCAAGGTGCTAAGTGATCTCCTCCTCGATCCAAACCATGTAGGAAGACATCAACCCTTGGGGGAAGAGCGTATGTCCTGAACTGGCGAGATTTCTCAACATGTGATTGCGTTTCCTCCTAGGCGGGCACCGACACCTTTTTCCTCTCTTTGGTAGCAGTGTTGCACTCGTAAACTTGGCTCATGTCGATGTGGTGCATCTCAGGAAGAAATTTGCACGCAGGTATGTTACATGCTCCGTTGCGCGGGCACATGTGGCCAAGCGGGCATTGAGGATCCTGACAAAACGCACTTCGGCAGGCTGAAGTTCGAGCTTTGTGTCGAAAGGTATCGAGCTGGACCTGGTTGAGGACTTGTGAATGATCCCATTCACAGTTGGCGCCGTAAGTGCATTGGCCTTTGAGGTAGAAATTGTTGCAGAGACGTGAGTTGTAGTCGTAGAGGTACTGGAGATACTGTTTGTCGATCTTGAGCGGTATGTCCAGTCGCTGTCCATATTGGTTCTGGTAGATAATCGGCGACGGAACAATTGGAGATACCGCTGGTTGTTGAGCATTGAGACCAGGCTGGGCTTTTGGAGGCGTAAGAACCGCAGCCACTGGCCGCGGCGATGGCCGATCTCGCACTGCTGACAACGGTTCAGGTGCAGGTCTTTTGACACCTGCGACGACAGTGGCGGTGCCGTTCGGGATGATCTGAATCTTGGTGGACCGAAAGATGGCCTTGAATGACGTTTGCTGAAAGCCTTGGGCAACTTTCTTGAGGTCATAGGGGAAGGGTGGGCCTTCAAGCAGTGTGATGCGATCGTTGAGCGCGTTTGGGAGTGCATACGGACCGAGAAAGCCAGCGTAGCTGCTATCTGCCGAGCCACCAAAGACAATGTGTTGACAGTGATAATTGCGATAGAAAAGCTCGAGGTTTGCTTGGGGAAGTCAAATCAATCTACAGTAGCATTAGCCACGGGTCTGACGCACCTTTCATCTTAGAGTCGGCAGCCTCCTTGTGGTTCCCTGCGTCGATGTAGTCCGAGAGGGGGTGGCTTCTGTTGAATCCAACCATGAATTGGTCGAAGACTATCTCGTCGGGGATGATTTTAGCTGTTTTATAAGTTCGGCTCAGACCATGGCAGTTGGCATAGACACGAATGATGACCCGGTCATCGGCATGGTATCTGGTGTTTGTCTTGTAATATTCCAGGATTGCTGCTCGAAGGTGTTTGCCTGCCTCTTCACCACCTTCCAGGCCTCTGGACACAAATTCATCAAGGAACTGTTCGTGTCAGATATAACAGGAGGGTCGCGCATCATATGACTGTGATATAGCTTTCACTCAACCTTACCGGCATGCTGTCACCATCAACCAAGACGAGAACAAATCTGTCGCACTCCTCCTGAGAGTATGTCAGCTCTGTCGGAAAGGGGAGAACGGGCGCCGTTTGCCACCATGGATGTCTTTATCAGCGACTTCTCCGATTCTGCTTGGACCATCTTCTGATAATACGTGCGAGCAGTATCTCGGGCCATATCGAGCTCATTCCTCGCGGCATCGCGTTGCTGTGTCAGTTGTTCGATGTCTGCCAACATCTCCTATGACGATTTAGCGGCGGCCACAATCAAATCTCCTTCGTGACATACCTCAAGTAGGGCGTTTTTGGCGGCATCGCCACGTACAATTTCTTCTACACGCGCCTTTAATGACGCCATTGTGAGAGAGAGACCAGATCAGAAGTAAGAAACGCGAAATGTTGTTGTGAGTGATTCTCAAGGAAGAATGTTTCCTCGCTGTGATGGCACGATGGCTGCCTCCAAGAAAACCAAATGTGCCAAGCAATATGAAAGTCTTGGCAAATTTGCCGATTTCAACAGCAACTACTAGTACCTACCGAGCTACCTACCTAGTAGGGGTGAAACGTTGCAACGACAAACAAACGTTAGAGTGCCATTGCTTCAGAAGTCAGGAAAAGGTCCAAATCAAAGATCGAGACCTGTCGGGACTGCGAATTTCCAGCTATATCTTCTCTACTCCACACCATTCCGCGATGAATAGTGCCATTGCGGTCGTCACCCTTTTTATGCTCTCGATGCTTACCCATTCATCAAAGCCGTGAATATCCCCGCTGATCGGGCCATAAACCAAAGCAGGTATTTTGTCATACAAGCTGTGAACACGGGCGTCAAGGTAGGCGGTTGATGTCTGGCACGTTAATTCCTGGCCAGTCGCTTGCTTGTGGGCCTGGCGCAGCACATTCTCGGCCTCGCTGCCAGGCTCAAGGACGTAACCTTCAGAGTAGAAGCCGTTCCATATCACTTTTGGCGGGTTTGCACTGAGATAGGGGTCGTTCCGAGAGAAATCTGCCACCTTCTTCTCAATCTCCTCTGCAGCGGATTTGGCAGTGACACCAGGAACGATTGCTATCCGACAATCTATGCGGCACCAAGCAGGAACCGAGCTTGCCCAGTCTCCAGCATTCACAATTGCAACGTTCAAGTCTGTTCATTATTAGCCGTTTCTTGAACTCGCCGCGTCTGAAGTGCCACCCGGAGGCACACGGAGAACTCACTGAGAGGGTGTTTCTCGTTTTCGAAATATTGTGCACTGACGTGGCGGTCATTCCACTCAGCCTCCAATTCTCTCAAGGCCCCTACTACCTTCCAACATGCGTCGACAGCATTGACACCGGTTCCCATAGCCCTGACATGGACCGGCCTGCCGCGGACCTCGATCTGAAACCACAAGACACCCACATTTGCCCGAACAAGCTGTTCCTGCATTGGTTCCGGAATGAGGACAGCGTCTGCCTTGTACCCCTTTAGATGTGTCATCAGCGTGCCATTGCCCGTAGACTCCTCCTCCACGACAGACTGCAAAATGACCTCTGATGCTGGCTGGAGGCCAATACGCTTCAGCGCATCAAGAGCCCATACATTCGCAGCGTGGCCGCTCCGCATGTCGCCGGACCCTCTTCCGTAAAGCTTGTCCCCTTCAATATGAGCACTGTACGGCTCGTCTTTCCACATATCCACGGGCCCCAGAGGGACGACGTCAATATGCCCGTTCAAAATGAGACTCTTCCCCTCGGCATGTTGCGCTTTTGGCTTGTGCGTGCCGACGACAATCGGTGCATGCGAATGCGTGGCACTGAACCTGCCAGCGCCGACATGTTGTGAGAGCGCTTGCTCATCCATGTCAAATTTGACTGGATCATAGCCCCGGTCTGCGAACTGCTCAAAGACGAAGTTCTGGACCTCTGTCTCCTGGCCACGTTGGCCTCCGAAGCGAATTAACTTCTGTGTATAGGCTAGCTGTTGGTCGAAGCCGTCGGAGACGGACTTCTTGATCGCGGCAACGAGGTGTTCTGAGAGTGCTGGCATGGCTGAAGTGTTTGCGATCTGACCGTTTCCCGTGCTTCCACCCCGGCAATATGGTAGCTTGTATGCAGTGCGTTCAAGAGAAGAATTACAGTCGGACATGGAGCAGGGGACGATTTGCTGGAGTATATTCGACTGTGCTGTGGCGTCTCCGCACGGACATCTCCATTCCGACTCACTGACGATAACGGCTCCATGAACACCGGCTGCCTTTGCCTTTTTGGTGGGTTAGCTCGGTAGACGTTTGTAAAGTTGCGAGTCTCAGCAGCCTGCGAGATGTAACCTTTGTGTTATTTGGTTTGCATACATATCAATCATCCTCAGGTACCAAGTGACCGGCGGCGAATCAACTACGCCCACGGTGTCTCTGGCTCTTCGGTTAAGAGACAACAACCGCTGGCGGATTGAGCTTGGGGCCTCCATTGCGCCATCTTTCCAGCTCAACTTGGACCGTGCAAGGCTGGGCACGGTTTGGACGGAAAGGCCCAAGTATTGACGTTCACTTCTTTTGATTTTGTCTTACATCGAGTCATGACGTCGCCGCACCGCCAGCGCTTCACAACTATCTACCAGGTAGCTAAGTATCTGCTCCATCCCATCCTGGGTGTACAGTCTCTGGCGAAAGGAATAGGTCAATCTACTGTGATACGCCCAAACGATAGAGAGAACAGGCGAAGAACAACCCATCAAAAATAGCAGGCACCTTCCAGGGACAAGGCTTCAAACACCAAGGGTATCACATGGCTGCTCGACGAGGTAAGATAGACTTCTCCACCTCCACCACAAGGGATCGTTCTGGCCCAAGAGTTTCGCTTCCGATACCTTGCTTCCTGACGTTGGCCTATGCCACATGTCGTTACGATGAAATATGTGGGCCACCGGCAGGTACGGCTTTCCCACAGAGTGGAGAATATCAGCCGTTTTGGACTCGTCCCTGTTGAGTAAACAGCTACATCGGTACAAACACCAGTGGCGTCACAAATCCAGAACACATGACCGAGCGATACTCGTTTTGCAACTGCTTGTCGCCCGAGGCGCCCCGCGCATTGTCCTAAAAGGGTCGCTTCGCGATTAGTATTGACCATCTCGAACGATGCAAAGGCCACGCCGCTTGAAACCAGGTAAGAAACCGTGGCCCTGTCAAGCCTGTAGAGCTTTCTCCCCACTGGTCTCGACCCAGAATACCGCTGTCTGTTCGCTCACACTCCGACATGCTCAATTGGCTAAGCCCAGACGGGGGAAACCATGATCGAGTAATCCGTTGTTCCATTCCACCACAAGCCAACATGATATACATATGGTGTCCCCAAGACAAGCCAACCCTAGCAGAGACACGCACTGAAAACCCACTGCGTTTGTTTCCCTGCCTATTCCTCTCTTCCCAATGGCCCAGTCGCAGCTCCAAAGGTGTATACCTTTCCCTTCCTGAGACGAGGTTGAACTCCAATTGACTCCTCTACAGGCCGAACTTGTTGAACGCGGTGCTTGACGCTGCCGGAGGCCTCGACCACTTCAACCAGATCGAATGGGTTGAAGTCGTCGCCGATGTATCCGGGGCGTTCTGGGCAAAGAAGGGCTACCCGAACCGTCGCCTGATGACCGCCTATGTGGACGTGCACAAGCCGAGGGCCGTCTTCTACAACTTTGGAGCTCACCTGGACGAGCCGCACCTGCGCTGGATCTGGACGCCCAAGCACCTGTCAGTCGAGCGGCCAAACGGCAGTGTGATCCTCTCGCGCAGTGACCCATACAAACACTTTGCAGGCCACGTCCTGACCACGCCCTGGGATGATCTGGATCTGCTGTATTTCACGGGCTATGCACTGTGGAACTACATCGTGACGCCCTTCTACTTTACCTGGCCGGGAATATTGACTCGGGAGCTTGACGATTATCATCACACAACAGAGGCCGGCGGCGGCGACGAGACCTGGCGCGTTCTGGAGGTGACGCATCCGGCTGACTTCGCCACCCACTGCAGGGTGCAGAAGTTCTACTTTGACCCCCGCTCCTATCGGCTACGACGGCTCGACTACACGGTCGACGTCGTCGGGGATTCGGGCCCCATGGCACACTACGTCTACGACGAGAAGAAGGTCGGTGGGATCCTTTTCCCCACCCTCCGCCGCGCGTTGAATGTCGTGGATGGTCGGCCCACGGGCTGGTCGGCGGTGTTGATCAACTTCCACAAGATCTCCGTCAAGACCCCAGACGCTGCTCGTCCGAGCTTGTAGGAGGGGTTGGGACACTGTCACATCTGATGAAATTGGGGAGGAGACACGGGCCCATGTCGCTTTGATCCGTTTTCCCTGCAAGGCGGAATGTTGTTGCACAGACACAGCTCGAGGAACTTGTTCCTGATGAGAGTCCAGGAAGGTCAGTGACCAGAAGGCCATTCGGGGAGCCGGGTAATTATACCACGTCAATCTTAAGGGGCTTCACCGATGTTCTACAATGCTTGATCTTCATCATTGCTTGTCGACTGACCAAGACCGGTGACAAGTAGCCACGACCCATGCTCGAGAAGTATCCCCAGCATCACAAAGTTTCCCCTGCTACAGCTTCTTTCGACTCACCATCCTGTCTAGAGTACGCTGCTTCTTACCTTGTTTCCCGCTTTCCTTCTCATTGCCTCGCTTTACCGCCTTCCTCCTGTCGCGAAGGCCACCGCGACCCCCGTCCCCAGCGTCCTCGTTTATGTCGCCCTCCTGTCGCCTGTCGTCACCATCGCCACCATCGCCGTCGAGGTCGAGGTTGAGGTCGTCACCGTCCTCTTCTCTCGCCCGCTTTCCACCGCTCGAGATTTGTCCATTCGCCTCCTCCCTCGCCACGGCGCCTGAATCGTCAAAGTCAAACAGCTTCTTCCACTCGCCACTGATCACCCTCTCATCATCACCAAACAAACCCACGTCGTAAGCCTCCTTCATGCGATCGAGGCAAAACCTTCTCCTCTCATTGAAGTCAAACATCGGCTTCGGATATACCTTATACTCTCCCTCCTCTCCCTTTCCAGTCCCATCACCCTTGATCAAACACCCCCAGCTCTTCTGATCCGCAATCGGCGCCTTGTGCGGCTCATAGATAAACTTCTTATCAAATCTCTCCAGCTCGGGGACATATCTCCTCACAAAAGCTCCTTCAGGATCCCACTTCTTGGGGAAACTGACGGGCGAATAGCACCGGAAGAACTGGCTGAAAAACGCCGTGCAGGACAACCACATCCAATTCCCGGCATTGCACGCGACTTCGTGGTCGACGAGCCACTCCTCAAAGACCTCCGCGCCCCTCTCCCACGACACGTAACACCCGCCCCGGGTCAGGAAGCACGCCACGGCGTGACGGCCGAGGTGGTGGATCCAACCTTCGTGCTTGAGCTGGCGCATCAGGGCGTCGATCCAGGGGAATCCCGTCCGGCCGTGCTTCCACCGCTGAAAGTATTCTTCAGCTTGCGGGTTATCGACCATGTATGTGCCGTCGCTGACGGGCTTTCCGCCTTCTTTATCGGTCGAGTATCTCGACTGCAAATGCCAGGGGATGAATCTCGCGACGGGGTTGCCCACCGTCTGTCCAAATGCCACGCCAATCTGCGCGTGCGCGGCGAAATACATGTCGCGAAAGAGCAGTTGGCCGGGGATGTTGACGGGATGATCGCTGACGTGCTTTTTCTGTCTGCGCCTCTTCTCCAGCACGGCCTCGACGTCCCACCAGAATTTACGACACGAGACACTCCCGAAATGCATGTGCGGACTCAGCAACGTCGTGGCGGCGGGTTCGAAGGCCGTCGGCGCCGTGGCCGGCTTCTCGAACGTCGAGATGTATTCCTCATCCGCCACATGGCGCGCCAGAAGCGCCAGGCCGGCGGTTTCGCCGCCGCTGTGTGGAGACGTCACGCAGGACGGGTCGATACCCATCTCCTCCAGGGTCGGGACCGAGAAGTCGCTGTCTGGACCCATGAGACCTGCAGCGAATTGCGTGTCCTTGTTGCCACCCAGCGTTCTTTGGACAGCATTGTAATCCATCCCGTCGACACCTGGCCATTTGGTGTGCGCTTGATTCGTCGTTGGCCGCTCTCCATCCCCGGAAACTTCCTGCTCCAGACCCGACAAGTCCATCTCGCTCTCACCCAAAGGGTCCGGAAAGCTGGTCGGCCTCTCCAGCGGCCTTTGGGGCACACCGTGGTTGATTTTCGCGACGGCCTTGACCAGCTGGGCCATGGACATGGTTGGCTTCCCACCATTCATCTGCACCACCTCGTCCGAATCAAACAACGTCCGTCCACTCACGCTCACGACCTTGACACCCTGATCCCCCGCGACCCGCACGACCTCTTGGTCCCTGACGCGCGCGTAGGCGTCGGTATCCTTCTCAAACACCAACACGTCGACCTTCCACCGGCGCAGCATCAACGCCATAGTCTCGGCAGGACCGCGCGCGGCACGGACGACGAACAGTTTCTGCCGGCTGTTCAGCTGCGTCAAGCTGTGCGAGAGGTCGCGCATGCACTCGACCAGGAAGTGCCACCGGTTCGCGGCCCCGCGCTGTCGGTACACGTAGTGCGGGTCCCACATCCACAGTGGGATGATGGTTGACGGGTTGAGGGACAGCGCGTGCGTGAGAGCCGGCGAGTCGTGCAGCCGCAGGTCGGTCCGGAACCAGTACAGCACGCGCGGGCCCGAGGGTGGTTGCTTCTTCTTGAATCTTGCGGGCGACATGGTTGTGTTGGTTGGTGAGGAGAGAGATAGAGAGGTAGAAAGAAAGGTAGGCAGGAGATGGGGACAGTACACCAGAACACTAGCACACCAAGAACTTGGTGGTGTCGATAGCAGAAGCAAAAAGAGAAGACGAGGCTAGACTCCCCTTATCCCAGAATCCCAGCCTTTTGGGGGGCCACCAGGCTGGTTAACAAGCCCTTCAAAAGCGGGACTAATCCAGTTAATCCGTCCAGCTATGTATGTATGTACTTGTGTAGTTCCTCGACGATATGAGCCATACAGAGAAACAGTGTCAAGGAGGGGGTTCATGTGCCAGACACTTGGTCGCGTAGGTGATTATCGTGCTTGGTACGGATAACAACCAAAAAAAGGCCATGACGCCATGACTTTTTCATGAGACCCACAGAGACTGAACTCTTGGGGCTCGTCGCTCTCGTGTTCGTGAATAAGTTTCATCATATTCAATATTCATCTATGTGCAACGATTGCTTTTATCTCCATTAGTGCTGTACCTGCCAGGCATGCTCAGCTGTATGCGTCCCAGCTCCTCTGTAGCTGCTCCATCTGTCTGTGCGGGCTCATGCTGAAGGCCTTCAATCTCAAGCGCCAGATCAGGTCTTAGTTGACCTTTACTGAACAGACCCATACATCACATTATGCATCTCATTTCCCCGCAATTTCTTTCGTCAGTCATGCCGTCGTAACCTGAGGTTGTCCATCCGAGATTTGCGTAACTGGAGCACTCCACTGGGGCTGGCCGTCCGAAATCTGGCTGATGACTTGGGGCTGTCCGTCCGAGATTTGAGAAACCGGCGGCCCAGTGGGTTGTCCATAACCTGAGCTCCAGGAATATGTAGGCGCACCATAGCTGGAAGACGGGCCTACTGAAGGCGAGCTGTAATTTCCTGAACTGGGACCTGGAGCTGGCGACGGCGGTGAAGCTCCGCTGGACAGAGTGCCTGATAGCGGGAGGTTTCTGCTCGAAGCGCCGACGTAAATGGTTGGGTTGCTGACCTCTACCCAGTTCTGAACCGTCGTATCCCAGACGGACACATCCCGGCGAGTGAGCTCGGCGGTAAACGTGGCTGATGCACCAGGTGAAATTGTCAGGCGATCGAATCCACGAAGGACTTTCGGTGGTTCTCCCTCCCCAAGCGAAACGTACAGTTGAACGACCTCATCACCGACAACATCCCCAGTGTTGGTGATTGTTGCCGTCACCGTTGCGACAACTTCGTAAAGGAGAGGGTTGCCGCCAAGTCCACCTCCAGCTGGCTGGACGGGCTGCGGTGAGCCATCAGTCGCACCGTCCGGGACATACTGATCAGTTGGAAGGCCATAATCAGGATCAGCCGACGCAGCGTCGAGGTCGGTGGTGTTGAGGTACGGGTAGATGAATTCGTAGTAACGATAAGGGATGCTGGCATTGGGGAAGAGGTACAAGGACGGATCCGTGGATGCATTACCCAAGACCGGGGCCGGCCCTGTCAATCCACCGGCGGGGACATATGGTGCTGGATTTCCCGGAGTGATGACCAAATTGGAATATTCAAAAGTGGTGTAACTGAGGCCGAATCCGAATTCGTAGATTGGCTCGATTCCCGCCGCGTCGAGGTGTCGATAATCGATGAACACACCTTCGGAGAAGAGGACTTGAGGGGCACCAAACTGCCCGTTGTTGGGTTCGTATAGGACATCGGTGCCATAGTCATCCTGGTTCCGGGCAATGCTGAAGGGCAGTTTTCCACCAGGGTTTATGAGGCCGTAGAGTACGTCGACAAGAGCATTACCGCTCTCTTGGCCGGGGAGGCCAGCCCATAGGATAGCAGTGACATTTTCGTTGTCATACCATGCAGAAACATTGACAGCGCCCACGGTGTGCATGACCACGATGGTATTGTTGTTATACTTGGTGACATTATTGATCAAGCGGTCCGCTCCTTCCCACAGGGACAAGTTATTGCGATCGCCAGTATTGCCGTCGATAGTGATGAAGCCTTCGCCGGAGTCGGCATTTGCGAAAACAATGGCCACATCTGCTTGGGTGGCAAGGCTCTGGATCTGAGAGTCTGCGTAGTTGTCACAAATGGTGAAGACCTCCGAATCGGTATTTGTAAGGATATACTGCTGGATAGCCTGTTCTGGTGTCACCAGATATGGAAACTCGCAGGTGCCGCTACCGTAAGCCATGGCCAGAGTTCCATTGTTGCATTGACGGTTTGGACAACCATTGGGGCCCCAAGGGTTGCCACAAGCATCGTAACCGATCACGGCAACCTGTTTTTCCTGACCTGTAAGTGGGAGACCGCCGTTGTTCTTCAGAAGGACATTCGACGCCTGGCCGATCTGTCTGATGATGTTGCGATGCTCGTCTTGGACATTCAGGTGTTCATTGACAATGACAAGAGGGGAATTGAGATCAGCGGCCGAAGCGTGTCCGTATGTGTCCTGGCCCCAGGCGTAGAAGTTGGTCGGAACCCTGTTGGTGTCACGACCAACATAGTAATAACCTGCCATAATTCTCGTGGCCATGTCGTCCAGCCGCCATTCAGGAATAGTACCGTTGATCACAGCAATGGTTAGATTAGTGCCCCAGTAGGTATATCCGGTGTTGAACAGTGTGTCACCAGGCATCGCCATGTCGAGCCCAGCCAAGGCTGTGCCAACTCCGGAATGTTGAGCTTGCCAGTCTGACATGACGAAGCCTTGGAATCCGAGCTCACCCTTGAGAAGGTGATTCATTGTGTAAGAGTTGGAACAAGCATAAGAGTTGTTCACCTGCTGATAAGAGCACATGACTAGAACAAGGTTAGCTCAAATTCTCGTTGCGACCCTCTCATGACCTACCTGAAGCTGTACCAGCCCGAACTGCATCCGCAAAAGGCCAAAGGTAGAGTTCATGTATAGTCTTGTCGTCAATATTTGAGCTGAGGGCGTTGGTGATGTTGTAGCCGTAGCCAATGGATTCCCCAACCTGGCGGAAGTGTTCCTGTTCGTTTCCAATGAAATGCTTCGTGCATGCCATGACGCCTTGGCTTTGAATGCCTTGGATGGTAGGGCCGATCAAGGCCCCGGTCAGGTACGGTTCGGGACTGAAACCTTCCTACGGCTGGTCAACTTGCAGACGACTCTGATGCACCAAGAGACTTCCTTACCCAGTTTCGACCACCTTCAGGTTGGCGGCCGAGGGGTCCACAGACGGGGCCGAGCTGTACATCGACACCTTTGTCTCTGTTCTCGGCTCCCATGGCTTCGCCTCTAGCTCTCGCAAGATCACGGCTCCATGTGGCAGCCACATTCAGACCAGCGGGGAAAGCAGAAACATAATCGGCTGTTCTCGGGTTATTCCCATGGCCACTGAGGACTGTGGGAAGTTCAATACTGACCGAAACGGATACCTAGCGGGCCATCCTGCATACACAGTGGCTCGAAGCCAAGGCGAGGAATGGAGCCAGTATTTCCGACACATCGATCGGATTCCCAGCTTGGCCACAAGTCAGTCTCGGGATCCCACATCAAGCTGCAGAAACCTACCCAACGCCGGTCGTGAGGTTGACCTTCTCCAGCAAAGTCAAGCCACTGACAAAGGCACGGGCCTTTTCGTAGGCTGTAGCCCAATCTCCCGTGCCAGCACCCCACGGGGATGGATACTTTGGCTCCGACGTCCAGAACGGTCCGGTGTAGTCATCGTCATATGGTTGAGCAGCTTGTCGTCTGAGGATATTATCTGCAGCCTCAACAGGCTTCAAGACAGCTTGTGAGTAGTCGGACAGTTGTACGGAAGCATTAACAAAAAGGAGAGCAGAAATAAGTGAGAGCATTCTGGCATGGTTTGGGACAGAGAGTTTTCGTTTGACAGACCATGCGATCCATGGGTGCCAGGGGACTTAAAATCTGACAATCTGGCAGGGGAATAACAGAATCCATTCGTTCGCGGATCGCTGGATTTATTGGGGCCATCAAAGGGCAGAAGGGCGGAATGGACCTTGCACTTACGCTGGCCTGGATCTGGGGCAGATAAGGCAACGCCGCCAAAGCCGCCACAGCCGCGTCCGTAAGCCACATCTTGCCAGGGGCACCCGAGGCTTATTAGGCTTATTAGGCTGATTTTCGGAAGCTCGTGCTGACGTCAACCAGTAGGAATTCCGTAAGTGATCTTGCCGGGGCTCAGCCAAAGTAGACGATACAAAATGATGGCCAAGGACCTTGAAGCGGAAGCCTGATACAGCAGAAGGGTGGAATGGCTCAGGCGAGGAGCACACCGCAGGAGAGAATGCAAGGTGCGGGTGGCAGAAAGAAAGAGTGAATAAGAAGTGGACAATCGAAGAAGTTCGGGGTATTTGAATATGAGCGTCCGAGCTCTAGATGGTATGGGTCATGTCAATGTAGATGTCATTCAGGATATTTCTGTTCCATTTCCCGTGCGCAGGCAGCTATCTAGATACATAGCTCCAAAGGGACCCTGGGTGGTAGTAATGGTGGCGCTGGCGGGCAGCGAGCTGAGGAGATGGAGAGATGGCGGAGCTCGAGGGAGCTCATGAATGAGGAAGGAGCTGGCGATGCTGGCGGTGCTGGAGGGGAGCTCGGCGAGCTCATGAATGAGGAAGGAGGGAAAGGCATGAAGACGGTGCATTATTGCCATACAAAGCAGTGGCCTTGTCGAGTAGCAGCAGGTGGGAAGCAGGTGGGAAGACCTTGTGATGCACCCAGTCGAAATTCACAACTGGCGATCCTGGGGGCAAATCCTGGCGGGGATCGATGTTGTGACTTTGAGAGATGCATTGCCGGAGCCTGAAGAGGCATGTGGAACAGGGCACCAGAGGGCAATGTTGCATTTCCCATGTCACGGCCGGGCCAGGGCAACGCAACAAAGCAAATCAAGACGAGTGGTTGAGGCGGGATGGATGAGTGCGTCGCGACAAGGCATGTCACCAGCATGTCAATGATGCTATACCCCGCAAATTGTCAGTGTTAGCCTGGCACGACTGGGTAGCATGGAGCCTATACTTCAACCGTCTGGAGTACCTAGCACCCAGCAGTGACTCGCTAAGCTCGCTGCCGCCGGGAACTGGTTGATCTGGATTGAAAATTTCAATGCATCAGATGGCCACCTGCATGCGCTGCAGATGCTGCCACGGCGGGTTGCAGATCCTCCGCTCCCGGACGAGTGTCACCACCACGACCACGACCATCACCATCACCATCTCCATCTCCATCTCCATCTCCATTCATGGCGTTGACCGTGTTGGCTCCCCGCAAAATAGGCATCCACTGTCTGGCCGACATTTATCCCATTTGCTGCCTCTTCTGGAGAAGCCATTCCATCCGGACATACGCATCGCAGGAATCGGGCCTGTCCTCAATTCTCCATAGCTGGTCAGTTGTGCCAATTGTGCCAATTGTGCCAATTGTAACCCTGTGTTGAAGCACATTATATGCTCCTCTCTGCACAGCGCCTTCGCCCATACGCCTTCGGGCCTCACCTTCCGTCCACCTGCTATGTAACGACTCCTACACCATTTGGCAAATGATCGGCTGGATACCACAATGCATCCTTACAAAACACCTTCCCCGCCAACTTGTACAAGGGCGTACTCATAGTCACAATGCACTGTGATCAATGCTTCAATGCCAGTCGATTCCTGCAATAGCGCAAACCATGGTGCAACTAATCTTGTAAATCCAAAACTCCAGGCTGTCCCCTGCTTCCCGTTAGAAACAAATTTGCTCATCCATAATTGTAACCCAAGCATGTCGCACGAAAAGCTTCGCGGGAGCTGCCATTTCCACGCATACGCATGTCTTTCGAACATGACCGGTAAACGGCTGCCACCATGCTACGAGACATGTCCCATTCCGATATTCCGCGGCGTCTTGGCTATCCTGGGAACATTTCCCAAGTTGTAAATTTCCGCTGTCGGAACCAGCATCAGCAGGATTCTCTACCCAGCACATGTTGAGAACCCTCGTGGCTTCGGCAATCCAAGGGACCGAGCAAAGCTGGCCACGTCCAAAGTCGTAAAGTCTGCCTCCTCTGTTTGTCAACCCCCGACTCTGGCCTTCTATCACTCTTCCTTTTCTGCTTGAGTACCTTCCATTCCAGCGACCATGTCTTTTCCCACCACGTATATTATATAGGTCGGGAAAATCAGCCAGAGACCGTTGGGGATGAGCCATATGAAAACAAGGTTAAATAAAGAATTGTGGCCCACGTTTGCGTAATCGGAGAAATATTCGTTGAGCCCTGGTTGGTTCCATTGTCAGCATCAATATCTTCGTGCCCAGAGTTCTTGCCAGAGCATGGGGAAAGAAAGGAGATGATGGACTCCACGCACAGTACAGAACAGTTTTGCTGAGGGTCATCACAGCAGCGGAGAAGAGGACGACGACAGCCGTAGCCACACCGGGCCCACTGACAGACTTTTTCCTCTCGCCCAGGAAGAATCCCTGTAGGGTGCGACATTTCAGGAGACCCTCTGGACCGTTGCTCAAGATTATGACCAGGTAGTAGGCGTACATGAGTGTCTCGACGACATTCAATGAACCCTGTGCCGCTGTGAAGCCGACACGGCCGTCCCACGCGGGCCATCCATAAATGTAATCCACCATACCATACAGCGCGTACGGTGACCAGATGGGCGAGTGATATTTTCCGCCCGGCATCGAAAGTGGACGGAGTGCGATATAACCTGTATCCCATACCACCAGGGGAAGGGAAACGAACAGCCAGATCAACAGCAAGGGGGGTGCCGTATGCGAATAATGGTGGGTCGATGAAGATGATAATTCTGCATTAGCGGACCTGTTCGATCGGGTCATTAGGGAAGCGGTAGACGAGGTGGTGTCATCGGAATGTGGAGGGAAGGGTGTTGCAGGTTCGAGCAATGGCTCGGGATGGTGCCTCGTGGAAACCATGGCGCCCGTAAACTGCAGGCACAAGGTGTGCCTGACTGGAGGCCTTGAAGCTGAGATCGCTCTCGAGATATCTTTCACCACCTTTCCTTGTGACCAACTGTTTTCTCCGACTTCTTGCTTCTGCTTTTGCTCCTTCTTGCGCTGTTGCTGAAATCCGATATACAAGCGTACTAGGTAGAGAATGGTCTCCGATTGAATTGTGTTTCGCGCGGGTCTTTGTCCTAGGAAGGCTTCGGCAAGTTGGCTGTATGGTCTGAGACTGACGAAGAGTTCAGGCAATAATACTGCAGAGCGACCGATTGAGGTCCCGGCCACGGCTTGCCGAGAGGAGGAAATCCGGGTTCTTCTGACTATGGTCGCAGAATCTTGATGGCAAAACAAAGATCTTGCTGGAGCGCAAAGGTAGAGAGTCTCGTGCTGCTATTTGTACATTCTGTATGAGCGACTCGGTACATAAAACAACCTGGAAAGATGTTGAAACAGAGGGGAACAGTGCGTCACCCATGCGTATCAGGGAGGCGCAGAATCCTTCCAAGGTTCCAGAGTGGCGTACCGCGGCTCTCACTCTTCCCGACAGGAATCTCAAATAATCCTCGCAATTGTCGTATTTCTCGTATTCTCAATGCGTATCTGCAGGCTCAGCCGGTACCTTGCATGTCGACCAATGTCGATCCTGTTCACGTGTGCTTTATTACGCTGAGCATACGTAAAATCATCTATTGTTTTGTCAATCGTCGTAGTAGTCTTAGTTTTGGCTTTTAGCTATCATCCAGGCTACATATCGCGTATCACTGCCACAGTTTGAGCAAATTGTCATTGAGACCGTCTTCCCAAGCTCCGCCCTGCTGATCGTTTCCATTCTCCAAGAACTTGGTTAAGGCCATCTGTGCTTCAGGAGTCTGGGCAAGGGCTGTAATCCTCTCAAGGTCTCGGTCGACTGCCTCGAACAACGGTGCTTGCTCATTTACCGAGTCCTTTGTGGCTGCAATCGCCGCCGATGGGAAGGTAGCAATGCGATGCGCAAGTTTGTCGACGTAGGCTGTCATCTCGTTGACGGAGGGAAATGCTTTGTTCACCCAGCCGATGCGCTCAGCTGTCTCCGCGTCCACCGTGTTTGCAGAGAGAAGATATTCCAGTGCCCGTGCACGCCCAATAAGTTTTGTGAGATATTGGCTGCCTCCACCAGCATGAAGCAAGCCCAACCCTATCTCGAGACTGCCGAGCTTCGTTCCAGGAGCGGCAAATCGCATGTCCATTTGAAGGAGTATTTCATTACCCGCACCCAGAGATTGTCCCGATATCTCCGCAATGAACACCACGCCCATAGTCGACATCATGCGAGCACTGTCGACAAAGCTGTTCGCAATCTGTTGAGGGTCTTGAGGCGGCGCTGGGGGAGACGAAGCGCTCAGAATATGAAGGTCATAATGCGCAAAGAAGAACTTTGGGTTGGCCGAAGAAAAAATGACAACCTTTGGCGGGTTTGGGTCTTTCTTGAGGCCAGTCAAGAAGTCATGTAGATCGGAGAAGACTTTATGATCGAGAATATTGATGGGAGGATTGTCGAAGACAGCCCGAATCACGGGCCCCGTTGAGACGACCTTGAGCGTTCCGTAGCCTGTCATGTTGGCGATCGTGAAGATAGTATAGAAGATGTGGAACAACGAAGCGCAGGACAGGGACGGAGGGACGCCCGAATATATCTCTTTTCAAACCCTCAGTAGCTGTTCATATGTTGTTGCCATCCATCTTTGATAGTAATCTTAAGCACTTTCATGATCCTTTCGAAGCACCGAGCTGACATATCAAGGCAGACTGACTGTATGTTGCTAATACCCGTTTTTGGAGATGGGTAGTGTTACTGGCGAACCTTTTTTGTCCCATCCTTGAGGTAACGCCCCATCAATGCGATAGTTCAGACACAGTGCGCATAATGTTGCGGTAGCCGACGTCTTGGCCTCCTGTCCGACGCAGTGACGACAAACAGGTCCTCTTTCCTATTTTGGACCTCGTTTCGAACTGTGGCGGCATGCGTAGCAGGGGAAAAACTAAACATTTCGTATTCACTGCAGAAAGTTGTCCTGGTTGGGATAAGAACATTGATTCGTGATCTTCTCTAAGCATTGATGGCTTTCCGTGCGGCCGAAAGCTCGGTCTAATTTGATGCTAATGTCCAGCATCTCCAGAGACTTGCTGCGTAGACGGATCTTTTTCATCGGTCACGTCTGGTGCATCCTGCTGTGCGACATCTGTTTCGAAGAGTTTTGCGATGACATCCGGCCGTATGATGTCCTTCCGAAACTGCTCTTGCTGGAGCAATTCGAGATTCCGAAGCGTGGCTCCTGGGTGAGTGAGATACTTGGCATACTCCGGCGTTCGCCAATAATTGTAGAGATACTTGAGGTACCTCGCGAATCGCGCTGCGTCCGAATTGTCGGCCTCAGTCGGGTTTTGTGACGTTGCCGGCTTGTTGAGTAGATGGGGAAAATTCAAGGCCAGATATTGGAGGTACAGCGGATTTGACAGGCATAGCACGAATTCGAGTTCGAGAGTGAACCGGTGAGACAGCGCCGTCGGAGGACCACCTCCGTCCATAGTGATAGACTCCCTTTCTCAATGAAATCCAGCCGTACGATAGAAGACAGGCGCAGCTCCTAGGATGTATCAAACAAGGCTAGCCAGTGCTGAGCACGATTCGGACAGCAAAACCCTTAAAATTGGACGGTCGGCGTTGTCTTGATAATTCTCCTATCGATAACCCACTCGCTTGGATCTTGAATGTGTGCCGCGCAATTACGGGCAGAGCCGATTCGAAAGTTGAAACACGACCAGGTTTGAGAGTGGATCACTGATGTGTGACCTGCCCGAGTAGGTAGCAGCTCGGCCGTGCTCGGCCAAGGGTCTAAGCCAGATGAACCAGAAGTCAACCCTACTTTGGCGTTGCGAGTCGCTCTTGTTCTACTTTGCGAGTAGTGTATGTGTATACTCGGTACTGTGCTATGTTGGTGGGGGATCAAAGTGAGGATGTCTCGCTGCGGTGGTGCTGAGGGAGCTCAAGAAGGGGTACGTGTCAAATTTGAGTTCGGACAGGGGAGCAATCCCGGTCGCAGAAACGCGTGATCTGTGCTGTGCTTCCAGGCACCCACAGGGTCAAGACCACCTTCAACTGTCCTTAAGATGACAAGGGGTTTGAGGTCGAGTCGAAGGGTGGGCTGAAGTAACCACAAGGCCTGGTGGTTCAGTGGCTGTTTTGGAGATGGGGGCGCGGATCAAGGAGCTCGAAAGAAGGACGACGTTGCTGGACTGGTCGAAGAGGCTCTACCGGTTCATCCAGTCAGCGTTGGCTCCAGTGACCTGACGTTTGACATCAACTAATGGGGAAACGATCGTTGTTGACAAACAATGGGGGCTGGGTGAAGATCTCGACAATCAACAATTACTAGTCAAGGTCAAAACCATGGCCCAGTGGTTGAGTAGCCGGTCCAAGTTGTGAAAGAAAACGACTTGACAAGGCTGCTATGGTGCCAGTTGGCCGGCTGTCACCAAGGACCACGAGCATCATCGATAATCAACCGATCTTAATCACTTACACTTGTGATTCTTTGTTTCATTGTAGCGTGGCTGTGGCGTCGGTCGCTCCTCTCTTGGTCAACCGCCTCGCCGCCTCCCCCAACTTTTCGGAGGCTTGATCCCCCCTTGAAGGCCCAGAGCCAGCGTGGCGAGTGGATATTTGGGCTGGTTTAGCGGCACCCAAGCGGCACCCAAGCGGCACCTTTAGCCAACTGGCACCCACTGGCTGCGCCCCGAGCCCACGGAGACCCCCTAGCAAGCACTCCCCCTCCTTCTGGATCCCTGCCCGGGTTCGGACCCTACCTGAACTACCTGAACTACCACGACCAGCTCGCAAGCCCGTCCTCAGATTTCTTCCCTGACAAACACACAGCTTTGCTTCTCTACAACCGACACACGTTACCATCCTAGTCTCTCGCATCTCCTGGTCTACACAGCGATCACAGAAAACATCCCTTATCTGAAGTATCTTCTCGATCACAGCAGCCTTACCCTCACTGCGCCCCTTGGTTCCTCGGCGCACGGTTCTTGGGCCCTGCATCCAATTCCGTAATTGTCTCTCCTGAGACGGTGAAGAGCCCAGACCACCCACCATTCCGATCACGTTGACTGTCTTTCGAATCCATCACCTTCGCAAAGGCCACGGTACTCACAACCTTCGACCGTGCTTTGTCGTTCCTCAGCCAGTCCAGCATCGTCCCTTCAGTCACCGACAGAGCGCCGCATGCTCAACTGCGCAGTCGGCGTCTGACCACCATATCTGGAGCGTCGACCTGACAGAACCAAATCGAGACAGCCAATGGCTCAAGCTGCACCTCTGGCCGGTATGTTGGGATCACGCGCCACTCCTGACCGTGCTTTATTGCTTCTCTTTGTCTTCCCTATGGTGCTATTTATTGTCGCTCACCTGACAGCCGCGCCCACTGTGCCTCACACAAATCGTTGTTGATCTCAGCGACATGACTGATCCCTGTTCCACAGATCGCGGCCCAACTTCTCTCGCGTCCAAAAATCCCTTCCGCAACCTTGTTTCAGAGAATAACTCCGTCAAACCCATCTCGACAAATCCATTTCTCGACACCAATGAGATCTTGTCTTCAGACGCGGCCAACAAGGCCACACCTCCAGTTGGCTCTGGAATGGCAACAAACCGGACTAACGTGGCCGATAACAACACAGATATATTTGTAAGCTCAATCATTTTTTTTGGTGAGTGCTATTGCTAACCAGGGAGTAGGCGACCCTCGACATAAATGACCCTGTAAAGCCGCCTCAGCCTCGTGCAAACGGCGCTGCTCGACGGGAAAACATCGCGCCTCGACCATACACCTCTCGCGGACCTCCTCCACGCCACAGGCCTAGCAATTCTGATGAAGAGCGTCGACGACAACAAGGGAAACCTCCTGGGCCTCCACAGGAACTTGACATCTTCGCAGATCCGCCCGAACTGAACCGTCCTCGTGAAAGACGTCCCCTGCCTCGACGCAACTCTGAAACATCCATCAGGGAGAAACCTAAGGATCTGGATCCCGAGGCGGAAAGAAGGAGACGCGAAAGAAAATTACGCGAGGGCAAAGGCTCACAGAGATCAAAGAAGCCAAATGCTAGATTGGATATTATCGATAAATTGGATGTCACCAGTATCTATGGCACCGGCTGTAAGTTGACAACTCTTTTGGCTAGACTGATACTGACTTCTGCAGTATTCCATCACGATGGTCCGTTCGACGCGTGCAATCCCCATCGTAACCGCAAGGGTTCCAAGCAGGCTCCCATGCAAGCATTTCCCAAGGATTCGTTGAACATGCAACTTGGTGGCTCCGGTCCTGTCAATTCCAAACTTAACCTGGACCAATATCACGGCACTGGACGAGAAGCCAATCTGGACTACAACGGTGCAGCAGTCTACGAAGAGGACACCGAATATTTGCGAAGACCACTACCGGAGAGAAGCGCCAGCTTTAACCCGACTGCCAGAATTGAACCTTTACATGGCAGCGAGTCAGCTGGTCTTGGGACAAGCACATTCTTAGAAGGTGCGCCCGCAAGTAGAGCCGCCATTCAGCGTCGCGACAGCGAGCAAGAAGCTGCAGAACAGGCAAATGCCGCCGGGTTATCGCGCAAAAAGAGTCTGGCACAGAGAATCAAAGCCGTGCGTCCAAAGATTGCTGAAGGGGGTCGCATCACTTCGCCTGAGCCAGCAGCAACCCCGAATAGCCCTTTGGGGACTGGAAAATCGGAACAGAATGGAGTGAACCCGTTCTTCAAAGACTATGACAAAGAATTTGAGAAGAAAGGCGCTCAGATTGCCTTTGCGGAAGAGCAAGCAAAGAACACCGGCCGGGCGCGAGCACCGTCTAGCCCGAAACGAGGTGGATTGGCTTTGGAGAGACGATTAACTTCCGAGAGCACCGGTCCACCGCCTGACGATGCCAAATCCGGCGCTGCTGGATTCCTCAGTCGAGTCAAGAGCATCAAGGGCCGAAGCAGGACACGCGAGAGGAGAAACACCGAGCTCTCAGCATGATGCGACCGTCTCTTTCTGTTTTTCCTATGTTTGTGGACTGGGATGGTGAACGTTGGGGATTCGTCTTCTTGGAAAACCGTTTGCATTACCGGGGCATGGTCATGGGAGGGGTTCACATAATGCAAGATTTCGGTGTCGGGCGGGCAGGCAGGCAGGCTCAGGGGCTTATTTACGGAGCATTTCGATGTGCGGGAGATTTTGCATGACAATGAACCATGACGATATGACCAATGCAAAGGGCACAAGCCAGGGAGATGTGGATCCGCAGCGTCCAAAGCTCGGCGATATCTAGAGATGGTGGAAAAGGAAAGGTTGAGAGGAAGAGGATCAACCCATCCGACTCGTCAGATGATGATGGATACCAGTGATGACAAGAGACTGGAAGCACACCTGGTTTCCCTTTGCCAACAAAAACCCCCGAAGACGGAAGTGTAGTTTGCGCGTACTGTGAAATGGAAGAAGAGAGAAAAAAACACCAGGCTCAATCAATTATTTATTATCGTTAGACTGACTCTTTATATCTGTATCCAGTATGTTTGTGTTTATAAGGGCCTTTGTAGCTAGCCGTCGAGCCGTGTATCCATATGATATACGAGGTACCGCGTACGAAGGTTACATACATGCTTATGTCCACGACGGCCCCCGCGCATTTTCTCATCGGGCCAACCAGCACAACTCGAAGTCGTTGCTCCAAAATGAGCCCTTTGAATGTTGATACCCAGGGACAGAACACGGGTAAATAAATACATTGGAACAAGATCCGCGGGCCGGAGGGGAAAAACGAGTAGAAAACAAACAGGGGGGGTTTTTTTTTTCAATTCGCAGTGCCTACTGCATACCTACCTAGGTTATTTACATCCCTTTAAGCGTGTTCCTTCTTACTTTGAATCCCGTGTCCCGAATCCTGGTCGAAATGCGTACCGTGCCAGTGAAGTCATCGACGCCTTAAAGCCCTGGGGAATACACAGACAAGCCTCAGTGGCCAAGGAGCTCCCTAAGATCAAGATCAATCACTCGGCCCACCGACCCAGTCCAATACAGCGCCTGTAACCACACATCCCAGACCCCAGACACCGGCATAGCCGAGCGCACCTGTGATTTCGACTCCCGCTACGGTGCCCCAAAGCGTCAGAACGGTCTCGGCAACCATTAAGCCGGTCAACAGACCCGTACGAGTGATCAATTCCTTCTGGCGCGCCGAATACCAACCCCACGCGTTGTGGTAAACGTGTCCCCAGAAAGTGGCGGTCGAAGGATCAAAAACTTTGCTGGGGTGTGCGACTGTGCCGGTAGAGACACCCGCAGCCGCCGTTGACGGCGCAAAGAGGAACTCCATGCACGCCCAGCCCGCAGGCACCAAAGCCAGGAGGAGCGTAGGCAGACCCGCGGGACCTAGATGCGCGGGCTCTAGCGTCCTGAGACCCGTGAAATAGACAATGAGCCAGGTCGGCAGGAAAGTGGCGAAGCTTGCTTCGAGGAGGACGGCAAAGATGGCTGCCGCGAGCAGGGACGTCGCCACGGTCGTGTACGGGTCTGTTAGAATGGGCCGGTTTCGAAGACTCGATTTTGGCGCGCTGTTCGGGTGGTGCGAAGGGGACAAGGGACGGAGGAGGTAGTATGGAAGGGAGTTGGCGATCACGGAGGAGAGAGTGGTGGACGTCAGTGTCACGGGAGATATCTCGTAAAAGAGGCCCAGAAGAAGGGCGGGCGGGGTGTCGAGAAGGAGGGAGAGGGAAGCAACGTCGTACGCTGGAGATTTGACGTTGGTTAGTGTTTTTTGCCCGAGTTTTGGAGGTCATTGAGGATGCATTGATTGCAAGGACGACGTACCGTCAAAATCGCCAACCCAGTATACACCTAGTTTTGCTATTTTCCAGCCCAGCAATCCCAGGACCTCGACCCACGTATCGGGCGATCTCGAGACTCCCGCTAGGTCACCTACTCCGACCATTGACGCCGCTGTCTGTAACCCCGACTCCAACGCTGTGCTCAACACCAGGATGACCGCTAATTTCAAGGGTTCAAATTCTTTCCTCTGTGAGATACCGGCCTTCGGGGTATTGCTCTGGAGTTCCGTTCTCGGCGAGGGGTTTGGGATGACCACGACAGGTGAGCCGGCAGGCGACGACGCGGTCGAGCGCGAAGGACGCCGTTTGCGCGCGACGGAAGCTGAGTCGGATTTGGAGCTTGGAGTCGTGGCAATGCCGTTTGCTGCGACATCTGCTGGGCTGCTGCTGGAGGCGACGCTCGAGGACTTCGTATGACGGCTTCGTGGAGGGGCCATGGTCGTCGAGCTGGATGCGCTGCGTCCGGCGGCGAGGCTACTGGAGAGAGCCGGCTCGTGCTCTGGGTGCACGAGGGTGGTGGTGAGTTCGAGGAGATCCCCGAGCATCAAGACACTCCGGGGTAGAAGAGTGGGAGATCAAGAGGAGAGTTTCTCGTCGAGAGAAGACGAGGCGCGTGTAGGGCTGGGAATGAGAAAGCGTGTGGCTGGAGCAGGTGATGGTTGCTGTGCGGTGGTGGTGATGGTGGTGGTGAGCACTGAGCGAGTCCTTGAAGCGAACACGAGGAACAACAAAACAAGCCAGCGAAAGACCAGGTTCGCGATCGTGACGTGATTGGTCCAGGCGTCGAGCTGCACCAAACGTCACAATCACCACCATCACCGCCGCCTCCGCCGCCGCCGCCGCCAATTCCCATCGGACGGAAATTGTGTCCGGACGCCGTCAAGTCCAATGCTATCGATTCAAAAGAATCAACAAAGGGCCTTTATATCGCAGGGTGACCTCGATAAAGTGCCCCGTACTGTAAAAGAACCATCTTGTTTTCAAATGCAGCACTGCTCTAAGAGAGGCTTTGTTCAGCCCTATTACAACGAGACCATGGCATACCAAGCGAGCTACTGTAGGAAACATCAAAGAGCCGTTGTCCATACTCTTAAGTTTCGTGTCAAAGCCAGGAACAAGGCCATTGTGACTTTGGTCGCTGGTTATATTGTCTGCCAGGCAATCTAAAAGATAATGTTTGCAAATAGGCGGACGGAGGATATATTCTCCCACGAATTCCGTTTCCTGCCAGTCCCGAGTCTCATCCCCCCATGCTCACTCAATTTGTCGCCCAAAGAAAGAAAATAACAAACATGACAGCCCAGAAAAGAGACATCACGGCGATCGAAGGAACTGAAGAACCCCCCGGTAAGCGCCACCACCGTGACTTGACCAAAGCCTTGCTGACCACGCCCAACAGTCTTCTTGGTGACTATCCAGCGTATTCCCCACCACAGCCAGACTTCCTCTCCGTCTTCAGTCGCATCGCACCATTCGTAGATGGTCTGCGCGAGTGCGGTGGTCTTGACAGGTATGATTACACCCGTCTCCGTATGACTTGCAAGACCACCGCCCAGGAGTGGAAGCCATACCCATATGACCGTTGCGAGCCAGATACCCAAGATCGCTATTTCGCAGGGTTGCAGGCCATTCCATGCAGCGATTGTGGTGTCCCTTCTGACAGGTTGGTCGTCAAGCCCTGTTATGGCTTAGGTCCCTGGAAGGCAGACGGCTTCTCTGGCTGCAACAAGCTCGTCTGTGCCTATTGCGTCGTCAAGGCCCTGAGGGCCCACGGCCCGTACAGGAACGTCGGCAATGAACTCCATTACTGCCAGCCATGCAGCTGGAATTTGTGCCGAACCAGCACACAAGCCCTGGCCCACGAATGCCAATGTACCTTCCATCACAGCGGCGACATCGTCGACCAGCCAGATCCCGAGTGGCAGTGCACAGATTGCAGAGTCACGCTGCTGGAAAAGCTCTCCAACGCTGCCCGCGACAACTTGATGATCATGGAAACTCAACAGCACGTCGTCGTTCGCGATGAGCGTCGACACCCGTTCGCCGCTGGAGGCCTGGAAAGGTGGATCAATCCCGACCACGAAAACAGGAATCACTGCCCTGGTTGTGGTATCCACTACATTGACTTGGTTCAAACCTGGGAGGACGATGCTGAATGGGACGAGATGGGGTATTGGCACGCCGACATGGTTCGACGGTGCGCATCATGTCTGGGACTGAAGTGTCATGCCTGGGACTGAAGAGATGAAACGAAGGTAAGCGAATTCCTTCGCGCGAGGGGAGCAAGGTAAGTTATCGGTAGGTGGTTTGGGTCAACTCTCCCAGTCCTTAATCGTCGTCTTCCTTGGGTGGGTCATCTGGATGGACTCTCATTTCAATGGTGCCGGTCTCACGACCGCGAGCATCTTTTGTCACAAAAGAGTATTTGCCTCTTTGTTCCCCTTTCTGTTCAAACCATAAATCTTTAAAGGTCAATTCCTTGGTTCTGTTGATGCTTTCAATGGCCGAGATTCGGTCAAGCGTGGCGTCCAGATACTCGTCAAATCCAGGTTCCGCACAAATCGCCTTGAAAGCGTTCATCATGGGCACGCTGTCCGCCCGAACCATGGCACTGCTGTCGATGGTGAAAATGTTATCATGGTCGTAGCTCTGGATGAAATCTGCTCGAGTCATGATTTGGCGAGCGATGTAGAGAGGAATTTGTGGCAAAATATGCCCATGCTCATCGTCGTAGCTCGAATCCATGTCCTTTTCTCTATCCACCAGCGCCTTTGCCAGCACCATAGCCGCGCTGGCATATTTCTGCTGATCCATGACGTCGTCGTCCATTTCCTCGCCCAGGATCCCGCATTGGTTCAAGAACCACGTCTTCTCCGCTTCGTTGATTTGTCGACACATTTTCAACATGTCGGAGCTTTTGGCAACCCGGTTCAGAAAATTGAGCCGGCCCCCCACCAGGTCGTAGACCTGCTTGAGTATTTCGGGATCACGTTTCTGTTCTGGGAAGTATTTGGCACGATATCTTTCCAAGGCCGCGATGGCGCGAGTCTTTGGGAGGTCCAGGATCGGAATAACCTCCATTCTGGTAGCGTACCGTCTGAGGCGCTCATAGACCCAGAAGTCGTCGGAGTTGAAAATCATAGTGATGAGATTGGCGGCGGCCCACTGTTCGGCTCGCTGCTGCATCAGTTCGATGAGATCGTTCCCGTCGTCATTGTCGCGGATCAGATGCGCCGAATTGACGATGAGAATGAGAGGGCCTTTCCGCCCGGCGTGGCCCTTCCGATTTCTGTTTGCCAGCGCGACTTTCTCCAGCTTGTTGAATGCTCGCTCAATGTCAAGTAGCGCGGTGGTGTCTCGCGGGCCGCGAATTGAAAATAAAGACCCGATGTAATCCTCGTGAAACTCATAGTTCAGAGCCTTTCCGAGTCGAATGCGGAAGATTTCCTGGTCGGCATGAGCTTCAAACATGGAGACCCCCTCCCCATTTCCCTCCTTCATTGCTTCTAGTAGCATCGAAGACTTTCCCGTGCCCTTTTCACCAACAAGCAGATAATATCTGCCCTTTGATTCCCCGTTAATGATGGCGTTGATCCTGGTCTGTTCGGGTCGTGCTATCCAGTGGTCGGTTTCGTCTTCTGGAGGAGGGGGCTGGGGTTCTGCTGGTGACGCAAGTTCAAGCATCGGATCGCCTGGCGCAAAGGCCTTTTCGATCTTGCGCAGCACCAGGGCTTTGTAGTAGACGTGATACGAGTAACCAGCGAATCCAAGAACGGCAATCGATGCAAATGTTGTCAGCGCCGCCTCAAAGGCCCTATACATGCTAGAGCCCACACGACCCTGTGGCTCTGATGCCGGCTTCGAGGATTTCGGCGGCTCTTCATCGTCTTGGTCGGTCCCTGGGACCTGGCTTGCGGGGCCAAATTGTTGCGAAAATGGACGCGAAATCGAGCGTCTGGCCGCGAAAATGCTTCTTCGGAATAGCGACGAGACAGACACAGGTCTTGCGACCACAGCTCTTTGTAGATTCCTCATGATGGAAGCTATGCGCCTGGTCCAGCCGGGTCTCTATCGCTGGGCTGGTTGTATTGAGTAGTACGCGCAACGCGGGTTTAATCGCGCTTGCGGTGCGGAAAGAGAAATGAAAAAGCGACAGACAAAGGATCAGGACAACGTGCAATGCGAAGCTTGATGAATGAGGGAAAGAAACGAACTGGTAAAGAATGACTTGGTAGGGTCTGAAAGGGCTGACTGACTACGAGATACATGTTTGTCTATGGTGAGCAAGACGATTTAAGGGGGCAATCGTAGTGGCTTGTGGCTTGTGGCCGGTGCCGGTGCCGGTCCAACCTCGCACGTGCTCAATGAGATGGACAAGAGTCAGCAATGACAAAGCCACGGGCCGAGCCAAGCCAGCCAAGAAATCAAGCCACTTGGCCACCTAGTACGAGGTATAGGCAACTCGATATACGAGGTATATACCTAAGTAGATAATATAGTAAACGACTCGTATGAGGGAACTTATCTTCTCTTATACTCTCAGTCTTATAGCGTCAGCCACGTTTTGATCTGCCGAAAACAACCCGCTCGAAGCCCGGCGTACACAATATGATATATTGGTCGAAGTCTTCTAGAGGCTAAGGTTTGGGACGCGAGTCGATCCATGCGAGTTGAAGAGAAAGAGAAAGAGAAAGAGAAAGAGAAAGAGAAAGAGAAAGAGAAAGAGAAAGAGAAAGAGAAAGAGAGAGAGAGAGAGCAAACAAAGGCTTTGTTTGTCGGCAAGTGAAGTTACCCGGATCGTAGGGGGCCTACGTACTTGGCTCGATTGTATAGGAGTGCCCGGTATTGGGTTGTTATAACTGTGGTGCCAGTTTTATATGCATCTATGCCGTAACCATGGGTCGCAAGTAAAAGTAACCCAGTATCTCTCTGTCTAAACTAAATCTAGCTTGAGGCTTCTGTTCTTGGTTGTCCCGAAATTCATAACGCCGCCCAACATAATAAACATCTAACCAAGTCCTTTCCCACTCATGAAGGCTCCCGACATTGGCGTCTGCACCAAGAGCTAGCCGACGACAAGCTTGCTTTTCTGCGCAATCTGAGACGCAAATGTCTCTATTGGCACCGCCGCCAGGATATCCAGCAAGGCCGTGTTGGCCTTGATCTCTCGTGTGATCCAGTTTCGTACCTCGAGCGCCACAAGCGAGTCGACCCCGTAGGAGTACAGAGGTCGGCTGGAATCGATCTCGGACAGAGGAATGCGCAGGATCTCTGCAAGCTTCGCCGCCAACGCGCCGGTGATGATGGTGGCTGCGGCGGCAAAGTCCTTGTCCTGCGCGGCTGCAGCAAGTTGTGTGGCCAGTGGAGCGCCAGCGCCCTTATCTTCACCGCCTGATGTAGGCGAAGACAAGTTACTCACGACCGCCAATGGTCCAAACCGCACATCTTGGAACCATCGAGGGGGTGGCAAGCCGTGAGCGGCAATGATGTCGCCAGTTCCTAGGCCAACAGTCAGGTGCGGCGGGCATTCTCTTTCGGTGCTTCGCCTGTTTTGTTGTCCGTTGATCAGGCTCTTCATCAGCGCACTGAAAGTTGACTCGCGTATGCCCAGGACTTCTTCCCATTGCTTGAAATTGTGACCGGCCCCCTCTTGAATAACCCCAACTTCCATCATGACACCTAAATCTATAGACACCGCCTTTAAACCATGCGCACGCCGGTAAATAGCGAGAGCGTCTTGATACGTGTTACCCGCAACATACTGTGCCTGGCCTGCATTTCCCACGATCCCGGTAAAGGAAGAGCAGAAGATCATGAAATCAAGCGGCCGCTCGTGGTTGAAGTATTGGTGCAGGTTCCACGTCCCCCGGACCTTCGGCTCGACGGGAATCTTCCAATCCTCGTACGACATGTTCTCTATCAACGTGTCCCGGAGTACCATAGCCATTTGGATGACGCCTTTGATGGGTGGAAACTCCTGTGCACACTCCGCCATAGCTCTGTGAAACGCCGTCTGGTCAGCGACATCGCCACGGAGCACCTTGACACTTGCGCCGAGTTGTTCCAGCTGGTCGACCGTAGCCTTCGCCTCGGGCTTGGAGTCACCAGACCTTGACAGGAAAGCGATGTGACGAGCTCCAGAAGCGACGAATTCCTTCGCCAGACTGCGGCCCAGACCTCCCAAGCCGCCAACAATAAGATAAGTGACTCCGGGGTCCAGCCGCAACGAATCTTTGGCCTTGCACATGACGGGCGCCTTCATCTTGCTCTCACCACTGAAAGACAGCACGAACTTGCCACGATGCTTGCCCTGCTGCACGGTCCGGAAGACACTCTCGGCTTGGCCACAAGGGTATACAGTCAATGGCTTCGGCACGTGGAGCTTCCCTTGCCGCAGTAGCTGGAAGGCACTTTGGAGTGCCTCTCCCAGCGCAGCCGGATCTTCCTCGATGGTAGTGGCAATGTCGAAGGAAGTAAAAGTGGCGAGCTTGGCGAAGGGTCGCATGTCGAGGCGCATGTTGTCCGTGATATCGCGCGTGCCGATCTCGACAAAGGTTCCAAATGGCGCAAGGCACGTCCACGAGACACGAAGAAGTTCACCAGACAAGGAGTTGAGGACGCAATCGACACCGCGCCCACCTGTCACTCGCTGGACGCCCTTGGCGAAGCTGCTGTCGCGCGAGTGGAAGATATGCTCATCGGGAATGCCATACTGCTCCTTGAGCAGCTGGCGCTTGTCGTCCGTACCAACGGTGGCGTAGATGATCAAACCAAGATGTCGTGCCAGCTGTATTGCTGCCTGTCCCACGCCTCCTGTTGCTGCGTGGATCAAGACAGACTGGCCTTCGCGGCATCTAGCCAGCCGGACGAGGGCGAAGTAAGCGGTGGCATGTGCCGTGGGCGCACCAGCGGCCTCTTCAAACGACATCGTGTCTGGGACCGCTGCTGTGACTCTGTAGTCGCATCGAGTCCTCGTTGCGTGGGCCCCGCCCAACGATAACGTGCTCACGCGGTCACCAGGCTGGAACGTCTTGCTCGCGTTCTTGCCCGCCTTCAAAACAACGCCGCTGGCTTCCACGCCAAGACCAGGGACAGCGACGAGACCCATGCAAGCCATAATATCCCGGAAATTGACGCCGGCCGCCTTGACATCCAGTTCAAGCTCGTCATCACCAAGCGGCTCGGCCAACAGACTCTCATCGCGAACGAAATTTAGACTGCCCAAAAGACCAGGCTTGCCGATGACGAGACGAAAGGCTGCGCTATCATCACTGAGACTGATGTTCTGAACCGAATCCTGAAGATGATTACGGATCTGCTGGTTCTCTTCAGGAGCCTCATACACCCTTGGAACCTGTAGAAGACCGCCAACCTCGCGGAACTCTTTATCCGCGGACTGATTTGAAGACGTGAGAATGCGTGTCACTAGGGACGGGCCAGATTTCTCTCCTTGGCGGCTCAGGTGTAATACCTGGAAGTTGGAGGCTGCTGCCTCCGTATTGACACATCTTGCGAGGCCGTCCACCATGTTGAGGGACGGACTGTCGCCGCATGTGACCCAGAGGAGTCGCCTGGCTCTCAGCATCAGCTTCCGGATGCCCAGGAAGTCGGCCTCGGTGAGATTTTCCAGGAATGGCTTCTCGAGCTCCAGCAAGCAGATGTATGACTTCTCATCCCCGGATTCGATCTCGGGAGTTCCCTTTTCGATCGTGACACCATAGCCTTGGACATGGAGCATGTCTTGCAGCTTGTTTGCAAATGACTGCGAGCCCTTCGAAGACTCAGCCGGAAGGATGACGACCTCGTCCTCCTGGTGCGTGCCATTGGCAAGCAAACTGTTAATTTGCTTCTCACCTGCTTGTTTGTAGAACGTCAAGATTTCCCCGTTTGCTTGTGTGGAAGAAACAAGATCGAAACCGTTCGCTTTGAGGTTAAGCGATTTCGTATCCTGTGCAGGTACGGCTGCTGGGATCGCAATGGCAATCATGGCCCCCGGCTTTGCCATGCGGACAAGCCGCTCCACGTAGCTGTTTAGATTTCTCTTGAACTTCAGGCTGAGGTCGTAGGGGACGACGAAGAGATCTGCGGGTGTTATGTCTGAAGGTAGTGGAGCATCCAGGGGTCCCAGGGCGAATGGCTGGCCGAAAACCTCGTCACTTATAGAGCCTTCGCCTTCAGCCACGGCATATTGAACTTGAGTGTGGTGAATGACACCCTCGAGGAGCTTGGACATGGCTGTGTAAGGAAGGTCCTTGGAGGAATGTACCAGCTCGATTACCTTGGCCGCTGGGTGCTGGTGGATGACCATCTGGATGAGTTGAAGAAGCCTGGCATTGGGAGTGGCGGAATCCGTGCTAAGCAAAGCCTGCTCGATTTCCTCGGGTACCATGGCATCCAACGGATAGTTCCAGCGAACCTCAGAAGCTATTTCAGCTGGGTCGACAACGGCAGCAGCGCCAGCTTCGGCTCCAGATTCTGTTTCCAGTGGTGACAGGTGCAAATTGGAAACAGACACGACAACTTTCGAGAGGTCCTTGTCAAACATACTGATATTTGCGGAGAACTCATCGAAACCACGGCGCCGCGAGCGGCAAATCCCTGGTATCGAGTATCCAATGTCGCCGGGCATTGCCATCGACACCTCGAGCTCGCCAATTGATGTCGGCACCAATGGCTTCTCAGTGCCTAGGTCGCCGGGGGCGGCGTAGTCCTGCGTGCTTCCCAGCCACCCTTGCCACATACTATCAAGAGTGGCAGCGTGGATGAGGAATGGCCGCTCGAGCTTTCCTCTGGTAAACGTTTCACCAATATCAACGACTTTTACCTCGTAGCAGGTTTTGCCCACACCAGGATGGCATGTTTCAACGCCTTGGAATATTTCACCGTACGGGAAGCCAGACTTGGCAAAGATGTTGTAGAAAGACTCCTTGCTATAGTTCTCGGGCAATTCTTTGAGAACTGCGCGATAGTCAGCAATGCGGATGGCTTCGGTCTGAGCGTCTTCGTGCGCCATGTAGGTGCTTCTGCTTTCTCCGTAGATGACACTGATGAGGCCCCGGCAATTCTCTCGAAGTTGGCCTGCGGGTCCAGCGCAAGAGGAGAGGCTGAACTCCCACCAAAAAGACTGGGGATTACCGGTAGTAGCGAGGAGGTGCGGGCGCATGTGCACCACCGTCTCAGTCGCCATATCCTCGGTTAAGGCCATAGCTGCCACGAAGGAGACATCCCTCAACTTAAAAGACAGAGGAGTTTTATGCGCCTCGACCACCTGCTGTGCAGCCTCCAGCGCAATGCTCACCATGCCCGCAGCAGAAAACAGCACCGTTGACCCAACCATATGGCCCCTCAGCCAGGGTTCGTCATTGAGGCGAATGAAGCTACGCCAGACTCGCTCTCGCTCGTCCATAGTCGGCATCATAGCACCAAGCAAACTTCTCGTCGGGAACTGTTGCGTGTACTGCTCCCGTTGCATGCGACCGATCGCGCTGAATTTTTGCGAATGATTCCATGCGTACGGAGGCAGATCTGTCAACAACTTGCAATTTGCATCCGCATTCACTTTGGCAACATCAAACGAGACGCCATGCCGGAACAGCTCCGCAGCGAGAGCCATGCTGGTATCTAGTGCGCTCTGGTTGCGGACTAGCATCGATGTATAATGGACACCTGTAATTGAGCGCAGGGTCTGCTCGATAGGGCCGCCGAGGGCGCTGTGTGGGCCAACCTCAATGAGCAGATCTACCGTCTTCTCCCCGTTAGAGTTGGCTGGTACGACCAGCTCCTTGACGGCATCTGCGAAGAGGACGGGGGAGATGAGGTTTTGTACCCAGTAGTATGGTCCCAGATCACTAGCATCAACTTCATGGCCGCTGACGCTGGATACCATGGAGACGCTCTCTCGCTGCTGCTGGAGGTCTGACAAGATGTCGTCTTGACCGACTTCGGCGATGGCGGCGTAGTAGTCCATGGAGACAGAGTGCATATGTGAGGAATGGTAGGCGACTCCAACTTTCAATCTTCTGGCGAAGGTTCCGCGTAAGTTAAGGATCGCTTTGATAGCTTCCAAGGTCTTGACGTCGCCTGACAAGGTGACGCTGGAAGGGGAATTCACACAAGCGACAGTAGCAGATAAGTTGTTCTCCTCCATCAACGCCGTCGCTTCGTCAGGTGAGCAGCCAACGGCCATCATCCCGCCGTTCTTCGCGGCCAGTTTAGGAGTACTAGATACAGTTCCGCGATAATATGCAGCTGCTACTGCGTCTCGGTGCGATAGAGCGCCCAAGGTGTATGCAGCGGCGATCTCACCGCTGGAGTGGCCCACAACCTTCGATGGTGTGACACCCCAGCTGCGCAGCTCGTCGACGAGCGCGACTTGGAGAACGGTGCAGATGGGTTGGCTTATCAACGGCACGCCGAGGCGAGAGTCTTTCTCGAATGCGGAGAGTTCGTTTACAGGGTCCCAGTCGCAGCCTAGATCCCTCAAGTATTGAGCGGACCGTGCCTATATGGGATCATGGAAGATTAGTATGTGTCCCACAGTGATTGAGCGGCTCCCGTCCCTCATATCTGGATTGACTTACAATAGAAGCGCTAAACACCGACCTATCCATCAACTCGATCCCCATGCGCGCCCACTGCGCCCCTTGGCCAGTGAACACGAATCCGATCCTTGGAGCGCTGTTCGGAGCGCGCACGGCACCTTCGCCCAAAGACCTAGTCAGGTGCTCACGCAGCTCGGCGGCGTTCTCGGCGATCATTGCGTCTCGCCATGCAAGGCCGGAACGGGCTTTCGCGAGAGTGTATGCCAGGTTAGAGAGGTAGGCGGGGCTTGAAGCTGCTGCGCCGAGGTTGCCGAGATATTCGGAGAGGGACTGACCCACTCGTTGGAAGCCAGCTTTATCTTGGCTGCTAAGGAGGAAGAGACGCTTAGAAGCGCTTTTGCGACTGGCTGGAACGCCGTTGGTAGTTTTGGCTGGAAGGTTGTAGCCATCAAGGACTAAAGGTAAGGAAACTTGTCAGCGGACTGGGGCTATGAGGAAAATATCCTCTCGAACGAACGCACCAATGTGAGCATTGGTACCACCCATACCAAATCCACTGATGCTCATTCGCTTGGTCTGAGCAGCAGGCCATGGCGTCAGTCTGGTGGGCACGACCATATTCCATTCGTCCAGCGGGATAGCTGGATTGGGCTTCGTGAAGTTGAGATTCGGTGGGATCATGCCGTGCTCTAGAGCCAGCACTCCTTTAATGATGCTGGCGACCCCCGCCGCCGCTTCCAGATGCCCAATATTGGGCTTCACGGACCCGACATAGAGTTTTTTCCGCCATTTGCTCTGGCCAATGGTCTGATGGATTGCGCTGGTCTCTATTGGATCACCAGCCTTTCCGAAAGGGTACTGTTAGCCAGTGACCGCTTCAGATATAGATGAACTCGGCCTTTCAAGCTTACCTTGGTTCCAGTACCGTGCGCTTCGACGTACTGCGTCAATCCGTAGTCCAGCTCACTGCTCTCATAGACCTTTTTGATGAGTGCTGCTTGGGCTAGGAGAGAGGGCATTGTCACACCAGGTGTCCAGCCATCCGAGTTGACACCGCTGGCACGTATCACGGCTCGGATATTATCCCCGTCTTGAATGGCTGTCTCCAGCCGCTTCAGGATCAGGACACCACAGCCCTCGCCACGACCGTACCCGCCAGCGTCTGCGTCGAATGAGCGGCTGTGTCCTGCTGGGTTGAGAAACCCTAAATTGTTAAGATGTGAAGTGCCCTCTGTACCAAGAATCAAGCCAACGCCGCCAGCAATGGCCATGTCTGATTCTCCCGACCGTAAGCTCTGACAGGCGATGTGTGTTGATACCAGACTCGAAGAGCAAGCCGTTTGAACAGTGGCGCTTGGGCCGTGGATATTCAAGAAATGAGATATTCGGTTGGCGATCATTTCGTCGCTCATGCCCAGAATGTGGTACTTGGGATAATTCTGAAAGTCTCGAGATACCGAATCTCGGTAATCACTCATCGAGGAGCCCATGTAGCAAGCCGTCTGAGAGCCGGATACTTTCTGAAGTGGCATGCCGGCATTTTCGAGAGCTTCGTAGGTCACTTCCATGGCGATTCGCTGTCGAGGATCCAGTGCCATCGCCTCAGCTGCTGTGATGTTAAAGAATGCCGCATCCCATTCATACAGGTCCTCCTTCAGGAAGTAACCACCCTTCGTGGGTATCACATTCTGGACGCTACCGCTCCGTGGGTGGTAGAACGCGTCTGCGTTGTACCGGTCTGTCGTCTCTGTGAAGGCATTCTTAGCGTTCTTCAAAAGTTCCCAGAACTTTGTAGGAGTCGAAGCATCACCAGGGAATCGACAAGACAAGCCAACGATAGCAATGCTGCCGTCGTGTCCGGGGGTCCAAGAGGCGTGAGGCATTGTTGAGGAGCAATACTGAAGGGTAGAGGGAGCGACTGCGCCGAACTAGGTTGTTAAAAAGGACAAGACGTGAAAACATGTCATATTTTGAGCTCAACCGAATCAATGGAGGCCTTGCCGGCTACCAGAGGGATCGTGTGGATCGATTCACTGCATACGCTGGCCTGCATCCTTCCACATGCATTATGACCAGGATCCTCGCAGATCATGGAAGCGAGAAAGATTCCTTGTATCGTATCGTACTCGCTCCTGGCGGTGATGCCCGCTGCAGGGACCACCCTGTCGTCCTGTAGACCGAAGTGCATGTTCAGCGTTTCGATACAGGGTGGCGAGCCGGCTGGGAAGAGTATTTGCTGGGATTCTCACGTTGCATGACTGGGTGTCAGGGTAGGCCCTGATGGACACCCTCGGAGTGGCCGTGGCTGCTCTGCGTCTAGGGTGATGTATCATACAGACAAACCTGCTTATCCGCCGCAACGACTTACCAGTATCAGACATGACGTTGCATTCCACCATTAGGGCCACTTTTGCGCTTTGCTGATCATGTTTGAACTCGACGAGCATGTTACCGACGAGAATGCGAATTTCCGGCGGGGCGATCATCGATGTGACAGCTGGGTGTCGACTTCCAACGATATTTACATGGCGAGTATCGGATGATTTGAAATACAAACATACAGCGGACAGTCCAGTAGACGATCCAGCGGACGTGGGCGAGCGTGGATCATGCTACTGAATGTCTTGCTGGGGGTCTATAACAGAAGAGGATTGTACCGTAGTACGGAGTAGAAACAGACGTAAAGCCACCCGGGAGCTATACCCGTTTCATACTAGTGCATGTGAAACTCAGTCACGTGAAGTTTTCCTTATTTTCAATCTATATCATCGTTACCATAGCCAATTTTGTCTATATCCCTTACTCGCATTATGCGGTAAGAGCGAATCCATGTGTGTGCTCAAGCCGCTCCAAAGATTGCCTTGACAATGCGTCCACACCACGGAGTGCAAGGACTGCCTGTGCTTCTGCAAGGACAATCTTGATCGCACGATGAGAGGCACTGGCAGCCAGATAGATGCAATGCCAAGATTCTCTCCGATACTGCCTTTCGTTTCGAGGCTGAAGGTACGTAAAGGCCTAGCACGGTCTCCAGCTCATCAACAATTTCGGGCAACTGCAGAGGAAAAGGGCCATCCGTGGTGATCGGGTGCTCCACCTGCGCGACCAATGAACTCAGGATGTTCAAAAGATTCCTGTCGTCCCAGACCGCGCCGCCATCCACTGCGGAATTTTCTATTGTCATTCCACCATGGACGACCCGAGGTCCTAGGAAGAGGACATCTCCTGCTTTCAGAACAATGGCTTGGGCCTTGCTGCCTGGATTCCAAGAGGAGCCATATGCTGCAAACTCACTCCAACCATCATAGCCATCATCAGTCATCGAACTGGGAGGGACGACCCATATGACGTGGGCCCCGAAAAGCACTCGCAGCCATGTACCACCAAGCACATCCACGTGCGCACTAGCGTACGCTCCAGCTGAGGTGAATTGGCCGTAGGCGAGCGCTTTCTGAACGTCACAGAATGTCTTACAGCATGAGTCACCAGGCTTGCGAGCTGCTGCGTAACTGCGCCTGTCTGTCAGAGTCTGCAAGAGCTTGAATCGTTCCAGCTGGAGGAATGCCGGTTTTGGTAGGCTCGATATTCCTTCCAACCTAAGGAAGGTCAATGGCTCGCTTGGTACTTGGTTGCCAGAGAGGACGCCCAAGAAATCTTCCACGCTGGCGTTTCCCGGCTTCGCAAAATCGCCCTGCCGCACCGACAAGTTGATTCCCAGGTTCGCATGCCTACGACAGACGAGGGAGGCGTACTCTTGGCAGTCTAGCATGTCCTGGTGAGACGCTCTAACGATTACAACGGCCGGTGGTGGTTTGCCGTGCTTGGCCCAAGAGCAGAACACGTCGTCCGATACTTCGGGAATGGTTGTCCCAGCCTCGCATGCATCGAGATCCGATGACGTCCGGGCAAACTGGATTTTAGACTGCGTCCAGGGTAGTCTTTGACTGGAGCCGTGCTGCAGCTGTAGAGCTGCCACCTTGTGTGCTATCTCACATTCCTCGGGATTGTTGTTGGGAGAGGAGGCCAACAGGCATTCGCCCTCACACACCTTACATGGCAGAACACGATTGCTTTCATTGTGAGAGGTACCGGATGGCTGAACACTTTCACCACGAGGATCATGCTCAAATGGCAGCTGTGGTACAATAGGTGAAGTATCCGGAGTCGAGATGCCTGACCGGACTTGTACGCCGGGGCTCACTTGTCTTTCGCACCGGAAGCGTCCAGCCGGAGTGATATCCATAGGTTGGAAGTCCGCCGCGACGGGTACACTAGTTGCCCGCCTCCCATCGTCCCAACTATCACGTCCAGTCGGGGTTGTCGCGGCAGTCTGTCGAGGCGACAGACTTGTGGTCAATTGCCGTTGACTCGCTCAAGCCACGTCAAGGCAACTATTGCAGGTCCGTACCGGGACGGCCTTCTTACCCAGGTCGGATGTTAACATTCCGTACCTGTCTAGGGAAACCGTATAGAATCGTGGGTCGTGGCCCCATGACTTGATGCGCTCGAGTAGGCAATTGCAAGGGTTAAGCCACGCTTCTTGGAGTGACTGCAATGCTTCTCTATCCCCTTCCAAGAGGCCACTGCATGCTGCTTTCACATCCTGCAACTCGGCAGGTAGTCTTGTGGCCTTTGCTTGAGGGCGCCAGACACCTAGCCGGTTTGTCTTTGGATCTCTTAAGCTTCTTTCGTGTCGGGAGATCAAGGCGAGGTTCACAGCATCTATGCATGCTTCCCAACGGACATGTTGGAAGGCCAATTTCACCCAAAAGCGGAGAGCCCGCTCTGAGCATTCGTGAAACCCATAGTATTCGAGGCGGTTAAGGGACCAGAAGCCGACGAGGGTCAAGTAGTCGCGCTGTTTCCGACGCCCGTCATCTGTCAAGCTCTCTGCCGCTGAAGCGAGACCGCACAGCGCCGGGAGCTGGTCAGGAGACACTATTTGGTACCTTTGATTGACCCGCCAAATTACCCGCGCCCGGAGAATGCTGTTGATTCCAGCATCTTCCACCGCTCTGGCGTATTGGTGGATTATTGACGCTCGTTGGCTGGCGCTCCCTTGCAGAGCGGTATGGAATTTATCGGCAAATTCGATGTTCGGATCCATTTTTGGCAAATTTGGCTACGGAGAGAAACGTTTGAGTCCAGGTCAGGCCGTTATGGAGGGATGTTTTGCATCATTTCGGGCCACATTCTCCCGTCATATATTCTTATAAAGCACGGCCATGACTCAATGGTACAACTCATCGTTGCAGCCCTTAGGCGGCCCGGAACGGAAAGCCTCTGACGTTGATAAGGTCGGGCATTTCCTCCGGCATCAGCCTGCTTCCACGGCACTGGCTGCCGAATCTTATATGCTTATCCACAATCCTGTGTGCTTTATCCACATTCCTGTTTACTTATCGACTATCCCATGTACTTATCCACAATCCCAGGTACTTATCCACAATCCTTCGTGCTTATCAGCAAATGCTTACAAGGATGACACGTTGTCCATTTAGAGTCGTCGCCTAAAGCACGACATCATGAACAGATTACGCTAGTAATAGAAGAATCTCGGAGCCTACGTGAACTTGGCATGTTGCAGGAACTAATCCTGGTTGGGATTAGTAGTACGAGGTACGAGGTATATTTCGACCAATTTGGCAAGATATTTGTCTTTCATACCAGTCCAGCCAGAAAGAATAGCCAATTAAATGAGATATTCCGAGTATACTCCGGTTCGGCCCGACGCCAAACCGCGAACCTTTTGCCGGAAGTGATTTAGCGCGTCAGCAGGTTGGACGCTAACGCTGCGAGCACTTTTTGCCTGTACCGAGAAGTACGATTCTTCATATACAGAGGTACTCTAGGTAAGAATAGGTAGGATAGCCCCCTAGAGACAAAATAAGTTAAATAACCTTGTCATTTGCTTTAGCGTGCCCACAGCTTTTGGTGTACACCGCCGTACGCACTGTGCATGCTCAGTGCTCACCTTGCTCGATCCCAACTCGAGTGAGAGCTCGATGGCAACTCAAACCACCATGTGCCAGATAAGAAAGCACGGACCTACCAGTCAGGGGCACAGTGGTCCGTGCACCGAGTAGATCGTTTCCAAACCAAGAAGGTCAGTTCTTACTTTACTGTGCACAGTATATCACTAATTCTACCGTATCGTGTTACAAGCGGATGGCAATGTTGCGCTCAGCGGGCAGTGGAGACTGTCATACTCGCCATGATGCTGTTGCATTTCAAGACACGGAATAAATAATTTCCCTCTCTTAAAATGTCAGGGTGTACGTATTTACCAGATGTTGGTACTAATCGAGCTGGTGGACTGGAAGACCTGAGGCCAAGGTTACAGAGATAATCCCACTGGATCGTCAGTCTCGGTTCCCGTTGCCCAAAAAGGAAGACCTGGTCCATGATATAAACAAAGTCACTCCCTCCAGCACAGTCCCTCGTTTTCGGCGCCAGACTCTCCACTCCCAAACACAATGGAGGCCGCAAACATATCGCCGCCTCAATCGACCAGGACGGTGGTTATTTTTGGTGATATCACAGACCCGTGGGCTGACGGCTTGGATCAGCTCTATAAGCAGGCCGTCTCGACGCCATGGCTCAAGTCATTCTTGGATGAGTTGGCTGGGGTAGTCAGGTTGGAAGCCAAATCCGTCTTCCTGGACCGTGCTTTGCAAGATAGCCTTGGTCATTTCTCCTCCCTCGCTGAACTGGGCGGGAAATATCGACATGCAACCGATGATTTCGGCCTAGCCAGAGCTATCCTTCTTCACACGGTCAGAGCAGGCTTTCTTCTGCAATGGGCTCAGCGAGAGCCTCACCTTCTCGGGCCAGACGCACCGACCGAATGGCTTGGTCTTTCTGGAGGCCTGCTTACAGCTTCAGCGCTCGCCGTCGCCGACACTTTTGAGACACTGTACGACGCATTGCTGCAGACAGCCCGGCTGGTTGTCAGGGTCTGCAAGGTCGCCAGCGTGAGATCCCGGGCCGTGGAAGACCAACCCGGGGCATGGGGCTGGGCCGTATTGGGCATTGCGTCCGACGAGCTCAGGAAAGCTCTGGGCCAGTTCCAGCAGGATGCCGGTATTCCTGCCTCCAGGCGAGCCAAGGTGGGCGTCACAGGAAATGGATGGAGCACTGTCATTGGACCACCGTCAGTGTTGAAACTTTTCTTCCAACAGTGTCCTGTAGTGCGCGACCTTGCACACAACCCTGTGGAGATCAAGTCCCTCCAACACACGTTGGCGATATCGGCTGCCGAGATCCACGCTATGGTTGGTGACGATGCAGCTATGTTGGAGAGACCTCTCCGTTGCCCAAACCATGCTATTTGGGGCATGGATGATCCGGAGGCCCTATATCCCACATGGGGCGACTTGCTCAGGGCTGTGTGCGACCAGGTTCTGGCTCGTCCTTTGGACATAACACACGTCGTGGGCAGTCTCGTCTCCAGGTCAGACGGCTTGGACACTGTAAGGATTATCCAACCAGGGTCTTGCAGCCATGCCCCTTATCTTGCCACTGCACTCAAGGCGGCAGGAAGGAATGTCTTGGTTCGACACCAACACTCCCTTCTCGATGGGGATGACACCGGACCCTCGTTGATGGCCGGCCGCATTGCCATTGTGGGAATGGCTGGGCGAGGCCCCAAAAGTGACAATGTTGACCAGTTCTGGGAGGTCATCATGTCCAAGCAGGATACGTGCACAGAGATTCCAAAAGACCGCTTCGACATAGACGACTACTATTGTCCGGCACACGAGCGTGGCGACCAACGATGCAAAATGGAGACCAGACATGGGTGCTTCATGGACAACCCCGGACACTTCGATTCCCGCTTTTTCCATGTTTCACCAAGAGAGGCACTCTTGATGGATCCGAACCACCGCCAATTCTTAATGAGCACCTACGAAGCCCTGGAGATGGCAGGCTACTCGGACGGACAGACCAGAACAACCGATCCCAACCGCATTGCGGCTTTCTATGCCCAGGCCACCGATGACTGGCATAAGCAGACTCACCCTACCCTGGGGTGTGATTCATATACGCTCCAGGGCATCCAGCGTGCCTTCGGGGCTGGCCGCCTGGCCTTCTCCTTCAAATGGGAAGGTCCAACCTACTCTCTTGACTCTGCATGCGCAGGAACTACAGCCTGTGTCCATCTGGCCTGCATGAGCTTTTTATCAAATGACATTGACATGGCCATTGCTGGCGCGGCAAATATCCTGAACTGGCCGCATTCCTTCACTTGTCTCGATGACTCAGGCATCCTGTCCCATACAGGCAATTGCAAACCGTTCCGTGACGATGCTGACGGCTACGCCCGCGCTGACTTCGTCGGCGCTGTGGTGCTCAAGCGACTTCAGGACGCAGTGGCACATAATGACAACATCCTCGCAGTGGTGGCCTCCTCTGGCAGAAACCATTCCGGCAATTCAACTTCCATCACCACCTCGGACGGTGGTGCGCAAGAGAGGCTTTTCCGCAAAATCATGCGAAATGCGCAAGTCACCCCGGACGACATTTCTTACGTCGAGATGCACGGCACGGGTACTCAGACTGGCGATCCTGCAGAGGTGGGTGCTGTTTCCAACACCTTCAAGCACAGGCGCCCTACTCTGGGCCCTGTATTTATTGGAGGGGTCAAGGCAAATGTTGGTCACGGCGAAGCCGCAGCTGGCATGGCCGAACTACTCAAGAGTATCATGATGTTTAAGCACGACATCATTCCACCACAAGCAGGCATGCCCCATGCCTTGAATCCCAAATTTCCACCGCTCAAGGATCTCAATATTGATATTCCTTCCGAGCCGCGGGAGTTCAAGAAGCACGCCAACAAGCCGAGGCGCATTCTTCTCAACAACTTTGATGCAGCAGGTGGCAATGCTTGCCTGCTTTTGGAAGATTATCATGGCCACAACCCAAAAAGGACAATTGTTGACCCCCGGAACGCGCACGTTGTTGCAGTTTCAGCCAGAACAAAAGCCGCGTTCGAGGCGAACAAGCGCAAACTGGCCGAGTTCTTGCGAGCGAACCCAGCCACGAGGCTCCAAGACGTTGCATATACGACGACTGCCAGGAGAATGCAACATCCTCTGAGGTTTGCAACGCCTGCGACGTCCATCCACGAGTTAATCACAAAGCTTGAGAGAACCGAGCCTGCCTCCTCTGCGTCAAAGTCGCAAGTTGTCTTAGTCTACACTGGTCAGGGATCGCACTATGCCGGTATGGGGGCCGAGCTGTACCGTACGAGTTCCGTCTTTCGCGACACAATCGACCTGTGCGCGGCTATCTGCGAGAACAACGGATTCCCATCTTTCCTGGACATTATTACCGACAATAGGACTGACGTCTCCACCAAAGACGCTGCCCAAATTCAGCTCGCCGTTGTCGCTCTCGAGATTTCCCTTACTGCCTTCTGGCGATCAGTCGGCCTTGAAGCTGCGATGGTTATGGGTCACAGTCTTGGGGAATATGCCGCCTTGCATGCTGCTGGAGTACTGTCGCTGGCAGATACTTTATACCTCGTCGGGAAACGCGCCCTCATGCTGCTGGAGCGATGCGAAGCTGGTTCCTGTGCGATGCTTGCATTGTCGACTTCAGCCGCAACAGTGCAACATCATCTCGCGCAGAACCCAGCCTCAGCCTGTGCTGTGGCTTGCATCAACAGTCCCAAGGCCACTGTCATTAGCGGAACACTTGAGGATTTGGAAGAGTTCCGGGCACGGATCACAGGGCAAGATGCGAAGATTCGCGGGACCGTCTTATCGATTCCATTTGCAATGCACTCGTTCCAAATGGATCCCATCTTACGAGATTATTCAAGTCTCGCAGGCGGCGTCACGTACTCGGCACCCAAGATTCCCGTGGCGTCGACGCTCCTGGCATCCATTGTCAGCTCGCCGAACGTCTTCAACCAGGACTACCTGGCACAGCAGACTCGTCAACCGGTTGACTTTGCTGGTGCGCTCAAAGCCGTGGGCTCCAAGCTCAAGGACCCAGTCTGGCTTGAGATCGGCCCAGGACCAGTTTGCACATCTTTTGTACGCGCCACTCTCTCCCCACCTGGGACAAAATGCTTGCACAGCATAGATGCCAGCAGCAGCAACTGGATGTCAATCTCCCAAAGCCTCTCGTTGGCTTACATGACTGGAGTCGAGGTTGACTGGCTTGCCTTCCACCAGCCCTATGAAAGTTGCCTGCAGTTATTGACACTTCCACTTTACACATGGGACATGAAGGACTACTGGATGACTTTCGAGGAAGACCGCCGTATTGAAGACGTTACTGAAGAGTCCAAGCCTGAGGTGGCTGCCGCACCATTTATTGCGACCTGTGCACAGTATCTCGTCACGGCAGCTTCGTCTCCAGAGATCCAGCTTACTTTCCGCGCCGCTATCTCCACCCTGCCTTCCTGGGGCTCATTGACGGTCACAGAATGCAACAAATTGGCCTCGCTTCTGGTAGTGTCTTCTGTGATGCGGCATTGAGCGCGGCCAAGTATACCATTGAGTATAGTGGCAGGAAAGGCATCACGGCGCGCAATTTGACTGTCCATGACCCCGAGCTGCTGGCTCCCTTGACAAGGAGTCTCGTTGGAGTTGACGGTGAGCTCCTCACTACGGCTACCATGGGCAATGAATCTTCAAGTGTCGTCAATGTCACCTTCGAGGCTAAATCGGCGAAAGGCGCATCTCACAACCTTGGCTCCATGAGGGTTGAGATCAGCAACCCACAAGAAACTCAGGCGGTCTGGGATCGAATGTCCTACTTCATCAAAGCCAAAGCCGATGAAAGAATCAACGCCTCCAAACAGGGGTTTGGTCACAGAATACAGCCGGAAGTCTTCTATGCCCTGTTTTCTAATGCGGTCGAGTTCGACCCGGCCTTCCAGGGTGTCCAAGAGGCGTACCTTGCCAAAGACTTCCAGGAGGCGGCAGCAATCGTGTGTCTGAAGGAAGATCCTGCCGGAAGCAACTTCACTTTCTCTCCCTACTGGAGCGAGGCTCTTGCACACCTGGCTGGCTTTATGGTCAACGGCAATCCCAACAAATCTTCCCGCACCACCTTCATCGTCATGGGCTTTGAGAGCGTCGAGCAGACCATCGATTTCGAACCTGGTAAGACTTACTTGACGTACACTCGCATCAACAGATGGGAGAAGGATACGGCATTCTGCGATGCTTATGTCTTTGACTACGAGACTTCCAGACTGGTCATGCAGTGCATCAACCTACGGTACCAGGAGCTTCCTAAAGTTGTGTGGAAGACTATCCTCGAAGGACATCATCCAGGTGGGTCGAAAGAAAACACAGCTGCACCACGCAAAGCCCCTACACAAGGGAACAAGAAGGCTGAAGCCGCTCCTGTCTCAAAACCAAGCGAAAGGCCGGCAACCAAGTTACAGCATCCCCAACAGTCCCAACAGCCCCAGCAGCAAGCAGCCTCTTCTGGTGGGGGCTTCTTCCAGCTTCTCGTAGAAAGCATCGCAAAGTCGACCGGTGTAGACGCCTCGGAGCTCACACCAGATATGCAACTCGCCGATCTTGGCGTCGACTCGATCATGTCTATTGAGGTGGCCTCCATGGTAAGAGCCAAAACAGGCAAAGAGATACCTGCAACATTCGTCTTGGAGTACCCCACTGTAGGCGATCTACTCGCCGAATTTGGCGATGAACCGGCCAACCCGAGCTCCCCTGAGTCTCCAGCAGCCCAGCCGGAGCCGGAGCCGGAGCCAGAGCCAGCATCGTCCACTTCCAGTGCTCAGCACCCCACTACGACAAGCTCGAGCTCGAGCTCAAGCTCAGTCAACACACCTGCATCATCCTTTGTAAAGATCGAGAAGCCCATAGCAACACCAAACAACGAAGCGGCTACCCAGCGCCCGGAGACGCAGCCTCCCCATGACAACTCCCCTCTCCCTAGTGTCAGGATCACGTTGCTCAAGGGTCGGCCCGGAAACGGCAAGACACCGTTGTACTTGATGGCTGAAGGGACAGGGTCGATCGCAACGTACATTCACCTACCGGCATTCAAGTCCAAGCTACCCGTGTACGGGGTTGACTCACCGTTCCTTCGTTGTCCATCGAGATTGACACCTGAAGTCGGCATGGAGGGAGTGGGCAAGTACGTCGTCGACGCGCTGGTGACGGCCCAGCCTACCGGTTCATTTATGATTGGTGGCTTTTCTGCCGGCACCATAGTGGCCTACGAGGTTGCTCGACAGCTGTTACAAAGAGGCCGCAAGGTCGATGGATTGTTGCTCGTAGACGTGTGCTGTCCACGACCGGCGACCGGAGTCACTCTTACCGAGGAAGAAGTGAACCATGAGACAGATGTCGGCATCGCCGTTTTCGGTGCTGCTGCTGCCGCCGGGGATGATTCGGGGATGTGGTCCTCGACACAGGTGAGTCGAGACCATCTCCGTGCATACCTTGTCGCTATGAGGTTATACCATCCACCAGCCATGAAGCCCAACGAGCGACCTGGTGCAACAGCCATCATTTGGGCCGAGAGAGGCATGGTGAGACGCGTCCAGAGCGACCCCAACTCAATGAAACTCCTGCAGGAGGCCGGTATCCCTCTCAAAGCCTACCCGGGCTTTATGGAGGACCCGAGACTGGGGCCGTTTGCTTGCTTCATACCTGACAAGACTGAAGCAGACCTCGGCCCCAACGGATGGGACAGATATGTTGGCGACCTCTTGTGTCTCCACGTGGACGCCGACCATTTGGATATGCCGATGCCGAACCATGTTCATAAAATGCATGAAGAGATGGAGAAGGCCTTGGCTCATTTTGGTCACGCCCACCCTAGGAAGTGAATGAATGGATGGAGTTAGATGGAATAGAATTGTGTTTATAGATCAGCAAAGTCCCTCCCTCTAGCCACCAGTGTCGGGTAATCTAGGAACTCCTTTCCAATATTACGCTTGAAAACCGAAACAAGTCAGTGCGGGTATGTGAGTACCAGAAACAAGCGTTCTTAAAAATTGGAAGCCCTTTCCGTCTCCTGACTTGGTTCCGCGCCTCGCTTCTATATCCTTGATTAGAATCCGTGATAGGATTTTGATGGATCTTAATAAGCCTGTTCGCACTTCAAGTCGTCTTGTGTACTTTGTAGACCGAAAGTGTTGAGAAACCTTTAGCCTTATCAGTCCTTTTGTATAGCTTAGCTACGCGTCTGATTTGGGAGACTCTCGGTCCGGGTTGAGCCACCTTCTTCAAGCCAGGAGGTAAGGAGCCTGCCAAAGAGGTTGAAAAAGTTCGTTTTGTTCTCCTAAGTAAAGAGGTGACCGATCTACGTCTATGTGGAGTCTCTGGGCTCCTGAGGGGGCTGGGAATGCCTCTTAATCCTTGACGTGGCCAGGCCCACAAGGATATGCGCTGGAACTGAGCACGATCTGCCTGGTCTATGGCATGCATGATGGGTGGTAGCCCCTTCCCCCCCGCTTCTCCTTGCACCGGAACCTCCTCCCGCACTTCTAACCCTTGGCTCGGTTCTATCCCAAGAGGCATAGAGAGCTCAAGGATTTTCAAGAGGGAATTATTTCGCTTTTTTGACATGCGGGAACGGAAGTCTGGAGCTTAGATCCTGGGGCAGGCTTACATCAAGCAAGAGATGGAACACACTTCCATGAGTCCTCATCATTGTGTCTGTCGCTTGCTATTACCCCGAGATGTAACTCGCATGTTCTTTGGAAAGCCGTGGTCCATCATGTTTTTCTTTAGAGTGAGAGAGCACACCCCTGTCACTGGTGTATGTTATATTTCCTTGTCGATCTGGCTCAGGCCACGGCGCTATGCACGATTGCATCCTACCCTGCCGAGCATTCCCGCCGGAGGGCGCTAGGGTGCCAGGCCGCATATCCGCAGGTTCTCCCAAGTGTCTGCTCATCCACACGACCTCACTCAGAAGCGCGGCAGGCGGAATTTGGTTGTCATCGATACAATCATCGATAGAATTGCATTCAGCGCCAATACCAATCGATGACTACTGATAGTATCAGAAACCACCAGGTGCCACCCTGGCAACCTTGGTGGTATGGTATGGTAGATAGATATAAAGACACCCTCCGGGCTCTCTCCGTTCACTGGCAGTCCTAGATACTCACCCTGCTATATTGTTTCCTTTTTTTTGTCAATCTCAAACAAGTTCATAAGGCCAACCAGATGGCTAAGCCTTCTGAAGTGGACGTACTGATCATTGGCGCTGGGCCAAGTGGGTAAGTACAATACCATCGAGACAATTGGTGCGAGAAGGACAGAAGAGCTATTATGGTATGGTAGGGTATGGCTGACAGCATGTAGTTTGGCCGCTGCTACATGGTTTTCCCGCTTAGGCATAAAGACCCGGATCATTGACCAGAGGGGCACGCGGACACTCGCCGGCCGCGGAGACGGGTTACATGCTCGAACAGTTGAGATCTTGGATTCATTTGGCTTGGGAAACGCCCTGCGCGAGACTGGATGTCAGCTGGACGATTTTGTCGTCTGGGGACCCGATGGCCATGGCAACAAGCGTCGTCTAGACCGACAGCCAGTCTGGGGCAGTGAAACAAGCCTGATCAAACCTTACATGGCGCACCAGGGACATTTGGAGGCCATTTTCCTCGATGGGTTGAAAAGAGCTGCCGACCCGATCGAAGTGGAGCGGGCCGTGAAACCCATCAACATGAAGATCGATGGTCGCGGGACCTCAGGATTCGGAATCGACTTGGACGCACACCCGGTCACGGTCACGGTCAAGCATCTCAGCGAAGAAGAGGCGGGCTTTTGGCCCAGTAATGCGCATACAGTCCTACCGAACGGCCTCACGAGGGACGAGCCCAGTACCAAGATCTGTCCGTCCATTTGTGACGGCGCGTACCAGACGACATTCCAGACGACAGGCAAGGAGGGAAAAACTGAGACGATCCACGCCAAGTTCGTCTTGGGATGTGATGGTGCTCACAGCTGGGTTCGTCGCCAACTTGGCATCCGGATGGACGGATCGGCCAGTGACAGCGTCTGGGGAGTCATAGACGTGGTTCCTATTACGAATTATCCCGAGTAGGTCTTCCGTTCACTTGTGCTCGTGCTCGTCCATGGGACTCCCAGTTGATGGCATCTAGCATTCGTCGACAGGGTCCTATCGTGTCAAGCAAGCACGAACCCATTGTCACATCCCGCGAGAGAACGGAATGAACCGATTCTATGTTCCGCTGCACGGGGATATCGGGGAGAAGGACTCGTTCGCAGAGCTGGCCGATCCGTCGCGTCAACTTTGTAAGAAGATCATGGCCATCGCTCAGGGAGCCTTCCATCCCTATACCTTGGAATACGAATACTGTGACTGGTACACCCTGTACAAAGTGGGCCGACGTTCTGCTTCGGCATATGGCGACCCAACCCGTCGTGTCTTCATTTTTGGTGACGCATGTCACACCCACACGCCGAAAGGAGGCCAGGGCATGAATATCAGTATGCAGGACTCATATAATATGGGCTGGAAGATCGCGGGAGTGCTCAAAGGCCAGCTCCGACCAGAAGTTCTAGCAACTTACGAAGAGGAGCGACGGCCGATCGGTGAAAAGCTCGTAGAGCTCGACGAGTATTTGTCCAAAGGTCTCGGCGCAGCAGCAGAGGATAGGGGCACGCTGATGCAGGTTTACGACCTATTGCGGAAGTTCACTGACGGCAGAGCAGTTGTCTACAGACCTGGACTTGCTGTTGCTCAGGAGTTTGGTCATGGTCCTGCTTGGGGTATCCAACTGGGTACGCGTTTGCATAACCACTATATTCGAGGTCAATCTACCTCTTGGCTGGCGCAGGTGATGGATCTGCTGCCCAGCAATGGTCGATGGCGCCTTATCGTTTACGGCGGTGACATCTCCGACGACGTCCAACGTGGCCGAGTCAACCAGCTGGGTCGTGCGATTGCTGCGCCCAAGGGCCTCGTCCATCGATATCGATCACTCACGCCTGGAAAACCTTGGCTCGAGGTTTTGCTTATCCATACCGCCGATGTGGCGTCTGTCAGTCGTGAAACGTTGCACGAAGCCTACCACCCACAACAGGAAAAGTATGGCGGCACTTCGTGGCACCAGGTATGGGCTGAAGAGTTTCTACCACGCCAGAAGGGAAGCGTCTCACCGGGTCCAGCTCACCGGTCATTGGGCATTGACCCCAATATTGGGGCAATGGCTATGATCAGACCGGATACTTTTGTTGGGTGGGCTGGAGGCTACGAGGATCTGCCTGATCTTGAGAAATACTGTGCTGGGCTATTCGTCGCGTGATGTCACACTGGAAACTACGACAGGAGCGATCGTTTGGTACAGGATGGGGTGCCCACTGTGCGAGAGCTTGGAAGTGTCACCGATATACGGCACAAAAGGGCAAAGGTGGCCATGTGTGGACAAGAGATGGAGTTTCTTTCCCCTTCTTCTCCTTTGCGACTTGATGAAGAATCGTGATTCATAAGTATGCTATATACGGCGACACTAATATATAATGAAAGTCGTCCTTGGTTGTCACCCCAGGTGGACTTTCTTCGAGGGATGAGATGGCGGGACCCTTAACCAGGCCCCCAGATGAAGGATCCATCCAGGTAGTATCTGTTTCCACCGCTGGCGGATCGAAATGCAGCGACCGGACACTTCTCTTTGGGTTTTATTTCTTTTGCCGTAGTCCTTCGCACACTCCCACGTAAGATAAGTACATCACCTGACAAGTCCAAGATTCCAAGCACAAAGTACTGAAATTCAAAGCCTTTCCTGGGAGGCATACCCCGAGCGATTGTGGAACTGTTCGTGGCAGCAAGAGGATCAGCCAGGAGGCCCAATCATGATCTTCAGACTTCCTACAATGCATCTTGTCAGCAGCAACCAGGTACTCGCAAGCAACTACTAAGCTCGGTGGGCTGATGTCATTGTCACCTCGACAGTCTTCAGTTCAATTGTCGCTGGAAATCAACCTAGAGGGATGATTCATGACCGTACATACGGTACATACGAATGAATACTGACCCGCCATGCCCTCGCTGTTCATCCACAACAGAGTTACTTCTTGAAATGAGCCGACACCACTCTGACACAGTCCCGGATGACAATGAAAATGACAATGATCATGATCATGATCATGTTGGCAGTTACCAACCCACAAAAACCGCCACTTATGTACTTACTCACCAGTCCTCTAAGTCAAAAGCAAAGCAGCTCAATAAAGCAAGGCGCAACCCATCGGCCCATTTGATGCAATCTGTCTTCGTTATCAACCTCCTCCATTCTCCATACTTCATACCTGGCCAACGATGGAACTTCTTTCCAACGGCATATCTGGCGCCGGCCTCTCCTCTTCGGATCGTGCAGACCAACAAGCACAAATCAGACTCGACAGTCAGATGATGAAGGTGGAGAGAGATGTGAAAGAGGCAGTGGGCAAAGCGGCAATTCTCAAACTCCATTCAGGCATCTGTGAATTGGCCGTGGAATTCATGAGCGGCCAGGGTTTCGACTGGATCCACACTCCTCGACTGACCGATCTCGTCATTGACGGCGACAACGAGTTCTTCTCCCTCGATTATTTCGGCCGGCGGGGCTCTTTGGCCCAAGCGACACAATTCCACAAGCAAATGCTACTGGGCAAGGGCATGGGATTTGAACGAGTATTCGACATTGGCCCTCTCTTTCGTGCCGAAAAGAGACTGTCTTCCAGACACATGACAGAGGTGAGAAAGAAAGATTCTCTAGCGTTGATTGCCAGTATCATCATCAACTGGGGACACGGAGTCAAGCAATCCTTGTCTTGACTCTCTCTCCCCTCTCTCTGTCTGCATGCCTCAAGCTGTTTGTACCTTCCTTACTGACTCTTGAAACAGTTCACCGGGTTAGAGTTCGAAATGACGTTCCGCGAAACCTACGAGGAAGCTATCCACCTGACCGAGTCGTTATTGCTGTATGTGCTGAGCGAGCTTCAACGGCGCGACAAGTACCAGGACGCCCTTGTGGCGGCAGCAGCCCATCCTCGAACGGATGCATTCAGGTCTCCTCAATCCGGCAAAGTCCCTCGCATTACATTCAGGGAGGCCAAACGTCTTCTTCGAACAGAATGTAGTATGCACGATGCAGTTGACCACGAGGACTTTACGTGCGTTTCCCCTTTTCCCACTCACTTATAAGAATCCGACAAGCTCCAGATATTAGACATCTTCTTTTCAGTTCCAGTTTCCAAGTTTGTTGGCCGCCAGTGTCGCTGCCGTGTTTTGTTTGTTGCTATTTCGTCTGTATCCGTGTTACGACAGCAGACAACAACATTGGACTGAAGTGAACTGACCCCAATAAAACCGAGAACAGAGCCGAACAAGAAGCAGCGTTAGGTCAGTTTATGCGCGAATCCGCCCAATATGGCAAGACTGATATATTCACCATCGTCGACTACCCTGCGCACCTGCGTGGGTTTTGGTCCGTTCCAGACCCGCATGGGTCCGGAACCGCTCGAGCATTCGATATCATTCTTCGAGGCCAGGAAGTCGCCTCGGGGAGCCAACATGTTCATTCCTACGAGCAGCTTTGCCATGCTATGCTGAAGCGTGACCCGCCGTTGGACCCGACTGCTGATATGTAAGTTGTGTCTGCCGCTCTCTGTTATTTCCCTCCCAGTTCCTAATTTTTTAATTCTCCAAAACCATAACGAGTTCCACCAGTGGATAGGTGGCTGAGAGAGAGAGACACACACACAGAGGAGAATATATGTACTGGATTGAGCTGTGCTGATGTTTCTTTCTAGATGGAAACACTATACCGGATCATTCAAAGCGAATAATATGCCGCCTCATGCCGGCTGCGGCATCGGGGTCAACAGAGTCCTTCAGGGGCTTCTGGGGTTGAGCAATGTCCGCGACGCTACTGCTTTCCCTCGGGACGCTTTACACTTGGCGCCTTGACCATTGGCGATACCATCCGTGTATATACCTAAGGTATCATTCTATCCATTGGCACAAGATATAAGCTAAAATCGTATGTTTCATCACTATCAAAGAGGAAAAGAGAAGAAAGAAAAAGAAAGAACCAAGAACCAAGAGCACTAATCGATATCACATTTTTAAAATAGTGTTCGCTTTTCTATTCTGCACCCATGTTCCCCCGTGTATATGTATCTCTATCTATCGGAAACTAACTGCGTACCTCTGATAAACAAATAAATAGCCAAACAGGACTTGGTCTGGGAGATTGTCTAATGGCATGGCGTTACTTCTGAATGAGTGCCCCGCCGACTTCTTTCAAACCGCGAAAGACAAGGAGGATGATGGAACAGGATAACGCAGCCATACCGACATTGACCCATTCGCCCGCCCGGATGCCTCGCAGTAACAAAGCATCACCCACCCGATCATGGTCTTTCACAATAGCAGTTTTCACCGCCGTCGAAATGGCCAGGCCAATGGCTCGTCCCAATTGATTTGACGTCTGGATCAGAGCACCCCCAAGAGCCTGGTCGGCTGGTGGGAGTTGACGGATGATGAAGAGGTTGATTGTCGGTGCGAGGATATCGGTGCTGATACAGAGACCTTGGTCCAAGCAAAAAAGGTTAGAGTAAGTATCAGTGTCAGTGCCAGTGCCAGTGCTGATTTCCGTGCCAAAGGGGGATAATATGGGTAATGAGATGCAGTGGTGACCTACACATCGCGGGGAAGCCATAAGCCCAGTAAGTTGTCGATGGAGGGATAGGAACGGCGAAGAGGAGGGGCGAGATGATGCCACAGCATGAGGCGAATAGTAAGAGGTAGAAGCCCGGCGTGATATGTATCAGTCGGGCTGTCACGAAGCAAATGAGGACTATCAGATCCAGCAAATTGGGATTAGCCTCGAAACTAAATGGGATTGGGGTTGGGACTGCCGGAGACAGTGAGGCCCGCGTTGATGGATACAAGTACAACAATACCTACATCCTGCAATGCCGGTCGGGAGGAAGCGAAGCGTCGTCGCCAGAGCGCTGAGTCCTAGGTAGTCCTGATAGCTGTGCGTGATATTCAAGGGTCAGCTGCTCGGTTTGGATCAATTGGGATGTCTCTGGGGTCTCGGCCGTTGAAAGTTGGAGCAATACAGACAACAGTAAATTAGTAATAGTAGGACTCACAAGAACGTGGCAAACACCAAATAACTATTAAAGGAGGAAAAGTAGGTCATGATGACGACGAATGCCGCCGTGAACTGTCCCCGTTTGAATAACGACACCCTGACCAGCGGCATGTGAGGAGTGGGACTTCTTTTCCTCTCGAGATGCCACTGCCAGAACCCAAACATGATGATCAGTATGAGCGAGACCACCAGAACAACCGGGATCCAAGCGGTTCCCCAACCGACTGTGTTGCCTTCGGAGAGAACAAAGAGAAGCAGGACCAAGGCTGTCGTGATCATGACTGCGCCAACGACGTCAAGATTTTGTTTGTTCTTGCCCGCATCCCCTGTACGTGCGGTGCGAGGGATCACGAACAGTGCAGCCACACCAACGCCGGCAGCGAAGATGGCCGTGATCCAGAACATCCACTTCCAAGTGAGGAAACTCCCAATGAGGCCGCCGAGGATGTTGCCCAGAACCGAGCCCAGAGAGCTCGCTGCTGTGTAGGTGATGAATCCGTAGTTCTTCTGTTTTCCTGCCGGGAGCGTCGATCCAAGTATCCCGACAGCAGACGGGGTGGTTGCCGAAGCCCCCAGACCTTGGAGCGCTCTCAAGATGTCGAAGCCGACCTCGTTGGGTGAGAATGGTATCGCCACCGTCACAACCACGATGCATGCCATACCGGCCAGGAAGACGCGGCGACGCCCGTAGATATCAGCCACGCGGCCCCAGAACATCAGGGCACAGCCAAGGGCGATATTGTATGCTGATGTGACCCATTGCTGTCGCCCTGGGGGAATGTCGAGATGCCTACTAATGTCCGGGAGCAGAATCACTGAAGACTGTACAGAGGCTATCTGTTTTCTAGGATGAGCTGCCAGATTCAGGGGGCCGTCTCTCATCTGGAAGCTCAACGTACATTGAGAAAGCCTGCACATGCCAGCGTGGCCACTAACGCTACCTTGGCTGCTTTGGATAAGGGCGGCGGGCCGACAGCTGCTTCTTCATCATCATTCTTCTCCAGCAGAGCCGGATCTCGGCTCTCCAGCGTCGACTGTTCAAGCTGCTTGCTCGGAACATATGAGTGAGACTTGCTCTCCTCATTTGACATAGCGAAACGTCAAATGAACAAAGGGTACGGTAGAGGTATCGAAGGACGTTGAAAGACAGTCTGTCACGAATGCATTCACTTATATGCCGAGCAAGAAAGATGCAATGCGATGCCCGAACTGATTTACAAGAGACAGTCCCACGTAGGATGCCTCAAAGGGTTAGAAGCGGTGTACGAGGTACGGTCGGAGCAAAAGGGAGGGTTACAACAGACTTTGGCTCCTCAGCCCGCTATTGACCATCATCATCCCTGTCTGTCGCTCATCCCCGTCAGTACTAAGAAGATTGGAATCATCCTGATAAGCATTACGTCCCGCTATCATGTAGAACCATGTTGATGGAGTTAACTAACGAGCAACTATCGCAGGTGGAGAAAAACAGGGGTGGCAATAAGTGCCGTTGTACCACTGGCCTAATCTGCCTAATGCAGGATTCATCAGGTCTATCACTCCGCCCGACTAAAGTTCCTGGTAAGGCTAGGGCAACATATTATCACAACTCACAGGCTTGGAACGTGCCAGCCTCACTTCTCCGGTCGGAGGAAATACACGGCCGACAGGCGCTCCTTGCAAACCCCCGCCGGTTGAATAACTCGATGCAACGGAGAATGCAGTTCGCCGTCAGTCCTGTTCTGCAATTCATCCGCCACATTGACCACGGCACTTCCAGCACGGGGCTCAACCGTCAACCAATCCCCTCCTCCCTCCTTGGTCTCGGCCGAAATCTGAAGCGTTGGCTGGTCATAGAACAGCAACGTCAGCAGACCGGAATCTGTGTGAGCTTTGCCGTTCGTCTGGGTCTCCGTCTCACTCGGCTCCTTGTGGCACAACTTCAGGCCCGTCTGCTCAGGCTTGGATGTCGGTTTGCATTCAGGAGCACATTCCGGGAAACGCTGGCCCAAGGAATCTCCCAGCTGCGAGAGCATAAGGCGACAAGCCGCATCGCACGCTGACGAGAGCCTGGACAGTGAAACACTGACATCCCGTAGGGTGGATGGCAACTGCACAGGCACGCCATCTCTCTCATCTTTGGGGATCTATATCGACAGAGTCAGGGGTCAGCCTTGCCCAGGGACTCATTCATTGAGGCCCCCTTGGTATGGGGAAGACGGGGTCTCGATACTTCGAATGTGCTACTACCAGTGTATTGCTTGAATCTTGTTCAGTTGCGTCAGTCAATGGATATCATGAAGCAATGAAGAAGAATAGAATTGCAATACCCTCGCTCCAAGCCTGGGACAAAGTCTGCTTGCTTGGCTTCTGCTGTCTGGTTAAAGTATCGTGCTGAAGCATCGTATACTTTCTGGAGATCGGTGAACGGGTCGGATGCTGTCATATCCAGGTAGAATATCCCCATTGTTCGGCAGGCGTTGACAAGACGGTCAATTTCCTCTCGCTCCCCCTCCAAAAGCCCCTGATACTTGATGATTTCGAGTGACGCCATGACTGTAGCTGAGACGGTTCGTCTGTTCGAGACGATTCTGGGTAATTTTTATGAAAGGATGAGAAGATCTGCGGCGGCCGACGCCGGCAGCGGAGGGTTGCATTCTTTCCGCCGCCTACGGCACGGTCCACCCGGCACTCGGCGGTCAGATCCTTTCATCCAGGCTGGTGTAATGCAGGGTGTCAGTAGTTATGTGACTCGGAATATGATAGATGCTCATCATGGTAGTATCTATCAAGTGAGAGAAATGTGTTGGGAGGCCAAGCCCGGGTCTAAAGCCTTCAACATGGAAGAGAGGATCATCATCAGACGGCGAGGACGAGAAGAAGCTTCCATCGTTAAGGGGTAAAGGCAGACCGGGCGAATTCCTATATCAATCATGGTTCACGCGGATTCCGCAATTCTGGGACAAGATATCGTCATAATAATCCTCATCCAATATGATTTGGCCTACTCAGTCTATTCTTATCTGCTCCGGCATTTTGATTTGTTTTCATTTGGGCCGCCATGCTTGGGTCTGGATGAAGTCGATATGGAAGAGAAGTGCTTTCAGCAATATCTCCGCTCGAGCTCATCTTTCAGAGCACACCAATCAAGACGAAGCTGCTTCATCTAGCCCAGGTAGCACATCGACCCCAGGTCATATTGACGACCAAGAACTCGACCTGTACCGGACACTATACTGGAAGCTTCAGAATCTCGAATACCATCAAGACATCTTGCCAACAGCGTATCAGACATTTAACACCCTGCTGGAAGATGTGGTCAGTGGGGAGAGCATCGGTCACAGCAACAGCATACTGTCTATTGCTCGGTACGATGATGCCGCGCTTCAGAAATTTGTAGGTATCCAGCATGACATGGTCTTCGATCAATACCACCAGTACCTGCAGCGCCGAAAGTCTGGAGGAAAGCCCGAAGTCTTCAGGACCCGAGGAGAAGCTGAACAATGGCTGATTCGGAATGCCCCCGTCAAATACGTGGATGGCGCTTGGCTGGGCAATATCCATCGCGTCACCACCCTGTTCGCCCTTCGCCCCGTCACCAAGATCGCTTACCAAACTCTCTCCGAAGAGCTTGGGGACGGCGATCTGGCCAAAAACCATGTCTACCTCTACCAGGAAGTTCTGCGAAGGACCGGCATCACTCTTCCCGCCGGAGACTCCCCTGACTTCATCCAGAAAGGTCTGGGAATGGATGACACCCGTGTCTGGAAGGCTGCCGTGGGACAACTTCTCATATCCTTGTTTCCACACGACTTCCTACCAGAAATTCTGGGCTTCAATCTGCACTTTGAAGCATTGACGCTAGACACACTCAAGGCTGCCAAAGAGCTACCTTCATTTGGTATCTCCGCTCAGTACTTCCTCATACACATATCGGTAGACAACGCTGACTCTGGACACACCGCGATGGCTCTGCACGCAGTCCAGAAATACCTGGATGTCGTGGAAGAAGTTGAAGGACCGCAAGCAGTGCAGGCGGTCTGGAAGCGCGTTCAGGCTGGCTATCTGCTATCCAAAAGGCTTGGAGAGCGTGACGACCTGGTCAATAGTGATGGGGACTCGCCCTTGACTCAGGAAGAGGCCACTATCATCCAGATTCTTCGAGACAAAGCCGCAGTTTCTCATAGGTTGCATTGCACAAGTCGGGTCAAGATCGGTGGCAAGGCCTTGGCTGACTGGCTGTCACCCAGATATCTGGACGACATCCGCCAACAAAGGGCCATATTATCTGGGCTCGGCAATGCGTCGCCCTGGATAGTCAAAGGAAACGCCGGCAAGAGTCGTTTGATCAACGAGCTGTTGTGGAAAGGGAAGATGTTTGGCGCTTTCACCGTCACTGAAATCATGGCTTTTAGATCTTGGATCGAGTCTCTGGAGACTGCGGAGCCTTTCTCAAAGCCGCTACAAGAGGACATGACTCTTTTTGAAACTGAGTCGCACAGTTTCTGGCAGGCCAAACAAGCAGGCATGACTTGGCAGTATTCCACGTCACCCGAGACGCCAGAGAGTCTTCGAGCTGCGTGCAACAACAGGGCGCAACGAGCTTTGTTGGAGATCCCGGACTTCCATGCTAAGAGGCCCTTGCAGATAGCCGAACGGTCCTTCGACGTCTTGCGCCCATTATGGTTTGCCCACCTTTGCCTCCTGGAGAACACCATCCGAATCCCATATCAAACAGCCAACCCTCTGGTGTCTTGCATCCTTCGTATCCTCCGAGCAGAGCTCGGCTTCTCGGCAGAGGCAGACGGTGTGTATGGCGCGGACGAGTTGAAAAGGGAAGGGATGCACCGTGGTTTACTTGATATTGGGAGGAGCATGGTGCAACGCCGAGGTTTGGCTGATCCGTCCTGCTTGAAAGAAGCGTTCGGGGAGCTGGATGGCAGCTGTCCGCTCGCGGTTAAGTTTTCGTATTCGATGTTGTCATGGTCACTGCGGCCAATGGAGAACTTGGGCCTGCTCTTGGGTCTCTCACGAGCCTTCTTGGACTTGGAAAGGCAGGTTTCTGTTGGCCCTTTTCTTGACTCGACAGACAGGGAGGCGCTGCATCGGATCGCTGAGAGGAAAGACAGAGGATTCCAGGAGTGTCTGGAGAATATGGAAGAAGACTCGGCCATACGTAGAGACTACCTCCTCGGGTATCTGTTCGGCCAGGAACAGCTTCAGAGCTTGTTCGAGCCTTGTCATGGGATGACTAGATTATGTTAGTAGTCATGGAAGGAGTATGAGTCGTCCAACGTTATAAACGGTATGCATGCGAGCCGCCTCACCCTGCTCCTCAACGTCCTTCATCAAAGTCAAGGTTTGAAATGGTCTATCCATCATCTGTCATCCAGCATGCGCCGTTATTCATGCTCTGTTACATGCCCTGCTCCCCAGAAATGGACCAATCCGCAATACCACTCCCGTCGTTTCCCGTCGTTCTCATCAAGTTGTTAAAGAAAGCCAAGTCGACACCCTGGAACGCCCAGTCTTCCGTCCCGGCAGCTAGTCCAGGGTATCCTTCTTGCCGCAGAAGAGGATCAGCCAAGTCATCCATATGCTGCGGTGTGAAGTGTGTACCAGAGTGATCTGTCCCAGGTGTCAACATTGACAATGCACCCGGTGGCACTGGATTCGTTGGATAGATCTCAGGCATCAATACAGGTGTATCGGCATGACGGTCATCGGTGAAGGCCATCGCCGTGGTATGGGCATCGGGAGCCCCCCGAAGGCCGTCGAAGCTGGGTGGCTGCATTTGAGGATTCGCATGGCTGCTTCGCGGAAAGTTCTCGTTGAGGATATCCGTCGTTTGCGACTGAGCCGGGCGATTGGCCCTCCCCGTAGCGGGTCGTGACTGGGGTCGCATCGTGCTCATGCCCTCGCAGGTGATCCGGATAACCCCAAAGTAAGGAATGTGAACATTTACAGCGCCATCATCATTGACTTCTGCCTGAGTCGACTCTGTTCCGGCTTTGTAGACGCTCACCCTTCCGGCAAATCGTGAAAAGCCAGCTGTGCTGTCAGCGTCGATCGCGAGCAATCTCTGTAGCAGATCGGCACTGTGGGCGCTAAGTGAGTCTGAGTTTGAACTCTTGACTTCTTGGAAATTCTCTTGTACCTGCTCAATCATAGCGCGATCACTATGATACTGGTGAGCAAGGAGATTCTCTGCACCCAAGTGGTAGCTGTCAAGATGGGCTAGCAACAAAGTTATAGCAGCCATCAGGGCGAGGAAGTCGATAATTCGACAGCTAGAGGCGATGTCGTTGAAGCTGCGAAGGGCGATGAAACGTGTGAGAATTTCCCGCGAGGCATTTACGCAGGTTATTCGGGAGAATTCGTCCTTTCGATCAACCATTGAAGATCGGAGCATGTAGGGTAGATGAAGCTGATTGAGAAGGTTGTAGTGCAATACTTGTGCAAACAGACGCCCCGTGTTCCAAAACGTGCTCCGAGGGTCCGTTTCTGCACTGTCCAACTTGGGTGTCAACCACCACTTGCTGGGGACGCTCCTAGCGGCTTTCTGTAGCTCCAGGTCCAGGGTTCGAGTGATATCCAGGTCTTGAGCACTTGGCTCCAGTTCGTTGCGCTCGAGGACTCGGGAAGCAACTACGCAGTGTATCCGTTCAAGTCGTTCCATAGGAAGACCAGCTCTCAGGATCTCCTGAGGGCCCATGTTCTTCTCGGTACAGCCCTGCGGGAGGCCAAGCATAAGACATAGGAATCGGTCCAGGAACACAATCCGAGACCATATAAGGCGTGGGTCGTATTTCGTCCTGGTGTCAAGCACTTCGAACTGTGAGCGGTTGTCCGAGCGGTTGAGGCCCATGAGTTGCGCAACAGTAACAGCTCTTCTACCTGCTAGCCAGCTTCGTCGGAGGTTTCCCAGGTTCGCATGATATACGCTCTCCATCATAATACACTCCAGGCCTTCCATGCTACCAAGCAATTCATCTTTAGTCGTAACGTAGTTGATGGCCAGATTTGCTAGCCGTTCCGACATGGCTTGCGGCTTTTCCGAAAGACCTTTGATCTCGGCATGGACCTCAGGGTGAAGATGTTGCAGTAGGCTGGCGAGGAGAAGCATGTGCTTCGCAATCAGAACCGGATGCGTGTTCGGGTCGGGGATTTCGAACGAGTTTCTGGGTAGCATCCTGTCGTTTAGCGAGAGGCAAGTGTACGGCATTGTCATCATTTCATGAGCAAGTACAGGCCGTTGAGGCAGGGCGTTGTATATCCTTGTGGTATCTTCGCGAGAAGGTAAGGATGCGTGCAGGAATCGAGAGAGGCTGTCGGTCTTGTGGAATGACTGCTGTTGTACAGGCTCCAAATTCATCGACTCAGGTGTTAAAGGTTTATCTGATCGAGACGTGTTTGCGCTTGAGACGCTTGACACCGTCTCTGCTCCGTCAGCAGCGCCAATCAGCCTCGCAACCATATTCATGTCTATCTCGCTGTCTTCCGGGAACTCCTGGCTAAGACAGCGAGAGCCTCTCCTTCTACAGCCAGAGCACACCGTGGAGCTCACGGCTGGCTGGAAGACGCATTTCATCTTCCGCCGCTTGCATTCCCAGCAGCTGTGGGTGCCTCTTCGCAGCTGCCTTCGGCGGGCTTTGAGCTCGGCATGAGTCTGCGGCGCACTAGGCGGAGAAACCATGGTAGGCATTCTGCTTCCAGACATGCGGTGCTTCGATGCCGCCCGAGTTGAGTTGTACACTCTTTGATTGTCCCTGGAAGATCGAGATGGAACGCCGAAATTAAGGCCAAAAGCAAGGAGAGACGGAGGCCGTGCCAAGCCTTTCGTCCGCCGTGTGATGCCCCGCATATAATGACGACGACAATGATAATGATGAATTCATTTTGGGCGATCCAGCTGCTTAAGGCAGCTATGCGCCGAGCCTATTGTTATCGAGGCAGATGATTATGGGTTCCTAAGGCTTCGGCTCTACCATTCGTTCGTTCATTCGCTCGTTCTCCTCCTCATCCTTGTCCCTGTCCCCGTCCCTGTCTCTGCCCCTAACACCAGGCTAGTGCCACCTCGTCTTGACAGCCTGGTGCTTTATTTGTTTGTGTCCTAGCCGCTAGACTACAATTGTTGGGGATACTTTGGGTTTGACATTTGATAATCAAAGAGCTTCCTTATGTGCTTAGGTACACACGTATGCCGAAGATTGTGATACCTGTTTTTATACAGGCAGCAAATTGGGCTGCCAAAACCTCGGAAGATGCTCTCAGGGAAACGGCTGCTGTACTGCCAGACCTATGAAAACTAGTCTGATCCCGACCAACCTCTGGATGTACAGTGCTACCCGATCAATCATCCTCGACATCGTTCTCGTCAAACACTAGGCAGCGCACCTCAATACTCTCACGCTCTTCTTCACCTTCAGTCCCTGGGATCTTGAACGCTGAATGCGGCACCCTCTTCGCACGCTTCTCATATTTCTTCGCGCTCTGCGGACCCGCCCGGGTATCGAAACACTTAAATATAAGCGCCTCGTCTGGAGTTTGCTGCCTTTTGTAGTACCACAGCTGGCGGTCGGTGTACTTCACTGAGAGTGTCGCGCCCACACGGTTCCCATGAGGATATACCACGGGACTCACGACGAGATCGTCCTCAGAGAAACACCACGATGGCGATACAGCCAGAGGATCTCGCCGGACCGTTTTGATGGGCCTCCAGACATTGATGATCTGCACCCGGCCTTTGAGGAGCTTGTCGGCATCCTCAGGCAAATGGAATGCGACGCGTGAGAGCGCAGAGTCGTAAGACTGGTCGACGTGAACCGAGAATGTCGGACCAATAGGCCGGGGACCTTGCTTCTCTGCATCATGCGATACTGCTCCATTACGCTGATTCTTATTGCTTTCCTTCTTGGCCGGCCTTCGAATCGTGTGATCGAAGATATGCACACGCGTGGCGCCAGTTCTGCAACATTATGTCAGTGTCAGTCTCTGCCACTTTTCTCATTTTTCAAGACGTTTTTGCTTTCCCTGCGAGGTGCGGCGTACATTTCTTTCAGGAGCTGTTCAACTTCTTTGTAGTATATGTTCTTGATTCGGTCCGCATCCATGAAGTCCTTCTCTTTGGTAGGGGATGTGACAAATTGAAAACCATGGCTGTCCAATGTGTATTTGGCCTCCTCTCCAGTGACATCGTGTACGGTCACTTGGTGGTCCTCCGAAGGACGCTCGAATGTTTCTGGTCGCGCCATGTAAGCCGGCGCAGGCGGTGATCCATCTGCATTGGGCTTATAGAAGGTGAGTGTCGTCTGGACATCATGTCTCTGGACTGCGGCTGCTGCCATAGCGAAGCTTGATCGAGAAGATCTGACAATCCGCCGTAATGAGGTTTGACTCTTATGGCGAAGCATGGGTTGCTGCGCTATACTTTACTTTGTAGGGAAGGTTCATATATTCAAGCACAAGCTTATATTCCAGTCACAGAGCGACAGCGTAACGTCATCGTGGACCCCTGCCATACCTAAATGGCCCTGTCGAAGACCTTCAAATTTTCCCGCGGATTCACTACCTGTTAGGTACCTACATGTAGGTAGGTAAGCGCAGGCGGCGCATGTTTGCGCAGGACGGAGCAAGTGACAGGAGCAAGTACTCGGTACGGTCGAAAACACGGAGTTATTATATAAGCGCCCGGCCTCCGAGACAAGGCTGGCGGGACATAACTGAGGCCGTGTTGTCCGTGTCTCTCATTGGTCAACCGGGGGAAGCAAGTGGCAGCCGAAGTATACATTCTCTCCCTTGTTTGTCTTCCGTCGATTTTTTTATTTTATGAGACAGGGACAATATTTAAAAAGATGGACTCAAGCGACTCAGCCTTAATCCATTCTCGACGTATCCTTCGACTTGAGAAATTCCGAACTCACCGCGATGTCGACCCACGAAGAGGAGCACGAGGCAAAGTTGTCGCCAGACAGCATGAACCCATCAAGACGTGTCAGTGATGAAGAGAAAGCCCAGGAATCTCCTCAGTCGTTTCTCGTGGATTGGGATGGCGACAAAGACCCCCTTGACCCGCGCACCTTCTCTACCGCGAGAAAATGGTTCTACGTGACTGTAGTGGCTGTGGGTTCTCTCTTGGTGTAAGTATTTCGACGACTCCTTTGAACGGAGCACGCTAACAGCTGATAGTACTTGCACCTCTTCCCTGTACAGCTTGACCTATGACCAGCTCATGGCCAGATTTGGTTGCTCTCTCGAAATCTGCAACCTTGGGCTGTCGCTCTTCCTCATCGGCCTGTCCCTGGGACCTCTTCTCTTCAGCCCATTGTCAGAGGTAGAGGGCTTAATCCACCTCGCTTTGAGCTTTTCTGACTCAAAACCAGTTCTACGGAAGGCGTCCAATCTACATTACCGCGATCTTTTTCTTCCTTATCTGGTTGATCCCGTGCGCCGCTGCCCAGAACATTCAGACTCTCCTTGTAGGGCGTTTCCTGAATGGTCTTGCTGGAAGCGCATTCCTTGCTGTCGCTGCCGGAACTGTCGTCGACATGTTCGTCCCTGCGCAACTCCTGATCCCTATGACGGTCTTTACTGGAGCTCCTTTCGTGGGCCCGGCTCTTGGTCCCATCATGGGAGGTTTCATAAACTCGTTCACAAATTGGTATGACCCTAAACAATGCTCGTAAATCTCCAGTCTGCTGACCTCAATTAGGCGCTGGTGCTTCTATGTCCAGATCATCTGGGCTGCCGTCGTCTTCCTCTGCGTCCTCATCACTCCGGAGACATTCCATCCGGTTCTCCTCAGCAGGAAAGCAGCCAAGCTCCGCAAAGACACCGGCGACAATAGATACTACTCCGCCTCTGAGAAAGCACGTGCCGGAAAAACCCTCACTGGTGCCATCTTGGAGTCCCTCTACGTCCCATTCAAGCTCCTGTTCTTGGATCCGATGATTGCCGTTCTCAGCACATACACCGCCCTCCTGCAAGCGATCCTATACATGTGTTTCTCCGCCTTCCCCTTGGTCTTCGGCAACAACCACGGCTTCAATCTGTGGCAGATCGGTCTGACCTTCCTCGGTCTGGCGGTGGGAAACGTGATTGCTTGCTTTTGCAATCCGCTCTGGCACAAGCAGTGGATGGGATCGATCGCGAAAGAGAAGGCCAAGCACGGAGCAGACTACAAGCCTCAACCTGAGCTCAGACTCCCGCCTGCCATAGTAGGAGGCCCAATGCTAACCGCAGCATTGTTCTGGTTCGCCTGGACGACTTACTCTTCAGTCCATTGGATCGTGCCCATCATTGCCACCGTATTCTTCAGCACTTCGTAAGGACATTGATGCCTCTGTTGTCAGACGACAGATCCACTAACTTGATCGAATAGCTTCTTTTTCCTCTTTCAGGGGATCTGGACGTTCCTAGTTGCCGCGTACCCCAAGTATGCCGCCAGTGTCATGGCTGTCAATACCACTACACGCTGTCTCGCCGCGGCGGCTTTCCCGCTGTTCACGGTTCAGAGTAAGTGATTTTCAACAAGAATGGTTTGAAACATGCTGACAGGTTGGAAGTGTATAACAACCTCGACTACCAATGGGCTTCGTCTTTGATTGCTTTCTTGACCTTGGCAATGGCGCCGTTCCCGTACGTGCCATCATACTCCGAGATGTTCGGCGAAGCAGATTGCTGACCACATTTAGGTTCATCTTCTACAAGTTCGGGCCGACCTTGAGGGCGAAGAGCAAGTTCACTCACACTTAATCGACACTCTGTGTCGCGTTCGAACCATTCACTAAGGGCGTACCGGAGCCCTGGTCGAAAACAGCCCCAGTTTCTCGTCAAGTGGATATGTCATTTGGTTTTGGATCAACACAGTTGATGGCACATTTGGATATGTAGCCAGTCTACATGTATTTCTACCTAGTCAAGCGTCAGTGCTTGGCCACGTCTTTCAGGGCAGCGCAGGTGGTCAGCAGGACAGCCTGCTTGACCAAGGTCACAAAAACAAAATAGATTTACGTTTGTACCAAAAGCGTACTGAATAGAGGGTGCTGAATATCTCATTGTGTGCCAACAATAAGTTGATAGAAAGGTATCTCACAGTTGCAGCCGATAGGTACTTGCCTAGGTGATACATCACTGTCAACCCTGCTGATCCACCCCAGTAGGACAGTGTGACCCATACCCCGTACTTGGAATCCGTCCCTTGAATCTATATACATACCTGAGATACTTTACGAACCTAAAGTAGTTTAGACATCTTGGTTCCGGTCCTGGCCATATGTCAGGTACCCGTCGGTATATGGTACCGTAGTGGAACCTACCTGGAAGGTCTTAGTCGTCATGTCAAAAGATATTTCCTAGTTAGGGAAAGCTCCTCTATGTTTCGATCGAATGATATTCAAATGACGGTGGTAAGTCGAGAAGCTTTCACGCGCTACTAACGAGATCTTACCCAGGTACCTAGCGCTCGCTACCTAGGTACCCTGAAGATTGTTCCTTATGTACTCGGTACTCGGTAGGTACCTCGTACACAAGTCGATTTGATTAGGACGAGTACTTCGCACTCGGTTCTTGAAGGTCTTCTTGTTATGTGGGTGGCACCTAGGTTCTATTGTATCTTCTCCTTGTAGCCCCCTGGATGCCAGCCCTTAGCCGCGTTGTAATTATTATGTGCTCCATACCGAAACAAGCACTAGATCAACTTCCGAGGTCGTCGTCTTCTCTACCAAAAGGGTTATTCAACGTGCCAGTGAAAGCTGCTCAAGTCGCGTGACTACCAAATTCGCCCCGTGCCGTGCTTCGGGGGCTCGAGCTGGCTGCTCTGGGACACGCTAGGAAGCCCGGTGGGGCCTATAGGCCTAGGACCTAGGCAGGTAGTGGGCTTAGTGGCTTCCTGCTACATGCGGCTTTTTCACCTGAAGAGTCAAGACTCCCTGACCCCGAGCTCCCGGCTGTCCCAATGCCAGCCAAAGGCACTGCGGCTTAAGCAACCACCAGGCACACCCGGCGCAACCCGAGCAAATCCCCGGGGCATCTTCCAGTGCTCCGAGCAGTCCCCAAAGGTGTCCTCGTCATCCAATTGGAACACCGGCATCGCGGCGATTCATCGTGGAGTCGATACTTGTTTTAAAAATTTATTGTCCATCTTCTCCCCAAACTGGCCTGCTGCACCCGTCACAGTTTCTTTGCTGTACATTAATTCTTCCCCCAGCATCATCTTTGTAAATTAGATTCCTTCGTTCTTTCTTCGTCAGATATCCCCTCTGACTTTACACTCCTTAGCATTCATCTTGACTGTACAGTACCCTCGTGTTGCATTCGGCCCTAAGGTTATTCCTAATGGACAATTCCAATGGTGACGTGAGGACAGCACAAGGTCTGCTGCAGCTTGTCCATCATCGAGAGTTGGTCCGCTAACCCACCAACAGATGTAAAAGAGATCCCTTCCAAAGCCGAGACAGCTTCCTCCCATACGAATGGCGTCAACGGCGTCAACGGTGAATCGCATGATCACGCAGACAACCATAACCACCACCACGACCATGACCATCACGATGACGCCAATGCTGGTGCACTGTTTCAGGTCACCGTCAAGCTGCCGCACAAGCCTTACAAGCAGACAATAACTGTTACGAGTCAAGAGCAGGTGCAGGATGTCCGTCAGTCCATCGTCGAGACCCCCGATACCTTCCAGTACACCTGTTTCCATCTCGAGCACAATGGCCAGAAGATCAATGATTTTGTCGAGCTGTCAGAAGTCAAAGACCTCAAGCCAGATGACGAAATTGTCCTGGTAGAAGATCCCTATACCGAGAAAGAGGCGAGGTTGCATGTCGTCCGCATACGGGAGCTCATTGGCGCCACCGGAGACCGTTCCGATCAGCTCCATGGCATCTGCGCCGGGTTGTCCCTGCACGACGACAAGTTTGGCTCGGGCCATGCTCAAACCAAAAACACCGAGGACAATCCTTTGGCAGGTTACGAGCTCGACGGAGGGGCGTCGCTGGATGCGATCTTACCGTCTCACCAGGACATCTTGCCGAAGACAATCAAGTCGCTCTCAGTCTCACAATGGAACCCTCCACCATATCACCTCCGCCAGCGAGGTCACTTGCTCTATCTACAGCTGACCACCAACGAAGGCGAGCAACACCAGATTACCGGCACTGTCTCCGGCTTCTATGTCAACAAGTCCTCTAGCAACAAATTTGATCCTTTCCCGAGGCCCCCTCCAAAGAATCACAGCGCGCACTCTCTGCTGTCACTGATATCGGCTTTGTCGCCGTCTTTCAATGAGACCTTTGTCGAACTTCAGAAGATCAATGGTAGTAAAGACCTTTTGACCACGTTCCCCTTTCAGAACGCGATACCCGCAAATCCCTGGATCGTTCCCTCTTCCTATGGACAGGGCACCCAACATCAAGCAGATCCCACAAGAGCCCAGGAGGCATATCTGATGGGAGGAGCGGATGGCGCGGAGAATCTTCGGGATTGGAATGAAGAGTTTCAGACCACCCGTGAACTGCCCAAAGAGACCTTGCAAGACCGAGTGTTCCGCGAGCGATTGACCTCCAAGCTGTTTGCCGACTATAATGATGCCGCAGCAAGAGGTGCTGTGCTCGTTGCCCGGGGCGAAGTTGCACCGCTGAATCCAACCGAAGGCCGAGACGCTCAGATCTTCATCTACAACAACATATTCTTCTCCTTTGGTGCTGACGGAGTGCAGACGTTCGCGAGCGAGGGCGGCGATGAGGCTGCTCGAGTCGCCGTTGGGAAAGATGTTGCAGGCGTCAAAGCCGTGAATCAGCTTGATATCGATGGCTTATTCACTCCGGGTACGGTCTTGGTGGATTACCTTGGTAAGCGCATTGTCGGTCAGAGCATTGTTCCAGGGATTTTCAAGCAGCGGGAACCCGGGGAACATCAAATCGACTACGGGGGTGTCGAGGGACGAGACACTGACCGAAAACGAGGCTTTTGTTCCGGTCTTCGAGAAGCTGTCGAAAGCACTACACGTCAAGAAGCATCCTGTCTGGGACAAGGAAGGCGGCCGACACGATCTGGAAGGCAGTGTTGAGACCAAAGGATTACTGGGCACGGATGGCCGAAAATATGTGCTTGATCTTTACCGCATCACTCCACTAGATGTGGCTTGGGCGGAGGAAGTCGAAGCTGACACAGGGGACGAAAAGTATCCACATCGGATGTCTGTCCTGCGACTTGAGCTGGTGGAAACGTACTGGCACAAGAAAATGCAGGAGTATGTCAAGGCCGAGGTCGACAAACGCCGCTCGAAGCAGAGCAATGGACATTCTGGAGAGCCCAAAAATGGAGAGGAAGTGCAAACCCACGATACCGCCCCTGAAGGGGAGAGCAAAGACAACGAGTCCGGCGAAGCTGAAGACGAACCTGCCAAAGATGCTCCGGCGCTGGAGCAGGAACGGGTTGACATTTCCAACTTTAACCTGGCGCTGAATCCTGACGCATGTAGTGGTCAGGTACCTCAGACGGAAGAAGAAAAGCAAGAATACGTTGCCGATGAGAAGGAAGTTCGTGCAGTATGCGAGTTTCTCCGAATGAACGTCATTCCGGATTTCATCAACGAACTCCACGATGGCAATGTTGGCTTCCCGATGGATGGTTCATCTCTGTGTCAGCTCATCCACAAGCGTGGAATCAACATCCGGTATTTGGGTCGACTTGCAAAAGCTGCTGAGGACAAGGGAGAACGTCTGCACGCCTTTTCGACGGTGGTGTTGCAGGAAATGGTGGCTCGAGCATTCAAACACATCGCAAATCGCTGTCTACGCCATCTGCCTGTCATCTTCGCCGGTACCTGCGTTGCACACCTGTTGAACTGCCTCTTGGGTGTTGAGGTCAATTCGAACCCGCGTCCCGAAATTGACGAAGACCTGCGAGCTCTCTACCCGGATGGAGACTTTTCGTTTGAGGAGTTTAATCCCACGAAACTAAAGGCGGCAATCGAGAAACAGGTCGCACTCCGATATAGGTATGCATTGAAGGAGGATTGGCCAACGTCAATCCGTCCATTACCAATGCTTCGAGAAATCTCGTTAAGACTTGGTTTTCAGCTGGTTGCGCGGGAATACGTCTTCAGCAAAGGTGTGCAAATGCTTGTGGATCCATCACCGGCTCGAAGTGGCAGTGACTCGCATTCCAACAGTGGAGCCCAGGCGGAGGAGGGAGGCAAAAAGAAGAAGAAGAAGGGCGGCGAGCAAGCCCAACCAAACGGTGGGGTTGCCAGGCCATCCACAACTTTCACTGCCGATGACATCCTCAATATTGTCCCCATTGTCAAAGACGCTGCTCCAAGAAGTGCTTTGGCCGAAGAAGCTTTGGAAGCGGGCAAGCTTTCATTGGCCCAGGGACAGAAGCAAATGGGGCAAGAGCTTGTGCTCGAATCCCTGTCACTGCACGAGCAAATTTATGGAATCCTTCACCCTGAGGTAGCCAAGATGTACAACTCACTGTCGACAATCTACTATCAGACAGACGAGAAAGACGCGGCCGTTGAGCTCGCGCGCAAAGCAGTGATTGTCACTGAGCGGACATTGGGTGTCGACTCGCACCACACGATCCTGGCGTACCTCAATCTCTCGCTTTTCGAGCATCACACTGGCAACACGAGGCAAGCATTGAAATATGTCAGACATGCACTGGATATATGGAGGATCATTTTCGGACCGAATCACCCTGACTCCATAACGACAATGAACAATGCGGCGGTTATGCTCCAATCCATCAAGGAGTATTCAGAGTCTCGCAAGTGGTTTGAAGCTTGCTTCACCATCTGTGAGGGTCTGTTTGGACGGCAGTCCATCAATGCGGCTACCATACTGTTCCAGTTGGCACAAGCCCTGGCTTTGGATGGAGACCCGCATGGCGCCGTCAATAAGATGCGAGACGCGTACAGCATCTTCCTTGCAGAGCTCGGTGCAAACGATCGCAACACCAAAGAAGCCGAGAGCTGGCTCGAACAATTGACGCAGAATGCAGTCTCGATTGCCAAGCAGGCCAAATTGCTGCAAAATCGGCGTCTGGCAGGCATCCGACATCTTCCGAGAATGGGGATGGGCACGAGGCTCCAGCCACAAAACGCAAGCACGGCCGCCCCAAATGCAAGCTCGAGGACGAGTACAGCGCAGCCAAGTGTCCGCACTGGAACAGGTGATCCAGCTTTTGACACAAGAAGCATTGACGAGCTTCTAAAATATATTGAAGGCGGCGAGGCCAAGCCTAAACAGAAGAAGAAATCTCTCAATCCAAAAGCGCGAGCATCCAGGAAAGCCATCGTTGTCTAGAGTACCTCTGACGAGGTTGCGCAGAGCTCTAGGCTCAAGGATACCTCTGTTGGACATGATCAGATGAAAACATGCACCATACCTTGCCGCTCGTGTTACTGTTGTCTACGACGGTGATTCACAACCGTTAGGAACAAAGAAGACATCAGAGGTTGATCGACAAAGGCGGTTTTCGTGATACGGCCAGATTTTGTTTTCTTGCGACCCATCTGTACAATACGAAGCTACGGGACGTATGGATTTCGTCTCGGGCCTGCCAGCCGTGCGGCGGCTGGAAAAGACAAAAATTGTTAATGTAAGAGCAGATAGGACCGGGCATGCTTACCAGAGCACGGGGCGCAATTGGGCTGAACAGGTCCTATGATGAACGGAGCATAGAGCAGATGACAGACAGTAGATATCCAATCAAGGTTTCTCAACTCCATCCCGCGGATGATGCTCGTATAGCGAGGTTGGGTGATTTGAAATTATGAACAGAGAGAGATACTGGCCCGGCTGCCAGGCCGGGCATGTGACAATCCCACCGACGTCGTCTGCGTTTTTACCTGAAGAGGAAAGGCGGCCGGGCATGCCAAGTCTCCGGCCTGGGCTGCCACGCTCCCAATTGGTCAGCACCCTCCGCGCCTGTTTGTCAGCACCAACCCCGCTCCACCCACCGGAACATGCCCTCTCGCCCAGATTGTACGCACGTACCGAGTACGCCCAGATGACTGCACCAGGAGCCCAGGTTTCCGGGACTATGACTCTGCAACTCGACCTACAAACTCGAATGAGGCTACCTTGACGTCTGCCTTATCAATATCAATATCAACATCAATCCTGACGTCGGAGGCGAATTTATATCTGAGACTTCGGGGCGCAACTACTCAATTCACATCGGAAAACTAATCCTCGACCATCGATTAGTGAGCCGAAGCACCAGTGCGGTCGAATTGCAAATCCCTTTTTCCCCGCCAGCCCTGATTGAAGATCCGGTGCCCAGTCTCTCATTATCCCCCTCGACTGGTTGGAGGGGTGTGGCTTCTTTGTTACTCCCAAGGGACTTTCAAGCTCACGCTCACGCTCACCCGGAATATATTGCGCTGACGCCGACGATGATGTCGCCGCGAGGGCATCTCACGACGAGCACCACCTACACGCTTGCTCACACGGCGCAGTGCAAGTTGAAAATCGCCGCCAACCGTCCGGACCGGAATTTGCGATTTGTCCTTGGCCATGCCTTTACGCTGGACAATCTCATGGTTCGGATCGTCGAGATCGAGAATCAGAACGCCAAATCCGTCTTTCAAGAAGGCAAGCCGGCGGCGCCAAGCGACCTGGGACACGAACACGAACACGAACACTATGATTGCACAGCAGCGCCGCCGCCGCAGCCGACAACAGCGCCAGAGCCCGAATCGAGGGGCCGCAGAGTCAGTTTCCACGACAACAATGCCCGGCCGTCCAGCACGGCGGGGGTGGCCTCCAACAACAATCGACCCGACAACGGGACTTCTTCGCCGTCGCGCAAACGATCTCCGCCGCCCGCGGTGGTGAAACACAGATACATCGACGAAGAGCAGGACGAAGACGACACCTCGTCGGACGACTACGACGAGCCCGAATCGTACGAGTTGGACAGCGGCGAGTCAGCCAAGCCGGCGCCGAAACTGAGGCCCGTTGCGCACGACGCATACTCGGACGAAGAAGACGCCGCGCTCGAGCTGGCCGACGACGAACTCGACGACGACATGAACGGGCTGTCGCTCACGCGCTTCGGCTCGGCCGCAGCCCAACCGCCACGCATGGTTCGCTCTGACTCGTCATCGGATGAGGAGGAAGATGAGAAAGCCGCAGAGCCCGTCACACCGCCCCAGTTACCCGCCGACGTGGACGTCCGGGAAATCCTGTGTGGCGAGAAGGACACTGAGTTGACGAATCTCTACGAGAGCGTGAGGAGGTGTTCTTGTCACGGAAAGCACGAGGACCTGGACGTTGGGGGCACGCCCCAAGGGATATGGGATGTGCCTGTGGAGAAAACGGGAGGGAAGCATTTGGCCGTGGTGGCTATTGCTGCCTGAGGGAGAGGGAGCTCGCATGGGGAGCAGAATGGTCGAACGGAAACCTCCGTTCCCTACCTCGGGCTGGGGAGGGAAAAAGTGGACGAGAACGAGGCTATGTCAAGGCGTTGTGTGTGTGTGTGTGTGTGTGTGTGTGTGTGTGTGTGTGTGTGTGTGTGTGTGTGTGTGTATGTGTGGCATTTGTACAAACATTTGAGCATCTCTCTTGTTGCGCCTGATCCCGGCGCGGCATGGCATGGCATGGCACGCTGGAAAGCTGTATCGAACCTAGGTATATTTACGGGGTACGTATGGGCAAGGAAGCAAGCAGGGCTGGAAATCCAGATCAATTTACATACCTAGGTACAAATATCCAGCGAGACCCTGGGAGGTTATTTTTCCCTTTTTCCTTTGCTGTCTATCTACGACTGTCAATTCTGCTTTTCTTTTTTTGGGTTGCGGCAGAGCCGCTTTTTGATCTGGGCATGCCAGAGTATTCAACCAAAGTATTTACCTATTCGGGCGAGCAAAGCGTTCGAAGGGGTTCCCGGGTGGGAAGAGAAGGGAGAGGATAGGGGAGGGGAGTTTGCGCGACTTTGATTTGAATTTGAGTACCTAGGTAATTATCAATCGATAATACAAGGTGCGTCCAAGAGAAAACGCCTGAATAGCAATGTCACTTTCTACGCTTTGCGCTCTGCCTCTGCCTCTGCCCGGCTCTGTCTCTCGTCTCTTGTCTCTTGTCTCTTGCTCCTTCGGTCGTCATACCAAGAGTTCGTCCGCCGATGTCCTCGGTGTGCTCAAGGCAGGCATGTGTCGGTTTTATAGTACATGGACTTGCGCCAGGACGCCCTGAAATTGAATAGGTATCGATATCCAGATTCTGAAATAGTGCTCGAATTTCCCTTGCCTTTCCCTGTTCGTTTTCAATGCCGGTTGCCTTTGTTCCTTTCCCTACGTCAGCTCCAGATTCTCGACTTGCTCCCCGGCGTTTCTCGTGCATTCGCGCTGTCCATCCGCCCGTCGTTTTCATACGTCAGAATGCGGCTCCGTCAATCTTGCCTCCTGGCGAAACGTGGATTGAACACCTTTGCTGTCCGATTCCCGAACGCAGTGCCCGGCGGAGAAGTGGCCCAGAGATATATGCCGTACCTCGATGTCCGTGCTAACCTACAGTATCCCCCAACGTTGTCAACACCTTTGCCGTTGCTGCTCGTTCCTGAGCCTTGCGTAGTCCACCAATTTCTGGTCTCCATCATTGATGATTTGTGCGTGGTTGCCCGGAGTCCCCAATCTGTCGCCGTTTCGAAAGGTCTGCAGCAGCCCGATGGACGAAGCGCGTGCCAACCACGAGAGGGATGATGCTGGTCCACACCAGGTCGATGCAGAGCACACTGTGGGATGTATCTTCAGAGAGAATTTCAAGACTTGTTCTTCTTCCTCCTCGTGCTCTGAGCAGGGGTCTTGTTCATCTGCGTAGGCGTGACGGGAGGGGCCTCTTCAAGAGCCAGCCTGACAGACTTCTTGACCTTGCTCTTCGCTCGCTTTGGCCCGCCCATACCAACACCCAAGAGAAAGCAAATCCTCGTTGCTGCCCCGCAATAGACAAACAGGTAGTTGCCGTAGGCCATGGAATTCCAGTTAGCGACGTCATAGTATGTTTTGATCCCGAGGGGAAAACAGCTGTACAAGTGGCCGAAATCTGCGATAAGCAGGCCTATCAATAGTGCGCGCCAGACTTTCAGGTCGTTTGTCGCGCGCAACACAAAGGCCTCGTTGATGGCAAATGCGACATATAGATTACCGAGTTGTCGAAGTGCGACATGGGTTGCCGTGGGTAGACCGAGAATCCCAGGCGCAGAGGCGGAGTCAGTCAGCTCGAGATAGGTCGCTGGCTGCAGCCAGGCAAAGTATGCCCCGGCTAGTGTCGCAACAGGTTCGATCCAGAGGAAGAAAATGATATACGGCAAGGGGATGTTCGCCATGGTTGCTTTTGCGGCGGTGTCGCGTGTGACGTTTTCTCCCAAGTGACAGCGGTTCTGCGGAAGAAGCCCCTCCGTCAGTTACCTGTATACCTAGGTAGTCAGAGATGACTTGAGGCAGAAAATCTCTGGAAAATGATCAGACTTTCTTGCGAGATGAGTATGACCAGCAATTATCCTTGTCTGTTGTTATCACCCAGCTCATCAAGAGTACGAGGTAGAGATGTCATTGACATTCGAAATGCAAGCATGAGGTTGGTCGGCAAGAAACTCTCCACAGATAAAAAGCTCGATCGCCGACTTGCCTCGCAGCAGCATGGCGACCAGGGATGTTGCAGGAAGACCCTCGGCACTGGCAGCGGAGGCTTTTGGCGAGACGAACCACGGGCTGACTATGGGGGTGGATAGGATCAAGGCATGAGACCCATATATGTGTGATGGGACTCCAAGAAATCTCGTCAGCTCCAACGTTGAAACGCCGGTGTGAGATCGGAGGTTGCTGGAGACTGGCTGGAGTTGGAGGCTGAAGGCTGGCCTGCACCAGATGCTCTAGGCGGTCAAGCTGGAGCCCACAGGTGCCACTAGCCATGTCTCCGGGGGCAACGAGACAGCCCAATGATGCCAATGGCGGCAGATTGTGCCCTGCATGCAACGGTTCGGCAGGGGCACGGGGCTCCCTGCACTCCCTGTGCCTTGATCCCATCATCCCAGGGCATTTGCAACTTGAACCATTGTTGCAGGGGGGCCACCATCTCCGAATTCCCGCGTCTTATTGATCCAATCCATCACCCGGGAGCCACTCCACAGTCCTTGCGACGCCCCCAAGCCCATGGGCCATGGCCCATCAAAGTTATCCACCCGTCAAACAAAAACACTGCGCAGCCGTCAACTTACTGCCCCAGACCATTATCGTAGACCGATCAACAAAAATCAAAATCTGTTACCGGTGCTTTGTTTTTTTGGCCCATTCACTCACTGACCATATCCACGTTCTTTTTTCACTGTACACTACCCTTGATGCTGCTTTTGGTCTCGTTTCGCATGACTGCTTCATGCATTCTCCGTCAGCATTGAGCCTCTACCCCCAATCTTTCCACGTCCGCTCTTTTCGCCACCGACCTTGACGACAGAGTGTATGAGATCGCTCGCTTTCCGACCGATTTGTAATACTACGAGGAGTACGAGTTATTCCACTTAATCCCCAGCAGCATTCACAGCTGGTCCGCTTGGCAAGCGCGTCCGTGAAGTTTGTTGCCTTCCACCCTCCGGTCCGACCGCTACCATGTCCAACCCTGGGGGTTTCTCTTCGATAGCTCCCCAACGGAGGACATCTCTCTTCATGAACCGGCCCAGGACTGCTTGTGAGGCCCCAACGGGGGTCCAAGAATCCCTTCGAAGACCTGCTACTCGAATGTCCCTCATGATGGCGTCAGCTACTCCTGACGTCTTGGACTGGGGTTCTTTCAATCGGAATCAAGAGGAAGCCGGCGAAGGAAACAATAGCCCTGAGTTGATCGACCCGTTTTCGAAGTTCCCCATTGAGCCCCAGATGCTCGAACCCTCCCGGCCGCGACGATACTCGACTTTTACCCAGTCCGTGAAGCACAGCATCTCCGAGATTCGTTCTCTCACCAGGCGTATGTCGCTGACTGTCCGGGGAAAGAGCTCTAAGCAAAAGGAAGAGGTGGGAGAGAATAAGGGACCACAAGTGCTACCGTTGAAGCCAGGTGCAGGCATGCTGGATTTGACCGAGGCCATATCCACCAGACCGAAATCTCGTGGACGGTTATTGCGAAGCCCTAGTGCTCGAAGGAGACCCTCTCTGCCATTGCTCAATTTCCATACCCCTCCTGAGCCACTGGCAGATGTTGCTAATCCAATATCTGCAAGATTTCGAGGGCAACCTGTCCTGTCGGACCTGGTGTACGGAGGGGCAGAAGCTCGTGCCTCAGCTGCAGCACAGAACGAATTATTCCACGCCACGAGGACGCCACCGCTCCCGCCCTATGAGCCTCCCGAGTCAGATGTTGACAAGCTTGAGCCGGACACGGAGAGTGGAATTGGTATCGTGCTGGACAGCGGTGTCCGGCGGGGATCTTCGCCGGCAAATGTTCATGTCATTTGCAGAGACCCGGTGTCGGTCCTTGCGACAGAGTTGGTGGAATCGATCCTCTCATTCCTTGATGTGGAGTCGCTTATCCAGGCTTCACTCGTCTCCCACAAATGGCACGAGCTTTGTCAGTCACAGGCTGTTTGGAGGAGAATCTTTCTGCAAGAGTATGGGCCCAAAAACGAATTACCAGGTGCGAGCGTGCGTCCTGCTGGAATCGGTAAAAACAAGCCGGGGCAAGATTACAGGAAACTCTTCGAGGTACGGAGTCTGATCAACAAGCGCTGGCGCAATGGAGAAGCCGCTGCAATTTATCTCAACGGCCACAAAGACAGCGTGTATTGCGCGCAATTCGACGAACAGAAGATCATTACCGGGTCACGCGATAACACAATTCGGGTATGGGACGCTCATACCCACCAATGCATCCGCAAGCTAGGGCCTCCAAACAATCCCCGAGAACGGCAAACGGTGCAGATGCCACTTGCAGAACCAGAAGGTGTCGTTCCATTCTTCAAAGCCTACGTTTCATCACCAGCGCCACCCTCACCGGAGATTCCTCTGTACCACCAAGCATCGGTGCTGTGCCTGCAGTACGACGACGAGATTCTCGTGACGGGGTCTTCAGATTTCTCTTGCCTGGTGTGGTCGATCAAGGACGACTATAAACCGATGTTCCGGCTGATTGGCCATCACGCCGGGGTCCTCGATGTCTGCATCGACAAGGAGCGGATTGTCACTTGCTCCAAGGACACTACGATCAAAATCTGGGAGAGGTCCACGGGCAAACTTGTCAAAACGCTCCTAGGACATCGTGGACCCGTCAATGCAGTCCAAGTCCGAGGAAATTTCTTGGCGAGCGCTAGCGGCGACGGCATGTCCAAGTTGTGGCGTCTGGAAGACGGCCTTTGTATCAAGGAGTTCCAGTCCAAAGATCGCGGCCTTGCCTGCGTTGAATTCTCGGAGAATGGTCGAACAATCTTTGCGGGCGGTAATGACCGGGTCATCTACGAGTACGACACGGTCACGGGCCAACGGATCCGCGAGATGAAAGGGCACAAAGACCTGGTGCGGTCGCTCCATCTCGATTCGGCGAATTCGCGCATCATCAGCGGCAGCTACGACCATTCGATCAAGGTGTGGGACGCAGAGAAAGGGGAGTCGGCCGAGGACGGTGGGCTCAAGATCAATTTTGAGGGATGGTCGTCGAGTTGGATACTGGCGGCGAAGAGCAACTACCGCAAGATTGTCTGCACGAGCCAGGATGCAAGGGTGGTTATTATTGACTTTGGTTATGGCATTGACGGAGTTGAATTGGTCGAGTCATGATCCCAAGCTGGCGTTGGTCTGAATGATACGACATAATCCGCATTGGTTCATCATATTACGACGTTCATGACTCGGGAGATGGAATCCTGCTGCGAATTGAAAAGCAAGTTTACCGTTGTATCTTTGACAGGGGTTTTTTGCCAAAAGCGGTTTCTTGTGACCTTTTGAGCTGCAAGGTGTCGGTGGGCTCTGCCAAAAAAAAGCTTGATGGACAGGGGCTCCGAAACATTTCTTACTTGGATGGATTGTTCTCAATTTCATTTGTGTTCTGTATTCTTTTATGCGCCGTCTCTTGTGTCTGTCGTGGTCGGGAAGACTGACAGCGGAGATGAGAAGTTTCAGGGGGCGAGCCTAATGCAGGGAGAAGTGCAGAAAAGGGAAGTGTCTCAAGAGTGCGAGTAATGCATTGTCTAGCGAAGAAGGATGGACCGTGACTTGACAGTGCTGCTGTTGTACATTATCATACTCACCCCTTCCATATACGCACTTAGCTACCTAGTACCGAGGCTACATACCGAGATACCTCAATAGGGATTAAATGGCACCTGACTTCCAGGTTGTAGTATTGTGAGATACGGTATCATTATTACATCGGCTACAGCGGGTAAGATCAAGGTCGTGGCAACGAAGGACGTCATTGTGTTTACGCGGAGGCAGTGTTGGAGCCAATCGGCTGGTGTGTTAAGCGAGTCTCTTCCCTTGTATGCGAAAAGATCATGGATGATTCTTTCGACAGGGAACAGCAAGACATTGGCTGAGGGTTGGATGCTGGTGCTCGGAGTGGAAGGGAAGGGGAGGAATGCAGAAGGATGACAACGACTCTCCTGTTGAGTCACCCTGAGATGCTCCAGAACAAGAACATTTGTCGCCTGTGTCTCCCCAACCCTGGCATTGGATTGTTTACCCATCCGGAACAAGCGATGACTTAAGGCGCCGAAAGCGTGGGAGCCATGTGCCTGCGAGCTCTTAGCCGCAGTGCCTAGAGAGCGGCTAGGTGCCCCCCAGGGTGCCCCCCAGGTGCCTGTTTAGTAGGTGGTGACAAAGTGGTAAAATCTTCTCAGTTCAAGGTTTCTACGGATGACCTAGGCATCTAGTTAAGCAGTGATGAGAATTAGGCACTGCTAAAAGGCCCCCGAATCACGCCCAAGATACCTAGAAAAGTCACTGTGACAGAATGGTGACAGGTCCTCGCCCCAAACAATAAAATAATTCCCCCACGACTCGAGTCAAACGCGTTTCGATACGGCACGAATTACGCGATTTACTCGGAGGCGTGGCCCAGTCACGCTCTGGCCTTGACTTGTGCGCTCTTTTGCCGGCAGCCATTTCAGCCAACCGTCTATTTTCTCATCCCTCTTTTCGCCCTACTTCCAAACACTGCTAACAAAGGCACAAACACCTGCACCGATCGGAATTTGCGCTTGTTCTCTATCAAGCCACTTAATCGTACCCTGTCCTCCTCAATCCACACCACACCACACTGCCTTGCGCATTCATCGTCCACCTACCCATCGTCCCTCGTAACCTATCGCCGCCCTCTCAGGCTGGGATTCCGTTCCATGCCTCACCCGCCGAGTCGCTCCCGCAAAAATCCCTGCGTCAGAACCAAAACATTGATTGACGTCGCAAAGCCCAACTAGCGCACGCACCTGCTCCCTCCACCCTGCTGCTCACAGTCCTTCCTACCTTCTCGAACAACCAGCGCCGGGACTGGCAGACGTACATAAGCATGCCCCCGTCTAAGAGAAAAGCACGCCGCAAACCCGCCGACCTCCCAGAGTCCTCGGAGCTCGACCTTCCAGATTCTTCCCCGTCGCGCCCTTCGGCAAAGAAGCGCAAGGTTGGTTCTCTTCCTCGGAGCCTTTCCATGCAAAGGACGACGCAGAAGCTGACGCGCTCACAAAAACAGGTCAACGGGTCTCGTGCTGCGCCCGCCAGGAAGAAGTCCGTCACTCCCGATCCTGAACCTGAACCCGCACCTGCGCTGGACTCAAGCGACGACACGGAAGAAGTCTCCCAGAGCGATCTCATCGACTCGGTCGTCTCGTACCTCCAAGTGTCCAAAGAACCCATTGTCGCCAGAACCGAGTACTCCAATGACAAAGTTCAGAGTAACAGTCCGCAGAAGGTGTCAGCGTACGCGAAGATTGCCGGTCGAGACTGGACCTACTTTGTGCGCGAGCAATCCGTCAACTTCGGGAGACCGCCCGACGACCGCCCGAACTTGAACGGTGCTTCGAGTCCTATCGCCGATCTGAAGGACGTATTGCCGGTCCATATCGATCTCGGTCCAAGCAAGATTGTTTCTCGCCACCATGCCTCGATCTACTACGACGCGGATTATCCGGTGGACGAAGGTGGCTGGCACGTCCGGGTCAACGGTCGAAATGGAGTTCGCGTCAATAATGTGCTCATCAAGAAGGGTTTGAGGAAACAGATCAAGTCTGGCGATATTTTGGAGATTGCCGGGACGCAAATGATGTTTGTCACCCCAGGCGATAAAGTCGAGATCGATCATTACTTTATCGAACGTGCCAAAGCGTTGGCCGCAGGCGAGGAAGTCAGTCCTGCCCAACCTCAGCCTGAATCTGCCAACTATGAAGTTTCGACTGGACCGGCTCAAAATTTCCCGTCACTGGCCCCAGCTCCTCCCGATTTCAAACGCGAAGCTACGCCGCCCGCACAAACCGCCGATGGCAAATCTCAGCGAGGCGTTTTCGACAGCAAGATGCCCATGTCGCCCATGTATGGCCGGGGGATGATGATGGAAAGTACTCAAGAGATCGACTACAGTCGGGACAGTGCCAAGGACCTTAAGCCGCCCTTCAGCTATGCGACAATGATTGCCCAGGCTATTTTCTCGAGTGAAGAGGAGAAGTTGACACTGAGCAACATTTATTCGTTCATCGCTGATAAGTATGCCTTTTATCGCCATTCAAATAGTGGCTGGCAGGTATGTCTTCTCGCCCGTCTTGCCCACGACCCCAAACACTAACTCGACCAGAATTCCATCCGACACAATCTCTCGCTGAATAAAGCATTTCAAAAAGTTCCTCGGCGAACCGACGAGCCTGGAAAAGGTATGAAATGGCAGATCGCCCCAGAATTTCGTCAGGAGTATTGGAAGAAACAAGCCCGCCGTGGAGGCTCGGCTCCGTCCTCGCCTGCTTCTGGCAAGGAAGTCAATCCCAACTTCAGAGGACCCAACGGCCAGAACCTTGGTTATGATACTAGTATGGTTAGCCAGTTCTCTGCGCGAGATATGTCCGACCGAGCAGGGCCTCCTTCCTCTGCCAAGTTGAGTCTCCCATTTCCTCCCTTTAACCCAAGGCAACAACCGTATCCGCCGAGCCCCAGTCTGGCGCCTCCCGTCTCGCATCCTGCAGAGACTGCTACGCCTCAAAGGCGAAGAACGGACACACAAAATACACTCCCAGATATGGACCTCGAAGAATCCCCTTCGCGACATGGCAATGCTGCACCAACACCGCATGTAGGTCACAATGTGCCCATGTATACGCTGCCATCCTCTATCCCGCCTCGGCATCACTCACCGACGAACCCCACACTTTCATCCTCTTACCTAGACACTCCTTTCCATCCGTCACAGCATAGCATAATTACGCCGGCGCCACTGCGACAAAACCCTCGACTAGCCCCCCCAAGCACTCTGGTTGCTCCTAGCAAGTTTATGCCAGAGTCCTCACCTGCAGGCCCTCAAGGGCTCTTCTGGAAGGGTATCATGGGCGCAACACCGGGCCAGCCGCTGCCTGACATGTCACCTATCAAGGACGAAGATCCCCGTGCCAACGGAATTGACAGACATGTGATGAGTTCGAGCCCGCCACCTATGGATGCCGGCTTGGGCAGTCCGAGCAAACCAGCCAGAAGTAGTCAAGCCCCCACCAGCTCAAGTTCGGCCAAGAAGAGGGACGACAGTCCTGCAAATCCACCGAGGCTGAACGGAGCGGCAGCTGAGGAGAATGGGATGTTCACACGCAATTTTCCAGGGAGTGGGAATTCGGCGAGTGGAGTAAATGGTCAGATGGTTCCCGGCAGGTTCAATACACACCTTTCCTCGAGTAGTGCGGACGCCGCGTCGCATCACGATGCAGATGACGAGGATGGTGATGGTGGATTTGACTTGGCCAAAGGGTTTGCACCTATTGCAGGTGGCAGTTTCCACTCGCAAAGAAGTGGTAGCCTTGGTGTTGCGAGAGCCGGATCGTGAGTTGCAGAACCCAGGATCGATGAGATGCGATCTACGTTGGCGTAACTCGAGCAGAATTGTTATTCCGGAGCAGGGGTCTGTCGGATATGTACGAATAAGAACAACTGGGGATCATGTGCTATGCTTTTATGGGAGATGTTGATGTTGAAAATTGGATACTATGGGCTGGGATCTGGTGACATTGTGAACATAGGGCTTGGAAGCAATGCATTGCTTGGGTTTTCTTCTGGAGACATGAATGCACCCGTGGGAGTTTTTCGAAAATGATTTGGAGCGTGTTCACGACGCTCAGTGTCGATGCCGGTCCAAGGACTGGGCGGTGCTGATTTGCCAGACATGGTCCAAATTGGAATAGTTTTGTAACATCAAACAGAACATCACCGCTACATATTAATTTGAGCCGCAATCTAATCTGTCCTTGTTCTTTTTTTCCTCACGATATATGTGCTAAGTGTCACTACCAATCTCAATACCTAACCCATTTCATTCAGTCCCATTCGCGGGCTTGTGGAGTTTTGGCGTTCTCGATCTTTGTGTCACTCTTCAATCAGAGATTAGAGAGATTCATCATCGTCTCTTCGCGGCCTCTGTTCAGACAGTTTGTCTTTATTTGAGCTCAGCCTTGTCCTCTCACTCACTCACAACTCACAACTCACCCACTCCGTCAATCGCTTCCTATTTGCGTTTTGTCATTCTTCCATCTCACGAACACTCTACTCTGCCGTGCTTTCGCCTCAAAGATCATACAACAACAACAGCAGCGACAGCGACAGCGACAGCAACAGCGACAGGTGGCTCCAGATTCACAATAATGTTTCGCCGGCTGCCCCATACGCTCCCTCCGGACGCGGTCTACGAGCCGGATCTCGCCAAGTTGGGCTTCTTCATTAATGGTGAGGATCAGATCCGCTCAGTCCAGAACCCGGAGCGAAAGTATCAGTACAGGGTTAATAGGAATGAACGGTGGAATGAGGTTCATAAATGTGAGTTTCTCTCCGGCCCCCGATCTTGAGAAGAGATTGTTGTTTATGAATTGCTATCTGCGTCGGATCACTGTCCGATCCTGGCAATTTTATTGGATTGCGAAGCTAACGCTCGAGGGTGTTTGATAGGGGCGAATAATAGTGAGTTTTCCCTTTTCTTCACTCCTCTGTCCGTGTGTGGTATCTGGCGGGTATTCGAGGCACCGGAGACCTAACAGCTGCCCTGCTCATCGCTGCCTTTTTAGCTGCGATACGTAAGATCGTCACCGACCGACTGGCCGACCTGGGCTGTGACACTGTCCGCCTACCACTCGGCGCAGGGGAGTCCGAAAACCACGTCCCTATCCTGGTGTCCAAGGAAATCGCTACAAAGAGCCGAGTGACCGTCTTCTTTGGCGCCAGAAATACGGAACCGGGCATTTTGAGCTGGCGCATTATCGGCCATCAGGGAATCAAGCACGGCTCGCTAGTTGAGTTCGCAAAGGCTCTCTTGTCTGTCCCGGTGCTCGAGACTGCGTCGCCTACATCAACCTCGACGTCGAAGTCTGCGTCTGCGTCTGTGCCAGGCCTCATTGTCGCAAATCCGTGCCAGCTGCTCTGGTACCGCGGAGGTGGACGGGCCGTCTCAGCATATGAATGGCTTTGCTTGCCGAGACCGAGTGCTGTGCACGAGGCTCCTCGAGTGGACAGTGTCAAGAATAAAATTCCCGGCAACGGCACCTACGGGGAGCATGTGTCTTACATGTTTGAGAAGGTGATTCCGAGCTTCGTCGACAAGGAAGCGAAACTGGATCTTATTGCACTGGAGTACTCTGGGTCAGCGATGCTGGAGTACCTCGCTGAACATTGTAGGTGTGGTATGAGCTCGGAATCCAGGACGGACTAACACCTGCTCTACAGGGGACTCATGGTCCGGCCGCATCAATGGCATCTCTTTGATCACGCCCCAATACAAGGCAGAAGATCTCATCAGCGACGGCGCACCCAGCGGCTTCATGAACTTCATCAGCAAGCGTTGTCGAGCTTACTTTGTCTCTGAATCTCCCATTGAGACACCAATAGCTGGTCGTGAGAGGTTTGGATGCAACTGCTATGCAAGTGGAGAGCAGGTGTATCAGGAGAACGTGATCGTGAAATGCTGGAGGCATATACTGGATTGGTTCAATATGCTTTACATCAACCAGGACTATGAAGAAGTCGAGTTTGAGGTGTTCAAGGAAGATGAAGAGGTGAAGCTTGGTTGGTAGTCGTTGACGGGTACGGACAGAAATCGGTGATGGAGGAAGAGGCAGTGCAGTGTGGTTGCAAGGGCCAGTAGAAGGCCAAAATGCACGACTCCTTTGGATTGCCATCGGAGTTGAGGAAGCTGTGAAGACTGGAGAGCAAGTTGGTCCAAATCGGCATCGGAGGCAATTGCTGAAGCTGGATTGAAAATCACAATGAGATGATGATGCTGAAGCTGATGGGTTCGACTGACAGACGGCATAATCCATGAATGAAGGATCCAAAAGCTACATTGATATCAACATCCAGTGGCGCCGGTGAAGGCCAGAGGTATCTAGGTAAAGGAAAAGTTCGAACGTACTTGGATACTGTCAGTTTGTCTGCCACACCTGCATCACCCCTTCCTTTCAATTGATCTTGACCACACGGACTCGTTGCTGCTGTAAAATCTCCAAGATGCGACCTCGGATTCAAGTACTTGATACACGAACACAATAACAATTTACGCCTTCACCGTCCTTCATCTCCTCCTCCAATTCGTCAAAAATCCGCCCGCCATGGTGAAGTTCCGGGGCATTGAGATTGGCATCATATCGCAGTTCGACATTTGCAAGCTGCCAGAATTTCAGTACCGCAAGCCCTCTCGAGTCCAGGATCCTTTCCAAGTCAACTACCAGCAAGACGGCGGTCCATCCTCCGTGCCATATCCGACTACAGCCTGTTTCGTCCCCATCTATCCCGGCAGCCAGATTTGGTTTGAATATACCATCGACGGTCCCCACCCTCCGGAAGCTGCCTGGTTCTTCAAGCTGTTCATCAATGGCAAGGTCGTCACGTCATGGGATTGCACAGCAAAACACGGCTTTCATGGCAAAATGATGTATAACCTGGTCAGAGAGGGCGTGGATCCAGACACGGGTCACGCCGTGGTCAAAACACAGGCACTGAGGTTCGGGGATGGGCTGGAAGACCGTGAAAGAGGTGGGCGAGACGAGGACATGATTCAGATCAATGTGCATCGGGTCGAACATAAGAGGCGGATTCGAGACTTGGAATCAGGCCTAGGGCAAGTGAGCAGTGTCAGTGATAACGCTGATGGGTTGCAGTTGGTGTTCTTTCTTTTCTCCTCTTCATCCGCAGATGTCTTACAATTTCAGGCTGACAAACAGTGGCTTCCTTGAGCCCTGCATTCGTCCTCGCCGATACAAGTATCAGCTCCTTGACCCGGTGGATATGCCTTACGCAGCCTTCCAATTTCACTGTCGTCCTTATGGTTAGCACGCCATTGTCCTGCATTGATGGAGGTACTGACTTCATCCATAGAGTACCTCGAGGAGCATGGCATTGCCCACTTGCAGGTTTGCCCTTCTCTATGCAGCACTAGGTCCTCAGTCATATCGCAGAGTTCAGGCAATATACAACTCTTCCAAGGTTCTGCACACGACGCTGCTCAGGAGCGCCCTGATGAGACCTCAACGTTTGCAAACTCTCCTCGCCAAACTTCAATAGTTATATCGCCCTGCAAAGTTGGAAATCCGACCTCATCAGCGGGGAGGCAGATTCTGAAACACATCAAAGCGTCCGCAAGCTCCTCCAATGTCCATCTGAGCGACTCCGATGACTCGCTTAGTGTGAGGACTAAGGATAGTATCGAGGACTTATCGTCAAGGGTTACGCGATCTCCAAGGTCCCCAAGATCACCTAGCCACCGCGAGAAAAGCACAGATGACGAACGAACGAAGAGAAATGCTGAAATTCCACCATCACCAACCCCGTCGACCAGATCACCTCGTCAGCGCTTGAAAAAGAAGCTCACAGTCAATATCAATGGGGCCAACTTTGACGTCGATAGAAAACGACGACCGTTAAGTCCCTTCACTAGTGGCGGAATGCTTAGGAAAGCGTCTGTGCCGCAGACAGCGCCGGCTTCGGTCACAGAGTTTGGGCCAACAGTCGATGAAGAAGTGAGACCCAGGCTCCAGAAGACCAGGCCAGGAACGGATGCAAAACCTGAGAGGTGCGGATTCAGAACAACATCGGAGGAGCGGGGAGGGAAGAGGCTGATGGGATTTCTGGGAAGGAGAATTGCAAGTGAGAAGAATGCTTAAGATACGCCAGTACTTCAAATTCGTGCCGTGCATTGTGCGCATACATTAGACTGATAGCATTTGCAACAACAAAAACCATCTGCTACAAAAAGGATCAGATTGTGAGATAGTCCAGGCCTAGCATACTACCAGTCATTTGTTTGGGGTCGCAGCCTCGCAGCCTCGCAGCCTCGCAGCCTCGCAGCCTTGCCTCCAAGCGTCTGTTAAGGAAGCTTTGCCGACTCTACTGAACTGTTCGCCGCATGTAAACTGCGACAACCACAGTGACATTCTCCCTATTTTCTTGACAATGAGACATCCCGTACAGTGAGAAACATCATGCCGTCTTATCGCGGCCGCGGTGGCCACAGCGGTCCGCAGCAGCCATATCGGTCATATCATGCTTCACAACCAGACGATTTCTACGATGACCGCTCGAGGTCACGATCCCGAGAACGCAGACACAGCTCCCCTCACAAACGAAGTCCTCCACACGGTAAACCATAGTTCAGAATAGGGTGGGAAACTTGAGGTCATTATACTGATGTTGTAAACGCTCAAAGACATAAGCCGACCACCAACCGGACCGTCTCAGGGAGAATTCCATTTTCGTGGCCGTGCCCGGAGTCCAGATCGAAGACGTGACCGCAGCTATGACAGGCGCACCCGTTATTATGATGATGGTGATCGCAGCTCGCCATCCCCTCGCCGAGGCAGATCGTCTTATTATGACCGAGACGACCCTCGCTCCGCTTCACGAGACTACCGCAGCCGAAGTCGAAGCAGATACCGGACACCGTCAGACGTGCGACCACCGAGTCGAGGCGCCCCGAGCAGGGAGATCATGATGGATGGACTGGCTCCTCATCTGACTGAAAACGATGTTCGAATGCTCCTCCTGCCCGAATTTCTCTGACCACGCACGCCATCATCTGGGTTATCCCACGGTGACACTTTGCTCTGTTTGCTGCGGGACATATGGCTAAGGTTTTTCTCGACTTTACGAAACAGATTTCCTCGGAACTCAAACAATACTATCATGCCCAAGGTCTGGAGGATACTCGAGTTATTCGCGACAAGCAGACCAGTAAGCTCTGAAAGAAAATACGCATGTTTGCGCGAGACACCCCTTCTCACACGGTTGGCAGAACAATCAAGGAGATTTGGCTTCATCCGCTTCGGCACAGTGCAAGAGGCGGAAGCCTTCATGGATCGCAATTACCCTATCCTCTACCTGTATGGTGAGAGTGACAAGTCTAACGGAAATGCATCCAAAGTGAGGATAACCTTTAGTCGGGAACGGAAAGATCCACGGAGGACGGACGATCCAGATTGGATTTGCGATTCTGTATGTCGTGGAGGGTCCTTCGATGTGGAGCTATGAAGCTGATGATTCCGCAGTGCCTCATAAACAATTTCGCGACCCGAGATCGATGTTTTAAATGCCAGGCTGAGAAACCAGGTACGTTTGATGGAGCCGACAATCGGCCTGACGCTCATGGGTTACAGAGCACCCAACTTACGCCATCCCCACGAAACCGCCCAATGTCGGAGACAACGATGCTTCCCCAGACAACCACCCCTCTCAATTCCTTTTGTTACGGGGGTTGGAACCTTCCGTGTCCGAAGAATTGCTCGTAAAGGGCGTAGCGAAACTTTACAAGCCTGGCTCGTCAGCGTCTCAACGAGATGAAGCATCTGCCAAAAAGGGCGCCAAAGTCGCATCCACCACCGGTGATGCGAATCTCGGTGCTAGAGAAGGCACCTTACGTCGAGTTCTAGTTGTCCGCGATCGAAAAACCAACGAGAGTTGGCGGTATGGTTTTGCAGAGTATGCCTCAATTGAGGATGCGCAAGCGGCTCTGATTCGGTACAACTCCTTTGAGCGTTTCACGATTGCTTCCAAGCAGGTGCTTGTTAGCTATATCCATGCCGGCGTTTTCGTCCCCGTGTTGCATCCGACTCCTGACATTGAACGCTTCTGCTTCAGCCCCGTGGGCAACCCAGCCATGAAGCTAGCGTATTGGGATGAAGGGGCTTATGTGAAGGAATTGGCTGTATCGATGCCGAATACAGTCTCGCAGGATCCAAAGAATGGCTCGACCACACGCACAGACGCAGGCATCAAACCAACCAAAGATGCAGAGAAGGCTAAAAAGCGAAAGGCTCAGGCAGATGTGGATACGACCGGAGTCAAAAAGACAGTGCCATCGCACCTCCAATTTTGGAGTAATCGCCATGCCGAATTGCATGGCATTTCAAAGAAATCACACGATCGAGAAGATTCGAGATCGACTGACGGGAGTGAAAGTGCAGATGGGCCACCATCGCAGTCGTATGCTGACCCAAATCGACACTGCTGTTACCTCTGCATGCGTCAATTCAACAACGCGGCAGAAGTCAACAAGCACGAGCGTCTGAGTGCCCTGCACCGCTCGAATTTGCAGGATGAGATGAGAGTCCAAAAGGCAGAGGCCAAGTTGTTGAAACACGGGATCCAGCGGCAATTCGTCATGGCCGCCGCGGCAAAACCTGCGCGGGAATACCGTGATCGAGCAAAAGAAAGACGGAAGATCTATGGCGTTGTCAATAAGAAAGGCGAACAAGTCGGAAACGCACCCAAATCGTCACGCGCATCCTCGGATGATGAAACAGTACAAGCACCACCTGTTCAGTCCAAGGGCGCCTCATTGCTCAGCAAAATGGGCTATACCGCCGGACAAGGGCTCGGTGCCTCTGGAGAGGGCATGACTGCGCCGATCAGTCAAGACGTCTATGTTGCTGGAGTTGGACTGGGTGCGGAAGGCGGGAAACTTGGTGATGCAGTTGTTGAAGCGGAGCGAAATACCAAAGGTGATTATGGCGGGTTTTTGCAAGAGACGCGCCAGAGGGCCAGGGAGAGGTACGCACGAATGGAGTAGGGGAAGAGATATTGTAGCCCACGAGACCGTGGGACGAGACTTGGTGATGATGGCAATGAAATGATATATCATGCTCTGTGACGGAGAAGATATTGTACGAATACTGAACACGCACCCGTTCATGAAACCCTGATATCGAGGATGAATGAGTGACATAAGATAATGCCTTTGCCACCATCGGCGCTATCAATCTTCGTTACGTCCTTTCTTGTCTTACGACCCCTTTGCCGCTGGGAAACCGGCTGGGAGGAGCTTTCTCATATTGAAAGATCAGCAGCACTCTTCTTGCCTCCCAAGAGGTCAAGGCGGTAGACGCGGGTCAAGGCGGCTAAGTTTGGCAGGCCAACAGCCTCAGCGTGGATAACCCTCTTCATCCTCTCCGTCAACTTCCATTAGGGTGTCTTCGGTGAAAGGAGAGCTGGGGGAGTCTGACTACACGGACGAGATGGGTAACTCGGTCTCGTAATACTCGGTCGGTCGATTCTGGACCATTATCCCACGCCGCCACCAGCAGCCGCGCCCGTCGGACGCAGGACTCAACCTCTATACACCGTCACGTCTCTGTGGGTATCGTTTTTGTCGGTGCCGTTGTCGTCGTCTGCTTCGTGGTCGTTGTCGTGGTTGTCGTGGTCATGGTCGTTGTTGTTTCGTCGTTTTTTGGTACATTGGTTCCGCTGCCCAAGCTGCGTGCTGCTTTCAGTCTTGGGATCCAAGGGGATCCAGGGATCCAGAAGCACGCACCACCGTCATATGCGCCCTGCGCTTCTCGGCTGCACTTGTACAGAGCCAGACATCTTTTTCTGGCTCTTCGTGTCCGTGCTGCGAAAAGGTGTTCTTTTGGTGGTGTCTCTTCAATCCTTCTCCTCTAAGTGCGTTGCGTCTTCCTTGCTCCTCGTTCCCCGGATCCTGTCCTCCTTCAGCGAGCCGAGCACGATCTGCTCCCACTTTTCGATCACCGCCTCGATCTCCGCGGGCACAGTGGACGCAGGTGGTCTTTCGGCTTGTTTGTTCTTCACATCCTCACTGCCAACATATTCGACGCCGACGCCGACATCGACTTCGGCTTCGGCGCTGACACTGATGCTGGCATCTGGAATCGACGCGATCTTCTCATCGTCCATCGCTTTCATTAATTCTGAGATCTTCAATTCTCGCTGTGCGCGGGCGTGCAGGTTTTGGATGAATGATAGTTCACCGTCGCTTTTCCTGCTGGAGGAAGTACTTCCCTGGGTAGTGGGCTCATCTCGATCAATGGCTCCGCGTGATGATTCTCCAGCACTTGGTAGGGACGTATAAGTAGTCGATATCGTCGTCGTCGTTGTTCCCGTAGCAGAACTCGACCCTCCTTCCATCGTCCCCCCACTAGCCCGAGGCCTCGTTTTGGCGGCCATGAGAGCAGAGACAACACCCTCCAAAACCCCCAGCACGGTCCCCACCCGCAATCCAACCTCGACACCCAAAGGATATCCCGCGTCAAAGCCGCGCTGCATGACCCGCGCTTTCCCCACCGAGAGGCCCTCGCGGTACCCGTCCGTCATGTGCTGGCGGCGCAGGGAGGGGACGTCGCTGAGGATCACCTCGCGGCGTACCCTATGGGACGGATCGTCATGGACAGAGGATGCGTCTGTTGAGAGCTGCGGTTGCGTCTGGGTTGCAGATGTAGACCCTTGCCCTACGGCGTGTGAGTTGTGCGAGTGGCCATGGTCATGGTCATGGTCCGACGATGTGTCCCAGATATCGTCATCATCGTCGTCGCCCTCAGGGGAGCGTTCGGGCGTCGTCATGTTGGTGTCGGGCGACGACCTCGAGTGTGCACTCTGCGTAGGCGAAGGCGTCGACTTGGGAGAATCGCCCGTCCTGGGAATTGCTGGTGACGACCGGTCCTCCGCGTCTGCCATTTGATATAATATTTCTCCTGCTCAGCTGTCGATGAGTCGACCGATACTCTGTCGGAAACTCCACCACGCAATGTAACAAAAGAGAAGTGGGTTTTCAGGACCAAAGATCAAAATCCCTTTTATCTCCCAACTTCCTCCGCCAAAACCGGCCCCGACGAACTTCGAGTCTCTGGAACTGAAAACGCAAAACCGTCTCACGAATTTTTCGAAAGAGAGACACACACTCGCTTTTTTTCCTTTCGCTTTCCTTGTGCTTTTTGACGTTGGCGTTCTCGTGGAATGTTCCGTTTTTAGTTTATAATCTCCACTCAATCTCGTCAGCCCTGCCCGGCCAACAGAGTCTGTCTCTTGATCAGCCTTTTCTTTCTTTGGATTACTTTGGCGGAGGAAAGTGAAGGGTGGTAATTACGCCTGTGTCCGTTCGGATGCTCCTCTACGACATTAATTGTTAGTCTTCTAGGACTGCCAAATGCGCGTCATTTGAAAATTTTATATCACGTGTATGGGCCTCGCAGCCTTGTGTACAGCTGGCAGGGAGGAGTATGCGCCTATGGCAAGTCCGCACCGATCTCACGCCCTACACACTATTCCAACCAGCTTTCATTCTAGGTGATACATTTGTCCTCTGAACCATTGTATTTGTCGGAAACTTTTTCTGTTCTATGGGTATCATTTCTGTATGAAGGACATCGCACACGTAAATACAAAAAAGATCAACCCGACGGCACACGACGGTATGAGTGGTCCCCTACTCTCCATGCACGTAGCGGCAACGCTTGCAGCGCCAGTGCTTTCCTCTCCACATAAGTCCAAAACAATACCGCTCCGATAATCACAAAAATGACATTGGTGATGTAGTATCCATCACGTTGCATCAGGCAGGTCCCACCTCCCTTCAAGCAGACATTTTTGTCTGCTTCAAGAGCACAACTGAAACTGCTGGTGACGAGCGTGGCGTCCGGATGAGATTTGAGGAATGCGTCCGGGTCGGCCGGTGGAATGCAGGTCGCTTTCGTAAAGAGATCAACCAGTTTGAGGATGAAGAATTTCGGGAACGTCCCACCGAGATTCGAGACACTGGGTAGAAGGGTCAGCAAACGATTTCTCAGAATGTCTATCGACTCGACTTACGTAGCCAATAATGTCATGTATGTTCCGCCAATCGTTGGATCAGCAATGCGAGCGTGAAACGCAGCCGAAGCAACAAACATGACGGTATTCATGAATGTTGACGAAACGTGTGCGGCAATCACCACCAGCATGTACCACACCGGAACGGCCTCGTCGGGTGCAGTCGGATAGATCATAATTGTTATCTGCCCAAAGACTGCCGCGAGGAGCCGAGCAGCATAAGCCCAACACCATACCTTCAGCGGTGTGTACTCTGTGGACCATTTCCCGGCGTAGTATCCCAAGCCCAGTTCAAAGGGGAAATCAATGAGCACAACCAGGGCCATATTCGCTTGTCCAAAGCCCTTGTCCAGGAGCTTGAGATTCGTGACTGCATCGTTGGTCACAAAGCCGAGTTTGCTGACAAGGTGAACGGCAATGATGGTGAGGACGTTGGGGAGTTTGAGCACTGCCCACATGGTTCGGTATACGTCCATAATTCCCTCACGCTCGTTGTTCTTCTCTTCTCTTTTCAAGATGGCCAAGCCCACTGTTACGATGAGGTAAACCCAGCCCCAGAAGGTCATGTAGCCGCCGAGCGTGAAGAGGCCGTATTCCTTGGGGACAGTCCTGAACCACCTATTCGCGAAATCCGGTGCCTGTAGCGCGAGGAAGACGGTGTGCGACAGGAAAGAGCCTGCCGTCAAGCCGACTGTCTGCGCCGTTGAGGCATATGATATGTTCTGGATGGAGAGAAGTGAAATGGCCCATCCGTCCACTGCAATGTCCTGAGTGGCGCACATGAAGACCAGAAGGAACCACCAGCCAGTGAAGCCCCAGACCCCAGCTCCGTCATTGTCGCCTGTAGCGGTCATCATCTCATCGATTCTGCCTCCCAGGTAAATCATGGAGAGTCCGGAGATTGTTTGAATAGGGGTGATCCAACTCTTTCTGCGTCCAAACCTCCTACTCCAAACAGCGTCCACGATCGGACTCCACAGCAGTTTCAACGAGTAAGGGTATATGGCCAAAGAGAAGATACCAATTTGACCGTATGACAGATAACTTTTTAATAGAAACGGGACAGAACCCGAGGCCAAACCCATGGGAATGCCTTGGAGGAAATACAGGAGGCAGAGAAGGAGGAAATTCTTCTTGTCTTTTGGAGGTAGGTCGACGAAGCTGGTGTTGACCATACCAGGGGTTTGCGGCGTTTGAGGGGCGGCCGGCTCATGGTCGAGTGAAAAGTCATTTCTGCTCATAAGTCTGGTGGTGTTTGTCTCGGGATCGTCGCTTGAGACGTGTTTGCGTCTCATCTCAATATGGGAATTCATGTCGCCGTTTGCGTGGCCATTCGCGTGACCGTTCTGACCGATCTCAATGCGAAGATCTGGACGAGGTGACGATCTCTGGTCCTTGTTCTTCTTGGACTTCCTGCGTTGCATAGGGGAATCAGAGCCTTCCGCAACCACAAGGTGGTCTTTTTCGGATGTGTCAGTCTCGGAGTCTTCCTCTTCCTCTTCCACTTGCTCTGCCTCTTTGCTCTCTTCCTCGTCTCGCTTTTCGTCTGTGTGATGTGGGATCTCCGACTGGTATTCGTTTAGTTCGATTTCGTGAGATTGCCTGTTATTGTGTGGGCCGGCGCTGTGGACTGGAAGGAGGGGATGTTCGGTGAAGTGGGAACGAGCGTAAAAGACTGGGATTGTATATGGTTCGGCAATCGAGTCAGGCATGCATGCGGCAGCAAAAGAGCGTGGTGGGTGGTGAGTGGATATTCACAGAAAAGGACTCTGTGTCCTTTCGCAGGGGCGAGACCGGCAAATGACACACTGGGATTCTGCGAGTGCTCCGTGCTTTGGGTGAGATCATTGACGGAGAAGGAGATGGTGCGTTTATAACTCCCTTCCGCCACAACAACACATCATGCTGAACCGACAGGCATGACAGTCTCGCACAGGAGACGTCTTCATCTTTCTCGTATCAGCAAGCGAAGCGCAAGGTGGCCGCCTCGGATTTCTCGCAGGCACTTTATTTATTACCGGCACAGCATTTAACCCCTGACCGAGCACGTGATAGCGAAGATAAGCGCCTCGCACGCGTCCGATAAGCCCAAGACGCGTCGAGGGTTCGCTCCTTCGGTTGAACTTCGCTGGTGAACGGTGGGTGACCAGTCTGTCGACGTTGACTTCCAGGTGGTTATCGGTTGACCACAAAGGTCGAGATCAAGTCAGCACGACAGCAATGGCTCTTGTTGCATCTCCTCCCCTGCCCTCAGTGGATGTGATAATGGACGACTCGCCAGAGCACGAGATGGCCCAAGTCAGAGTCGAAAGTACGTCCAGGGCAAACCACAGTTCAACATTCGTCCTCTAACACATTGGCAGTCGAAAAGCTCACTCAACAGCGCAAGGTTCTCGCGGCCTCTCTTCTTGCCTCAACGAAAGCCCAGTCGCGCCTTTCAAACTCCTCTCCAGCCCTGAACGCACCCTCAAACGACAATAGCCCTCTTCAACTGCAAGACCTACAACTGCATTCCCAAACGAACGCCCATCGACTCGCTTTTGGAGTGACCTCATTCCCCTTCCACGATCCCTCTCCCGAACTTCAGTCAAGCAACCCACTCCTTGGAATAAGGATTGATATCTGCAATCGCAACGGCTTCTTCGATAGTCCGTATTATATGTTCTGCGTTCGGGCTAGAGACACTGGGGATGAATTACGGATCCATCGGCACACGATCCCCGCGCTGGTGCCCCTAGAGCAATATGAGAAGCAGTATCTTCCTATCTCATCTTTAGACGACGAAGGCTACGGGGGCTCAGACGACTCAGGACTCAGCATCAACGAACGAGGAACGACAACGAAACAGGATCTTCACGGCCTCGTCGCTCGGGTCAGATATGATCTTGTGTGCTGGCGGCTAAGGAAGGACGTCACAGAATGGTTACGAAAAGAATTGGATATTCCAGAGCCGTCTGCGCAACGTCCGCGCTCCTTCAAGAATCAAGCAGGAGGAACCAAAGAGGAAGCCGATAATAAAGGTGGTGACACCGAAATGCGCTCTACTGAAGATGATTCCGACTATGAAAGCGATGATAGTAATTCGGAACGCGGATCAGAAGAAGATGAAGAAGACGAAGAAGAGGAGATGACCGGAAAATTCAACGTGCAGTCTCTCGCCAGCCTAGAGGTCGACGCGCGCCAACTCCGCATCGTCTGGTTCGATGACCGCGTTGGTCGGATCAAGATCTCCGACGATGGGAAGGTGCAGAAGGCGGTTGTGATTGGATTAGATGGCAACAGGGTCAAGGACGTGGAGAGGATCCTGATGGGCGACGGCGATGGGAGCGTCAGCCTTTATGATCTGGTGGGTCGGTTGGAGGAGGTTTATAACAGATCTCTGAGAACTGAAGACCGTGAAAGAGGCGAGCAAGGGGGGGAAAAGGCAAGGATGACGCGAAGGCCATGAAGTTGTTAGTATCGAGACACGAGATATGGTCAGCATTGCACTTTATATGTGACGACGATGCCACGACAATTACAGGCTTACGAAACTCAGGACGGAAAGCGACATGATTTCCAAGATTCGGTCCATCTCTGGAGCATATCCTCTGGAATATTCGGCTTCTGCAATCACCCAATCCAAGTCTACCTACAAGATAGCTATCGCGTTTGGAGTCGTCCCGACACCGCCAAACACATGGAGAGGAGCGCTCGTGAAAAAGAAGGACCATTGTTTGGCCTCCGCACAGGCCTTGGACAGTTTCTCCAGATTCCACAGCTCGCCGATCGGACAACCCCAGTGAGTCAACAACCACTCGTGAAGACATACTTTGTCTTTGTTCCCGAAAGGTGCCGGGCAAACCTCGAATCCGAGTGAGTCTCCGGCAACGGCAGCAAAATGGTGATTCCACAGCCATTTGACAGACTTCATTGACGCCTCCACCCCAATGAACTCGCCCCTGTCTAAGGACTTTGCTCGCTCAGCAGAAGGGGTGGAATCATGCCACGCCGTGAACCCAGAGCGGATGATCAAAATATCGCCCGTTTTCAGCTCCAGATTCTGATATCTGGCGACTTCGTCGAGCTCGTCCACCGTCATCGGGAATGGAGAATCAATCTTTGCTGGTTCTTTGCCCGTGTCTTCTCGCCATCTGTGGTAGTCCAGCAGGATCCCTCTGCCCACGATGCCTCCATTTTCAACCCAGTCTGCAATGTTTCCCGGTTGGTTAGTCTGAAAAGGGCGCACAGGCGGATCCGTATACTCACTTTGAATGCCAAGTTTGCCCGTGCCGCCCTCATCAATCTCCCGATGTTTCATTCCACCGTAGTAGACGCCAGAACTCTGCAGCCCGACATGACGGAGACCGTCCCATTGAGAACTGCTTTGGGTGTTGAATCTGACCACGTCGTCATGAGCGACGATTTCATATTCACCACCCTTATTTCTCTCTTGGAAATCCACAATGGTCTGTTCAAACCTCTCTCGGCCCGCAATTCCATGGTCGAAGTGGTCGAGTCGCAAATCCAGCTGAACGGACTTTCCAATCTTAATCTCTTGAGAAGCGTTCCGAATGACCTCCGGGGTCAAAAGATTCAATGCTAGATTGAGATGGCGGGTTAACTTGGTCCCCTTATCGTGCTCGCTTTGTACACGGAAAACTGGGGTGACTAACTTCCCAACTCATCGCCTTTGCCCCAAAACCCCCAGGCATTTCCCTGAGGCTGGCCCTCGACTGGTGGCAGCGAGTCGAAATCCGGGTAGTTGACCATGATTCCAGAAAATAGTGGTGTGCACGTTGGCGGCAGGCTTGAATGGCCATCAACCAGTCCTTTATAACACGGCGATATCGGACATTGAATCCCGGTTCCCGAGGTGAGGAGGTCGACAAGGGCATTTGCCGACGAAGAAGTTTGATTTTTCGTCAGCCAACTAACTTGGCTGTATACGATGCTTGCTGTTTTCCTTATTCTCAGCTCCTGGCACAAGGTTGAGCTGCTGTAAATTGCCAAATTCCTCTTTAGGACACTGAGCTCCGGGTAAGCTCTTCAAGCCACATCTTCAGAAGTCTACAATTCTACGGACCACCGAAGGAAGCTTCTCTATAGCGATACAAGTTGGTCCATTCTTCTGAGAAAGACTGTTATCGGCCTGCTGAGGATGGCGGAGAGCTATACACAGAGCCACAGGACAACTCAAGACCACAACAGATCCTGAGCCCTAGGCAGTCCATCCTCCATCCACTTTGTACGTTGATCCGGTGACAAAACTGGAATCGTCGCTCAGCAAGAAGGCAATGACTGTTGCAACTTCCTTGGGATCGGCCTGCCGGTCTAATGCTTGCATTTTTGTGGTGACAGGTCCATTCCTGAACCCGGTTTCCATTGCTTTGACCAACGGTGTCCTGATAACGCCTATTTTTGTCCATGAAGGTTAGTAATCCTCCAAGGCCCAGTCAGTTCGAGGAAGAGGAAGTCTTACCTGGAGCCACCGCGTTTACGCGGATATTGTCGGATCCATACTCGCGGGCCGCCGTCCTTGTCAGACCTCGAACGGCATGTTTGCTGGCGTTGTAAATTCCCGTATCGGCCAACCCAACGAATCCTGCAACGCTCGAGACGTTGACCTTGAAAGACAAGCAAACAGGGTCAGCGCTGAGGAATGCTCAAGAAAATCGAACGAACCAAAATCCACGGATTTGTGCAATTGTGAAGCGATTCACTCACGATTGAGCCGCCGCCACCCTTTATCATCTGCTGCAACTGTGCCCTCATGCAGTAAAATACTCCTGCGCCATTGATGCCCATGACGAAATCCCAATCTTCGTCGCGGGACTCGGCGAGATGACGGCCTCCTTCCCGTTCGACGCCCGCAACATTGGCTGCACCATCCAGACCACCCAGGCGTTCCGCGGTGTCTTTGATCCATTCGGTCACCTTGGCACTGTTCCGGACATCGACAACGGTGGCGAAGTGGCCCTTGCCTGGTAGCGAGTCTAGGGCTTTCTGGAGACTATCTTGATTGACATCCGATATAGATAGCACGGCACCTCGACTGGCTAGTAATTGGGCAGTTGCCAGCCCGATGCCACTTGCTGCACCTGTGATAGCAATCTGCAGTCACCTTCTTAGCTGTCATTCCGCTCAGTGTCATGACCTTGGGCATACTTTTTTTCCTTCCAGAGAGGCCATGCTGATATGCGGATCAAAGTTTGGCGCCCGTCGTTGCCTGATATGTTCGCTCAAAGTTGGATATGCGTGAGCTCACTTCTGAGCCCCCATCGCCCCTTCAACAAAGACTGAAGCTAAATATATGGCGGGACAACATTCGGCAGTCAAATTCCGTCCAAGAACTTCCCCGCATATACTTATTGCAAGATACAAACAAAGCGAGAAGAGGGGCCGAGGGGAGACTTCTTGGAGCGGAGTAGTTCAAACCTTCAAACTACATCTCACACTGCAATGTACGTACCAGTCTATTGGTTCCCTATTTTCTAAAGATCGATCTGATAGCCGTTTCGGCCTCGGTCTAGCCGGTTGTACGCTAATTATTCACATGCTATGCCTTGAGCCTTTCTCTAATCAGTCTCCCTCGACATGAGCGAATGCGACTACCTTCCCTTTTGCATTGTCCGTCAGGATACGTTCCTCGTATTATGATTCTCTGAAGCGCTTGTGAATCTCCTCTTCTCGCTCGTCGTCAAGCGCAATCTTGTCCTCAAAAAGTTCGCCAATCTCCTCAAAGGATCGGCCCTTTGCCTCCAGATGACGCTTGGGCCTCGTTCGAACCAATCAGTGAGCTGTAGCCGAGTGCAGTGCATGCCGACAAGCAGACCTCGCAGCTTCGTCGATGCCACTTCGCTTTGGTACAGTGGGATTCTGGAATCAGTCCGACCAGGGATCCTTTGTGGTTCAGTGGTGATGGAAAAGCACGACTTTTCAGATCAACGGTCTAAAAACACACCGACTCCGTATCCAATAAGGAAGCGTGGCAACATGAACATGACCACGTGTACACTACTGGGCTGCAGATGACTTCAACAGGCAGAATAACACTCCGAGGAAGAGGGACTCGCTTGCGCCCCAGCTTCTCGGAAATTCGAAATGGTGCTGGGACTGCTGCTTGTTATCAGCAGAAACAAAGTTCACCTGTAGAGTACCGAGCACACAGACCGGCATACAAAAGTGAAGTGGGCCGTTCTTCCTGTTCCCTCTTATTCTGGACAAATACGGCTAGCCGAGGCCTGACGGCCAGAGACGTCCAATCAGCTCCACCGCGCACAGCCTTACCTCTGTACTCGGAGAATAAAACCTCAAGGACGACCAGGACAGAAGTCAACCCAAAATATCCAGCTGTGCCCGTAACCCGACCAGCAGGCTAGTGTTTGTGATATGCCTTGTGCTCAGCTGATCCATAAGAAACCCTGAATGGTCCTTTGTGAATTTTATGTAAAGCGGACTGAATCACAAGGTCTGTCTGCTTGCGAATTTTTATATCAGTTGCACAACGAGGATAACGAGCACAACACTTTGGACTCGTGCTATTCCGGGCAAAGGAGAGTTATTCCACCTGCCGGAATGAGTACTCACTTTCCACGATGCCAAATGTTCGTCCGCACGACATGGCAGAGGGGTGAGCGGTCGTTCGGTGTTCGTTCTCCGAGAATCGCTAGTCACAGGGTCAGGCTGAGATTGGCATCAAGCCGGCCAGCCCCCTAGCCGCTCAGAACAGTTTTGGATGGAAGACTGACCCGGTCATATTTTTTGACCCCGACGCCTCCAGATTTTCCTCCCTATGTCTCGCTTCTGGAATAGCGCTGGTGGCGTTGAGTCGCTAATGGTAGCGAGGGTGTTGAACGAATGGCCTGGTCGGTGACCATATGCCGGCAGGCCTCGATTCTATATGTAAGCTCCTGTTGGTAACCCAGGTTTCCCTCCCTGCTCGATAGAGGGATCCAATACTCGTGCTCTCTTACCCCGGTCCCTACTGATCACACGGACTATCATGGCAGGAGAAAAGACCGACCTTGGTCGGCAAGAACACGCTGAAAGCCCGACTGAGAATCACGGTATCGACCAAGAGATCAAGCTCGAGTCTGCAGACGCCGTTGAGGAGGTCAATCCCGAAGAGGAGGAGCCCGTTGTGACCTTCAAGACATGGATCGTTGTGGGGGTGAGCAGATTCCTTGTCCAAAATTTGGAGCAATCCACTCTCTAACATTTGGCATAGATACTGTCCTGCGGTTATGGCTTGTCCTTCTGGCCGATTCCAGTCATGGCAAACATCGGAGGCCTCGTTGGTGCAGAGCTCGGTGCCCCCTCTAAATACATCTGGTTTATTCCTGTGGGTGCCACCTGAACCACAGCTGCACCGGTAACTCGCTGACAGGGCTCAGTCCTGGACGATATCTATCACTTGTTGCTTCATGCTATGGTACGCAATGTGTCACAATCTCGGCTCATGCCGGGGAAATAGGATACTAAAGTTACTAGTGGTGCAAACACTGACATGCTTGGTCGTCGATGGTTTTTGACCATTGGGAATCTGGTGAGCACTCAGCAACGAGCACATTCGTCATTTGGGAGTGAATACTAAGGGGAGGAACGAACCAGATCTGTACCGTGGGACACATTGTCACCGCATCCTCGACAAACACCAACGCCGTGATCGCCGGAATGGCCATTTCTGGTTTCGGTGGAGGCAACTGTCAGGTATGATGGCACTTGACCAAGCCTTAATTTCAGCGAGACAATTTGTGCTGAAAACATTGACCCCCAGATGGCCGCATTTGCGCTGCCTGAATTACTCCCCAACAAATGGCGCCATATCGGCGTCGTGCTGGCCGACTTGACAACCCTTCTGGCTGTGATTCTAGCCCCAATCACTGGACTATACGGTTTCCACTCTGGCTCGTGGCGCTGGAACTTTTACGCCGCGGCCATCGCACAGTTCCTTTCATTTCTGGGCCTGCTCTTCCTTTACTTCCCACCGGCTCATCCGTAAGTATCACCGTGGAAACATCACCATCACTCAGTGGGAACTAACTTTCGACAGATACGGGCTACCGTTCAAGAAGGTGCTACCAAAGATTGACTATGTTGGTAAGATCATGGCAACTTCCCAAGCTACCCACAAATTTTCCAGTTAGAATCCGCTGACAGCAGGATAGGTAGCTTCTTGTTCGTTGCCGGCGCAGTCCCAGCGCTTGTCGGGATTGTGTACACTACGGTTGTGCCGTCTAATGATGCGCACGTGGTGGCACCGCTGGTGATTGGGTTTTCCTTCATCGTGTTGTTCGCGCTGTGGGAGACATTCGGCAAGGCAGAGCACCCCTTGACCCCCAAGTACGTGTTCGCGTCGTCGTGGGGCCGCGACTTCACCGCCCCGGCCATCGCGCTGGCGGTGGTGAATATGTTCTACTACTCCAGCAGCATTCTCTGGCCGACCATCGTCAATGCGTTTTACACAGACGGCGGTGCGGACTGGCGCTACGGGATCGTCCTGTCCCTGCCCCAGGGCCTGGCCATCACCTTTGGCGCGGTGCTGCTGTCCGCCTTTGGCGGAAAGATCAAGAACTGGCAGTGGCAGCTCACCGGCTCGGTCTTCATCATGGTCCTCTTCGGCTCCCTCCTGGCGCTGGTCACACCCACCAACAAAGGCCTGATGGTCGCCTGCGTCTTCCTCTCGCAGTCGGCCTACGGCTGGGCCATCTACCTGTCCATCGCCGTGGCTCAGATGGGTGTCGAGCACAAAGATCTTGGCTTGAGCGGTGGCATTGCGGGCGTGTTCCGCTTTGCTGCAGGATCAAGTACGTTTGTTTCCTTTTTACCGAGGGACTTAATTGTGTTCCGTGACCACTGACCTATGCATGTATCTTGTAGTTGGAGCCGCCGTGTATACTACGATCCTCACCAACGAAACGAACAAGAGAATTGCGAAACTGGTTCCTGCCGCCGCTGTGGCTGCTGGCCTTCCAAAGTCCAAGATTTCGGATCTTATGAGCGAAGTTGGCACGCCGGCCCTGGCCGAAGACTTCAGCCAAGCTGTGGTCAAAGCGGTAGGGGCTGCAGTCGAACAAGCCGAAGTGCACGGTATCAAGTAAGCAGTCCCGTGCTCCTGAGAGGAGAAGACAAAACATGGGGTGAGGGAAAGAATATAGTACTGACTTATTCCAGAATGGTGGCCTTTGCCTCGTTGGCATTCGGTATTGTCGGCATCATAGCGTGCATGTGCTGCAAAGACGTCGATAAGAAGATGAATAACAAGGTATGCAGTAAACTTGTCCCAGTGGTTTTTGGGCGGAGAACACTGACGGTGTCGTCTAGATTGAGGTGTATCTCGAGAACACAGAGTATGCGAGCAGGAACAAGTATCATTGATGGGGAGGCTACATGGAACTGCCGCGGCTCAAGCTGTTTGTATTTCCGACCAGCTCTCTCTATCTACTCATCAAAACGATTGCTTGGGAGGGACTCTCTTGTGCTTGGGGCGTGGTAATTCTAGCTTTGACGGTCAAGACGGTTATGGCCGTGCAACACAAGTTGATTTGGGATGCCCCAGAGCGATCCGTTATTTGTGAAGCTACGCAAAATTCAAGTCCAAAGGGCAGACCGCATCCGACCCGCCGAACACATATCCTGCAAGGCAATATACAGTTGTTGTGAGGACGCTCCAGTTTTCGTTCTGATTTGAGTAATCTACCTAGGTACCTAGGTAGATTCTAGACCATGCCGCCATCGACCAAAAAGTCCTGGCCCGTCGTGTAACTGGCCGCGTCGCTCATGAGGTACAGCACAATCCCGGCCAACTCGTCCGGCATCGCCAGCCGGTGCATCGCGCAGCTGTCGACGAAGAGTTTCCGGCGGCTGGGGTTCTGCTGCATCACGCTCTCCAACATGTCGGTCTGGACGGTCCTGCAAATCACACATCAGCTTCTGTTTTCCTTTTTTCCCTCCCCAATGGTCTAGATAGACAACACACCCTGGACTAATCGAATTAACCCTAATCCCATACTTTGCCAGCTCGTGCGCGACCTGCTTGGCGATGCCCCGCACCGCGTACTTGGACGCCGTGTACGCCGCGATCTCCTGGGGCGCCAGCGACTTGTGCCCCGCCGTCGAGGCGATGCAGACGACGCTGCCTCCGGTCTTCTGCTCGACCATTTTCGCCGTGCAGTGTTGCACCGTGTAGAAGACGCCGTTGACCTGGCTCAGCACAGTGTTCTCCATTAGTTTCAACCATCTCCCATTTTGAGACACAACAAGAGAGAGAGATTTATGTAATCTTGGGAGGAGCGCCGGGGGGGGGGGGGGGGGGGGGGGGGGGGGAGGGATGAAAAAGTTTACATTGACGTCCATGGTATCCTTGAAGTCCTTCTCCGTGTGTTCCAGGAACGGTCTGTCGCGGATGATTCCTGCGGCTGGGATGCTATAGTATGCCGATAGCGGGGTTTTTTTTTTGCAGTCAGTTGCAGAACTCATTTTCTGTTTCGTGCCGTATCGAGGGGGTTTCCCGTGGATAGAATATAAACCACCCAAAGGGGGCGGGGAAAAGAGTTTGCTCACCATCCATCAATGCTCCCGAAATCCCCGTGTATCCTATCGATCGTCTCCTTCAAGCGTTGATAGTCGACCACGTTCGCCTGGTAATATTCATACTTCCCACCATACGCGGACAGCTTGGCCATGTTCTCCGAATTCGGCTTCTCGCCGATGTCGATGACGGCGATGTTGGCGCCCACTTGGGCCAAAGCGTATGCGAAGATGAAGCCCAGGCCGCGCGAACCGCCCGTTATGACTATGTTCTTGCCCTTCAACGACAGGAACTTGTTCAGGATCGAATCCGAGGGGATCTGTGTTGGGGACATTGTTGTCGAAGTCAAGATCCAAGGGGCTTGCTTTCAGACGGATTTTCTTCCCCCGGGAAATGTTGGATGAGATTCTGGAAGTGGTTTTTTTCCCACGACGACTTCTCTGTTGTAAGTCAGTCCTGGAAGAATCAGAGGTATCTTCGGTCCTTTTTGAGGTGGAGGTTGAATACGAGGTATATGGTAGTTATCAAATTGGGGAAATGGGCTAGATTCCTGGAGAAGGAGTGTGTGCCAAATGAGAGCTCGGAGAATGGTCGCCGCATCTCCACAATGAGGCAGCGGTACCGCGGTACTCTTACGAAGGGCATGGCTGGCTTTGAAATTGCTTCATGTCAATACAAGGGTGTCCTTTCAGTTCTTGTTCCGTGAAGAGCAAAACGTGGAAAAGTTATTGAAGTTGAGGGGATACACCCCAAGAAATCTCTGCATCGCATTTGATAAATACAAAAACTCGGCCGGGTTCCCGCTCAAGCATACAAAGGCTAAAACCCTCTCGTGGTCCTACAGAGACTCTAGACTGTACATAATGTCAAACTGCGAGGATATCGGGAGAAAGTCATCGATGCATAGCGGACTATACGCCGACAAGCTGGGCAGACCCGTATGATCGTTGGAGGGCTGAAAAGAGGTCCCATCCGCTCCCGCCTCGTGGACCACGTCGTGGAACAAGTTTGCCGGGTTCCTGGCGGCGACCTCGTTGGCTTGGTGTTGGAAATCCACGTACTCGCTCTCGAAATGGCACAGTCTCATCACGAGCTGGACGATGCGGCGCACCCGGCGCGCCACGATGTAGGTCTTCTCCAGCTCGCTGAGCGTGCGCACGCACGTCTTGAGGGCGGAGAATTGACTCGCCGCGTCCGCCGAGCGCCTTTCGGCAATGTCGGCAATCAATATCGTGGACGCGGTGGCGATGACGTGCAACGCGACGCCGCTCAGGGTGAAGGCGTCGCCGTACACGTTCCGATAGTCCTGGAGGGTGCGGGCAATGTTTTTGGCGTTGTCGATGCAGATTTGGCGGGAGATGTTGCACTGGGCCAAGGTGTCGGACGTCCTGACGCCAAAGTTTGCGGTTGGGCGGTGTAGGTGGATTTTGCAGGAATAGTATTGCATGCTGTATCACCAAATTGTCAATATCCTCATGCAAGATCAGACTGGTTGGTGGCCTTACTGAAGCACAAGTATCGACGCGTGGGCTTCCCTGCAATACTGCAGCTCCGGGTCGAGGTTTTGGTACCAGTCTTGAAGCTGTTCATCAAGAGCATGGAGCGTCTCCGTGTCACACTGCTCTTCGTTCCTAAAGACCCTCAATATCTGTGGTGCCCGTTCCGGACTTGAGTTACTCACAAGGCATCACATATCCGGCCGGTCGCCAGGAGAAGAGTGACCCAGGAGAAAGCAATCCGTTTCTCCCATGAAGCGTCCTGTTGGGTCAGAAAGCTGTTTCGGATTTCGGTATCCTCGCATTTGAGACAAGATGGGCGACCAAGGTAGAGAGCCCAAAGTCTTTGACAAAAAAATGTTAGAATAGACCGAGAGCAATTGGGCCGCCAGAGCAATTTACCTGTCAAAGACCAGACAACCCCAGTAGGTGATTTGCCGTACTTTCATATCTCTCGGGGATAAATTGGTGGATGCGAGCTGTTCTCCGGTTCTGTGAAGGCCCAGATCGATAGCTAATCGACACGCATCCCCTGGAAGACCAGCCGTCAATATTCGAGACCTGGCATCATTATGCAGACTTACCAGTTAAGAGCCAGCCTTTGGTATCCTTGCTCAAGGAACAGTGAACGACAGACAGCAGCAGCAGAGCTTGGATAGTTGTAAGTTGTGGTCTTTTGAGCTCCTGGTCAACGAGTCTGGTCGCGGTGGCCACGAGAAAAGGTTCCTTGTCCTCCATGTCGTCGTTGGAGGGTATCACCATCGCTCGCACCGACGGGCGGTCGGATATTCGTGCCGCGCAAGCATAGACGCAGTACAAGAGTGCTTTGCTGAAATACGTCGTCTGTCTTCTCGTCTTCAGGCCCTCGAGGAACTCTTCCCGATTGAAGACCTGCAGGACCGTGTGCTGGTACTTCCAGTAGCTCTCCAGCAAGTGTGTCTGGGTCTCTGGGTCGATTGGGTCGTCGGAACTGACGTCGGCGGTCACGCCCCTGTGACTCCATGGGCCGAGCAGCGACGAGGACACGCTTTCGGTAAGATGTAGGCTCGAAGTCGGACCGAAGAATTTGTATTGGCCCTCTTCGTCGCTGTTGAGCTTCCATTGGCGGCCGCAGAGGCGTGAGATCAGGTTGTCTTCTTCTTGGGACGGGACTTGCACTGAGAGAGCTGGGTAAGTTGACGGAGATTGTGGACTGGACACTTGATGGCGGCTCGGCGTGGTGAAGCTTTGCGTCGACTTCGCAGACTCAAGAGCAGCTTCGAGATCAGCAATCCGCTGATAAAGCTCCCGGATGTGATTCTTGGATGAAGGACTGGGACGAGGGATTCAGCACAAGATCTCCCAGCGCTAGTAAGATTGGTATACTCACCATTTTCGTTTGTCTTCGCTAGGCCAAATGCAGGGGATATTGAGTCTTTTGCACTTCCTGCAGCCCTCGACCTCGACCACGCACTGTTTTGATACGTTAGCATCATCGACAAGGGGCTACTTCAGTAGATCGCCCCATACCTTGACCTTCTTCAATCTGCAGTGGTTACATGCAAGGGCAGTAGTGGAGTCGAGCTTCTTCGAGACTCGACCCGTGCGGGTGGAGCTGACCAGGTGTTTCGGACTCCTTGAGCCCGAGTCTTGCTGTGAGACCAAATCCAACGTCTGAGGCGACGCTGAATAGTTTGTCATATCCATCTTCATGGCTGCTTTTGGGGCACGCTTTGACGCTTGAGAAGACGGGTCTGGAGAGGTGCTATCGCCGAGTATATTTTGCCCGGGCACATGGTGACAAACCCCGCAATTGTGGTGGAGAGGCACGACAGGTTCTCCAGCTTTCTGGCCGAGGGCATCCCCCCAGCCTCTCTCTCCAGGAATTTTACTATAGGCCAGTCTGGATGCGACAGCGGAGGTCGTTCTCCGAGTCTTGAAACTGGAACTAGCCTCGCCGTGGTGCAGCCTCGTGGGCTCCGTATTGCCTCGGGTAAGGAATCACCTGGGCACCCACCAGAATGGACGAAGTACAGATAGACAAAAGAGAAAGTCTCGCAGCTGGAACATTATGCACTGTTGATATTCGAGATGAGGCCTTCACCTACCCGGTAAATAGTACATAGTGCCTAGAAACTCTTCGCAAACTACCTAGTACACAACACCCTCGCAAACCCGTCCCATCCCCGCTTGCAGCTTGATCCTTTGTAAGTCAATTGGCCAAGGTCGAATTCCAACGTTCCTTTAGCCACGTCAGATTCCCTCCTCGACTATACACCATCAGTCGGCGGGTCGCACAACCGGCTGCGGTGTCCCGGTCGTAGGCATCATGTCTACCCAGAGTTCAGAACACCTGTCCGGTTGTGCCCGTACGACAGCAATGTTGGTCATGGCAGCAGCCCACCATTCCGCCGAGATTTCATAAGCATCCCAGATATCTCTCAGGCCGCGGATCTGCGCAATGATGGTCCCCACGTCTCCGTTCTCAGGTGTTCCCTCGGTCATTCGCATTGCATCGGCGACAAAAGCCTCCAACGATCGCCTGCTGACAAGAAAATCCTGGCCTGTGGATTCGAGAAGAGCTGAGACGTGATCCCGGCCGTCCACAAGGGAGGCTGCAAGTTGGACCGCCTCATCGAACGTCAGCAGAGCTTTTTTCCTTCGTAACCAATCTCGGACAGCGCCATCCACCTCGAATCCGGGGTGAACGAGTCGACTGTGCAATGTGGATTTGGGCCAAAAATCGAGCGCTACCGGCTCACTGATCAGTCGTTGCAGGCTGATTTCATCGAACAGATCTACTAGGTCTTTCAGACTCGGCGCTGTTTCTGTGACATCGGATCCGCACCTGCCCAAGACTTTCATGACCGAGTGATTGCCGCTCAACCGGAGCTCGTCAAGGACTGGTTCAAGAAACGCAGCTGGCGTGTGCGAGTATACTTCCGGCGCGCCTCTGTTCAATCTCATGTGGTTGATCATGAAGCAGAATCCAGCGAAGCTCGCACAGCCTGGGTAGTCACGCAAGGCTTCTCGTGATGTCCCACAGCCACTGATATACATTTCTCGGAAGAACCTCAGGACGACATCCTTCACCAATTCCCCTTCGGGCGTAAGAATAGGAGGCTCATCATTCTCTGGATGGGTGATGAACTCCGCGAAGTGCTCCGTCGGGCCGAGATAAGGGTCTATTCGAGCTACTGCCAGTAGCAAAGTGAAAGCTTTCATGTTCCGGAGTCCTTCATCCTGGAGCCTGACTGGTTCAAAGGGACCGTCAGGATAAATGTCGATCTCGTGCAGTCCGTCAAACAGGAAATCCACTACATTGGACCGGCTGAAGCATTTTATAGGGTTGGGCTGCTCCGCCAAACCCTGAAATGCCGGGAGATCGGCTTGTACTGTGGGTGTGACGGATGAGCTTGTTTCCCCCGACGGCTGATTGCTTCGTTGACGAACGGTTGGGGACGGTGGTGATGAAGATCCTGATGGGCGAGTCTCAAGATTGACGTGCATATTGTCGTATGAAGGAGGATCCATTTCAGCAGAATAGTCAGGAGGTGCAGGGCTTAGGGTTAGATTTTCGAAGAAAGGGGGAAGTTGTCCATCAATTGGGTTGACCTCACGAGGATGGCGGAGTTGTATTCCTCGGAATTCTGGCCGCGGCTCGTAATCTGGGGGAGGATTGTTGAAAGCCTCAACGTCAGGCTCTTCTTCTGAAGTTGTGGCTAAGTTGTGTAAATGGCGTCCATCATGTTCGGGGATGCTGTCATCTACATCTTGAAGTTCAGGATGTGAAGAATGTCTGAGCCCTTGTTCAATTAGAAATGCGTTAATTGCTTCGGTGATGACTGGTTCGCTTACCCGGAAACTCCAGCGGATCCTGACATAGTCTTTGAGGAACCCTGCGGGCAAATGACGAAGTGAGATGATTTCATGGTAAATCCCAGACGGAATCACAACTCCAGAGACATAGCCATCAGCATCGACAGCTGGGATGGTCGGAATTATGTGCTCGCCTCCCGTGCCGGGTAGGGCTTCTTTGGTAACATCGAAGTCTTTTTCGAGAAGAGCTTCAATACTCTCCTTATCAATTTCCTGGTCAAACTCTTCGACGACATGGCAAGGGATGCAGCCGTACGTATGGCCTTTTTTCAGCAAGTGGATAATTCTCGCAGCCATACTCATGCTGATTATTTCATTGGTTCTGAGACGAAGGCGCGGCCACCTGGTATCGTGGAATATTTCTTGTTCCACTTCCTCACTGTCGAAATATTGGTCCGCTGGACGAGGGCAGCGGCGGACGGATGGATGGAATGCTGACATTGTTAGTTGAAGGTAGATCCAGCTATTTGCCCTTGCACTGTGGCCGGTAGGTGGAAGTTAGGCGTCGTGCGCTGGATGCAAGGGAGGATACCTTACCTGACGTTCTATATATAATATATCATATTTCAAAGTCCCCCTTCCGAGTTCGTTTCTATTTTGTCTTGGGAGACACAAAAGAGATAAAGAAAGATATAAAGATTCAAAGCATCAAAGAACAATCAACGACAGGGCCATTGTCCTCGCGGCCATTGGCGATGCATCAGTCCATTGATTGTGCTTCTTTCACAAAGCAAGCAGCGCCACAATATGGGGCAACTTGCCAAAGACCGATCTGACAATGTGGGTGACCTAGGAGTAAGAGGTCGAGTGTAGTCGGCGCAGCATAATGCAGGAGAACAAGGCCGAGAACAACGGAAAAGTTAGCTAATCGTTATCGGCCCATCTTCGGGGACCTGCCGATACGTCTTTTCCTCTTCTCGGCCTCGAGATCCTCTGTAACTGTGCAAACCTTTAACACAGAGGCGGAAGTTCTGTGTGGAATTTGAAAACGCTGGTTGAACATCAGCTGGTGCAAAACTCGCTGTAAACCTGTCGGCAGGAACAACGGTCCACGTTTTTGAGAAACCCTGAACAACGACTGCCATTGGCGGGGTCTTTGACTAGCATCGCTGTTCGTGCCGACCAATCGCTGTCAGAAGAGGCTCGGAGTGAACTATTTCAATATAGAATCTGCGACTGCTGGGACGCATTGTGAAAGGCTGCCGCTCAACATCCTGCAACCAAGAAGATCTCACCGAGAGCCAAGTTTGCCAGGCGCACAAACGCATAGAAGAAGAATCAGCGATCTATGGCCGTCACAGCCAATGGAACGGCCGGTAAAGCACATACAAAGGCTGAAACCGAGTTCGATCAGCGAGACTTTGACCCCACAGAGGTAGCATACGTCCCGACCACGGGAGTCCGCAAGCTGTTCGAAATACCGCTTGTCCTAGCTACGCCCGAGACCGTCAAGGGCTACGGAGAGATTGTCGATGTGCCCGAAACACACCGCATTGAGATCGTACGTTGGCCGGCTCAGGGATGGCGGCCAGTGGATGCGAACTCGGGCGACCAGGGGGGAGTGACCGAGGGACTCTTTGAATTCTGGTGGAAAGGCGACACGCTTTACGCACGCAACAATGCTGTGGGGGACAGCTATCTTTTTGCCTGGAGTCAATATCCTGAAGAGGCCGCGACCACCGGCCCTGCTCGACCCCGTGAAAGAGTGATGATTTGGCGAGCGAATTACCACCCCGACGGCGGTCAGTTGTTTTTCCCCATAGACGGACAGAGTTTCGTGGTCCCGCTCGCCCTGCCAGGGGACGATATAACGCCGGAGAAGTTTGTCGCGTTCCGCTGTGACGGTGGCAAGGGACTATACATCCATCCAAACATTTGGCATGGCGCCGTGGTACCTCTTGACGACCATGCACGTTTCATTGATCGACAAGGACGTGTGCATGCGCGCGTGTCCGTGGATTTCGCAAAGGAATTTGGAGGATATCTGTCTGTGCCGCTGCGGTCTTGAATAATGACTCGGCAGTTTGATATTGGGACACTGTAATTCGAGCAAGAGCACTGAGAGGATGGGCATTGACATCGGCACGCCGTGTTTTGCTTTTATCGTCTCCCAATTCTCCTCAGATAGTTCGCCAAGAGACTTTCCGTGAGGTAGTCGTCTCTAGATCATGGACGCAATGCGAGTTGAAAAATTGCACGAAAATGTTTTTGAGACGGTGTCCCGGGGAATAGCGGCGCTTTAACGTCAAGACATTACCACAGGTTCAAGTGGCCCGCTAGTTGAAACAGGATTGTGAAGATAAAATCCAGGTGTAGGTACCGGTGCAGTCGTTGCTTCCCTGCCGTTAAGCCAGGGAAGCCTTGTGAATGAGAGTGAGCCGTTTAGCAAAGTTGATTTCGGCCTCGACGTCGTGGTGTTTCTGGAGCACATGCTTCATTTGATGTTCTATCGCCCTTGTGGTCCTCCGTCGTTCATCTGGGGTCATCTTCGTGTCCTTCAACTCTTCCTTGCGTTGAGAAAGAATAAGGGCTTCATTAAGAACTCTCTTTTCTCTCTGCTTTGCAGTCTCCAGTTTCTCTTCGGCCGCCTCAAGTTCTCGTCGGGCCTCAATACGAGTCGCACGGTAGTCACTTATTCTCCGCGGCTTCTTGAAAGCCACACTTAGCCTCCCTGACGCCCTAGGTGGGCCTGTTATCAGGCGTTGGTTTTCCACGATACTGTCGACGATCTCTGTGACAATCCTCCGAGTTTTCGTGCCCGTGTGGCGTAGAAGGACTTGGACGATGTCTTCTTCACGCTTGCCGTCTTCCAAAAGACCTAAAATGCGCCAGTATGCTGGAAGGGGGACTTCATGGGAAGCGACCTGGATGGTGAGCACATCATCAAAATTGGGAGAAGGAGCTGCCACGACCCAAAAGTCAGAGTCGGAAGACATGGGAAGAGCCAGTAGAGTTCACAGAGGCTTGCACTTACAACTGACAGGAGAAGGAGGCAGCTTTTGAGACTGCGAATATCGCAAGGGATCGTGAGAACGCATGGTTGGGGTTCATTGTCGTCGACTTCTTTGTGTGCGCGGCGAGGTCGCCATTGCTGAACACAGCTCAAACAAGTACTCACAGAGGACAAAGACAGGGTGGAAATCAACAAGGGACAAAGAAACCCAGGATCGTCATGATTCCAGTGTCTGTTACGTCCCTTTTAAAGGGTGGTTGCAAATGATCAGGAGGGAACATGGGTGGTAACTGAGCGGTGTGCCCAGCCAGGCATCCTGCCTTACTCGGACACGACGCGTAGTCAGGCTTACCTGGATGCGGCTGTTGTCGATGGCCACTGCATTGATCCCTCTGTTCAGAATCCTCCCTCCAGGAAAGAGAGGCAGACGTGGAGAACGGGTATGAATGATGCTATATTCATAATTGAATTTGTCCCACATCAACGGAAAAAATTCCTTGGGTGGCTTTGATGGCCCATGGGGCTCTTCGGGGTTCGCCCAAATCGCCTGAACGGGTTCCGCTAGGCGCCATGATAGGTCGCTAGGCGAGATTATTGGGGCGGCAACTCTACCTAGGTAAGTATGGTAAGTGCCTAAAAGCGCAGGCCGGCAAATCCCTCTCATCCGCTTTCCGTTTTGCTTCCCTTCCAAACGATGCCCTACTGACCGGACTTCAGGACTGCTGATCAGGCAGCTTGCAGGGCAATCTTACCACCGAGTTCCTAATCGGGACCCAGAGCGAACATTACCGGATTTAGATCAGTCTTGCTTGCACAGAGTCCTACTGCGTGGGCTTATTCGAGTAATGAGATGCCTGCTCGGGGTATACTCTGGGTTCACTACTGATTTTACGCAAGCTGGGAATGGCAGTTTCGCTCACTGCTTTGAAAAATCGTACCTGGCCCAGGACGTTTGGATCAATGAGTGGAGATTTCAGTATCTGAGCTCGTCGGCATGAAGCACATCTCTGCTGTCCTCCCCAGGATCTATTCGATTTCCGATCCTCCAATCCTGCGGGCCGTTTTGAAGTCTTTACAGCGTCACCCTCCTGGCCGCATTCCCAGCCTTGATAAATAAAGTAATCGTCGCGCTGAAAGAGGAGACACCAACGTCAGCAAATCCAATCGACCTCATCCATATATGCTAGACCGTTGAAGAAAACGGGATGAAGACAAATGGGGAAGATACTCACGCAATGCTTCCGTAGAACCACATCCCCCTAACCTTCCCATCGACGCCGCGGATATACACGAGATTGAACACGGCGCGATTTAAGAGATACCACAAACTCAGCGCATTCACCCAAGCGACGTCCACGCCCGCGCTATTCGCAGCCACCACACTTGCGGCAAACCAGCCCAGGTTCTCGAAGCCATTGAGCGACGCGGCTTCCGCGCGGAAGATATGGTCCTTGGTCTCCCGAGACAGATGCGGGTTCGCTTCGAGGGTGGCGGGGAACGTCCGCGGCGAGGTCTGGTTGAATTTCGGAGCTTCTTCAGCAGAACCAGCAGACTGGCCGTGTGTGCTGTAGCGGACCACGGCGTAGATATGTGGCGAGAAGCTCAGGAGCCAGGCAAGTGGAACGGTATAATAGGAAATATTCGCTCGAGGAACGAGCATGGAGAATGGAAAGCGAAGGAGCATTGAATCTCCTGCGTTCGACATCTCTGGGGAAAATCGACAAAGATCCGTGGATTTCGTTTTCAAGAGCACCTGTAACGATGAGGGCACAGTATCGTATGACGACGTCCTTCAAGATCAACTGTTAATGCCAGGTTGGTTCCCTTTTGACGCGTTTCATATAAACATTCCACACGGCCAAGAAAAGCAACCATGCCGAAATCCCGAATCTCTCTTAGAGTCGTTGCATCATGATACATTTTAGGCCGCAGTCCGTGCGCCGAGTACGAATACGCAGAAAAATTTGGTCCGTACCTACCTATTAGGTACTAGGTAGGTAGGTAGGTATGGATACCGTAGTTATATGTCTTGTCTTTCGTCCGGATATGGTGTCACCCGCGAAGTTCTCAGGGAGGTTGCTGTGCGGGTTGCGAGGCTACCTCTGTGCGAGCAGAAACAGCGGTGATGTGAAACGTGTCGAAGGTGAGATGACACAGGTCAGTAAACTGATGCCTATTCTGTTGTCTTTCAAGTGAGCACACTCAACCTTGTTGCCCTTATTCAGTACACTGCCATTTCAGCAGGTCACCACGAGTCTCCTCCTTTTCTATTAACACAGAGTATGTATTTAGCTTAGCCGCTCCAAGCATACCATGTGGTCCATCATTCATCTCATAAGGCTTCGCGTTGAATATTCTCCATAGCTTCTTGTAATGCCCAGGATGTCTGTCGCTCCGTCATCACAAGAGACGCCTTAGCTCATCATTTGCATGCAAACCCGCAGTATCATATATCACGCTGCAAAATCCCGCCTATCACAAGTCTTGTGCCATAGATTTCCATGGCCCGGATTCACATCCCTCGTGGATAACAAATCATGGTGCTGTCAAAACATGTACACGTCATTTTGGGGTATCTGTTGACCACGAACCGCGGACTGGAAAGATGCGCACAGAAAAGTCGAATAATAATGCTGCAGGCGATGTGAAACCATTAGCCATGTGTGGAGATCGGGCTGAATCGAACCATCCTGTACTCAGGAGTCGTTGATATCCTTGATGGCGACAACGTCGGGTAGCGGGGCATATGTCAAGCCAGTCGCTTTTTCCATTTTTGTTCGCTCAATCAAGGCCTGAGTCCTCCACCTGGATTCGAGCCTCGCTCTCTTCTTTTCCAGCACCATTCTCAAATCAGACTCCTGGTTGGAAAATTCTCGATCAATGACGGCCAGTTCCTTCTTTTGTTCTCTTTCCAGAACTTCCATCTCCTTTTCCTTCTTACGTACGAGGTTCTCGACAGCTCTCTTTTGCTTACCCCGCAGAACATTGATTTTGGAGGCGTGCAGAGAGTCCATGATGTCTCGTTCACGATACTGCTGGGCGAGATTGTGATAGTCTTTGTCGGTTACCTTGCGCTCTGGAAAGGTAGAATCGATAGAAGTATGTCTGGAGGCTGGATCCACTGGAGACGAGGGTGGAGTTGGATTCTGACAATAAGCTTCCATATGCCGTAAGCGCAACATAATAGCTCTCTTCTCCAGCTCGTGTTCGTTTTCCATCTTCATCTCTTCCTCAAGTTGACGCGCTTCTAGATCTTCCACAGTTCGGTCAATCTGAATTGCATCAGCAACCGTGTCATAAAAGTCTCAAGTTGCAACAAACCTTTGCTCTCTGCTCAGCAATCGCGGTTCCATGCAATGTCTTCTTTTGTGCCTTGAGCAAATCTCGTTCTGAGCGTAAGTGCGCCATCAATGAAGCCTGGAACTCTAGAAAACGGGCCTTTTCGTCCAGCTGAGCCATTCGAAAGTTGAGTAGGTCTTTACACCCCATGCTCCTCTGCAACGCCTCTGCATCCACGAACGGTGGTGATTCGCCGCTTGACTTTGCCACGGATAATGGATGTGACCACGAGCTTTTGCACGATTTGACCGACAAAGGACTTCGCATGCCCGCAGACAGCTCATCACTGTCGTTGGTGTCGGCATCACTGTTGATGCTTGTAAGAGTCGAAGAGGCCGTCAAGCCGCCTGACCGTCTCTTTCGAAAACTGGCCATTTTTTGAAATCCCCGTTTCAATGGAGAGTATTTTTTCCTCTCGCTCGTCGAGACAGGTGAGAGACCGCCTGAACTCGGAGGAGTGCGTTCAGATATCCGTGAAGACTGCGTCATCGGCCGATGCTCACTGGAGGCACAGGAAGTCGCTGTGGTAGACTGGGATTGGACGGAGCTCTGATTCACGGAGTCGGAAGCGATGGTGATTGTCGAAACTGAAGAAGCGAGTCTGTCGATTTCGGAGGTAACTTGCAGCGGTGATATGCCCAGACTGTGTGCCTCGGAGGCAACCTGATCATCAAGGCTATCTTCAGAAGACGATGGAGGCAAGTGAAGAACGGCAGCGTTGTAGAGGGATTCATCAAACAGCGTCTTCGGAGTCGACCATGACTGCATGTCGGAGTGGTCTGGTACCCAGGTCAGGCTCCCGGGAGGCATTGAAGACTCTCCGAAAAGAGACCAAGGATGATCAGCAGCCGTCATGGTGGGCTGGATCCAAAGGCTGAGAAAGTGGTCGTAGAGGTTATCTCATTGTTTATTGGATGTTTTGGTTGCACTCCAAAATTCCCTCGTCGTGCAAGGAGTCTAGCGATGGCTTGTAGCAGCGCGTGTAACGACACCAGAGGGCATTTGAGGACTGGCAGCGCGTTGAAGTCGAGATTTGCAGCCGAGCGGCAGAAGGAGTGGGGGGTGCGTAGCGAGGATCTGGTCTGGAACCCGATGTCAGTCAAAAGCTGGTAACACCTCGGGGCCAAGGAGAACAGACGTGGACGTGCGTCGGGTCTCGACAGTTGACAGTCAAGGGCTTTTGATCAGGGATGATATACAACAGGCGAGGAAAAGAAGACGAGTTTCAAATCAATTGGGAAGGGGTTATGCTCACAGTACTCGGTTGGCAAAGGGTCTTCTTTGTCTTGATGGTTGCCAAACCGAACGAATTCCGTCTATGCGACTATGTCATTGGAGAGCAAAGGCACAAGGTGTGCGACCGCGGCACTGGGTCCGATCTCTTTTTGAAAGACCCGCTGACGGGAAGCGAAGGGAGGATTCACACAACAAAGTCTGAGCTCCGCGACTAGTCGGGTGAAGTAAAGACCAAAAGCAGAAGAAACGAAAAGTTTTGACGGAGAGGGTCAGCGTACAAGGGCGAGGCAGTCGAGAGCTCGGGGGACGAGATTGCGATTTGGTAAGGGAATTCTGTCAACTCCTGGGACCAGCTCCCAACGCTCTCTGTTTTTTGATTTCTCCATCGCCTAAAGTGGATACAAATGCAAGAGCGGTACGAGGGTAGAAACCACCGACGTCAAGGGCCAACCTGTCTGCTACACATTGGGCGAACCACAGTGCAAGCCACTTGCTGCAAATGTCAACAGATGTGTCACGAATGCCGCTCAGAGTGCCGCTCAGAGTGGCCACATCCTTGCTTCCCGCTCTGCTTTCAGTCTTGACGCCGTGAATCCTTTCTCGTTTCCTTCATTGCCCTGCAACCTTTGCCTAAAGAGGTACAGGAGGAAGTCGACGAGGTTTTGTCGGATGTCGGGCTGCGGGCTGAACCTCGTAGTTGGAGGCACCCGTTGTTTGGCGCCCGTTTGACTTTAGGCTTCGCTGCCTCCGAACCATCCAGGAGCCGAGATGAAGCACGTCATTTGCTGGGCGATGCGGTGGGACCTGGGTGAGCCTTTGAATGTTGTCGGGCATTGGTGAATCTTTGATTGTGGTATTTAACAAGATCTACTCGTAGGAAGATAATGCTGGGGGTGCGAATCGCCAGTACGAGTTCTCTCTGCCGTCACGAATTGCAGCTTCAGTGCCTAGCGAGGTTCGTGGGGGAGGTATCTGAGCTGGTGCCAGACGGACGGTAAGATCTTGCCCCAAGAGAGTCGATCAAGATGGGCGCGGGTGATCGGCAGTTGGAGGGGGAAGAGGCACCTAAGCGGTGGATCGATCATCGGACACAACAGAGGCGCACCAAAGAGGGCGAGATCGCGAGCTTCGGGCATTTTATCCAGTTTTCTCTCCCAAACCAATCCTGACCTCGACCTCCCTCTCTTGGAGCAGAACTCGAGTTCGTCCATTTGACAAATCAGCTCACTGACTGTCTCCGTGAGAAGCTGGCGCCTGGAGACCATCGACCTAAGACCGTTACCTAGGTATGCATAAGACACCCAGGGTGGTGGATGTCGAACGTCACGAACCGCTCGCCTATCGAATAGCGGAAGGATCAACGCTCCAAGCTCTCAGCTCTCCGCTCCCCAAAACTGGGGTTTCCCAACCGACCCTGTCTCATCCCACTACTTACCTACCTAGCGAGCTACCTAGGTACTTCATCCCAATCTTGGTCGAACTTTGACAGCTCTCTAGCCATACAAATTCTCTCCGACAGCTAACACAGGCAGCAGCTAGGATGCCCCAATCTGTCAACCGAAGTCTTACGTACTAGTAGCGTTCACCGCTTCACGTCACCTACCTCGTACTGAAGATGCCAAAGCTACTTCCAACAGACACTTGCCTCGCACCGGTTATTGGACTCTCCAAAAACACGGTGAGGTGGGTTCAGGGACTTGCCACTCCCAACGGGTCATTACAACTTGACCCAGAAAGGTGGTTGGCAAAACAAAGGCTCAAAAGTTCCCCGAAGTAAGGTGGATCTCATGTACCGAGTATATGGGCATTGGTTGATATCAGCTGCACGGTCATTGGTGCCATATTCTCCGCAACCAGTTGAGAAGTTTGAATGCACATGATCGACCGCCTGCTGCATAGCAGTTGCTGTAAAGTTGCCAGTGTGCCCTCTATGTCCAGGATCAACCGAGTCTCCATTCCTCTGATCCACCCTTCCCAATACGGCTGACCACATCGAGCCCATCTTGGCCTTGCCTTGGGACCCTACGATGTCTGCTCTATCATTTCTGAGTGCATTTCAGCCAACTCGGGGATGATCAAGCTCTCAATTTCCATGCCTTCTGTCACGGTACCTCCCTCCAGATCGTGGGGTTCTGGCTCGTGCTTTCGCTCCGCCTTGCCCACCAGTGCCTCCACCCCAGAAAAGCTTTTGGATCGCCTCGTCTTTGGGACCCGGATCCATCTCTCTCCACCATCGCGAGTAATGAAGACGACTTCCCATTTGCGGGTGGTGAGCAGGTTGCCGATCACGAGGTCATGCTGATAACGCTCCAAAGCTTGTTCAGCCTTTCCCACCAAAAGCTCTGGGTTTGTTTCCAACTTGAAGCTTACAATCATGCTTCCTTTAGGAGCCCAGGTATGCACCAAATTGCTGAGGAATTTGGGGACCGGGTCCAGGTTGATGACCAATTGGCGGCTGTTGCCCCCTTCACGAGACTGGATTTTATGCTCCTCCATCCGATCCCTAGGGATGAAGAAGTCAGAGACAGCGGCAGCCAAGTAGAAGAGCGCCCGGCTCCCGAGGGGACGCATGATGACAGCAAGGCTGCGAAGTTCGAACATGTAATCTGTGACAGTGGTAAAAGGCAGAAGCAACAGCAACCGATTCTGCTTGGCGAACTGATACTGCTTCAAAACTCGACGCATCTTCTCTTGATATTCTTTTCGCACAACAACTCGTTCCCCGTCTTCCGACTCCTCCATAAAATCGAGGAAACAGTTGGTACTGTGACTGTAGTGCCTGGAGTAGGGCAGGAGACTGAATTGTCGATGCAGGAAGATGACGGCATAGCCTGCCTGCAAAAAGTATTCTGCGGATGTGGCTCCTCGAGTACCGGCGGAGAAATTGTCAATGAAGCGCACCGTTTGATTCTCTAGCGGGACAGTTGTCCCCCCGGATGTGACCAACGCGATTCGGCGAGACGGCGCATTCTCTAGGTGATACTGGATGAACTCCCGGGCCAGGGTCTCGTGGTTGGCCAGAGACTTGGGAGCTGGATTGTTTTGGAAATAGACGGTCTCAGCCTCCTCGTGTGCTGTTGTTCCATTGGGTTTGTCTGGAGACATGGTGGCGATTTCTGATATGTTCACAGCTGGTGTGATGTGGTAATTTGGTCGAGCTTGACCGACCAAAGCACACCGGGCGCAGGCCGGGATAATTCTATCCCAAGCCGATCTCAAGCCACTTGAGTTCAAGGACAATACCTGCTCTGTCTGCCGGATGAGTCAAAGTCTGTAAAGAGATGAATGATTTTTGTTGACAAGACCCTAAATCTTTCCTGTGGTCCGAGGATTGTCGGTGACTTTGAGTATGAGAAGTGCAGCGCAAACTCCATCCTCAGTGCCTTTAAATCGGAGAAACAGATGTATTCACACCGTTTTCTCTCGGAACTGGTGGCATTGGTTGTTTCCACGCCGAGTTTGACGCGGGCTCCTACATGTTCCCAGAATAAGGACTCCTATAAGACCTGATGGTACCGTCAAACGTGGTTTGTTTGCAACGTCCTGAAGATGTTGTTCTCGCGGTGATTTCGTGCCGAGGTTCGGGGATTCGGCTGGCGAGAGCAATACGTCATATCGTGGCCGGCTTGCAGCCAAATCACGTGATAGATCATCTATTCACGTGACCGGATTTCTGTTCGGCTCTTCGGGGGTGCAAGGCGAACGGCAAGGCTGATTTCTCCCCAGCAACCAAACTCGCCAACTTACCCGCTTGTAATTATTATTATCTACCCTTCTGCCTCTCGTATTCGGATCTCCCTTTACACTCCACTGATACTATGCCCGACGTGGCCATTGGCTGGGGGTCTCGGCCATCTGCTGGGAATTCGCTTCGATCACTTCTACGAGCTAGGATGTTTCGGGCTCATTGTGCGGACTCCTGTCAATCGACCATGCATTCCCCCGTCAATCAGATTGCAGGCTGCGCGAGGCACCCACGAGGCGTCCTTGTTTCTGCCGAAATGAATGATTTCTCGCGCTTCAGCATTGTTTCTTTTGACATCTCCTGGCGGAAAATCTTAACAGACTCTCCAGCAAAGCTGCACACCAACCATCACTTGAACGTTTGATGGATTTTCTCCTCGCGTATTCGGCAGGAGGATATACGTGGCTAACTTGGAGTGGGCATATCTGCGGGCTGTCTTCGACTTTGCCCACCCCTTAACGTCGGGTGCTACGCGCTGTCAGATCATACGGACTTTCGTGGCGGCGAACTATGGTGAATTCGTGATTGATTTCTCCTTCTTTATGCGGCTTCATTGTTCCAGTATATAAAGGTTCACATCTCGGTCATTCACTTTTTCGACCTCAGGATTCTTTGATTTCTTTCTCCAGGTCCTCCGACATCTTTGATACCCGACAGAATCTGGAGCCATGGCCTCTTCTTCAGAGATATCGTACTGGGTGTACAAGCCAACCAAAGGTGTCTCTATTGCATTTGCTGTGCTCTTCTTCATCTCTGGCGTCCTTCACGCGTGGCAGAACAATCTCAAATACAGAGGCTCGTGGCGAATTGGCTTTCTTTTCCCATGGGCGGCAGCACTATTTGTCGCAGGCCTCGCAACTCGAGAATATGGTGCCTATCATACCGATGATCTCGGCGTATTCGTTGCCAGCACCGTTTTATTGGTGAGTCCAAGCGTCTCCGAAATTACTTTTCGAACATGTTTCCCATGTCAATCTACATTCACGTCTGCTCGACTAACAGACCTATAGTTCATCGCTCCGCCGGTCTACAACGGCGCGGACTACTTCATATTCGGCAGACTGTTGTACTATATACCTTACCTGTCTCCTCTTCATCCAGGTCGTGTCTGGACCACATTCGTCGCATTGGATCTTATCGACGGGATAATTGCAGGCAATGGGGCCTCGTACGCGGCGAATACTCATAATAGTGTGTCAAAGATCAAAATGGGCATCATTCTGGTCAAAGTGTCTCTGTTCCTCCTGCTGGGCATGTAAGTTGCTGCGACCTGGGGAGGATGTATATCCGCTTGGGCTCTTCCGCCAACTGGAAGGGACTAACATTGGTTTACAGGTTTCTCGGCTTTATATTCCTGATTGCCATCTTCCACAAACGATGCATCGCAGCTAACGTCTTCACCTACAATGTCAAAGTTGTCGTTTATTCGCTTTATGCGTCAGGCTTCCTGATCCTCATCCGCAACACCTTTCGCACTGCGTCGTTCTTCTATCCACCAAACTCGACTGCCAATGGAAAAGAGTGGATCTTTTGGGTACTAGAGGTCGTTCCAATGCTCTTCAACACCTATCTCATGAACGTCTTCCCGCCCTTAAAATATCTCCCGCACGATCACAAGATATACTTGGCCGTGGATGGCAAGACAGAAATCGAAGGGCCAGGAATGGTCGAGAAGAGACCTTTCATCCTGACTCTGATTGATCCATTCGACCTTGTTGGGCTGATTACGGGGCAGGATAACAAGAACAGGTTTTGGGAGAAAGACGGTATTGGTGGGCCAGGAGGAGTGGCAGGACGTGATATTGGAGACGACAATGAGCTAGGGCGAACCAGGAAGGGAGGCCACAGCACAGCACGAGTACAGGATAGAGAGGTTCTTTGAAGGGCTTTGCAGAGTACATGTTGGGCAGGGATAGGTGCTTGGTGGAAACGATTGGCTACTTTACATGTTGCGTTGTATAACCCACAGTGATGGTTTTGTGATAGACGCAGGGTATGAGTTTGGTCAACAACTTCTGGTGCTCGTCTTCTGCTAGATGTCACAGGCAAATACGGAGTTTGTAGGAGTCTTAGGTGGCAAGGTCCCCAGGCCTCGGAACCAGCAAGCCGGGGAACCTCATTACCAATAGGGAATAGGGGTGCCTGACTGGCCATGCCCGTTAAAGCCTTGCAGCGAATGGTATGCGCAGGTGCCAAGCTCTTTCATCATTCTCACCTCAAGTCTCCACGCCTCCCAACGCATCCTCACTAACTAGGTAGGTAACTTCGCCAACTTCGCCTGTACAGATTTGCGTCACGGATTTTCCTCACCGGCGCTGACACTCGGTGTCGTCATGGTTCACATGAACTCGGCCGCCGTGCAGAAGATGCTACAAAGCTGGCCCAGCTGATTTATGCCTCCTCTCTGCCTCGCATCGTTTCTGTTTCAAACTATTTCTCTACCAGCTTATTCGCTCTCGCCGTAACCCCGGGCAACCCTACCTCTAACAAGATGACCGACACAACACAAGATAAAACTCACCAGGTCGTGGGCGACGTGAAATCTGCTTTAAGAGGCGTCAAGGGCCTGGGAGACACTATCCGTGGTTCGGTCAATGAGTCGATCGATACGGCCTTCAATGACCCGGAAGGGGAAGTCAAAAACAAAGCGATCAAGCAAAAGGGAGAGGCAGACATAGATCAGGCTGATCGACGGTTTGGTGCGAGCTCCTGCTTGCATTCACCCTAGAGTGCATGCTGACGGGTCAATGAACAGGAGGAACAACCAATGCAGGAACAACGAACACCGCCGTTGGGGGCACGACCACTGGCGCGGGTGCCCATCCTGGAGGCGTCGGCAACACGAGAAGCACCGCACCTCAAAGTGGCATTGGTGGCACAACCACCGGCGCAGGTGCCCATTCTGGAGGCGTCGGCAACATGAGCAGCAACGTCCCTCAAAGCGGTCTTGGTGGTGAACCTACGACTACCAGGGAGAGATTTTGAGAACATGGATGATGGCGAGATGACTTGAGCCACCGGTTGATTTGACAAGCAGATGAGCAAGCTTCCAAGTCCACATGGAAGCTTGGTCTGGTGAGCTTGGGATTTCGAAGGACGTTGGATTCTTCCCTGGCCAGAAATAGTACAATCAAAGTGCTCAAAGGACACGGAACCCTCTACAGACCACTGCGACACGAGACTTGGCGATATCAGTTTACCTATCAGTGCATCTTGCGTTCTTTAGTACTTCACCTTCACCTGTGATTCACTTCTAGCGTTGTTGTTCTTTTCGTCTTCAGGAGCGACGCGCTTTCAGTCTCTCTTTCATCACCTCGCGCCTGAGAACGAGACAGCTCCCAATCGCGGCCTGTTCAACTAATCTCCACGTTCTGGCCAGTTAGCCTCCTCAATTTCTGTCCATCGCGGGTTTTGTAAGGTACCTTTTCGTATTCCTCAACCTGAATGAAGGCAGTTTTTCTTACGTGTAACTGCAGTGGCCGACTGATCGTGTCTGTTCGCTCTTGCCTCCAGTTCACCGTGCAGAAAGCCAGCATGGCCCCTTCCTTTGAAGAAGACGAATTTGGCTTTCCACTTCATGGGTCACAATCACGACCTATGTCGATCTCCACTTCATCAGAAAGTGAAGACAACAGCCAGCCAGGCTCATCTCTCTCGACGTTGCAACGCCTCCCCAATCCCTTCTCGGCGGCTGCTTCGGCCTTTGGAGTAAGCTGTCGTACGCTCCATATAACTTAGACAGATGCTGATCTAATCCAGGCCATGTTCCAGCCCTCTGATAAGACCTCTCCGTCCATGGACCAACGCTGCCTCTATGACGTCCCTCCGTTTGCAGGCAACGCCGTGGTGTTACATGATGGTGTGGCTCAACATGAGTCTGCGCCATTGGACACCATGGCGGATGAGCAGGGAGCAGAAAGAAACCGTGGATACTTTCAGCTGATGCAAGGCCTTCCGCAGAGTGGCGCCGACGGGTCCTCTGCTGCTAAGGCTGAAGAAACCAAGACAAACCCGCTGTTCTCCAATCATGTTCAGAAGGCTCTGAGGAGTGGTATCATGGGAGCTGTTGCACCCAGCAACAACCCGTACCCCCAATATGGACTGCTGGGTATGCGTGAACAGACATACAACTCCTCTTTGCCAGACGCAACCAGGACTTTGTCACCTGAGGACAATCTTGTCTTTGCCAACATGAATGCACCTTGGTCTGCCTTCATATGCGGCTCACAAGGTGCTGGGAAGAGTCACTCGCTCTCTTGCCTCCTAGAGAACTCACTCCTGGCTTCATCTCCAGCAGGAGAGAATCCAAAACCTCTTGCTGGCCTTGTTTTTCACTATGACAAGTTCACAAGCAGTGAGAGCACACAATTGTGTGAGGCGGCATATTTGTGCTCATCGGGAATTCCTGTGCGAGTTCTTGTCTCTCCGAGCAACATTCATGCAATGCATAGGCTCTACAGAAATCTCCCTGGTCTCCCTCGAGACGCTCCGCGTCCAGAGGTCATCCCACTCTACTTCCAAGAGAGCCAACTCAATGTCACGCGCTTGATGACGTTGATGGCAGTTGACGAGACGGGAAAGGTGCCACTGTACATGGAAGTCCTTTTCAAGGTGCTCCGTGATATGACCACAGAAAAGAAGGGCGCAGGAGGCTTGGATTACCTTGATTTCAAGGATCGATTGTCAGGAAAAGGCTTCAGTCCCAGGCAAAACGGACCTCTCAGACTGCGGCTGGAATTGCTCGAGTCTTTTCTTGCGCACAAAGTCCAGCCTGCGGAGTCTGAAGCCCGCCTGAGGGACATGTTCAAGTCTGCTCAAGGGACACTCACCATCGTTGATTTGAGTTGCCCTTTTGTCAACGAGAACGACGCATGTGCACTTTTCACAATTTGTCTTTCAATTTTCATGGAGAACCGCGCCGACTGTGGTCGCGTCATTGCTCTTGATGAAGCTCACAAGGTGGGTCATGACTCCTCTGTCTCACGTCTACTAACTCTCTTTGCCCGTTACAGTTCCTCACAAAATCGGGAGAGGCGGAGAAGCTCACGGACGAATTGACCTCCATTGTCCGTCAACAACGCCACCTCGCCTCGCGCATTATTATTTCGACGCAGGAACCGACACTCGCGCCACGGCTCATTGATCTGTGCAATGTCTGCATCGTTCATCGATTTAGTTCACCTGCGTGGTTCGAAATACTCCGAGACCACCTTGCTGGTGCCAGCCGCCACAAGGATTACAACAACGCAATGTTATTCGAGATGATAGTTGGCTTACAGACTGGGGAAGCGCTAATTTTCTGTCCTGCGGCTTTGTTTGATGTCTACAATGGCAATGTGCACACATTGAAAGACGCTTTCATCAGAGTCCGCATCAGAAATCGCCTGACCGCTGATGGTGGAAAGAGTATCCTTGCTTCTGACGAGATGAGAATTGACAGAGGCGGGGAGATCCTGACTGAGGAGCTTGTTCGACCATTCTCGGCGCCGATGGTGGTTTCGGGAAAACACCCAGGCAAGCAGCCAGGTAAAGCAGAACTTCGCGCAGTCAAGGCAGGACGCGTTACGAAGAGCCAACCCGTCGTGTCTCAGTCTAACAACTTGAGAAAAGGTTTGACATTTGCCCAAGCACAAGGCTGGGAGCAAGAGGGAATCCCAGTTTTCACAGCACATTCAGCGCATAGCTCAGCGAAAGGACCAACTCACGATTCAGCACTAGGTTTTGTCCAAAGCTCTACGGCGAGTTCAGCGCAAGGTCCAGTGTATGTTGCAAACACCGCTGCTGATCCCGATGACGTTTTCGCTAGTTCTCCTTCTTTTGTTCCATTGGAGACAACCTTTCAGTCCAGTACGCAACCCACTCGAGATGCCATCAGATCTCACTTATGCAACACCGTTTCTAGATCTCTACGGAGGAATTCCAAGCAAATTGGATTCGCAGAGGTGCGTCGTGAAGCAGCACGATGCGCAGGCTTGCCTGAAGGATTCCTCGCCGAGACTCAATGGAAAAATTGGTCCAGAAGAGTAATCCATGAGCTGGTGGTAGGCGCAGACTTGCACCCTTCGAAGATGACTTCCGGTTACTGACTTGAGCTGGTTAGGCGGAGTATGTCGATACTCATGGGATACACCTCCCAATATGCCACTAGACTCTTTATCAAGTGCTCTCAAGTCCAGATCCTTGGATTTGCAGGTCAAGAAAACGAATATTGTGGCCCGGCCAGTCTTCAGTCTCAGCGCGGGCGAAGCAATGAATGCTCTCCGAAAAGTATTGTGCACGAATAAGCACGAAATGGTCTATTGCAGGAGAAAGAAGCAGGGACAGGGTTCTGGTGCTGGGGAGCAGGCGGGTTCAAGGAGGAACAGTGCTTCATGTTGGGTTTTATTCTATTACCCCTCCAGAGATGGACAGGTCTGTTTATGAATCGAATATCCACCGCGGCACCGCCGCAATCTTGCTCTTGTGGGTAAACTTCACAGATGCCCATCCCGGGTACACGAAGTACGTTGTACACAGTATTTACGTGCTTAGCTCATCGATAGAAATCACAGAACCCATGAAGTTACAAGCTTAATCGATGGAAATTGCAGAAATCCATGGTTGTTATAAGCTTGGGATGAAGAGGATGGAGAATGGAGTCTGTGAATTTTACGTTATGGCCACGTCGGGGGACTGAGGAGGTAAGGCTGCAATAGTTCAGGAGAAAAACCAACGACGAGGAATCGCGGTCACCGTCTCAGGATCGATCCAGCGTGCTACGTCCTGGACTCGATTCCATGCGATTATTTACGATTGATTCGATTGACTGCCCGTACTCATTGTGTCATCCCCCGAATATGCCATGGGTATCCTAACCCCTAACTAACGCCCGACAAAACGAAAATCAGCAGCGACAAATCTAAGAACAATCCCAAATGACCCGGCGTCTAGCTCTAGCCCTGTCCCGCCCTTGCCAGCCCTGCTATGCGTTTCAACGGCGCGATCTCTTTCTTTTTCTCGGGGCCTGTTTTCTCGGGGGAGGGGGGTTGAAAAAAAAAAAAGGGAAGAAAAGGCTTGTCCAGCGCCATGAAGATGTTGAGTTCTTCTCGCAGGGATTGATCGCTTCATGCGATACTCCCTACCTACTTATATACCAAGTGCTCTTTTGCTGCGCACCTAACATGCTGGAAATATAGGCGCAGAACATGGTGAAAGAGTACAGTGCTGCTCCATTATATATAATATATATGCACGCCTCTCACAAAATACATGATATTTTCGGTCGAAAACCGCACTCTTTTCATATGGTATCCAAAATTGATGCAAAGCTCCACTCCTGTACAATGCAAGTCATTGAAAGATTATGATGCGCACAACAACGGTCATTCATAGGGGGGTTGTTTCTTTTATTATGATGATGATTTGGGGTGCAATTTGCCCTTCTTCTTGAGCTTGGTGTACACAATGCCGTTGCCATGAGCATATTCCGTGGGCACAGTTGGCCAATCGTCGACACCATCCAGCATGGCCACTGCCATGCCGCCAGCTACGTGGGTTTGGACGTGACAATGGAAAAGAAATGCGCCGGGGTTTGTGACTTGATAACGCAGCACCATCCAGGTGCTGTTGACTTCGTTGGGAGTGGTAGTGTACTAAGGCACAGACGTTAGCTGGAGCTCGAAACAGTTACATGGAAATTCAGAATAGAACTCACCCCATCTCGAAGAGGTGGGTTGACAAAGTTGAATGTGCCAGCTGGCAGGGCGGCGGCAGCTTCAGACACAGTATCCCAGGTCCAATTGCCGATTCCTTTGCCGAGAACGTAGGCTTTGTTAGAGTGTTTATGCATGGGATGAGGCTGGGCAAGTGGACCCTGAGTCTTGATAACCAAGTCGACCCATTGACCGCTGGCTGTCTTAAGGATGAGATCGCTGGTCTCAACATTGGATGGATCTTCAAAGAGAAGGGGAGTCTGGTCTTCCAGCTCTGGAGCAAAGGCGTTGACACCACTGAGAGTCCACTGATAGGCGCCGGCCGGTTGCCCAAGCTTCTTGATGTTCATCTGGTACGTCGCGTCCGCGTCCGAAGCAGGTGGCGAAGGGGGATAAGGGGACGCCAGGTTGTCGTTGAAGGTCACTAGGTTGGTCAAGTTGACACCGGCAAAGTTCATGCCGGCAAGAGCATTGGGGTCTTCGGACGCGGGTCCATATGAGCCTTTGTAGTTCAGAACAGCGAAGCCACTGATGACTTGGTTGAGACCGTTGTTGGCCACTCGGATGGCGTACTGCGCAGGGTTTTGGTTGAGCTCGATCAAAACAGAGTGTCGGTCTCCATTATTGACCACGACTTGGTCCACGAGAGTTGGAGTCACGTAACCGCCATCCACGGCGTACACCCACATCTTGTGTCCGTCGATAGTAAACTTAAGCAGCTCGTAACCACCCGGATTAATAAAGGTCAAGGCTGCAAAGCCTTTGGCAGGATCGACGTCAATTGTGGCCATGGGTCCAGTTGATGGATTACATGTGAAATAAGCATCATCAGGAAGAGTCTCGATATTGAAGGTGAAGTTGCCCTGGGTTTGTGGGAGATTGGGAGGTAGGCAACCCTTGTCGGTGATTTGAGAAGGGCTGACTGAAGCCAGGAGAGCCGCAACCTTGGGATTGGTGTACGCAGTCAACTCATCCCGGCTCAAGCAGTACTGTGAACCCATACCGTTGATGATGATCGCGTCGGAGCAAGCAAAGTCAATGTTGGCATTCACTTCCTGCTCGTGAAGTTCCTGGGAGGTGTATTTGTTATAATCGGAGATAAAGATCGGTTGCAGTTCGTCGTCAGCCGCCGACATTGCTTTGATAATGCTGGGGTCGCTGTTGATCAGAGAGAACGGCTTGTCATCTTCAGACGCGGCAGAAACGATGATGGCGCCATACAGCCCATCCATCATTTGCGAGCGAGAGTGAGAGTGATAGAAGTACACTCCTGATGCATCGGCGGTCCATTTGTACAGGAAGGACGAGCCGGGTGCGATTGCAAGCTGTGAAAGACCTGGGACACCATCTGACCATGGAGTGCCTTGCTGAACAATGCCATGGAAATGAATCGTAGTTGGGTCGGGTAGTTCGTTGTGAACCAGGAATTCCACCGATTGGCCGACCTTCATCTTCAATGGGGGTCCTGGGAAGGTGCCATTTGTAAGGACCATCTTTTTGGGCGTCCCTCCAATTGGTGAATAATCTTCCCATGTGAGGGTGACTTCAAAGTAGACGGTATCGGCCCGTTCATAAAGTGACCTCGATCTGGAAGGAAGAGCGGTGCTGAGAAAAGCGAATGACAGGAAAGAGAGCACGGCGATGAACCTTGGAAAAGCCATTGGGCCGAAAAATGCACTGCAAGCAAAGGAAACAATTGAACAGACAACGAGAGTAATTCCCCGGTAGAGGAACGCACTTTAGAATGGGGTGGACGACAAGAATGCAATGGCAAGTATTTGGGCCCAAGGGCGAGGTTGGGGAGAGTATAATATAAAGTATGGGTCGATTGAGTTCACCATCCTAGCCCAGTCCGTGGATGGCCACAGCTGTCCAGATGATTTGAAGGGCTCGTGATAGGAAGCCACGGACTGACGATACCACGAAGGGCTGGAACCACCGACCAGCCTCGATGTTTAAGGCGGTTGTCTCGACATTCTTTAGCGTCTTAGCAGTGGCATTGATTCTGGGGCTGACAACCTGGAAGGGTACACAGGATGCGAGTACCTGCAGGGCGTTGACACCCCACCTGAGCCCGCCTTACCAGTTTTTCGCGGTCGCGTGGCGTGCTAGATTGTCAATTGGAACGGGGGCGCCAGATCTACACAAGCGGCGAAGGATACGCCTCTCCAGCCATATGAGGCTGATGAATGTTGATTTGGGCGTGAGTATGGTGGCCTGGAGCTGTTAGCACTGTGACTCGAGCCTGAGGCTCGGCGTAGTATCTTCCGTGAGTTTGAGGGCTGGGACGAGTCATTATGGATGACAGAGTGAATCTCTGTTCGATGAGAAGGAGCAATTTGTCAATGCGCGACAGCTGACTTGCGATGCAGCAACAGTAGCAGCCAAGAGGACAGCTGGAGGTTGGCAGGTTGGATGGGAGAGCGCAGGGCCGGAGGGTGGAGGCCAGTGAGGCTGAGGGTTCTTCTCCAAGCACCGCTAGCCATCGAACGAACCAAAAGCCGAGGTGAACGCCATGATGACTGGCCAGCCCATCTCACGCAGGCCCTTGCCAAGATTCGCCCGCCAGTCTTGGAATCCGGGCCATCATGTCCGTGGCGATGGCTGGGACTCATGTCACCATACTCAGATTCAGAGTTTTGTCCTCATTTCACGAGGAGACAACATCGGCCGGGGTGAGCCTTGGCTCCTCTAAGGGGAATTGGGCGGAGCGGCAGCCTCTCGAGACAGCGGGAGTTCAGCCACACATGGAGGGCGAGGGCCAGCTGACACTGTCCCTCCTCTTGCCGCGGCCTTTGTACTCGGTATGGCTGTCTCACACCTGATCTTGCTCCTGAGTGGTATGTTGGTAGATTGGGCTTGGGTCTCGGCAGCAGAGAAGCTCAAGGTCGGCGGGACCCAGATCTGACTGGGTTGAGGCGTCCTTGGAATTCAGGATGAGAGACAGTCGAGATCTGATGGCACGAGTCCGAGTCCGCGTGGCGAGACTGATTGGGGAGCTCTGGATTCAAGCGGCGTTTCGGTTGCTGATTCCTCTCATAGATGGAAACGTAACAACATGCCCCAAGGACAAAAGGTAACGTGGGTGGAATGATACGAGGCATTGAGCGCAGAGAGGAAGGGAGGGTGGAATGAGGGTGGAGTTTCTGCTTGTCTCCTTTTGCCAAGCCCTTGGCTTGAGGTTTGACTTTGCTATTCGCGTCTCTGAATAGCAGCAGGCAAATCCTCTCGGCGCCCTCCCAATGGCAGCTTCCGTACCTCGCACCCTTCTCGCCAAACAATTCCTACTCGAATGCAGGTACATACGAGGGCACAGCCGGCGACGCTGCTAATTTCGTCTCTCCGCCGAGCTAGTCATCACTCCGGAACAAAGTCTCAAGCCTATCGATGGAACCCACATCTGGATCTTCGATGATCTACTCCGCGTAATGCCTTCGAGGTAAAATATGTGGAATGTCGGTCCACAGTGCATCTTTTCCTTGATTCAATTGATCTCTCTGCTTTGGACTGTTTCACCCCACTGTCACCGAATTGACGGAGTCCAGTCTCGTGGGAAACGGCAGAGTGAGCAGTGCCGCAGAAACTATGGCCAGCAGCGAAGGGCCGTCTGACGTTTGTCTCCTTGGCGAAGCTCTCCTTATGTGAAGTTTCGGACAGTCACGGTCGAATCGATTGCTGATGCCAAGCTCGAGAGAGCTTCCAAGTCTTCCTTCGGTGACATTGGACTCGGCGAGAGGCAACATGCCTCTGCCTCCCAATAACCCAAAGTCCAGACCCAGACAAGCTTCTCGGAGGCACTAAGAGGCTCTAGACATTCATTAATAGCATCAGGAGCCGAGCTGAGGATGGATTTGCAGCAGCTGCTTAACCATATTGTCAAGGCCCTTGGGCCAGGCTCCCCAGAAACCGTCTTGATGTCACAAGTCACGATGCGTATCGATTGTCATTGATAGCCGACAATGTGGCTGACAGGGACTGCCAGCCTCAGCCGAGGTGGAAGCATTGGTAGCTGCTTCTCGCCAACATCCTCCATGCCATCCTGCATCATCACTGCGGCAGGATGTGGGATTTATGTCCCTGTGCAGCTTTGACGACAATCCTGTGGCTTCATCCTTTTCCGCCGAACTAGTCCAATATCCCTCAGACCCTCTTGCATTTTCCTGCTTCAGATCTCGAGCTGCACAAGAAGCAGATAGAGCTTGCTATTTCTAATGCTCAGCGACAATCTCGGCAGATATGGCAGTCTCGGAGGCCAGAAACCAGGTTCTTTCGATTCTGCCCACGGACAAGCTCAAGCAACAACCACAATCCCAATATGGAGGGGAAACAGAGTGATAACCGACTTTTGTCCCTTAGGAAACGTGAAAGCTCACCCACGTTTAAAATGATCTCGTCGCCTTGTCCATGCACTTGAAAAGAATCCCTGCAATCCGCTAACTCGTCCAATTCCCCTATACCTTCGCCACGCGCAGTCAAATTTGATCCCCTACTGCCAAAGTCACTTGAGTTCCACCTTATCATTGTCGCCCACGACAATTTCAACCGACCGGCCACCTTGGTCGAGACTCCTGCGGCCAGCTTCCAAAATGGCCGTAGTGAGGATCGTGTTCCGCAGCGTGGGCAAGCCTCTCTTGTCCAGCTGGTCGACCGTGAGCCTGCCCTCATTGACGGCGGTGACGCCGTCGATGAATTTCTCGAAGCTCACGTACCCGTAGCCGCTTTGTCCGTTGAAGTTGCCTTCCTCATCGGGCGCATACCGCATGTAGAAAGGGTTGTACCACTTCAAGGAACTGCCAGATCGATCGGTCTCGTCGACCACGTCATACCCGCGCTTCGCCTGGTTGACGTTGATCTCGCCCTTGGAGGCGATGTAATGGAAGTGCTGCTGCGAGTGGACGCCGGCGTTCATGGGCGCGGTCCAGCTCGCCGTGTAGATGCCCGTGGCGCGCTTATTGTCATCGCCGGGCTGGGTCCAGTCGACCAGCAAGGTGATGGTGTCCTCGGTGCCCTTGGCGCAGCCGACACTCTCCGCGATACCGAGACTTGCGCTGGCGCGCACGGTCGAGGGTCGCCAGCCGGCGTCGCGGACCATCCACTCGCAGATGTCGACGTGGTGCGAGTTGAGGTAGTACGAGATGTCCGAGTCCTTGCCGGCCCAGGCCTTGAACGTCTCGAGCTGCGACTTGGGCTGCGACATGTAGCTGTAGAAGTAGTTGAAGTCGCCCAGGGCTTTTGAGCGAAACTTGGCGTCCGCGTACGCCGGATCGAAGCGCTTGTGATGCTCGACGTACACGAGCACCTTGTGCCGCTCGGCCAGCGCCAGCAGGTCCAGGTGGTGCGACAGCAGCTTGGTCGCGGGCTTGGTCACCAGCACGTGGTGGTTGCGCTCGATCGCGTACTTTGCAATCTCGTAGTGCGTCGAGTCCGGCGTGAAGATGGTCACCGCCGACCCCTGGGGCAGGGCGTCGATGGCGGTCTTGAAGGCATTAGGGTCCGACTGGTCATCCGCTGGGAAGGACTGGAAAGACACGTCAAGCCCGTTGTACGCCTGAGAGATGTTCTTCTGCAGATGCTCGCGGATTGCCGGGAACTTCTTGCCTGAGACGCCGACCATGGAGAGGTCCGAGACTTTGCCACGCCTCCGGAGGTCGAACACTATATATGCTCATGATTAGACATCAAGTATTACAACGAGTAATCCTTCCTATCTGGCCCTCTCTACCCCTCTCCATAGCTCAGGCACCCACACATGACATACTGAACACACACACAGGAACGAAGGAAGAAACTTACGCGTCAATCCCACAACGCCCACTTTCTTGTCCGACGTGGACGCCGCCCCCGCGACGAAGCCGGTCGTGTACTCGCCGGTGCCGACCATCAACACCGCCGGCGGCGCCATCATGATTTGTTGATTTGATTTGGTTTGAAATGTACCTGCACTGTTGAGACCGCTGGACGAGGGGGCCGAAATGTCCAACATACACCGAGTATAGATATATTTAATATAGGGCCACCAGTCCTGGATACTGTGGTCGGATTTCTTGGGGGCCTGCAAAGTGAGATACACTTGGATGCTACTCCCTCACTCGTCGATTGTCGCGGAATTCTTTGAAGTCACACGGGCGTGATGATGATAATAACAAAGATAATGATAGTAACAGCGCAAAGAACGACCAAAACCCTCCCTGGAAATAAACCTGGCAGCAAGCACAGTCAGTGGATCTCGAGGAAAGAAATCCGTGAAAACCGTCCTGGTGTAACTCCAATTGCAACGGGTTTTGCCAAACCGGCTAATTAGATTTTCGGTTTCTCATTTATCCCCCCAATTCATTCAGTCATTCGTTCATTCATCGACTCCAGCTCAGCGCGTGGAGAGGCACACAGAGGGAAAGGGACAGGGACATAGGCCGAGAGAGAGGGACAGTGGGAGAGAGGGGGGCGCGGGGAGCGCATCTTCATTGATTCGCCCATTCAATTGCCGCTCTGGAAGCGGCTTTTGGGAGGGGTGTTTCTCGACCCGCGACACGAAACGGCAAATGATCACCCTCCGGGAATTGCGCCGATGGAAAGAAAAGAAAAAGGAGGGAAGACAAGAGGTTTTTTGATTCTATAGATTTACATTCTCAGCCCATGGCGAGAAGAATCTGGATCCCGAAAAGACAGCCGAAGGAACAGGGTACTAGGTCTGTTTGGATTCAGAGGCAGCGCAGCGGCTGCAGAAAGGGAAAAGAGTGATCTTAGCGAGCTCTCGCTTGTTTGCCATACGGGAAGTGAATAATACCCAGGTACATACCCAGGCAGTCTGTACATATCTTGCGCCCGCCCTTTGCGGTGTTCAGGTTTCTAACGGACCTACCCTCTTTCTTACACCATGCACGCCCGTCTTCAGTCCCCAGTCGGGGTAACACGGAAGAGCCTTCCACCGCACGTTGATGACACGATCATGTACTCCGTACGTACCTGCATGACGTTGAATCAGGTGAGACCAAGCCACTTACCGCGGGTAGGCAATGAGGTGATGCGCATGTCGAAACCTCGCACGGGAGCGAGCACGGAAGGCGGAGAATTCCAGACTGCATCACAGCATCTGTATGCCTCTTCCACTCTAGAGAGTTACTCAGCTGTGTGACTCAGCTCGCGGGCCACCCGATTTCGGATTAAGCCCCAGGAGTTTGGAGCTTGCTGGTGCTCAGGGAACACCTTTAGGTAAACATCATACCACTTACAGATATAGCTCAACCAGCGACTTTTATCTCGTCCTTGTCCGATGCATTGTATATAAATCAACGCGCCGCTGGCCACTGCCCCAGCTGGTGCTTTGGTCTTCTCCGACATCGCAATCATGACAGACACATACGACACATACGACCCTGAAAAGATTCGACTCTCCGACGAACCTGTTCAGGTCCGGATCGCCTTGCGCCCCATTGCACCTCCTGCAGCTCTGGGACTTGCAGGTTTCGCCGGCTCGACGCTCATTGTCAGCACATGGATTTGTCGGTGGTGGGGCGGGCCCGACAGCCCTGTGCTATTCTTCCCGTTCATTGGGCTCTGGGGAGGACTCGCGCAGTTCATAGCTGGCATCTACGGCTTCGCTGCCAGAGACGTCTTGGTGACGATTGTCAACACCATGTGGGGGTGCTTTTGGATGTCGCAGGGAATTTTGTTCGGGTTGGTGTACGTCGACAGAGCGAGCCCGATTTGACGGGATCTTGAAACCCGCAATCTTTCTAACACAAAAGCAGCGGCGTGGGAGCAATTGAAGGCCACAGCGTATACACTCACTATCCCGAATTCGCAGCCTGGTTCATTCCTCTTACTATGACCACCTGGGTTTGCGCGCTGGCAGCCACGGCTCGAGATCTCATCCTCTCTTTGACCCTGTTCACGCTGTCCATTGGCTGCACCATTGCGCTTACATTGTTTGCCTATGACCCCGACACCACTCGCGCTGGTATCAAGGCAGCTGCATACTTTTGGATGGCGTCGGCAATGCTGGCATGGTGGCGATCTTCAGTGTTTGTGATAGAGTGAGTCTCAACGACCCGACAACCGTGCAGAGCATGGGTGCTAATAATAGGAAAAGGGAGGCCTATGGCAAAACCAATCTAGTCAAAGTTTTCAGGATCGGAAGAACCGCCGCTGAAAAATCCTCGCTGCCCATCGTGGCAGGTCTTGGAGAGCCTGGTGTCAAGCCAGGGCTGCCGAGGATCAAGAAACAGTGAAATGGAGACGTTCTGGAAATATAGACCGTCGAGGGATTTTCTTTTTCAGCAACGTTCCTTCTCTCTTACTCATTCCCAGCTGCTATGGTGCGTGTCTTCACCCACTAGGACGTGGTAGATATGTTATAATGGTTCTTCACTAGGGGGTAAACTCCTCAGAGTTAAATCTGAGCGCCGAGTTGGCAAGGCAGACTTACCATACCTTATCAAACTCCCCCTACTTCACACCGTTCATCGAGCAATGCCCCCTAACGCTCACCAGCACTCTAACCGACTTCGCTCAAACGGGCCCCGTTTTACAGTATGTGACGAGGGGAAGCACAACTTCCAGGCTCCAAGAAGAATCAAGTCGGATTCTGAAACATATGGGTGCCAACTCAGCCTCAAGGAAATATCTCGTGCCCCGCAAAGCCATCACTTCAAAATTGAGAAGCCCTCTCAAGGTATGCCTTGTACTCCTCTCTTCCAGTGTCACCGGCTAGCACCCATTACTGTAGTAATTAGGGATTGGGACAGCGGTGTCATGGCAGACAGAGAAGGAAAACCTCCGCAAACTCGCGTCTCAACCAAAATTCTTCCGGAACCCGCCATCCAGCAAAAGCCTCTAAGCGGGACTGTCTTCATCAGACTGGACACGTCCCCAAACGCCGGCCAACGTCACCGAAGACTGTAAAGTCCTCAATCGGCTCTGTCGTGACAGATCTTGCTGGCGACGTCGTATTACTCGCACTGTCAGTTGCCTTCTTAGCTTTTGTTCTGGTAGTGAAGCATTACCACCAAGCTCCAACCGCACTCCACAAGCACAAAGCAAACACACTGATAGCCTCGCTATCGGATCCTTTGGTGCGGTTGGAGTTCCAAGGATTGCGAGATTTGGAAACGCCGTCTGTACCAGTAGTTGCTTCCTGGTATTATTGTCGCATGATAGACAAAAAGGTACCTCGTACCAGAATCTACCATTCCAGGGTAAGCCATAGGCAGCATAGCCTACACGTACCCCAGAGCAAAATGACCTGCAGATACTATGTACGCAGCACATACCGCCATTTCAGCCCATTGACGGAGAGTATCCGGGCCCAGCCGCACCCGTACCGTTTTGCGACACAATTCTGTTCTCGACTTAGTGCATATTCCCCAGAATCCCATCATTTTTAATGAGCCTTTGGCCCCCGCGTCATGTGTGTGTGGCTAGGGGAGGGAGCAGTGCATTAGCGTCGAACTCGTCTTGATCAGCAATGAATTCGACCAGACATGCCAATGTCGATGTGGCCTCCCAGTGACCCTTGCGACTATAGATACATTTCGTATTAGCCTTTATTACGAGCAGCGAAGGGGGAAAACCTGTCAATCAAGGAAGGGTTTAATTAGATCTCACCAAAGCATCCTCCCGGTCTCGGAAGAGAGGTTGAAGCCGAACGTCCCGAGGGTCTGCTTGCGAAGTCCCCGAGTGTTATCATCGTTGTCACTATTGACCTTCTTGGTGTCCGTCGCCATCGCTTCGGCAGATTCTTCCGGATCGCGGGACGACGCCTCACCGCCGCGGTTCTGTCTTCGGGCGATATTCGCGAGAATGTCGCGCTGGAACCGGGCCGAGTACAGGTAAGCAGACATGGCCTGGTGGAGCTCGTTGTAGGTTGTCAGACCAGAATCCTTCGCTGCGTCCACTGCGGCATTAAGGAACCAATCCTCCAGTTCACAATCCTCAGAGGCGACGAGCATGCATGTGACAAGAACCCACAGCTTAACTTGGTTATGGGCGCGGCTGCCCCAGGAACCACCATGGCTCTCCAGCATCTTGCGCACTCTCAATGCGTTGATTCGACCAGACCGCCAGCTCATCTGGGTGGAGACCAAGCTGATGACAGTAATGAGAGAGAGTCTAACGCATTCCTCCCACGCCCTCCAAGACGGGGTCGGCTTCTCACGGTCAACATCGGCAATGGTGATTGAGAGTAAATCATGCAACATTGCTTGCCCCTTGCTACAGACCCACTCTGAATCTTCCAGAGTCAAGGTCCGGGTTTGCAGAGCATGTCGGCCAACATCGATCCACGGTATCAGATTGCAGAGGACTAGGTTCATCTCGAACGTGAAGATATCGTTCTGTCTGGGGTCTAGGAATCCACGTCCTAAGCGGCATTGGGGGCCGTTGGCACTCAATGACCGAGAAATCTGCTTGTGTCTTTGTAAACCCAACCCAGATGCATCCCAGTCGCGTACCAACAGTGGTTTTCGCCCCGTCTCCGCGGCCAGAAAAATATCGTTGTACACGATGGTTTCTTTGACGAAGGCGTCGAACGGCAGCCTTGGATCTAGCGAGTTGATGAAATTCCCTGCTGCGCGTAGATGCGTAAGAGCAGAATCATAATCCTCGAGGTACCATTCACACACGCCGAGATAGAAGATGTCGAGGATGAATTGCTTGTCCACGACCAAGGCGGGGATTCGTTGCAGGTAGCGACGAATGTGAGGTATGGCCCTCGACATTAGGTTCCGCGCAGTATGACGGTTACTGATACTCTTCTTGGAAACCTGTTCCATGCGAGCAGCGGTTGCGGTCAGAAGTGAGAGCATATGCATTTTGTTAGAGAGACAGCCTTGGACCACCTTCTTGATAGCTGGGACGCGCTCTAGGTGTCTCCTATAGGACTCGTCCGTTCCAGTCCTCTCCGTGGCCCGTGGTATCGAGAATGAGATGAAATATTGTAAGATGGCCTGTATCTCTGCGTTCAACCTGACGGAAGTTGCGTTGAATGGATCGACAGCATCGCCAGGCCGAAAGTTGGCCCGGGGGACTTGTACAGGTGTCGAACTGGAGCGTCGAGGCTCTGACGCGACATTTTGGTGGGCATCAGCCCTGGCTGGACTTCCTTCTCTGCTGATTTGATGCGTTGTCTGAGGCAAGACACTGTCGAAACTGATCATAGTCCCGATGGGGCGCGGGTTGGAAAAATCGTTCAGCCCTTCTTGTTGCGATCTCTGCAGACGGTTGAGTCTCCTCCATCGTTGCACGTGTCTCCCAATGGCAGAAGATCTGTCTTCCTTGCTGTTAGACAGGCTTGCGTCCTCCCCCGATTTGTTGACGAACAAGAATGTGTTTGATTGTCCACTTTCAGTCATTTCCTCCTTCTCAGCGACGGTATTTCCCTCCTGAGATACCGAGTTTTGCTACCGGAACTGTCGGACCGTACGCACCACGTTGATGCCATGCTACTGGAACTGGTTCGAAGTAGGTATTTGCGCCCTTGGAGGTCCTGGGACTCGTAGAGCGGACTTCTGACATATATCTCCAGGATTGGCGGTCCGCATCATCACATCATGGTGCTAGCGCAGTCAAAAGACAAAGTACCATTGCCTTGGACCTCCAAATGCCGCAGGGCTGCCTGCTGAAAACATTGATCGACGCAAATGCCAACTTCCAGAGCTAGAATATTTCGCATGGTCAAACCAAGCTGCTGGGCAGGCATGGCCGGGACTGGTTGGTCCTCTAATCTCGCTAATACGGATCTGCAAAATGACGTCCATCGACCTGAGGGGGAGATGCTCAAGGCCACCGGCACCCAACCAGGACATGGTCGTGCAACTCCCAGATATTCAACCGTCCCAAGCTTATCAGCGACATTGGCTTCCGATGGATGCAAAGATGGGAACGCTCTGCGGGCCGAAGTAACATTTCCGTTTTGGGACACAAGCATTAGGGGAAGGTAAGAAGCGCCCAATGTGGTCAAAAGCCCATAGAAAGCCCCAGGGATAATGAATGATTTTCAGGGACCCCGAACCATTGCCTCTCGTATTTCGCAAGTCCTTCGCCATTTCTCAGAGCTGTTTAGCTTCTTCGTTGAGGGGCTTCTTGGCCGAGGCGGGCCGGCGAGGGCAGCAGGCTGGGTTTGGCCCCTGGACCCGTTACCCTTGGCCTGTATAAGTAGTTGAGAGCACCTATGGTGGCTTGTTCCCAGGAGAGTGGCCCTCTTTGTGGAGGATGTCCACAGTCAGCAACCGCCATTACGAAAGCAGCTTGCTCAAGTGGCGGCTGGGTGGCGGCCACTTACTCGGTACCTCGTACTCCGTACAGGATATCGGTTCGAAAGCCGCCCACGCCATATCCGTTCAATGCTCATGGGATCATTAGCCTGCCTCGATTGACCTTTGCAAGGTTTCTGTCAGTCAAGGGCGTATCCTGCGCAGTCTACCGAGTACCTCGTAGTAAGCTAGGCTTATCTCAAAATATGCTTAAATCTCACAAAGCTTCTTGAGTCAGGGTCACGCTTCGACCCAGGGTGGATCAATGGTGACACTGGCACACTGATAAAGTCCGATATGCTTGTCAATTGTGCATAGCATACACCGTGGGGGTCTGCGGGCCAGTGTCACAAAGGGATAAAGCAAGGGCCGTGTCGCCTCGCGGCGGGCGGTATTTATTTCAGGAATGTTCATGTCTATTCTTTGTCAACTAGTATTTGACAGACCGCATTTAGTGGTTAAACCTTTCAATGCCGTTGATATTGGCTAGGTATGCCGCTAGGGCTCTCCAGCCTTGCATTTGCCATTCAACTTGCATCCTCGTAGTCTTTACTCCCGAAGCTGTCATAGCATGTCCAGCTAGCAGCCATTCTGATTCGTCGCCTGGGCCCTGTTCAGTAAACAGAAATTCCTCGGCAATCAGACAGTCAGTCATTCATGCTGATAATAGCCCAACACTCCCGTAAGATCCAGAAATGGGCTTGTGGCTTATAGTCGACCATCCATCCAGCCGGCAGCATAACACCTCTATAAGTGAGGAGTAGCGGATCGATCCAATTCCCTGCGCCAATGATAGATCTGAACTCAGTGCGCCATGCTGACCAGTGGCATGGAATGAAATGTTTTGCAAGTGGGCCTGTTCGTTTTCAATATCAGTTTGCTGTTGGCTTCGGGTTTTCAAGGTTGTAATCCTCCAATTTCAGATTCCATTCTGCGCCCTCTGAGAGACTCTCATTCCGTCCACTGACTCCTGGAGTCCAAAGACTTGTTCCTTTCAGATTTCAGTGTTAGCCTCGCAATTACGAACTAGAGAGAGTATTTCTTTACCCGGTTCGTATGACAAAAAGGATACCAGACACCAAAATGCCGATCGGTAGACCTCGGATCCCTGGCACCGAGGCGGAGAGGGCAGAGGCACGCAGGAACAAAGTCCGTGCGTACGTGTTTCATAGCCGGTTCTGTTTTCGTAATTAGAACACTGATACTGACAGTGCGTTCTTTCAAGAAATGTCCAGGCTTTTAGAAGGCGCCAGAAAGAAAAACAACTCGCCGAACAAATGATCCGGATGCAGACTAGGGAAGATGGTCTGCTCCCAAAACATCAGACGCTCGCAGGGCAGCAGTCGGCCATCGCCATCCTCCCTCACAGCTGTCCACGAGCGTGCGAGCCTTCAGCGTTTCCTCCGGACGATCCTGAATTCTGGCTATGGGCCATACCCTCAGAAATGGGCGTAAGGCTTGTGGGCTCGACATACCACGTTGCATTCGTCCATGCTCTCAAGAATAGATTCGTGAAGCTTCAAACAGTGCGCGAGCAAGCAAAACATAGGGCTGAACAACAACTGTCAATATGTTGTTCGACTTGGACCTCAACAGCAACCCTCGAAATTGACAGGTCTGAAACAGCAGTCCTAATGGAAGCTCTGTTGGCTGCTTCTTTGGCCAAAGTTGGGAAAGAGCGCAATGAACCAGAGATGGTCCTCCAAGGTGCCTATATGCACAACCGTGCATTGCAAAGACTCCGGTACTCGCTAAAAAGGTATCAAGATGGCGACACGACTGTTTCCCCGACATTGTTGTCTTCGACAATGCTGATCTGCGCCATGTCGGAGCTGATCACGCACAAGTCCTGGGACAACTTCAACTGTCACTTGTTGGGGGTGGGGGCTCTAATATTCCATTATGGTGCCGAAGTAAGTGACAGTCTCGTTGATATAGCCCACAATGCTGACGATATATCTTCCTGATGGATAGGGTTTGAATCAGCAGGCGTTTCAGGAGCGCTTTTACGGGTACCGTGCAATCCAAACACCGTTCTTGTTCATGAAAAGGCAGATGTCGTTTCTGTCCGAGTCGCAGTGGATCGACTTTCCTTCGAAAGAAGAAGTGGAGCTTGCTCAACACCCCTTGCAGTCGATGCTCGACATTGCCCTCAAGGCGTTACCAGAGCTTGTCGAGGAAGAGCCTCCGAAAAATTGGAGCCTTGATCGCCTCAAAGAGGGATATGGAAAGGTGGGCGCAATCGTGGCGGAATTGACTGCTTGGGAGCGCCAGCTACGATCACAACACGGTGGGAATCTATACACCAAAGTCAAGGCCAGCTGGGAAGGTGTGTACGAGCATCGCCTCGACTTCCCCAACCCTTCGATTGCCGTTACATTCGCCATGTACACGGCCGTAAAAATACAGGTCGCAAAGTTTGTTGCCGACCTCTCAGAGGAGATCGCCTCCCGCGCGTCCTTGAATGACATAGACCGAAGCTCAGCTGTTCTGGAGGCATTGCGGTGGGCACACCTTGCATGCGAGAGCCTCGAGTACTTCCACACTGGCGAACCCGAAGTTGCTGGACGAATTGCAACTCTGTGGCCACTCGACACGGCATGGGAGCTCTTTACACAGCTGGAAGCGGAAGGTTCTCTGGATATCTCGCAAGAAATCGCATGGTGTCGGTCTGCAGCTGAACGGTCCGCAAATCTTGGAGTCCCTCCCTTCCAATGGAGGTAAGACCAAGCTGGGCGAGGGGAAAGGGGAGCGGAGAGAGTTTGATCTAGGAAAAGCGGTCCCCGAACCTGTTTCTAGAGCTCGTGCAGCGGTGTTACTGGAGTGTTGGCGGCGGAGACAATACCTGCGATCATCGAAGCAGATCCGGAGGAACTGCCTTGATAGGTGAACTTGTTCCGACTGTTGCTGAGACCTGCGCGTGTCAACAAGAAGTCAAACCGCCCCTAGCGCCTTATGTCGAGCTCAGCCACGGAGGTGGCGAGGGCCTTGGCACTGTGGACCACAGGTGTGTGTGCGCCACGTGACCAAAGTGACCAAATCACTGTGGCTGGTGAGGCGGTGGGCGGCTGGGGAGCAGCTCTTCACGTTTGCTTGCTGCCTGCAATTCCAGCCTCAGCCATTATTTGAACAGATTCAATCCAAGGTCATCCTCATGGTGGCGCGAAAGGAGCCCGCCGTGAGCCAGTGGTGGCTGCATTCACTGCCCACCCTGCGACCCAAGTTCCTCTCCACCGATCTCCGCAAGAATCCCACCGACCTGTCCGCAACCTCCAACATCGTGATGATCCAAGGTCGATAAATGACGGAGGTCAAGAAGAACAAGACCAAAGCCAAGAAACCCTCGGGGATATGTTGGACGTTCGACACTTCTTGTCGTCAGAAAAATTGCTAGGCAGGACTTGGTGCAGGCTTAGGCTTTGTCGCACCATTCGCTTCAGCGGGTGAAAGAGCAAGACTGACAGTGCGCAAGATCGCCAGTCGAACGGATATATCAGCAGAGCTAGGGGGAAATGGAATTCTAGATATATACTGTGCACTTGTGCGGCTCTACGTTTGGGGAATGTGCCTAAGGTACGATTCGTATGGTTTGCCTTTTCAGGGGCTGCCTCCAGTTGAACCTCCGCATCCGGCGGAGGTGGTGATGAGAATGCGGAACTTAACTGGACAACATGGATGAGGCTTCGAGCATTGTCTTGTGCTTTGCTGCTTGGGCGCCCCTTCAAAGACCAATCGCATGTGTCACGCATTATTGTTGAGTGGCCCAAATCGCGATGTTTATCTCTGCCCAGAGTGTGCCTAGCTGCACAGCCTCACTCTGGGCTACATCGAGACACCTCATCCACCACAATCTGGCGCAAGTACCGAACAGCTGGAACCATGGCACCCTCCTCCAAGGCGGAGTTTTTCTCTGCTCTCATTTGTAACATGTGAAGTCTCCTCAGGACGAGCCGGTTGCTGCCTTCTACCCCAAATGGACGCCTCATAAACCACGCTCTTCGCTTCAATACAAGGCTGTGTGTGGGCGTGAGTGTTTGTGTCCGACTTCTTGCCTATCTGACCCCAACTCTACGCCAGCCAGCCGACTTCAGATTTGACCGGTTCAGCCCAGCTAACGTTGTTCGTGATGAAGGAGCCAAATTCCTCTCCCTCTTCGACCCCGAAGATCACACTTGATACATCTGTAAGAGATCTCATAAATATTTCAGATTTTGTTGTGTTTCAGATTCTCTGACCTTTTGGCCTCAGAATCTATTAGGGCAGCCTCGGGCGGAACAATCGACTACTTGGGTAACATCACCAAGTCACCAAACGGGACCTAGTATGTCCACACCTCCCCAAACCGCCATAGACGACAGCTCGTATTTGTCCCCTACGTCTCCTGAGCGCAGATCCCCATACGATGGATCAACTCTCAACTCGAGGTCCGGCTCTGTTGTTTCGGGGGACACGGTAACCCGACTTCGATCAAATTCGGGCGTATCAGCGGCATCCAATACTACGTTCTACTCCAAATCTAGCCTGGAGTTCGACGACCCTGAAGTAGCCTTGCGAGCTGACAAGGGAGACGAGAAAGACTTCAGCGTCCCGAAAAATCCCTTTGCCTTCTCCCCGGGTCAACTGAACAAGCTCCTCAATCCAAAATCATTGTCCGCCTACAAAGCCCTGGGGGGTCTGCGAGGCCTCGAAAGAGGTCTACGGACCAGTATTTCAGCTGGATTGTCAGTGGACGAAACCCGCCTCGAGGGACAGGTCTCTTACGAAGAAGCGGTTGCTACTGGAATCTGTAAAGAAGGACTCTCAGAAGTCAACCTAAGCAGGTCAGATTCGGGCGCAAGTGTTAGCCTGCGCGAAGTCAAGGGCCAATTTGAAGACCGCCTACGCGTCTACCGAGACAATCAACTCCCCGAGCGCAAGCCAGACAGTATCCTTGTGCTCATTTGGAGAGCATACAACGATAAAATCCTCATTCTACTCACCATCGCCGCTGTTATCTCTCTAGCCCTAGGGATTTACGAGACTGTGGATGGAGGCTCTGGTGTCGACTGGGTCGAAGGGGTTGCCATTTGCGTCGCAATCCTAATTGTGGTGATTGTTGGTGCTGCTAATGACTGGCAGAAGGAACGTCAGTTCGTGAAACTTAACAAACGGGTATGTCCATTGCTCTGGCCAACAATGGCCGAGCAGCTTATTCTAATTTTCGCAAATAGAAAGACGATCGAGAAGTCAAAGCCGTTCGATCAGGCAAGTCCATTCAAATATCAGTTCACGACATCACAGTTGGCGATGTTCTTCACCTCGAGCCTGGTGATGCCGTTCCGGCAGATGGTATCTTCATATCTGGGCACGGCGTCAAATGCGACGAATCGTCTGCAACTGGGGAATCCGATCAGATGAAGAAGACGCCAGGTGAGGAAGTGTGGCAACGCATTCAGCAGGGAACTGCAACCAACAAACTTGATCCTTTCATCATCAGCGGCTCCAAAGTTCTCGAGGGCGTTGGCACCTATCTCGTCACCAGCGTCGGTGTGAACAGCTCCTACGGCAAGATCTTAATGAGCCTGCAGACCGACAATGAGCCAACCCCTCTGCAAGTGAAACTCGGCAGATTAGCAAATTGGATCGGAGGCCTTGGATCGACAGCCGCAGGACTCCTTTTCCTCGTCCTTGTGATCAAATTTCTTGCTCACCTTTCTGGCGATACTCGACCTGGAGCTCAGAAGGCTCAGGAGTTTTTGGACATCCTAATCGTTGCAATCACAGTCATTGTTGTCGCCGTTCCGGAAGGACTTCCCCTGGCAGTTACCTTGGCATTGGCGTTCGCCACTACCAGAATGCTGAAGGAGAACAATCTCGTGCGAGTTCTTCGCGCCTGTGAGACAATGGGCAATGCCACAACCATCTGTTCGGACAAGACCGGCACTTTGACTCAGAATAAGATGACTGTGGTCGCCGGTACGATCGGAACGAAGGAGAAGTTCGCTTCGTTACACTCGACGGGGACAACTGACGCAGCCTCGTTCACCACGATGTTCAGCAACTTGAGCGCCGACGTCAAGGAACTTCTCAAGCTCTCTATCACCCTCAACAGCACGGCTTTCGAAGGTGAAGAGAAGGGCGTACCCACTTTCATCGGTTCAAAGACCGAGGTCGCTTTACTCACCCTTGTAAAGGAGAATCTGGCTCTTGACAATTTGGCTGCGGAAAGGTCGAACTACAAGGTTAAGCAACTGATCCCCTTCGACTCGGCTCGCAAGTGTATGGGTATAGTCATCAAATACAACGGTGTCTACCGGCTCCTCGTCAAGGGGGCGGCGGAGATCATGCTTGCCAAATCGGTCAAGGCCATTTCCAGCGTCTACGAGAAGCAGTTTGCAGTTACGGATTTGACTGCAAAGGAAAGGGAAATGATATCAGCAACCGTTGATGAATACGCACGACACTCACTGCGGACCATCGGTATGCTGTACAAGGACTTCCCACAATGGCCACCTGCTGGGGCGAGGACCCTTGAAGAAGATGCTAAGATGGCCGATTTTGATGATATCTTCCATGAAATGACCTGGATTGGCGTCGTCGGTATCCATGATCCCCTTCGGGAGGGTGTGATTGAAGCCGTAGCACAGTGTCAACGTTCGGGTGTGGTGGTCCGCATGGTTACTGGCGACAACGTCAGCACCGCCCGTGCGATTGCTACTGATTGTGGCATTCTCCGCAAGGACGAAGACGGAATTGTCATGGAAGGCCCCAAGTTCCGCCAGCTTCCCAATGAGGAAATGGACAGGATTCTGCCACGGCTTCGTGTGTTGGCTCGTTCATCGCCTGAAGATAAGCGTGTCCTTGTCGGTCGCCTCAAGCATTTGGGCGAGACAGTCGCCGTCACTGGAGATGGTACCAACGACGGGCCCGCCCTTAAGATGGCTGACGTAGGCTTTAGCATGGGCATTGCCGGGACGGAAGTTGCAAAAGAGGCATCTTCGATCATTCTGCTCGATGATAACTTCTCTTCGACAATTACCGCCCTGATGTGGGGTCGAGCCGTCAACGACGCGGTGAAAAAGTTCTTGCAGTTCCAGATTACCGTCAACATCACCGCCGTGATACTGACGTTCGTGTCTGCTGTCTCCAACGACTCGAACCACTCAGTTCTCACTGCCGTTCAGCTCCTCTGGGTCAATCTCATTATGGACACCCTCGCTGCTCTGGCGCTTGCAACCGATCCCCCAACGAAGAAAATATTGGACCGTCCACCACAGCCAAAATCCGAGGCTCTCATCACCATCAACATGTGGAAAATGATCATTGGCCAAGCAATTTATCAACTCGTTGTCACTTTCGTTCTGTACTTTGCTGGTATGTCTATTTTCAACTACGATATAAGACAGCGGAAGGAACTGGACACGATCGTCTTCAACACGTTTGTCTGGATGCAGATCTTCAACGAATTGAACAGCCGTCGGTTGGACAACAAGTTCAACGTTTTTGAGAATGTCCATCGTAATTACTGGTTTATCGGCATCAACTGTATCATGGTCGCAGGACAGATCATGATTGTCTTTGTTGGCGGGGAAGCCTTTAGCATCACTGCCCTCGACGGTCCTCAATGGGCAATTTCTCTACTGGTTGCTCTGCCGTGCTTGCTTTGGGGTGTCCTGGTTCGATGCTTCCCAGATGCTTGGTTCGCCGTCGTGTTTAACGGAACGGTCAACGGCATGGCTTTCGTTCTCCGACCGATCTGGAAGGGTCTTCATGTCATTTTCCATCCGCTTGCACAGGTTTGCCGTGCCATTGCACGGTATGCTCGGCGTGCTATACGCAAGGTCACTCACCAGGATACCTCTGAGCTGGAAGATGAGCAAGCACCGGCTGACGAAGAGCGTCCTTCAGTCGTGGCTGCGGAGAAGCGAACTGGCACCGTCCACGTATCGAGCGGCTCCAGCTCAACAGCAGCCACAACGAAGCCGAACGATGCCAACACGACTTCACCGTCCGACTGGAACAGTGGCTCGACGGAGAGGAGAGACATCCCGGTGCCCTCTGTGTCGATCACAGGACCCAGCTGAGCGGTGCTCCCGCAACGAATGTTACGTTCCTATATGTATACACACCACAGCTCGGATTCATTTGTTATCTATATATGTTCTGGATGAAATTCGAATCGGCGTCTGGCTTGCAAAACATGTGCGACATATGAAAGATGGCGCTGGGACGGGGCGAGTAAGAGTTTGCATGCTTTGGGCAAGGCCTCTTTGAAGTTTGAACGACCTCACGTTATTGGAGTTTTGTGCGGGTGACTGTTTGACTCCAGCCGGATTCAGAGCGTCGTGGGCGGGTTTTCTGGGTTGGAGTATCTCGCAGTTGATTACTTGGGTTTGGGTTTGGGTTTTCGTTTGGGGAGGTAAGTAGTGTTTGTCTTTTGGGAGGGCAGAAGGCATTCCTTGTTCGATATACAGATGTCGTCAAAGTGAGAAGTTCCATTCCTCGGCGACCCGGGAAGCGGAAGATAGGCAATACGAAAAAAGGGAGAAAAAGAATTGACCACATGTGAACGTATTTCAATCAACCTTACCCGTTTGACGCTCTCTTGTTAGAGGTTCTCCCCTCCGAGAATCTATCCCCAGAGAATCTCGAAGACGGCACAATGGCTGACCGAGAAGAAGCACTGGCTGGCTATAAGATAGGGCACCTTAACAAGGCTGAAGTCCACCGTTCTCCATATGCATCAGGTCCTAACCTAGCTGACTGACGTGTCTTCACCTCGTCCTCTCTCTCTCTCTCTCTCTCTCTCTCTCTCTCTCCGTCCTCACAAAATTTCTTCTCCTCGGGCGTCTTAAGACCAAACCCAACCCACCACGCCTGGGGATCAACAGACCACCGATGGGATGGACCCCCGACGATCCAACCGCCAGCTAGGCTGGCCGGGTGTTTCAACAGACACGGCACCAGGGTGATGACGGAGCGGGCACGAGAAAATGAACGTTTGACGCACATGTGGGGGGGTGATATTCATTACTACGTACCTAGATAGATAGTACAAGCCCAACATTACGGCAAACTCGTTTGTGTACCTATGGAGTAGGTACTCTCATGCGAATGCAAGAGTGGGGTGGCCATAATACACATGTACGCTTCAAGATCCTGGACATCATCATCATCATCATCATCATCATCATCATCATCATCATCATCATCATCATCATCATCATCATCATCATCATCATCACTCCGTGTACTACAATACCTCATACTCGCGGGATAGATATACTCGTGCGAGAAGGCTCCCACGGTACCCGAGTATTATTACCCTGGGTAGATAATTATCCGTGACTGATCCGCGTCATGTTTTATGTAAAATGGTAATATCGTTGTTAGTAGGTACCTACCTAAGGTAGTGGAGAAAAAGAAAGTGCCTAGGTATCCACATTTCCCGTCCCGTTACGAAGAGAGAGAGATCTTCAGGAATCGATTTCCAAGCTTTCTCAAGATTTTGTTTTGCAGATCTCCCCCGTTGAGCAAAGTAATCAAAACGTGTTATATATATGAAACGAAATTACATATTGGAAAATGGGTTGGCATACCTATTGCATGTATTCGACATGGTCAACTCTCCGGAATCGTGGAGTCGGGCGCGTTTGTGAACACTAATAATACTTAAATAGTACCTGATTATGTAGGAAAACCTGTGTACAACATTTATGCAGTCTATCACGAGTTATTGTACCGAGTACATAGGTATACATGTATATACTGGTCTCCCGTAGCAGCAGCCTGGTGACAGACAGGGTTCCATTGTCCTTTCGGACTCCAGACGGCGGCCCTTCCCTCCTCCACGATTGGATATAAGTACCTACCTCGCTAGGTAACTAAAAGAAATTCTTGTCCTAGGGGCGGTTTGGGCCAGTGTGCCAGTCAGTACCTAGGTAGTTCTCCCGCGCCTCAAGGGTGCGCGTATGTGTGTGTGCCTCCAATCAGCGCGGCCGGTTGTAGCTCGAAAGCAAGGCACACAGCCCCCCGTTGCCTGATACTTGGATCCTTGATACTTGATACCTGGTGCTGCGATACTCAACAACACTCATCGTCTGCGGTGCTGCTATTCTGGGATGGCTCTTGGCCTTTGTTTGATCGGTGCAATGAATGAATCAGAGTGACTGCCCTTGCCCTCGTGGCTCGGAGCCTGGGTGTCAAGGAAACATTGTTGGCCCCATGGAATACATAGGTTGTGAACAGGCTGGAAGTGCCCCGAGTTCCAAACACTACTAGACGGTAGACTTCTCCCATCATCGTACAGCGTGGGTAGTGGCCGTTGCTGGTGGGACGAGAAAAGGCCTGCAGTCACCGCACACACAAGTCCATGCATCGCAAGTCTCTGCTTTTATAGAGGTTTCTTTTCAGCCTGGTTCAAAACTACTAGTAGGGAAACAGTGGACAAGGTTTTTGATCCTGCGCTCATCTTTCATCCTCGACATGCTATCCGTTTCAAGTCAATACCCTCCAAAGTTGTCAAATCAACCCACTTTTTCAAAACACAGCGCACCATGATCAAAGTCCAAGATGCGGAAAGGTCAAAATGTGAATGTATATGTATGTCCCCCACTGCTGGCGCTCTTGCGCATCACATAGTTCTCCTTTCATGTCCACACAAACGCCGGTCCCGCTCATTCCATGATGACATAGTAAAAAACTCCCTCGGATAGATGACATAGATACAAAGATGGTCAGGGATTGGCGTGATGATGATTAGAAATTATGTTTTCGCAGACATGGTTCTTGTCGTTCATTGAGTGTACCCTGGAGGCTTTCCGGGACCCCCAGGGCCACCTGGGCCCTTGCCACCAGGCCCACCTGGACCTCCTGGACCTCCAGGACCCTTGGCACCGGGACCCCCAGGTCCGCCTGGGCCTCCAGGGCCACCCGGACCACCCGGACCACCAGGCCCCTTCCCTCCTGGTCCGCCGGGTCCTCCAGGGCCACCCTTGCCCGGAGGAGGTCCTTTCATAGCGAGGCTGCTTCTCTTCCTCAGCTTCTCACCAAAGAGCCAGAGGATGATAGGGACTGGGATGCCGATACCGACGGCGGCGAGGGCTAGTACCGTGTTACCCCACCCAAAGTGTAGAGCTTTGTACATCGCCGGCGCGAACAGAGGGAAACCGAAACCGGCCAGAGATCGCAGAATCGTGACAGCAGCCACGGCCGAGGCAGCAAACCTGGCGTAGGTGTCAACGAGATAGGTGGTGACGCATTGGAAGGCGGCGATAGTTCCAATACCGAAGAGGAACGAGCCAATGTTGGGCACAATCCAGTGTGTTTTGGCCTGGGCGGACCATCCGTAGACCAAAAGACCAACGGGCACAAAGAAGGAGAAAGGAATGACAACTGGCATTCGATATTCCGGTTTGCCTTGCCCCCGCGGATCTCTTGCCTTGAGCTTGCGGTAGATCTTGTCGCCAAGCTTGCCACAGAGCGGGGCGCCGATGAAGAAACCCAAGCCCAGCGAGATGTAGTTCAGGCCAGCAATACCCACGCTTTCGTGGTAAATGTTGCCGTACAGATCCGGGAAAGTAGAAAGCGCCAAGTAGAGAATACCGTAGGAGAAGGCCATGTACAGGGCCAACACTTGCACAATGGGTTGGCTGAACAGCATGCCGAATGATCGAGCCATTGTCTTGACGATCTTCTTCCACACTGGCTGGTCAACCTCTGTCTCGCCCTCTGCGTGCCACCGATTGTCGCCTGTCTGTTTGCGGATCTCCTTGGCCTTCTTGTGCAAGATGTAGGGAGCATAGGTTTCGTTGAGTTTCCAGAAGCCGGCGACGAGAATGAAGCAGTTGACAATCGAAGTGGCGTAAAACATCCACCTCCAGTCAGACTTTTCGGCCACCCAGGCACCCACGATAGGGCCAACGGCAGGGCCAAGCAGAGGTCCCATCGCGTAGATACCCATGGCCTTGCCTCGTTCTTCGGGTTTGAACAAGTCACCCAGGACACCACCACCGATGGCGAGCGGCGCTGAGCCACCGAGACCGGACAAGAATCGGAAGGCCATAAGCTCCTCCTTGGTTTGAGCAAAGCCACAGGCAGTGTTGAACGCCAGGAATACTACGTTGGACGATTGAAGGATGATAACACGGCCGTACAGTTCGGAGAGAGGACCGAGAACCATAGGACCGATCGCGTATGCCAAGACGAAGATGGACAGGACGATCTGGGATTCAAACTGATTGGTGATGTGCAGTTCTTTGGATATCTGTCCCAGGGCGGGCGCGACCATGGACGATGCTAGGGGCGAAAGGAATGTAAAGGACGCGGTAAGCATTGTAATGGCCCACTTCTTGTTTGAAGGCCAGGCCTTCGGGTTCAGCTGGTCATCAGGCCCTTTGAATTTGACCTGCATTAACAGATATTAGCAGCCGTCTCTCGTCGAGGAACTGAATCAACTTACCAGGAAGGGGTCGTCGTTTGGAGGACCACCCGGACCGCCAGGACCGCCAGGGCCACGAGGTCCTGGACCACCGCCCGGTTTCTCTTTGGGCAAGAAAGGAGTAGGGGTGGCAGGACCATTCTGGGCCTCGAGATCGAACTTGGCTGGGTCTTTCCTGTCCACCATGCCGTGGCCATGGTCTTCATCGCATGTGCACCATGACTCATGGGAGTGTTTACTGTGTTCTCGGTCCATTGGGGGGGTCATCTGCTGGGAAAGTGGTCTCTTTTCATCACGGGGGTACGAGTTGTGGAGAGTGTTCATAGCCAGGGTTTCCTCCGATTGCGTCGGATATCGAGGAACCGATTGGTCATAGAGCGAATCATTGTTATTCAAATAGCCCTCTGCCAGTAGTCTTTGGTTTGCTACAAAGTCTTGGTCCCGGTTGAGGTAGTGCTCGTCGCTCACTATTCTCGAGTCTCGGGTGCGGAAGGACGGGGCATAGGACTGCAGGGAATCTCTGTTCTGGGCAGATCGCATTGATCCTTGATCGTCATAACGCCCGACATGATAGTCGGGCCCGTCATCGTAAAGAACAGCGAAGGTAATCTCACTGCTGGCGCGGTCGGAGCCAGGTGAGGGCTCGGCAGGTAGAGAGCGGTGCCTGTAAGGCTCGGTCGAGTTTAAACGTCGTAGCGAAGGAAATCGTGAGTTCAACGCGGGTTGTGATAGGGGTCGTAGGAGTCCATTGTTGGTGCCATCTTCCTCCATCTCGTCGGCTTCCGCAGCTGCGGTAGGATTCTGGCTGTGGTCTGGGGTCTGTTGGAAGGCGACAGCGTGTGGAGGAGGAGGTTGCTGCTGTTGTGAATGTTGGGCTAGAGCTGAACCGGGACGCGATTGGGAGTCGTAGCCTCTGGCGACTTCCCAGCTGTCCCAAGAATTCGGAGCCGCCAGTGTGAAAAAGGGGGGGTTGGGTATGTCGAACGATGAACGAGTGTGGTGGTTTGTCCAGGAATTATTACAACAAAAACAAACAAACTCGAAACGGTGGACAAAGCGTCGAGGACAGGGAGGTAAGGGGGAAGAGAGGAGGAGGACGAGGGAGTAAAGTGAGTGAGCTGGTCGAGCGAGTGTACGAGTAAAAAGCGAGTGGTGAAGTAGTAGGAGGTCGGTAGGAAGGGGAGGGAACCACGGACAAGAATAAGATCCGCTGGGCCTGTCGGGGCGAGATGACGAGGGATGGGAGGAATAAAGGGATCTAGGGCGAGATGGAGATGGGGGGGAGAAGAAAGAGTGAAAACGAGGGTGAAGTTGGGTGCTGCGAATCTGAAGAGGAGAGACAAGGAAAAGCGGGCTGCGGTGCAGGACGGCCTGGTAAGTAGTCGGTAGACTGTCAAAAAGCTGCTACGGGCCTGTGGGCTGTGGACTAGCTAGGGGACACTAGGTGCGAAAAGAGCTCTTTCTAGGCTGGTGCTATACGGCGGCGGGCCTTGGATGACCTGGGTTCCTGGGATAGTCGCGGCTTAGTACCTTCCGGGAATAGAGGCCTGGATGGAGACGGCACTGGGAATTGGGGGAGGGATTTGGCAACCCATTGAGCCATCCATTTTCCACCCAGCCAGAACAACCCAGACAGCCTTGGTTCTCTTTTCAGGCTCGCCAGTCCAGTGGCAGGGCCCCAACCCCAGCCTGAAAAGAGGCTTTGTTGCTCCAATAATATCATCTACTTGCCGCCCTTATCCCAGCTGTCAGTCGGCAAGTCGGATCATGGACCTTGCGAGACAAGAGGACCCCGGAGGGAGCTGTGCTGTTCGAGTAACGCCTTGTCGTCCGTCGACGATGGATGATGCTGATGATGGAGGTGGTGATGATGGTGACGATGGTGATGATGTTTCTCCGGATGGATACTGTAAGACTCGCTTTTGCTGGTCGGACCAAGGATGTGGCTGTTGATCTGGCTAAGAAGGGAAGCAGGAATACGGACGGACACGACCCAGAGAAATTGCGAGATTGCCAGCCTATCTGCAATGCGATTGGCTTTTTCTTTGGCCGTCCTCGTAGGTAGCCATCTGGGGGAGGTGGCAAGCTGCAAGTGATGATTAGGATTGACCCTGGAATACGGCTGTGAATAATCATCATCCGGGCGTGACAAGGCGGAAACATGATTGTGTCTCTGTTACAGATAGCACGGCATGTGGCCCTGGTCTACCTCACAGCCTACCTAGGTACCTACGAGTATCGCCTATGGAGCAATGTGCCGGCCTGCCGCGATACAGGTACCAGGGTAGGTGAGCAAAAGTATGGAGTATTCTGGCTAGGGTAGGTGGGATGCATTCCGTTCTATGACGCCTATAAATCAGGCAGGCGAGTACGAGTTCTTTGCAAGCCGCAACTCTAATGCATTCTCTCCCCGTAGTGTGTTTTACCATCCGTATACACAAATACGAGAAATGTCACAACTGGACCATCATCGCACGCCATCCTCAAACTTCCAGCCTTGCAAGTGATAAAGGGGAGGAGGAGCCGCCCGGACGCGCGACCGAGAACTGAAATCTTACTGCAGAGATGACAAGAGCGAAAAAAGTATGGAGAATCGATAATTGTCGAGTTATGTCCCAGTAGCCCGGCTCAATTCAAAACCAAGCCCGTGAAAAGCAACTGAAAAGGAACAGAAGAGGCGGGGAGGGCCAACGACAGGCTACAGCCTTGGTGGAGATTGTTAGGCGCATCCGTGGCACGGGCAGGCCAGGGAGCTCAGGGCGCCAAGGGCTCGCAGGGAATGACAGGGCACAGGAAAGCAGAGCTCGGGCACCGCTCAGGCCCTCCAGAGTACGATTTGCGGGCGCTGCCACCAGCAGCTGGCCCCCAGCCGACCGGCGCGGGCTGTTGCTAAAATTGAGTCCGTAGCGCATCGTGCTAGTGGATCCCGTGGCCTGCTGTCCTGCGCCGCAATCTTGATCCTTGGGCCTGCCCCCTGGTCAAATGGCCCTGGATCTGCCCCTGTTTGGGATGCTTTGGCCTCTTCTCCACGGACTTTCTTGTCCGACACACCGAGCTAGTGACGCCTCATTTTTGTCGCTTGCCTGTTCCTGGCATGGTGGTGGACTCATCTAGCCAATCCGCTGGCCCCTTAATCTATCTCCCGAAGAGGCCGAACTTGAACGTCATATAATTCAACCCACACCTTTCAAAAGACCCCCCAAAAAGGAAGATGTGCTGGTGTCGTTGATGCACTATCAAGAGAAATAAGAGTCCTCGGTACTGGGACCGTTGACCATTCGGTCCTCTCGCGCAACCAAGTAATCGGTACTTCGTGCCTCCTACATCGACACCAAGGGGATATGCGGTACGAGGAAAAAGCCACCTGGGCACATACCTTCGTATCAACAATGTTGAGGAGGACCACAGACTCGCCACTAATCTCCCTTTTTCACTTGTAATTTCTCAGCGGCATCTTGGCGCTCCTCCCATTCACCACGCACTCCCCCATTCCGGCTCCTTTGGGACTGCGAGACATTACCTATTGTTGTTGTGTCTGAGGCCCTTTCCACCCATTTGGGTCGGAACCAACTCATGGCTGAAGCTTCGAGAAGCACGTACCACTACGCCGTTACCCCTTCTCCCCGTTCTGGGTTGTTGGTCCCATACGGCCCATACTCTCTTTGGTTCCAGTTATGCTCCAAAGGTGGTATAACTGTGTCAGATCCTACGCACTAAAATCTTCCTCGCCCAGCAAACGGGCTTCGTAGTTTAACCCACCTCAACGTGCGAGCTAGGGAATCCACTACGAGACGCCCTACCTATGTGTACCGACTACTCGACTCGTACTCGTAAGGTCCCACGGGCCACGACATTATCGCCCCTTATCAGTCTATCAGAAGCCATTGCGTTGCACGGCAGATGGCCTCGACGGATGGAAAATCCTCTCTCTCTCCACTTGCACAAGACCCGACCAGGGCTGCCGCAGTCCAATGCAAGTATTCGTCAGCAGGTGTTGATGACCTCGCCCAAATTGGCCTTGGTCCACTCGGATGATTCTTTCATTGGGTTGAGTTGTGCCTTTGCATGTCTCGTGTTCATGGATCAGTTCCGTTCCTTCAGGCACAAGCAGTAGTGTGAGCCATTCCAGGTCTGTTGACCGTGATCAGCTACTGATGGCTGGCTAGGCAATTCAACCTTCGGTCGTGTCCGATCTTGGATGGTCCATCAAAGCGCCGAAGACTTGTTCAGAAGTAGACCAAAAGTAGCGTATCCCCTTCAGCATACCGAGGATTCGTACGCCGCAAGAGGGGACCCACGAGTCTTCTGGTGGCTTTCGGGGGTGACACCACCTGGCGAGAAAACGTGGGAGCCCCTGGGCCAGCCCGGGTGGGCGGAGAATTCAACCTCGGTGGATGTTTAAGGCTGGAACAGGAGAGTGCGGCTCAGAGATGAAGCCCCCTAGATTGGCTTATAATAGCAGCGTCCGCAATGCCACTGGTTCCTGCTCATAGACGTTCACTCATAGATGACGGGATCGGTGAACTTGACACAGACATGTAACGACCAGGCGAACTGTTGTCGGCGCAACAGTGTCGGCGAGAATATCCACTCGAACGGCCGCCTGAGAGTGTCGACCGTTGACAGAGACAAGGGATTCCCGGGCACTTCGTGAAGGGATGCCGCTTAGGTAGAAGCGCAGCGCAGGCGGCTGAATCGTCTAGCGATGCCTATAAAAAGACATGGACCAGACTCAAAAAGGATGCCGGAGCAGATCGGGTACACCCCCGGTGGTACTCAGGTTTTCTTTTCAAATAATAATAATGCACGCCTCCAAGTCTTTATCACCTGCACCAATGCTTCAACCACCGTCGGAGTCTGGTGAGCCGCATGAGCCGTTGACTTGACGGGATGCCCTGATAGGTGAGCTTCCGTCATTGATGCCTGAGAGACGGCTGGCATCCCCGGACGGATAGCCAGTTCAGCAAGCTAGAGCATGCATATAAGCCCGAGCGTGCCACTGGTGACGCATAGGGCTGTGCTTGGAGGGCGCGAACTCTTCAAGAATCTTCACCTGGGTCATTCATTCGTCATTGCTTGCAGTAGACGCAGATCGCGTATGCTTGAATCTGTAAGTCATATGCAGCCAACCTCTCACTTTTGAGCTTGGCATTCCGTGGCCTAGCAAACCATGTCCGTTGCCAGACGAAGTCTCACTGGCTTCCTCAAACCTGTCTTGGATGCTGAGAGGAAATGAGACCGAGACCCGGCAATCTATTTTGCCCGCGGCACTGGTACATTATGTGAAACACAGGAATTTGAAAACCGTACGAGGTGTTTGGGCCGACATTCATACATACATACCCTGTTCCGGCCTAGTGGACAGCTCCAATCGTTGGTAGGCTATCTTGTGCCGTCTTGCCGTTATCAGAGGGGTTCTCAGCTTTTGGCGGCGTGTGCAGGACTTCTTCTCGCTTGAGTGGTTCATGTGACCTCTCTTCTATATCACACCTGGTACATCAATACGAGGAATCTTTGTCCCAGAGTGGTCAAGGGTGCGGCGAGTTCGCTTTGACGACTCGGAGCAAATGTGTGCTGGCTGGTGGTGTTGAGTCCAGTGGACCCCTCGCATGGAAGCAACCATTGACTCGATCCTCCTCTTCAGGCTCTCCATCAAGGTTTGAGTTTGAAGCCGGATTCGGAAGACGGCCACGCAAGGGACTCAAACAATTGAAAATCAATGACAACTTCGCATGAATGTAGACATTGCGCTGTTGTCGAAGCTCTGCATTGTTCCATCTTCACGTTGAGTAACCATGGTGGCTGAACTCCACAGTCCATGGAGCTGTTTGACGACCACATGGCCATTCGCTAATCTCATAGGCCTGGGGGAGGTGTCCGCGGTGGCTTTTCAAAGGCGTAAAACCACATTCAAAGTCGCTCTCCCAAGGACGGATGGCTTGAGGAGCATATCGTCACTGTTGTGGATAGTTGCTGCAAGGTCCTCCCATGATTCTGCGAACAAATCCCCCGCAATGTCTTATCATCGCTTCCAGCCCCCTGATATTTGAGTCCCCACTCAAATACAGAAAAGCTTCGTCATGCTTGAGTTTTTCCAGCCATTTGCTCTATCAGTTCGCCATAAGCGCAAAGCCTAGCATCAGCGATTGTGCATTAGGCTCCTGCTATTGAAGCAAAAGTTGCCTGCTCGCATGACCTAGATTTGAGACACGAAGAGAGCGCTCCGCATTGGGATTTGGCTCGGGTCCTCTCCGATGTCCCCTCACGCGTTGTGCAAGCCTCATGCCAGCCCTGGGGTGAAGAAGTTCCTTTTACGGCGTTCATCCCGCAAGTCCCAGTTGCTCATCCTGTCGTCGACATGCCGCGACGCCAGCATGAGATCGAGCCTTCCCATGTCGTTACTTACCATCGCTGCGGACGGTCCTGTGGAGGAACCCCACAGGTAGTTCACGAACCTGGCAGCCCCATTCAGGATGGCGGATGAAGTCATCCTGAACACGACATCGCAGTGTAGCTTCGAGACGAGAAAGACTGGAGTAAATACCACCAGCAACATTTTGCAGTGGGCATGACGCGGCCTATTGTGGCCGTAGAATATTCCCGTGTCCGTCTGTGTCCCTGTTTGCTCTCCAGACACCCTCTTCAACTTCCCCCGTGTCCGCGAACCACTCTCTCTTCCAAATCTCTGCTCGAGCCTTGACTCTCTCCAGGATCTCTTCGGCGCCTTTCCAGCCACTTGCACGATGGCCGCTGCTTACGCTAACGGCAATGCTCTCCTCCTCCACCTTGACTTCGCCCAGTCGGTGGACGATGACCACCTTCTCTAGGCCGTGCTTCTTCTGCACGTCCTCGGCAATGGCGTAGAGAGACTTGAGGGCAAGGGAAGGGTAGGCGGAATATGAGAGTCGGGAGACTGGGCGATGGTCAAAGTTGTTGCGTGTGGTGCCCAGAAACAGAACGTTGGCGCCCGCGGTCGGGGAGCGGGTGAATCGCAAGTACGCTGGAATATCGAGGGGGTCGTAGACGAGAGATATGTAGATGGTTTCGGAGGACAGGGTTTGGGGAAAGTTGGAGGGGTCGAGGACAGAGGTTGTTGCAATTTTGGAAGATGAGGTTGGCTTCGAGGACGTATCTGTCCCATTAGTCGGGAGCGCTGTATCTGTGGGCATGGCTCATCCGTTGGGAAATGAGGTCCAGGTCAGAACAAGTAGCAGCTGTTCTCTCGCAACGGGCGTCGAATATCAATGAGGTTCGATCTCAAAGTGTGCTTATCCTGGCGATCATGTTGACATGTCAGTGTTGATTTCTCAATCACCCAAAGTCACCTGCGATGAAATGTTCTGGCTGGTAGCGGAACGAGGGGCCCGATGTTTTCTTTGGTGTTGCAGTTTTCCCTAACTGCGCGGATACGTCATATTGGTCAACGGCTTCCATCCCACCACCATTGCAACAACTCAACTCACCTCATTCGATTCAACATTTGCCCTTTGGTGAGCAAACTCTCTCATGCATTTCATACACCTATACGAGGTACCGAGTATATGACCAGATTTCAGCAGAATGAGTCTCCAACGAAGGTAAACTCGGGCGATGTCTCCCTGCCTCTTTCATTCCCGTTCCTTGCCAGCGAATAGCTAGCTAACGTTAGACTGCCCAACCATGTCTTCCCCTCAATGTGAGGCGACTCGGAGATGCCTTCTTATTTGCTACCGAAGAATGCAACATGGCATCCCACCAAAACTCTCCCCACACAAGGGCAAGCAAAATCCAAAGCAAAAAATTCCGAATCTTGCAAAAAACCACGGCTTCAGCCCGCTTCAATGGAGCCACGTCTGTCTCACCGCCTGCCATTTATTCTCTTCCTTTCCACTCATACGGATCAGTTTGAGGCGTTTGTGTGTCTAAAGCTTGCCTGCATATGGATTGCCTGGATTAAGAAAGGTACTTGCCTAATGAAGACTTTCATGATCCAGGAACTAGAATGAAGTGGCTGGTAAGCAATGGGATTGGACGCTGGGTATATGCAAGATGGGAGACGGCGTGATCTTGATTCTTTGGGTCTGTCAGGGTTAGATAGGGGACATGAGACCCAACATATAGTACACCAATAGGTTCGCTCCTAATTGCGTCTGTTCAATTACACTTTCACCGTGGTGATACATTTCTTTTCTTCCCTACATGAGCATCGAAGGATAATATTTCAAGAAGTGGAGTTTTGTGTACACCTTTACCTTCTTCCGTCGCCACTGGATGCAGCCACTGCTCGGTTCACTGCTTACCACTAGGGGCCAACTCTTTCTTCTGAAGGTACGGGAGCGGCGTTGTATCAATCGGCTTCCTCTCCCTTCTCCAATCCTTGATGTGCTGGAGGACAATGGCCGCCGCACTCTCCGGCGTGTCTTGCCTTCCGATACATTCGACAAAGTCACCTTCAGGGTCCATCACGTAGAAGTATATGCTGTGGTCCACCAGGTAGTCTTCTTCGCCTGGCTTCAACTCTGGGGGCGTGGAGAAATATACCCGATATTGTTTACAAACGTCTTTTGTCTGTTGCCATGTACCAACCAATCCGAGGATGGCGGGATGGAATTCGGCCAAGTATGCTTTGAGGACATCGGGAGTGTCGCGGTTGGGATCGCAGGAGATGAAAATCGGCCGCACTGTGTTCGGGGCTCTCTCTTGGATTATATCGAGGGCTTCCCCCATTTTGTCGAGCTCGTCGGGGCAGATGTCGGGACAATGACTGAAGCCGAAATAGATCTGCCAGTAGAGCGGAGGAGTCAGTTCATGGGAGAAGGAGGACTCCATATCGCGATCCAGGAGGCGGACGTACGAGTGAATATTTGCCCAACAAATCCTTGTCCGTGAAATCATTCCCGTCGACGTCCTTCAATGCGAACGGGCCGCCGACCTTGGGTTTCCCGTATCCTTTGCTCATCTCCACGATCCTCTTCCGCTCCAACCGCTTCTTCTCGAACGTGAAATAAAATATCATGCCTGCGCCGACGCCGACGAAGAGCGCCGCTGATCTGAATGAGAATGGCTGCATATGCAAAGTGTCAGAGGAAGGCACATACCGCGGATAAAAATACGTACGCCTGTGCGATGATACAGTCTGTCTCCTGCTCTTAACTTCGGGCTCGAGGACGAGAAAGGCCGCGTCTGTAGACATTGGGATGCCAGGGCATGTCTGCGTGGCTGCGACTGGCCGGAAGATGGCTTGATTCGGGCTTGCGTCGTCTGCGAGTGTATCGATCTGCAGTTGCGGGACGTCGTCGGAGCAACCAGTCGTTGCACGGCTCGTGGAAAGGAAGGCATTCGTCCAGGCATTTGGTTCACAGTTTCACAGCGAAATGCAAGAACTGTAGCATTGATGGCGAGATGGGTGGACTGATTCAAGGGAATTCCTGTGCGGCATGGCGCTCGATGCGGAACCCGAAACGGTGGACCGAAAGAATGGGAAGCGTAGTCCGCAGCGACTCATCCACTGCTCATCCTTCCATGCCTTCTCACCTTGTTTGCACAAGAAAGCTTTCGACTTCATCCATTTCCGATAACTGCCACGAGCTCAAAAGTACCTCGCACAGGGCGACACAACGGTGATGCATGATTGACAAAACCAAGACTCCAGTTCAATCTTCAAAGTCAAGATTGGGAATGGTGCCCTGAACTAATCCAGCACAACCCGACCTCTTTCTCACCCTCGCCCCTTTCCAGCTCTGCCTCCCAACCTGCCTCCCAACCTGTCTCAACAGCTCTCAATTACATATGCGTCCAAGTCTGATTCGAGAACCTTACTCATCCTGGATGACAGTAGCCTTATCTTTCATGCGGAGTGGAGATTGAAGTCCAAAGTTGACAATGGTCACTCATCAGATTTAGAGGACCAGGCATTACACCTCAGCCTCGGTCGATTCACAGATAAAGCGAATGATGGAAGACTCATTAGACCCATCTCCTAGCATACAATGGTTCTCCTCCATGATCCATTCCACCACATCCCGTCCTCTCGTCAAACATACCACTATACTAACTCTGTACGGTTGGTTTTCCTTCTCGAATCGCGACATCTGGCACGATGGGATGCTTGTTCTCATCCTGTCCCACTACAGGCGGCGGCACATACTCCTTTCTCCCAGCCTTGTGGACGCGACCATTGATCATAATGACATTCAGCTTGCTGTGATCCTGGAGGATGTCAATGTTGTCAATTGGGTTGCCGTCAACGAGGATGCAGTCTGCATAATTTCCTTCCTTGATCTGACCCATCTCATTGGCACGCATCATGACTTTGGCCACGCCGTAGGTGGCGGCGATAATGGACTCGTGGGCAGTGAAGCCCATCAAGTTTTTGAAGTGGGCCAAGTCACGAGCATAGGTTCCATGGGGAGTCCATGCGAATCCATAGTCACTAAAGAGTAACAGCTCAGCCGTCGGCTCAACGGATGATGGATTGAGAGAACCACAGGAGCAACTTACCCGCCAGGGAGGACTACAATGCCTCTCCGATGCATCTCACGAAGGCCTCGCAATGCCACCTCAAGTTCCTGTTCGTTGACTCCGAGTTAGCATACCTGACTCAAGGCAGCTGGCCACCTTGAAAGAATGGTCGCTTTGCTTGCCAGCCTTACCTTTTTATAACCAACTTGCTCTGCCTTCTCATGGGAATAACCGAAAGCTGCAGCGTCGTTCAAGGTTGCGACGAGCCAATTGATAGCTGGAGCCACGACATGCTTGGTTCTTGCGGCTTCCAGCAAGTCCATGCCTTCTTCGTCGATATAAGATCCATGATAAATGACGTCCACTCCATGCTAATACAATGTTGTGAGCTTGAGCCTCAACTGTTTCGGTCGGTGGAAATGGGACAGTGCAGCTCACCTTGACACACATCTTCACAGAGTCTCTCGCTCTAGCGTGTGCACAGATGGATTTACCTGCCTTGTGTGCTTCTTCCACGCAGGCAGCCGTCTCCTCGTCTGTAAAATAGCAGTCCTGAGCTGATCGTACTTCGCAGATCTACATTTCATGTCAGCAACAGCAAGCATAAAGCAAACCGGACTCTGGGACCCTACCTCTTCTCCAGACATGACTAATTTGATGTTGTCAACTCCAATGCCAACGTGATGTCGAATGACTTCTCTCATCTCCTCGGGCGTGTCTGCAAATGCAGTGATTGCCGATTCAAGGTCACCGTCATGCTTGGCCATTTCCTTGCCATTGGCAAGGGACCGTGGTCCTGGAATGTCACCTGCATAAATAGCGTCTCGAATGGCGACGTCGAGACGCTCTTTAGCAGATGCAGCACCATAGCACCTTGTCAAACGAAGGTCAGTGACCCCCTCATCATTCACAAAAAGATATGGGGGAGAAATGTCTTACATTGTGTAGCCGGAATCCAGGTAGCATTTGGCGCTACGGGCGGTCAAGAGAGTGTGCTCTTCAACATTCAAGCCGCCCAGAGAAGCGAGATCACCACCGTTCCAGGAGAAGTGGGTGTGCGAGTCACCTAGGCCCGGCATCAATGTTCTTCCCTTTCCCTGGAACACTCGAACATCCGGATCTTGCCGCAACTGGTCCTTGTTGGCGACATTGCCGACTGCCTTGATCCGTTCCCCTAGCAGAGGAAAGTCAGCGACGCGAATACGGGTGGGAATATAACAAGATCATGGGCCGAGAGAAAGGGCCTTTTGCCAGCGACGAATCTTCATTCTCACCTTGTATGAACACGTCGCCACGATAGGGTGGCTTTCCTGTGCATTCCAAGATACTGACATCCAGGAAAAGGATCTTAGAGTTGGGGTCCGTGCCCAAGATCTCGTACTTGGGTGGTTTCACACTCTCGTTGAACTTGATGGCATCAATATACGCGACGTTGCGTGGAGGGCCATCGTAAGGCTCGGGTTGGTAAGCGGGGGACGTCCACGGAACGTCTTCGACGATCCTTGCTGGAGCCATGTCGGCAGCTCAAAAGGAAGGGATTTAAAACAGGTATTCGAAGAAGTTATTTGACCTCCAGTTCTCTGCACCACCACCTCACAGATGAAACTTCCAGGAATAGTGGTTTTGAGATATTGGTATTGATCGAGAAATAGTCGGGCAAAAGGGAGAGCAAGGAACCTATCTGACTACCTCCCACCTGCATGGTGGCATCTCGCCGGCTCTTAGTATTCACCAGGTATCGAGGGACCTGCCCCAACGAGAGGTGCAGACTTGTGTCTTCTCCTCTCATCAGGTTATGCCGCGTTGGTCGTCAGACTCACAATCCGTCGGTGCCGGATCCTTCTTCATGCACCCCGCAAGTTAGTCCCCGCGTTATCCACCCATCAGCATCCACGTCAAGTGAACACCTCAGTCTTGCAGGAAGAGGGGTTACGGTCCGGGAGACGTGATTCGACATGGTCAGCCGGGGTTCCTTGTCCGAGCAAGGTGCCGATATTGCAACCATGCTACGACAAAGGATCATCTGTGGCGAGTAGGATGGCCCGGGCATGGACGGGGATTGACGGCCTCTCACCGAGACGGAGATACTTGGAGATAACTTCGACTTGTTCTGACGCACGTCGCTGAATATGGAACGGAACGTTGCACATATTATCGTGAAGGGTAAAACCAGAATATCACTACCCCCTGTTGATTTGTGTCGTTACGTCTTGGTCTCTGTTCAGACCACAAGAAAAGGAAACTGCCATGGTGTGGATGCAAGCGGCGCGAAGGGGTCGATTTGGACCGACGGGCCCCTTGAAGCACGACGATGGCGAGGTTGCCCATGTGGAAGACGTGGACCGGACCCAGAACGACGATGAAACGAAGCCTTCGCCCTCGAGCACCATCGGCAGACAATTCCCCTTCGTCCCGGAGTCGTTATCAGACGACGCCCTCCCCTTCATCCCCAAGGAACTGGTCCTCGAACGCCGCCACGGCAAGCGCTCCAAATCCGAAGACCACCCGCAGAGAAAGGTTGACGGCGGAGAGGAGCGCAAGCAGCCGCAACAGCAAGACCACGAACACGAACACTGGATCGTCATTGACGACATCGTCTTCGACTGCAGCGACTTCATCTCCGAACACCCCGGCGGTCAGCAGGTCATTCTCAGCTTCGTAGGCGAGGACTGCTCCTGGCAGTTCTGGCGGTTGCACGGCAAGAATGTCATGGAGCAGTATGGCCGCGCCCTCCGGATCGGGAGGACCGAGGGCATCCAGAACAGGTTTGTCGAGCCTGTCAGATACGTCGGCCTGTCGAACCTCGGTGACGATGGGTGGTAAGAGGAGTTGGGGGAGAAGCGGATAATGATTTTACATCCAGAGAATAGAGAGATACTACTAGCCGTTACATATATTTTTGTGTATGCGTGCGTATAATTCTTCGCCCGATAGCCTGATGACTCTTAACTACTCGTTCCCACCGTTGTGCAGAAGACCTTTTCATCTCTCCTTTCAGACTCCCCGTTCTTGCAGAGTTTTTCTTTTTCCCAATGTTTAAACCACCCCGCAAAACTAAGCATTTTCGAGCACTTGTACTCGGTCAACCTCACTTCTTCTCCTTGTACATTGGGAAGGTCGGAATGTTGAAAGGCGTAACGCCTCCCGCGTAGAGTCCCGCAACTCCAGCCCAGTCTGCAAGTGGTAAGAGACATAATCAACGAAGGAAAAAAAAACAGCATCCAGGTTGAAAAGTGGTAACGAGGGAGAAGGGGGTGGTGAGGGATCACTTACAGGTCAAAAATGCCACCACGAAGCCGACCGAGTTGCCGGCGATGAGCAGCGAGTTGCGGTTGAACATGTAGCCGCAAGCCAGCAGCAGGAGGTCGAGATCCAGGAAGGCCAGGTCGAGAAACAGAACCCATGAGGCTCGGCAGGCGGCGGCACTGGTTAGGATACATGAGTTAGCTCCCGACAAAATAAGGGACGTGATTACGAGGAGGGAAATAGCGTGTGCGCCCGGGTTTGTCGTCGATACTTGGGCATTGCCTTTTCGAAGAGGGAGATAACTTACGTGTATATCACCGTGAGGATGAACCATGCCCACAGAAACATCGCCACAGCCTGGTTGAACTCGGGACTGACCTGGCCTGTTGTCTTGTCGGTGTAGGCTGCAATAATCCCGCTCCCGGGGAGGTAGATCATCGCATAGGACAGGTTGAACGCGCCATAGGATGAGAAGACGGTGGCGCCAAACTAAGAAAAGGAGAAACTCGGTTAGTAATTCAAAAGCAAAAAGATCTGCGAGCGTTGATGAGATTCTCACCGTGTTCCCAGAGATAAACTCCATGATGCCCGCTATGTACTGGCAAACCCCTCCGAAAAAGATTATCATGCCGACGAGGACATTGGGGGTGTAGATGTTTCGGACATGGACACCGTAGGCAGATATCAAGAATATTCCTTTTCCAACAACCAAATCTCATGTCAGTTTAAATCCACGCGCTTTTCTGTGTTTGGGGAGGATCGGGGAGCTGGGAAGCATAGTACCCGTTGCGAAAGAGAGCAATCCCAAGGGCGCTGGATTGGCGAATGACCGGTGCACGACGGGGAGAGATGGCTGAGTTCTGTCGTCTTCATGGCCGCCCTTGGTGCGCACGCGTTCCACCCGCGCTCCTTCTTCGTGAGCGGCAACAGACTTTTCGAGCTGGTCTGCCGAGTCGTATGAAGCCATTGTGCTGGGCGTTCTTTTCTGCAGTTCGTTCAACAAGGACAGCTTCTGGGGGAGAGACGAGAAAGTCCACCTGGCTTGTATTTTTTGCTCGAAGGTTTCACGGAGAACAATGCGCTCAAAAATGTGTTGCGTTGCTGGGGGATCTTTAATGTGACCGTCCCTGACCTACTTCAGTCCAGCTTGGAGAGCCATTCTCGCGCCGTGGCATTGAAGCGGCATCACTCCGAACGTCGACGGTGCCCGGCATCATACCGGGCATTTGATCGGCAGTATAGTCTCGACCAAGACTCCCGCCATGTAACAAGGAATCAGGGCGGCAGCGAGATAGGCGGCTTGTGTCGACGGAAACAATTGATCGTGGAGATCACATAGCGTGGGCCGAATCGCGGGGTTGAAACAAAGTCGGTTTCTCGCTTGTGAGCGGTCGAGCCGTCTCTCTCTGCCTGGGAACCATGGTGATAGACTTTCTTGGCTACCCCATGGTCAAGACTATGAGGGAACCTTCGGGGCAAAGAGGAAGAACATGGGCTTGTTGCACGTTCTTGATGGAGATGGTGATGAAGAGCATAGTGCGGAGAAAGGCGGACGAAGGCGGTGGCGTGTCTCAACGAATGGCAGAAAATGATGCCCAAGTCTATCCAATCCTTCCATCCATCCAGCCAACGGACGATCCAATAATATCCATTGAGTATCCCTTCTGGTTGCTGGCCCGTCGGCCTCTCACGCGTTGCCGGTAATCACACCGGTGCCCATATCCGGTCGCTGAACTGGCGAACTTCTTTGCCATTCAATTCGAAAAGCTGCATCGAGGCAGATCTCCCCCACCTATGTCACACGTGTAAGCAGGGCCAAAAGTACAAGGTCTGGTTCACATGACGATGGGAATTGTTCTACCGCTTCGAAGTCTTCTATAAGCCTTTGTATAGGAAGTTTCTCTCTGCAGACCGACAGAGTTGAAGTTTCTTACTGGGATTGAAACAATGTCCACATCAGCTACAGGCGGCGCGGCTTCGGCTAGCAAGAGCTTGACCAACTATGCATCATATATACCAGAGGGCAGCAAGCAACCGCGGATTGGGCATCTGGATCTGGACTCCAATTCCATCACACCCCTTTCCTACACCTCTGGCACTCCGATCAGGAATCTCTACGAAGTGATTGAAGCAGGCGAGGCTGCCATTGTTCAAGCAGGAGAACCGTTCGCACGCAGCAAGGCGAGACTGCTACCCCCGATCTACGGCCGGGATATTCTTGCTGTCGGGAAGAATTATGCGGTATGGAATATCCAGTGTGGCATACTTTGTTCCTCGTCACTGATGTACCCCAGGCCCATGCCAAAGAGTTCAATGCCTCAGGGTAAGGTGCTGCGTGTGAGCGGCGGCTGAATACCTAGCAGCGGACCAAAGTGCTAACCGTTTGTGTGTTACAGCTATGACAGCTCTGACAAGGTCGACATGCCCACCCACCCAGTCATCTTCACCAAGCGCTGGACTTCTGCTATTGCGGATGGGGACGAGATCTACCCCCATCCGGGATTCACCGAGTCGGTGGACTACGAAGGAGAAATCGGCGTCATTGTAGGCAAGCCTGGATTCAAGATTGACGCAAAAGATGCCCTCGACCATGTCTGGGGCTTTACCATTATCAACGACGTGACAGCGCGAGAACGGCAGCGGGACCACAAGCAGTTCTACATTGGGAAATCGTGAGCGTCCCACCCCCTGTGTAAATGTTATTATCCTTTTCCGAAGGACTAGTCCCCCATCCTATTCATATCCTCGTGAAATCCGTTAATGGTGTTTACAGGCCTGATACTTTTGCGCCGATGGGCCCGATAGCCGTCCCGAAGGAGCATCTTCCAAAGGTGCTCACTGTGCAAACTGTCGTAAACGGAGAAAAGCGACAAGAAGGTACGACTGACGATTTGATATTCAGCATCCCGACTTTGATCGAGACACTATCTGCGGCCCAGACACTACAACCTGGAGATGTATTGGCAACCGGGACGCCCGCCGGCGTTGGCTTTGGCTTTGACCCCAAGGTGTGGCTACATCCTGGAGACGAGGTCAAGATTTCAGTGACAGGCCTCGGAACATTGACAAACAAGATTGCAAGCCCAGAATCGAGAACTACCATCCTCAACCACATCGTCTCGCCCGCTGTGCCCGTGGCAAATGCCCGGACGGTCGAAGGTCGTGGGTTGACCTCTGTTGGCTCGAAACAGCTGTTCTACCAGAGAAAAGGCGGTGACAATGCTGGGCGGCCAATTTTCTTCATCCATGGTCTGGGCGGCACTTCAGACTATTTCGGACCTGTGATGACAAGGCTGGGGAACTCCTGGACGTATCACCTGGCCGATCTCGAGGGCCACGGGCTGTCGCCAACAGCCGCGACGAGCAAGTTGAGCATCGCCTCCTTTGCTTCGGACGCATATGAACTTTGCTCTCAGGCTGGAATCAACGCCGAGTCTGGCTTGACCGTGGTCGCACATTCGATGGGCTGTTTGGTTGCGATGAAACTGGCGCTGGATCATCCGGATTTGGTCAAGACACTGATCTTACAAGGGCCTGGTCCTTCACCGCTCCCAGAGGCCGCCAGCAAAGCCACATACGCCAGGGCCGCCCTTGCTCGGGATCAGGGCATGCTTGGAGTAGTGGATGCGGTGGTTGGTGCAGGGACATCTGATTACAGCAAGGCACATAATCCTTTGGCAATTGCAGCCGCTCGAATCTCCCTCCTGGGACAAGACCCCGAAGGATACGCAAAGGCTTGTACAGCACTTGCAGACTCGCACGCCGACACCTTGGACATCTCAGCCCTGAAAGCCAGAGTGTTGATTATCACAGGAGACGAGGATAAGGTGTCGCCGCCGGAGATGTGCAAGAAGATGAAGGAGAAAATCCCTCAGTGTGAGGACGTCGTGGTACTGCCTCATGTCGCCCACTGGCACCTGTTTGAAGCTACCGAGAGTGTGTGCTCGGCTGTCACCGACTTCCTGGGTAAGCAGTAGCCACAGCCGCCCCCTTTTCGACCCTAATTGCGCCAGGATCTCGAAGCTAGAAGGTGGACAAGGTGGCTGGTGAAAGCTGCAAAAAGTCCACAGTTACATAGGGCCTGCGCCCGTTCTTTCGATCAGGGTTAGACGACTTACATAGACATAGATGAAGTCCTTCCTTTCAAGCCGCCTGGGTTCATTCCGTCGACCCGGGCTAGAGGTCCTTTGTGCTCGACGGAGGTGAGCTGTGACAGGAATCTGAGCTGAAGGTCGCCATAAGCACGGGCGTGGCTGAATTAGCTGTTGGGATTGCCCGTAGTTACTTCCTTAAACGACCCGGGACTTTGCGGGGGAGCGCAGAAGTGGTGCTAGTTAACAGCCCCTAGAAGCTGCTAGGCGGTCAGGGGTGCCTGGGTGAAGCTCCGTCTGCCCGAATCATTCCTCGGGTACCCTGTAAGCTGCCGCCCGATGGGGCTCACTAGGCCCCTGTTGTGCTTAGCAGTAGCCTAATGAAGCCTCTGATGGCCGCCCATATTACCTTGACTAAACGACCCGGCGCACCGCCCCGGATTTCATTTCTCGATGCTAAACTTGACGAAACAACCATCCGGCAATTCATTTCCTGCTTCATCCCCATCCTCATCCTGCCCTTCATCTTTCACTTCCACGTCTGTTTCTCGTGAGAACCACGGCCTGCTGTATCTACTATTGACTATTCGATTCGGCGCTGGCATTGTGACTCTAAGGCTACCTGAAGACCTTGCCAGCTCGCCCCTGCTCCTCAGGGCTTCGAAACCCCTCCCGTCTCACATGGCGCCTCAAGTCGACAAACGGCAACCTCGGGTGCCTCTCAGCTGCGAAAACTGTCGAAAGCGGAAGATCAAATGTTCGGGCGAACGGCCCTTTTGCGACACATGCGCCCGTCGTGGCTTCAGCCATACGTGCTTTTATCTGCGCCAAAATGTGCAGGCGGCCGCCGGGTCCAGCTCCGATGAGGTGCTCCAAAGAGTGAGACGAGTCGAAAGCCTCCTGGAGCGACAAGTCTACCTTCTGGAGCAGCAACATGAGCCCTCCCCAAAATCTCATGAGTCGAATCAAGATATCCTGTCCCACCATCCACCATCGTCGGTGAACTCGTCGCCCTGGACGGAGGTCGAGGTAGCTCCTTCGGACGCCGCAACTTCAACCATTGTCGGTACCGTGTTGGTATCCGAGGGAGGCTATGAACGATTTGTCCCCGGACTCGCCTCTTCAGATGCAGACGCCGTCAATGAGCTGATTCAATCTGCTTCTGCTCCACCAATGTCGTCGAGCTTCCCGTTTTCCAGCGAGGCACTCGCAACGCGAAGAGCGCTTTTGGAGGTTCTGCCTCCAGGACGGCAGTGCGACGAATTGAAGGATAAATTCTTCGAAGTTTTCTCGCCGGTAAGTGTCGCCCAAGCTTCTTAGCCTCTCTAGTCATCCCCCAGCTCTCTAGGGCGGGTCTGTCAAGGCCTTAGGAGCAGTCCTCTGCTAGCTCAAAGGATGTGTACCTTCCAAGTTGCTGCTGGCAACAGAGAGGAAAGAATGTTCTTTCCCTTTTCGTGAAGTTGGTAGGTACAAACAGATATGGTCTCGTTTTCATCGTAAGAGAGGAGAAATGTCATCTTACTGCTTTCCTCGTCGATTGATTGCTCTTTCGCACAGCCGGTACACTAGAGAGCGAAAGCTGACCCAGTTCGAACAGCTCTTTCACATACTCCATGACCCAACGTTCCATGCCGAGTATGCCAACTTTCGCCAATGCCGAGGAGACGTATCCCTCTCATTTCTCGCGCTGCTGTTCGTGATTCTCTCCATCTCCGTCACTGCGTTAGACTCTGACGATCCACTCCTTACGGATCTTGGAGTGGAAGCTACGGCTTCAGCAAATATCAAAAGCTTGGCGACAAAATACCGAGCAGCCGCGATGGGATGCCTTTCAGCAGACCAGTTCCTGTGGCGACACAATTTGCACACCGTCCAGGCTTTGGTGCTCCTGATATATGCACTTTCGCATGCTCATGGGCCTTCATGGGCCTTGTTGGGGACCACCTTCAACATCTGCGTCTCGATCGGTTGCCACATTGACCCATCTCAACTGAACTTAGATCCCGTGAGAAGTGAACAGAGGCGTCGGTGTTGGGCCGGCCTCATGTTGCTGTATACCGTCCAAAACACTTGCCTGGGGAATCTTGCCCCAATGAAGGTTACGACCAACGTACGTCTCCCTGCGGATGTGGATGATGAGTACATCTCCATGTACGACAGCCCGCAGGTTCACGTGGACGAGTCTCAGCCAAAACCTCTCAGCAAAATGTCGTACATCCTGTTCAAGTTCAAGCTATATCGACTGGCGTCCGATATAACAAACTTCGCCCGGGAAAATGGGCACTTGAATGGCCTGAACGAGCTCGACGCACGGATCTCCAGAGAAGAGCACGAACACAACGCACGATTCACCGACCCTCGTCAACTTCCCGTTTACCATCTCGCTCATCTCTATATCATCAAAAACTATACGAGTCACCTGCGGCTCATCCTGCATCGACCGTATCTTCCGCCGCATTCTTCAGCTCCGGACAGCACCCTGTACGAGTTCCCCGAACAAGTGCTCCAGAGCCGGCAGTACTGTAAGATGTCGGCAATGAAGATTCTCAGCAACCACGAGGACCTCTGCTGCGACAAGAACCTCCTGCCTTATCGCTGGTTCGTGTATGGCCTGGGCGGCTACCAGACATTTCTGGCGGCGTCGACACTCGTGGTGCTCCTGGGTTCGGAAGACGACTCGGTCGCATCGGACCGCGCAGATGTAATCTTCGCCCTGCAAAAGTGTCAAGCACGCTTCGAGCAGCTGTCCCCGCGCAGTGACATCTCCGCCAAAGCTGCCCGGATCCTGCGCCGCACGCTCGGTTCCCCCGAGAGCAGCAACGGCCGCGGCGACACGGCTCCTCAAGAACCCCCGGGGTTGTACCACCAATCCTCGAGCACCAGCGACGAGTCCAAGAGGTACAGCATGAGCCACAGACATCCGATGTCCAGCGCTTCTCCTGGCGGCAGCCATAGCCAGCCTGCGCCATCGATGGCGCCCGGTGTCAGGTACAGCCAGCAGGCCCGGTTCACCGGTGTCCTGGCTACCAACAACACCAACGGGTCCGCCGCGAAAATGGACTTGCCACCACCACAACAGCAGCAGCAGCCACAACCTCATTCCTTCTTCCCCTGCCCGCAACCCCTATACGAGCTGATGAGCCTCCCCGCGGAGCAATGGCTCAGCGGCCCCTCAGCGCTGGCCTGGGACTGGAGCAGTTGGGTCGACGTGCCCGACCCCCAAACCGCTGGATCGGATATGTTCATGGACGCTTCCGGCGTGATGATGTGATGTGATGTGATGCGATTGTGAATAAATACCATGTGGATATCACTTTGGGAAGCGAAATGCAATGTGACGGATGATACGACACGACACGAGACAACGGAGCTTAGTGCGGCCGTCAATGACACAACCTTGGGCTGGACAAACGAGAGAACCAGAAAAGTTTTCAATCCATCCTTTTTTTTTTGTTTTTGTCTTCTCCATGGCCTCCTGCTGACGGGCCTATCTGCCTGTTCTTGTAGCGTTACCGCATGTACCTAGGTAGTTCTGGAAAAGGTTTGAAGCAGGCAAGAAGCCCCCCGAGACCCCAAAAAAGTGAGACTGGGTGACTTTCCCCCCACAAAACTCTCAAGTTTCCTGTTCCTGTCACGACTTTTGGAAAGTACGTGTAAGAGCAAGCAATGTGTTCTTCTTGGGGTGGGATCGATTCGCCATGATTATGACGAGGCGGTCATAGTTGGGACAGTAGCCTTTACCCTAGCAAGGGGGGGTTCGGGAATGTTGGTTGTTGGTTTGATACGTGCTTCAAAGGGCATGTCGACGTTCAATGCATAGTACGGGTAGTAACAGCCTTCACGACGCTACGCTGTGTACTTCATAGTAGATAACACACCACTCAGGGCACCGGTGCATATCTGGTATGTCACATGTCACATTGTATGCGCTTTGTTTTTAGTATATACGAGCATTATCCCAGGGCCATCTCTAGCCTCTCCCTCAAGGCGCTCAAGACCAGCCACCAGCTGGCCTGCCGCTGGACCTGGTCCCTTTGTTTGATAGCCCGGATGGTCTCAACGGGCCGCTGCGACTTGACCTGGTCCTCGGTGAAGAAGTTGCCGTGCAGGCCGTAGGGCACTCTCTGCGTCAGATACACTCGAGCGACGATCGTCTTCATGTCTCGGGCATCAATGATCCACAGCTCGCTTCTGGCGTCCGGACGACATTCCCCAGATGGGTCCAGCTGTGATTCGTCGAAGACGTAGGTCAGCAGCCACCCGTCGTCTTCACGAGTGCCGCTTTCACGTGGCACAAAGTGCGGCTCCTGAGCAAACCAGCCTGGGGGTAGGCGGAAAATCGAGATCGGATCCCCCTCCTCCTGAGATTGAAGGACCTCATCGACAGACCTTGTATCAACACAATTAGGAACGCGCCCGGTAAGGGAACAGGTCTTGCCTCGCGTGATGAGGGTCTCAACGTCTGCCTTGACCAAGCAGTCGATCTTGACAGTGCGACCAAGGGCGGTTCCAAAAGTACCTGTAGAAGCGGAACAGCCATAGACATATTTCGCCTGCCCCATTGTTCTATCTTTCCTGACGTTGGGGAATTCGAATGGAACGGCACTTAGTCCGAACTGGTGAGATATGTGCCCGGGGTGTGCCAATGAGAATTGGTAGTAGTAGAGTCGGCACTGTTCTTCCTCGATATCAAGTTCGTTGGACTTTAGCTGCGGAGCAGGGATGTCACCTGTCGTAAAAACGAGCGAAGCCGAAGTCATTCGGCATGCGAGCATATTGACTGCAGTCGTCCTCGTTTTCCCAGTTCCTTTGTCAACCACATTGTCATCCCACGTGTTAGCAGTGTGGAAAATGCAGCATGCTTTCGTCTCGAACCAGACAATCTGCTGAGGGTAATATCGAGGAAAGACGCCAAACCGAGAAGGAGAGGATGAGTCGTAGGCAACAACAGGCTTATGTTTCAACAAGTTCAATGGATCTAGCGACAGAGGCAAGTCCATGATGACAGTGTGGTGGGAAGACACGCCGAAATCATGCATCATCTTCGCCGACGAAACGCCCGGGATAGGGGCGCTCAGCAGTCTTAGCGGCCGCTCGAGCGGCGAGGGGAGGCTGGCGGGCGGGAATGTCGCAGGTATGATCGAATAATGTACATATGGAGGGACAAAATTTGAGTGAAAGAGTAGCAGCTCTCCTGTCTTCGGATCGACACGAGGATGGGCTGTCGTCCATTCTTTCATGAATTGCAATAATCCGTGTCCGCCAAATCCCGGGCCTTCGACGGCGCCCGGCTCTCCTTCTGCTCTCTTCCCGTTGAACCAGCCAACAGTCTCGAGACCAGGAAGAGCGACTCTCATTGGAGGCCCGGACTCGCAGGTGGCAAGAGCACGTCCATCATGGAATAAGACACCAGTGTTGGCCACGCTAATTTTCTTGATGGGTTGTGTTGAGCCAGGAAGTCGCGATAGTAGGGCAAACAATATGCTGCGAGAGAAAAGGACAATAAATCTGTACAATGAGGTCAAGGGATTGACCAATGTTGCTATGCTGGGAAGAATAGGAACGCGCAGGTGTTTCGAAGAGATGGTTGACAGATAGAGGTCGGTCAGGACGAATTGATTGACGAATTCAGGTTGAACACCATTGGTAGTTCGTATAAAGGCGACACCACTGAGCATGCCATCACCGTCGAACCAATGTGCATCTCGGCCCAGGTCCTCGTTTGTTACAGGGTTGCCGCCATTTCGAACGTATTCACCTCCAACCAGCTCTTCGGGTATACTTCCAGAATATGCGCATGGTTTCAGACTCTGGGCCTTCTGCAAAGGAGCAAAATTGCCGCTGAGGTACGGATGTGGATGGCTTCTCTTGCGACTTCGAGGAGATTTTGCTCTTGACGGGGGATAGGATGTGGGCTTTCTTGAGGAATCTGATGCGACCACAGGGGAAAGCGACTTGGTCATGGTCGAGGAAACGATATGAGGGAGCCGGCCAGTAGTGGAAAGCTTCACCACTGCCTGATCCAGGATCGTTCGGTGATGTGTTGGTTGCTGCTAAACATTTACGAGAAGACCTGTTGTATCAAAGAGCGAGTACGTTCGAAGGTCACGCCAGGTCGACGTCAGTCTAGACCGGACATGTTGAAGTGGAACGGGGTCCGAGGGAGTCCGAACGGTCAAGCTCGATACTATAGTATGAAATCCAAATCACGCAACAGGAGGGGAAGGGGCTAGTTCACATGCCAGTCACCAGAGAGAAACTCACACCATTGCTTCCCTGAGGGTGCCTGGAGTGAGGAGGAGAGTTGGCGGCAGCTAGTGGCCAAGGTTCACATGATGGAACCGCAGAGGGGAGCAGGGAGGGAGGCGTTGATCTCGATGCAAGCAGAACCTCTAAAAGTCACCGACCTCAGGACAAGGTGGGCGACAGCTTCATTCAAGCTAGTTGACTAGGTAGGTTGGTAGGTTGGGTGCAGGGGAAGGGCGAAGGTACCGAGTAGCAAAATAAGGTGAAAAGCAACTGACAGGTGCACAAGCGATGGAGCTGCTGCCCGGCACTGCACAGGCTGCATAGGAGGATAGGGAATCATGTCGTCATCAAGCTGTTGGTGCCCGGGTAGTCGAATTCCTAAGCACCTAGATACCCCTAGGCACCTATTAGGTACCTAGTAACAGTGCTGCGCTAAGGAGCGATCGTAGCAGCTAGCACCGCTAAGCATAGGTAAATACTTACCTAGGTAGATTCTGTCAGCACTATGTGTGGAAGGTTAGACGAGAAACCCGCCTTAGTGTACGGAGTCCCTCGTGAGCTCGTACAGTGACAGTGTCTGGCTGCTTTTGCCTGAAGATTCCAATGCCGTGGCCCGTCAGCCTCATGTCAGATCTGCTTCTGTGGCTTTGACCCCCACGACGCTCATCGTCGCCCTCATCCCCAACTTGGAATTGTGCGCGTCATGATATCCCAGAAATTTCAACGGCTTACAGCAGAACTCTGCACGAGTGTGCTCCGCTATGGCTGCATGCTCGGCGACTAGCTATTTACTGTTTCTCAAAATCCCAACCGATTCTCTGCTCCTCCCGTTGACATCGCACGGCTGATTGGTATATCATGGCGTCTACCGTTGCCGAAAGCTTTTACTGAGACAGGAACATCTGAACTTCCCTCGCAGGCACAAAAGGCCCTCAAGTGACGATCGGAAGCTTTGTCCTGATGTACGACTATGCGTTGGTGTATGTGGCTGTTCTACCCCTGGACAACTTTTCTCTGCAAGCCCTAACATGTCCTGTGTCCGCTCTAGACACGTTGTTTACACCATCCCCCTTGCGATAGCCTTGTCTATTATCCTGGGCCCTCTGTTCACACGACGTGATATCTACAAGATATGCTTCCTTCAACTTGTCGCTGTCACATATACAATTCCCTGGTGAGAGCGAGCTCGGCACCTCCAACTGTTGGGAAACACTAACCGGTCAAGGGATTCGCACCTTATCAGAACCAGGATCTGGAGTATGCCCATTTATTCCTATTGTGGTACAGGGCTTTGAAGCTAATACTAACTTTGCCAAGCATATCCGCAAGATGTGATTATAGGGCCAACGCTGTTTGCTATTCCGGTCGAGGAGGTCTTCTTCTTTAGCATTCAGACTTATATTGTAAGCCATTACCCCTTGTTTGTTGTACGGGCAAGTTTGCTAATCCTGACTAGGCCACTTGCCTACAGATCCTTCTCAGCAAGCCGGTCCTCACCGCAATTCACTTGCATAATGAGGCCGACTTTCGGGACCCCGTTGGCAAGTCACTACTGGCTTGGAAGCGAGCAGGCCAGCTAGTTTTCGGGTTGGGCTTGGTGATTCCAATCCTGCGAGAAGGGCCTGCCGAAGGCCATTACATGCGACTCATCTTGATCTGGGCAGGCCCAGTAGTGCTGATGCTCTGGACATTTGCCTACCAACTACTAGTCACATTGCCATGGACAACAACCTGGCTACCTATCGCTGCACCGACATTATATCTGTGGATCGTTGACACATTGGCTCTCCGCAGGGGCACCTGGAGCATTGAGTCAGGCACAAAGCTCGGCATTCAAATCTGGCCCCATCTGGAACTAGAAGAAGCCGTCTTCTTCCTTCTGACAAACACTCTTGTAGTATGGGGCGGGATTGCCTTTGACAATGCCGTGGCTGTCCTCGACGCCTTTCCTGGTCACTTCCCCACCGTTCCCGGCCTGCCAGCTCCAACGTTGATGTTGAAAGCTTTATTTCTGGCCACGTCAAAATATGACACCGCGCGTCTACAGGGTTTACGGATTGCACTTACGGTGCTTGCTAAGAAAAGCCGATCATTCTATCTGGCTTCGGGTGTCTTTTCTGGTCGGCTGAGGATCGACTTGATACTTCTCTATGCATTTTGCAGGGTGGCTGATGATTTGATTGACGATGCGCCCTCTGCATCGGAGGCAAGCAAATGGGTGCAGCATTTCACCTATTTCCTGGATGTTGCGTACTCGCCAAAAAGGGATGAAGAGCACTTGCAGCAGGCCCTCGATCCATTCCCGCCCGAGGCGCAGACAATCCTGCGACTCCTTCCGACGGACAAACTGCCTTCTGGGCCACTCTACTCGCTTCTCGATGGCTTTCGGATCGATCAGAAATTTTTTGACACTGGATCTAGACAGAATCCCCCAATTCAAAATTTCGACGACCTTGAGCGATATGCAAGTTGTGTTGCAGGAACGGTTGGTGAACTTTGTTTAAATCTTGTCTATTATCACGATCCCGATCAAGCAACCTCCCCAGAAACCAAACGAAAGTGTCTCACTGCTGGTGCGAAAATGGGACGAGCACTGCAGTACGTCAACATTGTCCGAGACGTCAAGACAGACGCCGATGCCGGACGATGCTACATTCCTAGCGATTGGCTTGATAAATCCACGCAACGTTCATCCGAAGCTCTATCCGAGGAAATCCCGCGTCATCGGAAGAGGATACTGGACGTTGCATTCACGATCTATGCCGAGAATAGAGATGCAATCGAAGCGCTGCCATACTATGCGCGAGGTGGCATCCGGGTCGCCGTCGAGAGCTACATGGAAATCGGCAGGGTAATGCGTGAAGCAATGCGACAGGGCAGGCCTTTGGAATTTGCCGGTGGCGGCAAGAAGGGACGAGCAAGCGTACCAAAGTCGAGGAGGATATGGGTTGGATGGAAGACAATGATGGGAAGGAAGGGTGCGGTGTGATGGAAGAGGTTTTACTTTCTCACTTTCATCCTTCATGTGCATAGCTCGAGGTTGGCCAAAAGCACCGTCCAGATCAGGTTGAGAGGTCGCATTGAGGATCTTTCTCCCTGCGACTAGCGTGTGGCGTGCGGGGACTGCTTGATATCAGATCCAGATCTTAACCTTGGATATCAAAGCTCCCTGCTTTCATCTTTGCTAATTTCTTTGTAACCACGACCATGTTCTGTTCACAACTTAATTAATATCACAATACAGATGGAGATGATTGTTGCGCCCAATATTGACCGGGGACCGAATGAGCCCGAAAGTAGTGCCACATGCTGATGGCTTGGGAAACCAAAGTCATGTTGTCATTGACTCTACGCCCCTACGCCAACAGAGTATAGACTATGTCTCCCTACCTGATCTCTACGCGCTACTCGATCTCTGAGTCTCTATCAGTCCTGGGGATAAGTTCCGAGATATGAACAAGCCAAAAAGCGCTGTCATCGTAGGTGAGATTGTGTGACTGGGGTTTTCCGGTCTTCGTCAATTGCTGATTCCGAGACTCTAGGCGCAGGTGCCGGCGGCATTGCCAGCGCTGCCAGACTCGCCAAAGCCGGTTTTCGAGTGACCGTACTTGAGAAGAACGACCATACGGGCGGACGCTGCAGCTTGATACACGACGATGGCCACCGGTTCGATCAAGGCCCTTCTCTCCTCCTCCTGCCCGACCTCTTCGAGGAAACCTTCACCGACCTAGACACGTCCCTTGAGGCCGAAGGGGTAGAGTTGCTCAAATGCGAGCCCAACTACAACGTCTGGTTCGGCGATGGGGAGTGCATTGAGCTGTCCACGGATGTTGCCAAAATGAAGAAGACGATTGAGCGTTGGGAGGGAAAAGAGGGGTTTGAGAGATACCTCGCGTGGATGAAGGAGGCTCATGTTCACTACGAGGCTAGTGTTGTTCATGTACTGAGGAAGAACTTCTCCACAATATGGGCAATGGCCCGTCCGAGCTTCCTGCCCTACCTTATGGCCCTCCACCCCTTCGAAAGCATATGGAATCGGGCAGCGCGATATTTCCTGACGGAGAGACTGAGGAGGGCTTTCACTTTTGGGAGCATGTATATGGGCATGAGTCCCTTTGAAGCTCCTGGCACCTACAGCCTGCTCCAGTATACCGAACTGGCGGAAGGCATATGGTCAGTCTCCCATCATACAACCATTTCCGTAGCTTGGCTCCTAACGAGCGCGCAGGTATCCGAGAGGCGGGTTTCATCGAGTCTTGGACGCTTTGGTCCGAGTTGGGCAACGTCTCGGGGTCGAATACAGACTGTCGACACCTGTTGCTCGAGTAAATGTCGACGGATATTCCCAGCGCGCCACGGGCGTTACGCTGGCCTCTGGAGAAGTTGTGAACGCCGACCTTGTCTTGGTCAACGCCGATCTCGTCTATGCCTACAACGAGTTGCTATCTCCCTCTCATCAAGCCACAACATTGTCGAAGAAACCGGCTTCTTGTTCCAGCATCTCATTCTACTGTAAGTCCGCTACTGCCGAAGCCTTACGTATCCCAAGCTAAGCCATTCAGGGTCCATGGACAAGGTGGTCCCTGAGCTCCACACGCACAACGTCTTCCTGGCCGATGACTACCAAGACAGCTTCGACGACATTTTTAAGCGACAACAGATTCCGAAAGAGCCCTCATTCTATGTCAATGTGCCCTCGCGTGTCGATCCAAGCGCCGCTCCCGAGGATCGAGACAGCGTGGTGGTGCTCGTTCCCTGTGGTCACCTATTGGAGGGAGAGTCTGATCGGGGCCTCAACCCGCAAAGCGCGCAGGATTGGCAGTCTATGGTTGCAAAAGCTCGGCACGCAGTATTCGAAACGATTCGTCTCCGGACAGGGGCCGATCTTCAATCCCACGTGGTTCACGAGATAGTCAATACGCCGGGCACGTGGAAAGACAGATTCAATCTTGACAGGGGCGCCATTCTTGGATTGAGCCACTCGTTCTTTAATGTGCTCAGCTTCAGGCCCGGGACGAAACACGCGGCAATAGGAGGCGTGTACTTTGTGGGAGCCAGCACTCACCCAGGAACCGGTGTGCCGATTGTGCTGGCTGGGAGCAAGATCACCAGCGAACAAATCCTCGACGACCTTGGCATGATCAAGCCGTGGTCTCCGGGAAACCACAAGAGGAGGGTGGTGAGCGATCTGGACAAGTGGGGAAAGCCTCCTTTGGACCTCGTGCACACCCTTATTGTTGTATTCTTCGCGTTGGTGGTGATGCTTATGCTCGCCGCTAGATGATGGATGATATAGAAGTGGGGGACAATAATAGACAGCGAGGCGCGTATGAAACGTTAACTCTTCCATCTCTTTTTCTTGTCAGGATATACCCAAGTTATTCCTAGGTACGGTCTCTGGCGTCTACTCGTTTTCACTCCGTGTCTGCCAATTTCTCTCTAGCAACCTGGACTGCTAGGTACCTGTAGTCTCGTGCCACTGTGGCGGCGTTTCTGCCATTCAGCCATGGGGAGCGTAAAACAGCGAGAGGTTGCTATGCACTAGCCCCGTTGGGCAAGTTTGCTGCATGGGACGTTTCGGATATTTCTCCGGGACGGATGAGTCAGTGACTCAGGCTGTCGGCGCTGCTATGACCTCATTCACCAACAAAGCACCACAAGTGCCAAGATCGTCGATCATCGAGGAATCACCGGGAACCACCGTCGAATCGCTAGCGGCGTGACTGCTCCTAACTTTCCAAACGTTTTCGCGGTAGAGCCTTGCTCCCAGCATTTCCGACAAAATGCCTCTGACTAACCGCTGCAGGATGACTGGCACCCTGGTTGGCGCTGTCCTTTCTCGTCTGAGGTAATGAGATGGCCTTGCTGAGCTCGCCCCTTGGGCCGTTTCCGCTGACATGTTATGATCGCCCACCAATGCCGGCTAAGCCTAACGCCAGCTGTCTTCGCAATTTTCTCCGGTTCGCCACAGGAATGGAAGTCCGACCACCCGATTGAGGTCAGTCATGCCCTCCATCCAAGTCAAGGCGGTCTGCACTAGACATCAGCCTGCATTTGCTGTCAAAGGGTCGAAGCCGACGACATCCGAGCGGCGATACGGGTATGGATTTGTCGGCACCATCGAATGACAGTCACGGTAGCGTCGACAAATCTCAGACCACCACGAATGCAGCCCGGGCGTTTGAACTAACCAGCTGTGAGCCCTGCGGCCAGTCACCCTTCAGAGCAGTGTTTCCGATGCCAACAGAAAGTCGAGCTAATGCGTGGGTGGCTTGGAGACGGTCACCTGTTTGGGACATGAAAACAAAGGCCCTACCCAGAGCCTTGCAGCTCGATGGGCAGATGACCCTCCCCAGATGAGAAAACCTTACAGGGGGAGCTTACATTCTGCCAGAAGATTCCCTCGACACCCGGCTGCTACGGCAGCGTCAAGGCATGGAGCCCTCTCGAGGAATCTCCGGGATGGCACTTCCTCTCAATGCAGCATACTGTTTTGAGTTGACTGATCAAAGCGAATCGACGTCACGTTGCTGCTATCCGTGGCAGTCCGTATCTCAAAGGCACGAGACACTCATCTATTAAACCCCCCTTCCGCTCCGGAGCAGCGTATCCATTCTCACTTCCATCAACAGAATCAGCGACCTAGGAGGCCAACAGTCCTTTTGCAAATCCAGTCCTATCACTTTTAATCGACCCCCACGACAAACCACCTCCGCCAAACACTTCTCTTCAAGATGGGCAACGACGTCTTCCGACACAATGGTTTCACCAACACGGTGACTACCAACAACCACATCACTGCCGCTGGTAGTGATTGGTACTGGACTGTTTGTTCGGTCATGACCGTTTCCACCCTCGCCCTCATGGCCCTGTCCTTTTTCAAGCAGCGATCCCAGCGTCTGCTCTACTACATCGCCGCTGGCCTCACTCTGATCCCTGCCATCTCGTACTTCTGCATGGGTTCCAACTTGGGCTGGACCGCCATCTTGGTTGAATGGGTCCGCAGCGACCCCAACGTTCACGGCGACATGCGCCAGATCTTCTACGTCCGCTACATCGATTACTTCATCACCTTTCCCCTCCTGTTTACCCTGTTGTTGTTGACCTGCGGTCTCCCCACCTCGACTCTCCTGTACACCCTGCTCATGGGTGAGGTCTGGGTCATTATGGCTCTCGTCGGTGCTCTCGTCCACAGCGAATACAAGTGGGGTATGTGCTTCAAAACGTGACACGGGGTATTTGTGACAAGATTGCTAATTCGGGATATCAACAGGTTTCTTCACCTTCGGAACTGTCGCACTCTTCTTCGTCGGCTTCGCCCTCATCTACGAGGGACGTGCTTATGCCCGCGTTCTCGGACAAGATATCCTCCGTGTCTACACTGTAGTCTCTGCGTGGGTCGTCTCCCTCTGGATCGTCTACCCTATCATCTGGGGTGTTTCCGAGGGTGGTAACGTCATCCCTCCCGACTCTGAGGCCGTCGCTTATGGTGTCTTGGATATCTTGATCAAGCGTAAGTCATCACGTCCCGAGCGCTTACTCATTTTCGTTTGCATATGCTGACTTGCCCTTAGCTGTCACCGCTGCCTTCCTCATCTGGGGCATGCGCAACGTCGAGATGGAGCGCCTCGGCATCCACATCCGCGATGTCAATGCCGCCCCAGGTACTGCTCCTGTGACCGAGAAGCAAGCTGAGGCTGCTGCCGCCGGCGAGGGTGTCACTGCCCCCGCCGCCGCCGATACCACCGCCACCAGCGCTGTGTAAGCGGCTGGCTATGTCGCCGCAACAGCAGGCCCGAGGATCAGATCCGCCCAGTGCTCTGGACCAGCCCAATTTTCGATAAATTCGACGGACCATGTTTCCTCGCCTGAATGCTGCCAAGGGGTTTCTTAGTATCCCCTTTCACTGTCAAGCCGGAGGTCCCTACTTCTTTGGCCGGATCTCTAACAACGATACCCAAACCATTTTTCCTTTTTATACCAACAACCCACCAAAAACCCGCGAATCCGGTAATGCGACAGGTCACTCGTTACAAGATGACTAAGGAAGAATTCAACGAAATGATAATACTTGACTAATAATTGAAGGAGTCGTGCAGAAGGAAGAGGAGCGGCCCGTGTCTGATTAATCACGTCGCGATGATACCCAAGATACCATGTATAAGCATCTCGCCAACTGGGGTACTTAGTACGAGAGGATGGAGAGCTTGACCTAATAACACCCGATACCAATATATAGATCTCATGTAATGTCAATGTTACTCCACACTTCTGACAAGTCTGACTGAGCTTATGAGCTGGCCTCGACTTTTCTTTCCTTTGTATAAGACAGCCAATATTCGGTAGACGACGTATCTCGTGACCACTTGCCAATTGTTCGACAGCTCGTGACCTGCACCGCTTGACTTTCCCTTCTCGTTCTTGCGTGTTACAGAGCTCGTGTGCCAGATCTCTCTTTCTTACGAGTAAAGGAGGGCCATCGACCAGCCACCGCTTTTTCCACCATCAGCTTGCGGACCGCGGCAGTGTGTTCGGCAAGCCGCAATCAACTCGTGATTGGCGTGAGATGCCGCAAGCAAAATAGGGGACAAGCCCTGAGAAGGAAAAAAAAGGAGCCAGCCAACACGAACTTGCCTTTCCCCAGAAAAAAGCTTTCCCAGCCACCACAGATTTCACACAATCTCGAACTCCCCTTATCAAACGTGGATCCCTTGAGGCTTGAGAGGCTTGAGCGCCGAGATGTCGCAGAGTGGACACGAACGTGGAACCCCCTTTTCTCGCTTCACACTCTACTTAACCCGTTCCGACTTAGCACGAGGGTTCCTCGGAGATTTATGAGGTGCAGTAGTGTGGGAACAGTCGTAAAAAGGGGATCCCGGATTACAACCTCGGGGGTTTGTCAAGACTCGAGGGGAAGTGCGCCGGCAAATTCTCATTGTCTTTCACACCTTTTAAAATTACCGCCTTCGAAAGGCGGGTTTCGGAAAGGGAAAAAAGCGCAAATGGAAAGGAGAAGTCCCGGCATTTGTGCCCTCCGGATTAAGGAGCGTATTGACCCAAACTCTGTGCCAAAGCGAAGACATGTCCTTGAGCCTTGGCTGAGGATTTCTTATCAAGAGTGATGGCCTCAGTGTCTTCCCCAGAAGGGAGTGCGAAAACTGGTGCCATCTCGCTTTTGGTCGATAGTTCGTCGCTGAGATGGACAAGCGAGAAGGCACCACACACCGTCTCTTGCACCGTCTGTCGATGATCGGGTTAAGCCTGCAGCATTGCATCCTCGTGACCTGCCGTTGGCCATGTTACCGCACTGTCGAGATTGCAGAGAGACCGTTTTCGATGAAGAAAGAATCTACTCCAGAGGCGAGAGCAGACGAAAGTTGCTCCCCACGATTCTTCTGCAGATCACCTTCGAATCCCTCCGCCCACTACTACTACTGCACCGATTTCTCGTTGGATGGAGTGATCAGAGCCGGGTCCAGTCGTCAAGGTGCTCACTGGTTCCAACGCAGCCGTGCTTCTGTTTTCAACACTCGCGCTAAAGGCAGACAATCCTGATCGCTCAATGGCCGTGGACGAAGGAACAAGCCCACAGAGGCCAAGTTTCCTCCGTGTTCTCGAGAAAGACAAGGGCAGAGAGCCGATCACGTCGGTCTCGCACCGTCGAGACTGGGCCGTGTTGCACAGAACTCATATTATCTTAGTCGTAGCGATGGCAGGAGCGACTACTAACCCCACCCCTCTTGCCCAAAGTCTTCATCGAGACATTCATATGGTAAGTACAAGTATCTATCATTTCGGTCTTGGAAGCCCACCATTGGCGAAGTTGGCAGCTTGCTTCTGCTTGGAGGAACAGTCTCAGACTGGTCGTGGTCAGGGCGACACACAGTTGCAGTCTTGACCAAAACCCCGGCCTCGCGCACACCGCAAATCTCGAACTGCTCTTACCACGGCCAACCATATATCGGTATCGGCAGTTGTCCGGAGGGTTGCAGATGAGGTTGTGTAATCTGCCGCGGCGAGAGGCCTTGATAACCCGGTGTGAAGACGGCTCCTGGCAACACCAGCGGTAGCTCAAACACAGGTAACGCACTTTGGCCGGCTCCAGGTGAAATTGCACGGTTCCTGCTGGCGGCTACAAATGAGGTTAAGGACGAGTCGACCAGGAAGACGCCGCTTCAGATTCGGTGCTGGGCCGATCCGACAGTAACAAAAGTCGCAGCCAGTAAGAAGCCTTGGAGACTCAGAGAATGGCCCGATAACGTTGATGTCAGGGGCTTGGGAAAGAGGACAAGTGGACGAATGGGCGACGGAGCGCATTGTGGATGTTTGTAGGTGGTCGTTTCATCAGTTATTTGCAGAGCTTTGGCGCAAACAAGCAGCAGATGGGCCGCTTAAAATGAATCTAACCTGACGCTGGTGCCACTCTTAGGCGGTCCTTTAGGGGCTCTTAGCGAGGGTCTCGGGAAATTTGGCACGGCTGGCATTGGCTGGCAGCGGAGGACAAGCCCCAACAAACCCCCACAGGCCCACAGTCACTCAGGCACAAGCCCAGGAACCAGCCCAGGCACCATCTAGTTACAACCAGTAGGTGCCAGGGACATCCAGGCGCAACCACTCAGGGGCCATAGTTTCATCAACTCGTCCGACCGCCTATCCACTTGGCCGTCGTCTTATCCACCACTTCTCCGCGATCGTCCAACCCTCATCCCAACTCAAATCAGCCAGACGACCAGTCAACGCCTGCCGACTTGTCTCTGTTGACACCAGCGCTTTACTCTAATTCGGTTTACCACCGCACGCAATTTACCCGACCTCTGCGAAAGACTACGACGATGCTACCGCTGCCAGGCCAGCGCTCCACCATGCCCTTCAGGCCCTTGCCAGCCCATCAGATATGCTTTCGGCCGCCACATATACTCTTGAGGCTTCCCTGCTCGTGTCCAGGTGTTGAAACCTCTCCTTCCACCGTCGCAGAAACCCAGGATAGCATATTGCTGTCGTCCGAGTCGCTGAGCTCCCTCTCAGTTCCTATCACGCTCATTCTTCTTCATTCGAGCAGCGCTCGCTCAGCTCGCCTTGCGCGACACCTCTCAAGGACTATAACAGCACATTGACCGACCACGGCAGGTCACCACACTCATTTGACACTGATACGCTACTCGATATCACGCAACGACCATCGGAAGTCGCCAGGCGCATTCAAGAAGCAAAGTGCGGCTCATGCACACACCTTGATACGATAACACGGTCAAAAACAAACCGAATCAAGATGCGCATCAGCTCAGCCCTCGCAACAGTGGCGCTGTTGCTAGCACCAGCCGCTCTGGCTGATCTACCTCCCGGAAACTGGGCAGGCGAGACCACCATCACAATCACATCCTCTTTCTCAACCACTCTTACCATTACCAAGTATCTCACATATGTGAATGCTACAACGACAACCAGCTCCAGCAGCTACCATGTCACGCCCACAGGCTGGAATATCACTTCTACTGGGCCCACGGCTGCAAGCACAATCAATATACCAACGTTGACAGCCCCAGCTACTTCCACCCTGGGCATTTCACCGCCTATCGCTACTGCAACTGGCGCAGCGAGCGCACAAGAAATCAACTTCGCAGTTGCCGCTCTGGCGGGCGCCGCTGCCGTCTTCTTGGGCTCTTTATAACCAAACCCGTCTTGACACTGATCGACATTGCCGAACATGATGCGGCTACCAGTCGATATTGTTTCTTTTCCTTCCTCATGTTTTGACTGAGTCAATGTTTCACGTCGCGAGCACCAGCATGCTCGTTTTCACTTGTCTGGATAACAACACTTTGATCTCTGAGAGAGTTTGAGACACAATGCGGAGGACTGATTGTCGGAATCTCTGATTGTACCGCAGCCGGTACTTTCACGCATTACCCACGTATCGAAGATGCAAATTGGGAGATTACGCTGTCGACGCCTGGGGCGCAGATGAGTCGGGACCATCAACCACTGTACCAGGCTGTGGTTTCAAGCATGAGTGTTGGGCAATGACGGCCTCTTGCTATTCGCACACCAGGTGGATGAAGACCGGAGGGAAATGGTTCTTGGGATAGGGGCGGCATTAGGGGACACTGGAGACGGAAGGGGGCAGTCTACGATGACGACGGATACGATGCGAACTGCCAATTCCGCACTTTTGGAAGCATGTAAGAGTGTCTCGGTCTCCTTTTACCAAGTGGTGGTGAATCATGTGGGAAGCTTCGTTTTGACCCACGACTCCATCTGTACAGATAGCCAGTTAGCGCAGCCTTGTAATTGAATCAAGAAACGTCATGGAGCACAGCCTGTCTCACTGCCTTGTGGTGTCTTACTACCTCGTGGCTATAGGTTTGCCAAAACACGAAAAAAGAAACCACGGTTGTCTTGCCTGGTTCCGATAACCTTCGCTCCCTCTCATACTACGGAATCGGATCTGTAAAGGGGGAAACTTGGGCACGAAGGCCTTCTGCCAGCCCATTGGACACTGGTCCTTTTTGGGACCGCCATCTACCTATCCGTCTGTCATGTGTCACTGATGTTATTGACGTCTCTCGATAATGGGCTGGGGCTGAACAAGGAACTGCGGATTGTCTGGTGGACAAGAGATCGTGCGAATGTGGAGCGAATGATGGGGGTGGAGAATACGTAGCTACCTAGTATTTTTTGGCGTTCTGGCTTTTGTCGAGGGGGGCCGAACTCAGGAGCAGGAGCAGGAGCAGGAGGAGCAGCAGGAGGAGAGCGTGGTGATGGGGATGTGATGGCGGTTGATGGCGGTCGTGGCGCCTGCGGGATGCTGGTCGATGGTGGCTGGTGGCTGCGCAGTAATCGCCTGGCAACCCAGACCTCGATCCCTCACTCTTTCACACCCACCTGCACCCAGACAACTTCTCAAGGGAGGCTGTTCCCAGACTGCTACTCACGAAGCAAACATGAAAAGATACTGGGTACTTTAGGTAGGTTAGTGAAAGTCGAGCTCTGCCAGCGTGTATGCAGCTGAGCCATTTGGGGCCACTTTGGCCGTCACGTGTTCTCATTCGGACCGTCGCCCTGTCGTCTACACGTAATGCCTACCTAGTAGGCAGGTTTGCCACTCTTGCCCTCTAGTTGGGCGCCTCCGCGAGGCGGGGAAATAGCGAGCATTGGTACCCATCCGAGGCCATCACCATCACCATCACCATCACCATCACCATCACCTGTACGAGGTACGGAGCCATCATGTGTTCCTCATGAGCAATACCCCTTCTTACAAGCTCTTGGGATATTGCTTCGGCCAGGTTGCAGCTACTGGACTGCATGTCCTCTGGAATATTGTGTGCTCTGAGCTGCCTCGAAGGAACTAGAGTGCCGAAGAGCATACAAGACCACTCATCCCCTCCGTCTAGCCTGCCACTTTGCCATCAGCATTCTGGCCTGCATTACAATGCCGGAACTTGCAAGGACTGCATGTTGCCGTTGCCGGGAACAGAAATTGAGATGCTCTCGAGAACTCCCAACCTGTGCCAGATGTCTCAGACTCAGCGCCGTCTGCGAGTTTCCCGCGCCTCCAGATCGCAAAGTTCTCGCCGCCTTCCGTGCACAACCAAAGAAGCGCAAGCTGGAGCGCAGCGCCAGTGACCGGTCTCCACGGAGAAACAGTCACTCAGCAGTCCCTAAACCTAGCCTCGCCAGCCCTGTGTCTCAGCCCGCGAACCACAATACTGGTGCTTCTGCAGAAGAGCGCCCTGACTCTGTCCTTCCTCTATCGAGGTCACAGGAGAAGTTCTTGCAAGACGTCTACTTCACCTGCATGTTCAACTCGACTTTGGTCTTCCACAGACCCACGTTTTCCGGGGCGTGGGAAGACGGACGGCTTCCACGACATGTCCTACTCGCCGTCTACGCAACGGCTACAATGTAAGGTCCGACCCATACTTGACTGCTCCAGCTACCTGACGGACTTGTAGTTTTCTGCCCTTCGATTCGCCTCTTGCACAGCAGAATGCAGCCCTTCTCCAACCACTAGGCGATCTGACAGCCCTGGGAAGACAATGGGCTATTCGTGCTGGGAAAGAAGTGCTCCAAGACATTGATCAGCCCACGTTCGAGAGTGTCCAAACCTGTGAGATGCTCACATTGTATTGGTTCTCGGCCGGCGAATCCCAGAGAAATACCATGTTCTCCGGTATGTGCTTCCTTCGATAGCTCGTGCGAAGACTCTCTGAGCCGGATTTTATGACCAGGTATCGCATACAAAGCAGCTTGCACCCTGGGCTTGGACTTGTCAGAGCCGCTGACCGCAACCGGGGAGAGCCCTGCATCTGGAATAAGTCCAAGCTGGCTAGAGGCAGAGGCAGTGCGGCGTTGCTTTTGGGCCGTCTGGTTTACGCAATGCATCAATTCTGACCATTCGGTTGTTGGCACTACCTACAACGATCGGGTCATGAATCTGTCTCTGCCAATAGCCGAGAATTCCTTTCACGAAGCTGTCCAACAGCCACTGAAAAATCTTTCCAGCGTTCTCCAGCAGCACTCGACCTTTGCGAGCCAGACACACGCTGCGCCTAGCATTATGGCTGAACTCATGACTCTAATCTTTTATTGGTGCGTGTTCCACACCTTTTCGAAACCTGCTTCTAAAGGAAATGCAGGGTTAGGATACGCAATCTTGTCCGAGTCACGGATCGCATCTCTGGCAGAGACTGGCTAGCGGAGCTGTTTGAGCTAGAAGGCAGACTGTCCGCGTGGTATTCACAACTTCCCGAATCCTTGAAATACTCCAAGCGAAATTTGTACGAGCAGTTGGTGGTTCTTCAGCAGCCGGTCTACACCTTTGTGCATGCGCTTTACCACCAGTGTCGTCTTGTCCTTCATTCGTCCTTGGTTCCGAAATTCAGCGGTATTCGTCTCGACAGGGCAGTTCCATCAGAGGCAACAGCCCTCTGTGCTCGAATTGCCCTGAAGAGCGCTCAACGCATATCCGAGCTGGGTGCAGATGTGAGTTAGCTTCAAAGACCCGACTGCGCATGCGAACCAGCGGCTCCTCCAGCACATTTTCTGGTGCTGATGATGATACAGATCCTAGCTCTTGATTGGGACCCTGCCCAAATAGCATCTTTCGTTGGGTATTGTATGTACGTTTCAGCGTCGATCCACATCGCCTTTCTCTGCTCCAGAGATGCAACGCTCGCAGTTCCCGCCAGAGCCAATTTGATGGCCAGTCTAAAGTTGCTCAAGTCGATGAAGATGTATTGGACAAACTTGAAGAGACTGGTGAGTGCACTGCGAAATAGGACAGTCCTGAGATTAACAAACCTTCGAGTGGGTCCGAATCAATTTGCTCTACGGAGCTCAGATGGAGAGACGTTTGGCTTCGGCAAGAGAAGGGCTGGCAGGGTCCGCAGAAGCGCACCTCACCGAGCTCGATGAATTAGCAGGTGAACCACGGGATGTTGGTCAATTGGCCGAGCCTCTTGCCGATTCCGTCCTGGATTATACACTAAGGCGACTCAGACCAGATAGGGTCGTCCTTTCTCCGGCTGCTCAAGCACTCAAAAGACAGCCTTGTCCGGACGACTTATCTCAATTGATGGACGAAGACTCAAGCTTATCGCTAAACCCGTCCTCCCAGTCGGCTAGGCCAGAAGGTCCATTACCTTCGGTAGGTCTGGATCAGTCTAATTTTCTTACCTCTACAGCTCCACAAATAACCGGTGCCTGGGACCGCATGCGGACTCCGACTATGCAGCCTCTGAACAGCGACGGCCTGGACTGGTGGGAGATGACTCTGGACAGCATCCAACAGCCGATATTGCCGTATGAAGAACTCTTCAATCTGGATTTCAACTTATCATAGCGACTGAAAACTCAAGTCGGGCTCCACTATACTTGGACATCCATCGGTCCGAAAAAGACCCACGAGTCGGTGGATTCTATGAGCTCCGTATGCCTCTCCTTAGTGAAAAGGAGACTCTGTTCTGCCCTCATATATATTGTCCTGTTCCGGCAACGGACCCTTCGACCTCGTCTGCGACGTTAATACGCCACTGGTCGGATCTCTGTGTACCATTAACCAACCCGCAGACTTTACACGATACGCTCCAAGATCATGGCCGATACGAACACTAACAGAAAACCTAAGCGTTTCATTACCGGCCACAACGCTGATGGCAAGGGTATTGTCCAGGTTATTGACGAAGGATCATGGCGGAAAATTGACAACGATATTGTGAGATACAACGAAATGTGGTCGACAAGCACCTTCCCGATCGATATCAAGAACGACGAAAATTTGGATAGAGAAAGGACTGTCATGTCTCTGTCTTTACCCAACGGCACAGTACTGAGGATGGTCGACCGCTCCCCCGGCTCCTCCTCCGCCATGCATCGCACCCAGAGCCTCGACTATGGTGTGGTTATTGAAGGCGAGATGGAGCTGATCATGGATTCTGGGCAGATTGTTACATTGAGGAGAGGGGATGTCTGCATTCAACGAGGTACTTTGCATCAGTGGCGAAACCCTGGAAGTACTTGGAACAGGATGCTGTTTGTCTTGATCGATGCTTTACCGCTCGAGGTGGGCGGGGTAGTCCACAAAGGCGAGACGGGCTACGAGCACGTCAAGGAGATAGGGTCTCGTTCCTAAAAGGTTTTGGCATAGTGGTGGAAATTTGGGCGCCAAATACCCGTCGACATCTCTCCGAGAGGTGATAAAGATTGTGTCCGACGCGCAATAAAGTCACAAGGCTTAGAATAGACCTCCACATGATCATCAAATTTGGCATCGCGTACCGTCCGCAGTATATCCATCCCAAGGACAGTGGGAAGAGCGTCTATTCCCAGCAAAATAACAGCAACGTGGCTCTCGCTTCCATTCTACAAGCTGATCATCCTGATCCCTTGGGCAGAAGGGTAGTTTATCGAACACGGCCCGGAGATTGGAGTTAACAGCCCAAACTCTCTTCACCTGACGGCAGGCTCATGCTCGCACTGTGCTTGGGTCGGCAATAGTGACTAGCGACACAGCTGTAGACCTGCCGACGGTGGTACTGTGTATCTGTATCCGAGGCACAAGGTCGAAGTATCCCGAAGCATTCGGGCCGAACGACCCCAGCCTCAGCAACCCCGAACCTCTTGGCCCTCTTGGCCCGTCTGCTTATCCCAATCGACGAACCAATGCAAATTGCCGGAGAGCTTCTGCGGAGCGACTTCAGCCCAACGACCCAGATTCTGGACCCAGGATGGATACTCCAGTATTGCCATTTACAAGCGAAATCCGGGGGCCCGCAGAAGCGATCTGGAGGGACGGGACAATAGAGGCCAAGCACTATCTGATATTGATAAAAGACGACGACCCTTTCACCTTGCCAGCTGCAACCGCCATAGCCCCCCAATTCTTTCTCTTGAGCTCTTTTCCAAAATCATCATGCCGTCTTCGATCAAGAGTGTCTTGCGTCGTCTCGAAGTCAAGCATGACGGAGAGGTCTACTCTGACCGACCGCCCACCAGATGGGGCAACCGAGATGTCTTCCCTGTGCCTCTGGAGCAACGTCGCTACACGGTCATCTCCTACGTCTCGTACTGGTCCATAGCCTCGTTGAGTGTCACCTCTTGGGCCTATGGCGGCAGTGTCATTGCCCTTGGCTTGAGCGCCGGAGAGGGGATTGCCTGTTCCGTGATCGGATCCCTCTTCGTCGGCCTTTTTGCTTTCCTCTGTGGCCATCCAGGGGCAAGTATGCACGTAGGGTAAGTTGGCATTTCCCCCCATGCAGTTCTCATCATTGCTGGAGTCGTTCTGACCGTGTGTTGATAACCACCAGATTTACCGCGCTGGCGAGAGTGACATTCGGACTATACGGTTCATACATCCCAGTGCTCCTTCTGGTGTTTGAAAATGTCATCTTTGTAAGTTCTTCCGCCAACGTTACACCATTTTCGCTGACCCAACGACCAGTTCGGTATCCATGCGTACTTTGGAGGCCTAGCGGTGACTATTGTTCTCAATGCCCTTTCATCGAGCTTTATGCATTGGAAGAATACACTTCCAGAAAGGTGCGTCCGGCTCCAAATACCACAGACGCCAATTTATTGTCTATGCTAAAAGTGCATCAAAAGTGCCGGCGGTGTCACCTCTCAAGGGCTGATCGGTTTCGTCATTTACTTTGTCGTCTTCTTTCTCTTGTTGTTGATCCACCCGTCCAAGCTCCGAAACCTGGTGTGGCCCGCTGCCATCACCATCGCAGTTGTTTTCCTGGGCCTTCTCGGCTGGGCCATCAGTGCCAATGGCGGGACAGTTGGAAACCTGCTGGCTGGAAAGATCCATCTCTCGTCGACCAACAAATCCTTCGCGATGCTCTACGCCATATCAAGCGCCGCAGGGTCGGCCACGGCCTTCTCTAGCCGTGTCTCGGACTGGACGCGATTCGCCGTGACCAAGCATTCAGCTACAGTGCCCATGCTGGTCTTCGCGCCAATTTTCGGCTGCATCGGCCCCATCTTTGGTATTCTTGCCACGAGCGCTGTTTACTCCAGGTATCAGGCGGTCGAGTGGAATCCACTTGGCTTGCTTCTTTATGTGCAAGCCACTCAGTACACTGCTGGGTGCAGAGCAGCCACCTTCTTTGCGGGCTTGGGACTTTTTTGTGCGAGTCTCATGGTAAGCTATTTGCCCGCTCGATGTCTTGTACACTTCACTCGCTGACCACTCTGTTTGCTGCTAGAACAATCTTATGGGCAAAATCAGCTGCGCCGGGATGGACTGTGCAGGGTTGTTCCCCAAATACATCACAACTCGGCGCGGCAGCTATATACTTACGGTCATCGGCATCCTTATTCAGCCTTGGAGACTCGTGAATGGGTCAAGCACCTTCTTGACGGTTCTGGCGTCGTTTGGGGGTGCGTATTCTAATTTCCATGACTCCTCGAAGAGGATTGGAGCTAATTTGAGCTTATAGTCTTCGTCGCCCCAATGACTGGCATCTTGGCTGCCGACTACTGGATTGTCCGGAGACGCAAGTGGGTGATGCACGACATCTACAGACAAGACGGCATTTATTGGTACACGTTTGGTGTCAACTGGAGGGCCTACGTCGCCTTCATCATGAGCTTCGTCTTTGACTTGCGTGAGTTCCTCGCCCATCTCCAGCCCCCTTTCAAGTTCATGGTCACTGACAACAGCATCTTTTTCAGCCGGCTTTGCTGCCTCGGTCAACAAGACTTCGATTGCACCGGGCTGGACTCGGATGTATGACATGTCCTACATTGTCAATCTGGCCATAGCGGTCTTGATCTTCTGCTGCCTTTCGTTCGCCTTTCCTCCAAAGGGACTGGGTGTTGCGGAGGGATGGGACGACGGGTCTGTTGTGGGAGAAAACAAAGTGACGGACCCGACGGTGGCTGTGGAACAGGAAAAGGAGGAGCGCGTCTACGAGGTCGAATGCCTGCCGCCGGCACCGGCGAACTAAATCAGACGAAGCGAGGCGCTCCTGCTTGTGTAACCCAAGACCAGATTGAGACTATCACTGTGGTTGTTGATATGGCAGGCGGCACGGAGACAGCTGCCGGTAGTCGAAAGTAATCAAAACAGGAGTATATAGCATGCGGAAAAGCCCAGGGGCTCATCAACCGTTGATGCTAGTATTGTCTGTACAGTGTGTCATAACTCCGCTGGCACAAAATTTGGCGATTGACCCCATTGAAATTGACATCTGTATGTTCTAGGCGGTGTTGTTCCCCCAAGTCGCTGTCTGGCCAGAACGCTCCATGGTGTTACCATCGAACGGCGAACGCACGCTGAGTATCTTGACCAACATGAGTCGATCATGTGCCCTTCTAGGCCAAGCTCACGTCCACTTCTCTCGAAGTGCAAAATGTCGAATTCTTGCTCGTGACGCTTCGCCCTCCGCCATGCGGTCGTTCGGGCCGAACGCTCGAAAGCGGAGCAGATGTCACCCCACAAACATGACGCTTAGGCAGATCAAGACTTGGATCTGCACTCTGTACGGGGAATCTCGTACGTGGCCCGAACTCACTGAGGCTTCTGAGCTCGGGGCCGAGCTTGATTGACTTCAAGTCCGTCGACGACATATATGAGAGACTCATGTCAGGTTCAAGTCGACGCGGTATATCCCCGGACCACATCACGACCTAGACAGCCTCAAAACCCCGACACTTGTGACATTGACGATCCGAGGAAGGTCAAAATGCCAGCAGAAGAAGTAGTCCAGATTGGCAAGAATCATGTATTCTCGTCCGGGCGGAGCTCTACACGCTACTTCAAAGACGGGTATTTCGATTACAACTTTGAGAAATTCCTGGGCCTGGCTACTTACTCGGGGGCTGAAATAGCCGAGTGCTTCGAAACGGCCGCACGGATCACGGACGGTGACCCGCAAAGCTGGATCGAGGCATGGACAAGCACCGCGCGCCGCGTCGAGGCTTACGCGGAGAACGCTATCAAGGGCGGCCATAAGGTCAGTGCCAGGGAAGCCTGGCTTCGAGCCACGACTTACTACCAGGCCGCTTTCTTCTTTGTCCCGGATAAGGATCCTAGAAAAGCGGAGCTTTATTGGAAGCACACAGGCTGCTTCCAATCGGCGGGAAAGCTATTCGACCCGCCATACGAGCCGCTCGCCATTCCGTATGAGGGAAAGACTCTCTTTGGATACTTCTTGCGCTGCGACGACAAGCCGCGGCCCACGGTGCTCATCCAGATGGGCGCGGACGGCAGCTCGGAGCAAATCTACTTCTCTGGAGGCGGCGCGGCTGCCCTTCGTCGCGGGTACAACGCGCTCATCTTCGAAGGACCTGGTCAGACGGGTACGTTCATGCGTGACCGCAGCCTCAACTATCGCTATGACTGGGAGGTGCCTGTCGCTGCGGTGGTGGACTATGCCTTGACCAGACCAGAGGTCGATCCAAAGCGGATCGCTTTGATCGCATACAGCATGGGAGGCTATTTCGGACCTCGCGCTGTCGCCTTTGAGAAGCGCATTGCAGCCTGCATTGCCAGCGGCTTGGTCCCGTCCATGCCCGCCCTGGCCGGAGACCGGATTAAAGCGATTAGAAATACCAAGAATGGCAAGTACAACCATGCCGCCAGGTATGCCCTGTTTGAGCACATGCCGAAGTACGGCTTCAACAATGGCCTCCAAGATCTTGACAAGCTCGAGGCCATTTGGGAGAAGTTTACTCTCTACGGCCTGGAAGATAAAATCACCTGTCCGCTCCTGGTCGTGCAGGCGGCCGCCGAAGGGGAACACCAAACGAAAATCGCAAAGGAGTTCTTTGACAAACTATCTAACCCCAAAAACAAGTTCCGCCTCACCACCGAGGACGACGCGGCCGAGATGCACTGCCAAAAGGGGAATGCGATGCTGCTGCATGCCATCGAGTTTGACTGGCTGGACGATGTGATGGGCGGACCTGAAGACTGAAGTGGAGGGATGGCATTGGCAAGAGACTGACTGGCTGGCTGTGAGCATGGGGCCCTTATACCTACCTAGGTAGGGTTTGATACACTGTGTCCGAAAACAGAAAAAGGCTCTAGCTTCTGAATGTTCATTCTAGATCTTCAGAAGCAATGGCCAGAGTTGCTTTGTCACCCAAAGACCCCTGTAAATAACCCCCCCCCCCCCCCCCCCCCCCCCCCCCCCCCCCCGAACACGTTCTTCGCCACCTGTCTCTGC